GTTCAATATGGCGGACAGTACAAGTCAACAGACGGGTTTCAACAAGCTAACTGCAGTGGAGACATCCAAAGCGCTGACAAGATCAGCTTCTGGTGTGACTGGGCTGGGGATGGAGCAGTGATGATGATTGGTGGAGGAGGAAGTAGCTGTGCACGTGCTGATCATGGGATTGGGATCACAGAAGCTAACGCTGCTTCTTTCGTTGAAGAAGGAGGTAGTGAAACTGAATATGACTTTGGTTACGATGCCTTGTCAAACACCCCTCCAAACCAGTCCTACTCGTTGAACTTATGGATCCGTTGAAAATTATACGATCTTTCTTTTTCAAACTAAGATTAGAACTGAAGAACGCTGAAAAGGATAATGCTCATTTCTTGTCAGTTTATTATCCTAGTTTCATTGTCAAACGTACATGAAAACTTTAACCTCCACCGTTGTACAAGGGGGGAAAAGAGGGATTGGTTGGAAGTCTCCCTTGCGTTTTATTTACCTTGCAATATTTTTAAACGCTTTTACCTTTAATAGATAGCCTTCGTCTACGAGATGCTGTTGATATGATGGGATACATATGCAAATCGCGCTGTTGTGATTCGGTGACGTCAACCAACATGGCAGACTTGTTTTAGATTTTTCGTTTTTTATACTATAAATTTTGGCTTTTTTAAAACAGCAGTAGCTTTCGAACTTGACAAAAAATAGAAAATAAGACTCAGAAAATAGTTTATAGGTTTACTGTATTTCACTTTAAAAATTAACACCGTTAATTCTCTCGTTGTTTACATTAACCCTTAAACCACAATTTACTTGTTATGACGTAATATCTCTTCACCTTTTAAATATGACTTTGGTTATGATGCTCAAACACGTGACAATCAATCCCAGTCCTCGTCGTTGAACTTGTGGATCTGTTAAAATTATCTGCTAAAAGGAACCGTGGAGAGGACGGTATTAATTATTTATTTTCACCCTGTGATCCAAGTTATTTGAGCATTTAAAAATGGTCACTAACATCGCATCTTTTCCCTCTCAAAGTAAAGCTACGAAAGGGAAAAGATCTTAAGATTTTCACATCTTTAGATCTTCATTGGTAACGAATTGCAATTAAGTTCTTTTTCCTAGAAAGTAATTTTCATTAGAATTGTTTTAACAGACTCATTACTAAACTTGTTGAGGAGATCTGAAGTATTTGTCATTGATTGTGTAGTGATCAATTGGTGAAACCTTATCATACACTTATTGTTTAATTGAATGAGCATAAAGAAATAAATAGGTAATTAGATAAACACATTGCTGTTTTGATAAACATCCGTGGTAAAAGATCCCTTATTCCGCCATAAAAATAAAAGGTAGAAGACGTTGAGAGGATGAAGTCTTAGTAAGAGATTGCAAAAAGACATTTTCATTATAAATATCAGTTCTCCATTCCAAATCTTGTTCATTTTAATTTCATTTACCATGAAAAAAATATTCATTATTAAACCTCAGTTCCAGGAGGGTCTGGTCCATTTTTTATAGTCTCACTAAAGAAACTTATCAATCTCCTCTTTAGTCCATCTAAGCTAGGCCCTTATAAATTGTGTTAGCCTATTTTTTGGCATAAAAAACGAGCATTGTCTTCGTTCTTTGTGTTTAAGTAGCACTACAAGTCAGCATAATTTCACTGAGGTTTTTTGTAAGAAGAATTATCAGAGTCAGACCTGCGAGGTCTCTAAGACTGATTTTTTTCAAGCTCGGTCAATGGTTTAGTCTATTTTCAGTTTTGCAATGTCCTGGTGGCAGAAGATCTCCGCAAAACTGAGTCGTTTGTCAACTAAAGGACTGAGAACACCGGAAGTAAAGATTGTATAAGTCCTGGTTCCAGCTTTCACGGTGAAAAAAATAGCGTTTAAGGGAAACGTGAAACTAACATAATACATTTTGACATGTTAACTCGCCGCTTCTAGTCTAAAATGAAGTGCAGTAGTAATTGTGTTTTATCAGAGCAAGAGTCCAAACGTCCATGAGGTTAATAAAACAACTCCTTATGATTTCAGATGAGAAATTGAAAAAAAGAGAACACCTTAGGTGAAACCCACATTATGCAACTCTAGTCAATTTGAGGTCAACAGACAGATTTCCGGTCTCCAATCCTAAGCGTATTACGTTTACAAGTAACGCATTCGTGACAGAGGAATAAGATAAACAGGAAACTTTAGCCACTTCAATCACACGGGAAGTGCAAATCTTCAGCGGAAGAAAACAAGTACGTCAGTTTTCTTACACGTTTATTATAAACGTTGTTCAGTAGAAGAGCCCAAAAGTCCCGAAAAGCTACAATGGACTCTACAGAGAGAGCTCACAGAAAAAGGACAGACGACGTCTTTCGAAAGAGCTCATCGGTTCTTTCTTTTATTTCAATTCTACTGATTGTTGCGCTGTTCCTGAGGATGGAGATGATCAACAAGCGAACGCAAATCAACGAACTGCGTATTTTAGCCGTTGAAAGTCGCATGAAGACGACAAGTGAAGCAGACAAAAACGTCGAGGACAAGCTGGAAACGTTTACAGATACATGCAAATACAAAACTATTTACTTTGATCCAAACGACGTTAATTTGAAGTATGATATGAATTAATTTTGCTTCTACAATTCGATTCCCCGTAAGGAAGAATAGGAAATGACGAAAATGGCAAAACCGCCTTAATTGACCTGGTGTTTATTTATGAGCTCCAAATGTTTGATGAGAACTGACCATGAACTTTTCGATATGATGGAGATCATGATAGGCTGTAGTCATGCCAAAAACCCATATCATTTTGGCAAGATGATTAGGTCAGTATTTGTTATACAACGGGTTCATAATCTCAACCCACATACCTTAAGACTACAAAAAACAATATGCAAACTTAAAAAACTAAAAGTCAAGTTCAAGTTAGCAAGGTGTAACAGTTGCTTGTGATGCTTCTCTTTTTCGTGTAAAGAAAGGATATTAATATGACTAAATTATAACATTACTTGATAAAATTATCTCAACTATCGTTGAAATGGGAACGTTTTAATGGTCCTGTTCGAAATATTCAGAGAGGATTGTTCTAATTGGTTATGAGCCGATGAAATAAGAAAATTAATTTAAAAAGGTATGATTAGGCTGCTTAATGTTGAACAAAGTTCGTTTAATGCTTAGATATATAATTTCCAAATCACACATCTTAAGGAACCAGTCATATTTTATCGTCTAGGAGGGGGGAGGGGAGAAGGTCGGAGGTTTATGGTTATGCCACAATAAATTTTTTTCGAGCTCTTTAGTATTTTAACTTTCTCCCTTATTCTTGGTTTTCACCCAAGTTACTTTTGTCTTGACAGCAGTTGCTATCCGCCATGTTGGTGCTCAAGCAAATAGTTACAAATGCGCTTGTAGTTAGGTGAAAGTGAAAAAGTAGAAATGATTCTTTGTGTAGTTTTCGGCTGTGGCACCAGAACTGATCAGGACAAAGGAATTGGATTTTATCGAATACCATCAGTTGTTAAAAGTTAGTCTTCCTTCGAAGAAGAATTGAAAACAGAGAGGAGAGAGAATTGGACACAATCGATAAGTCGCGGCGACACGATATAAGAAAAAAGGTAAAGACAGACCGGCACGGACTCTCTAGGTGGCTTTCGAGGTTGCGTCGCATTATCTCTTTAAATTATATTTTTGCTCTCACAAGCATGTCTTAAAGGAATTTCCCTTTGGTAAGAGATGATCGGAGGTTTTGTAAAATTTGTTTTCAGCAAGGGCTTATTGTGTATCAGACTCAAATGCTCCATGTTTGTTTTAAATTTTTAACTGCCGGGTGGTACGTTATGACAAAAGGCAATAAACGTTCGTGACCTTTGGGCTTTTGTGTATGTTTAAGGGCCGATTGTCAAGAGGCAAAGTTGATACCTGACAGAGACCTTTCTATGATGTTTTCTGGGTACCCTCTTGCTTTGAGGCGTTGTTTGAATTTCAAACGGCCCTCTTCAAATGTTTTTTCGAAGAGTTAGTTCTAAGCAATCTTATTGCTTCGCCTTTAATGAAATCCTGTTTTACGCCTGGTGGGTGGCACGAGGCGAAGTACATAAATTGGAATTAAGGTCTCGGTCGGCTTGTAATGGGTTTTGATGTCCAAGATGGAATCTTTTGCAAATCTTTCCCCTTTAAACACTGTGGTATCGAGAAAAGTGATTTAGAGGATCGTTCACCCGCTGCGAATGTCTCTCCTTCGCTACAACAACAATCTTGTTTACAATCTCTGCTCCTTGAACTGATGTTACGAAGTCAGACACTATTTGGTTCTACGCTTCAAGACTTTTGAATGTTTTAAATTGTTTATTTGTCAGGAATAACTTGTCTTCAGAACAAAAATAGGAAAGAAGGTGCGAGACTTCTATCGACGGCAGACGTTCTGCTTGGAATGCCTACTGGATCGATACCAATCACAAAAAATTTTCTTAAGTTAGCGCTCTCGAATGTGGCTTTCTAGGCCCTCCGCATAGTTCGAAAGCACAGGTATTCTAAGGAGAATATTCTCTTGTGATTCTGGATTTTTTTTCACCAGAAATATTCATAAAACAAAGTATTTGAGAGAGGGCACTGTAGAGATGGCAATATATTTGCACACCTGAGGTGGGCACCAACATGGTGGACGCTTAATTTGCATAGATGTATGACCGTCAATTTTCTACAGCCCCCCTTTACATTCTGTTAGTGACCACTGATTCTACCCTCTGTTCCCGATGAAAACCACGTGATTCCCACAAAATCCCCCGATCCCAACCCCTCGCGACCAATAATCACTGGCCAAGAGATTTGTCCTTTGTGACTTACCAAATGGTTTTTTTTGCATTAAAGACGATAATGTTTAATGCAGAATTAAATTGCTTTAAAACAAATAGTGAAGCTCCCACACCCCAGGATAAATATGTTTTTTTTCCAAAAATACTTTAAACCCTTGACCATTTTTTTCCACTTGTTTCACATAAAGATTTCCAAAGTGTTATGAGAAAACATCCAGCGGATCATCGCAAAAGAGAGAAAAGAAATATTGCTCCAAATCCAACGGCAGGAACTGTAAATTTACAACAAATCCACCAAGAAATAAACAACAAGTTCATTGAAGTTTGTAACTCCTCAGACAGAATATGCCAGGCAGGACCCCCGGGACCCGCAGGAGCCCTTGGGTATCCCGGATATAAGGGAGAAAAAGGGGCCTCTGAAAAGGTAGGACCACCAGGCCCATCGGGGCCTATTGGGGCTCCAGGCGTGGGTGGCAAAGGAGGACCTGTGGGACCTCAAGGAGTAAAGGGCGACAAAGGCGACAAAGGATCTGTTGGAGCTCCTGGAATTAAAGGAGATACTGGAGCTAAGGGTCGTCACGGACAAAAGGGATCTATTGGCTTAAAAGGGAACAAAGGCATCAGAGGATTGGTTGGTATTCAGGGACCAAAGGGAGAATGTGTTGTTCCACCGAAGATCATTGTGTCTTTATCAACGAGACAGCAATATTCTTCTGTTGGGTTCAAGGCCAGACGTCGTCCAAAATAACATGGAGTAAGCTCGGAGGCACTCTATCTGATGCTACCGCGAAAGACGGTGCGCTTCGAATCAACAGCGTTCAAAGGTCACATGTGGGGTCGTATATGTGTACAGCTCATACCGGTCTAGGAGTTTCCAGAATCGCAGGCAGTTTACTCGTTAAAGGTAGAATCTTTAACTTTAAATACTTTCCAGCCTTGTATTAAAAAATTTAGGTAGCCAGCGTCTGTAACTCTCAAGTCATGTGTCATAGCCTGAGTCACCTCTCCTGACGCGCAAGACAAAGAATAAAACTGAAGGGAATGTAAAAATTTCTCAATCGAATACTACTACCCAATCTGATCCTTGCGACAAAAACATTATTCCTAAATTATATTTTTATTTCATTTTTCATGTGATTTTATCATCTATTAGAGGAAAGTGAAATTAAAGTGAACTTCTAATACAACCGAGTGTAATCCTTTTTGCGAGACGCTTACTTTTTCCTATTGCTTTTCCTTCAAATTGATAATCTGCGCGCGACAAAATTTTCAATTTTCAAAAACCTACGCAAACTGCATATATCTGAGATTATTCGTGGTCTTCTATTTTGTTTGTTAACTTGATGATCTTCTTTTTGTTTAGAGATACCACAGTTTACTAACAAACCTCCACCGAAGGTCGTTGTAGAACAAGGAACAACTGTAACCCTCTGCTGCGTGGCCACAGGCTTCCCTCGTCCTAAAGTTGAATGGACTAGGCATCAAAGGTCCACTTTGTTCTCTCCGTTTTTCCAGGAAGACGGATGTCTCGCAGTAAATACCGCAAAAACACATGATGAAGAAGACTACATCTGTCGAGCCACAAACAGCTTTGGGTTATCGGAAACAATAACCACGGTGACTGCTACGAAATTAACTGGTATTATAACAATTATTACTTTGAGTACTTTCAACTGTACATCCAAAACACATTTCTTCCCCATGTTGTTTATGACAAACTGGACAGGAAAATGTTTGACAAAAGTCTTAGAATGGTAAGCACATTCTTTTACTTTTAATCAAAAACTCAAGCTGTGTACAAATGTGTTTATTCAGTTTGACTTGAAAGTTCTTGAAATTTTGTGTTCCGTCTCTAGATAGTTCTTGTGACTTTATTCAGCATGGACCTTCTCGCAAAACTGATGGGATGTACTACCTACGAGCTAAAAACACTCAACCAGCCTTTCCTGTAAGTCTGATCCGTATTAAATATAGTACGTATTCCTCTCTCAAAATAAAGGCAATGCAGCCGACCAGTCAGCAAACTTGATTAGAAAAGTTAAATCTTCAACTGAAATAACGGTTCAAGGCTGTATTCATGCAGTAACTGGAAACTTCCAAGTAAGAACTATGATGCAAAGAAAGTGGAGACCGTTTTCTAAGAATGCTTTACGTATTTCGTTGACATGGCTAAAAAAGGTTTCTCTCGCATGGTCAGATTCTCATTCAACCTGGTTTCTCTTTGGCACTTTGAAGGACCTCGTAGGCGTCTTGATGTTGGCTAATGTTGCATTATCTTACACCTGGCCTTTACATATCAAGCCCTTTTAAACAAATTATTTTGCAACAACAACAAAATCGCTCCACGAACATAAAAAGGTCAAAAGTTAACCAATGAAGCACAATGTGAACTTTTCCTCTTGTTTTCACGGACCCTCTCGCGAAACTACCGCGATGTACCACGTATGCGATAAAAACACTCAACTAGCCTTTCCTGTAAGTCTAAACCGAAGAAAAATGTAATATATATTCTTCCCCTAAATAACGGCAATGCAGCCATGCCGGTCGGAAACCTTGATAAGAATAGTTAAATCTCCAACTAAAATAACGATACGAGGCTGCATTCACGCAACAACTGGAAACTTTCAGACGAGAACTATGATGCAAAGAGACAGAGAGCAACAGAGACTCTATGGTGAGTAAGGCCCATTACGAAGTTCAAAAAACATGACGCTCAAGACACTGATGACCCTAGAGGTCTGCAGAACGCATGTTATATAGGAACTCCTTAATAGGCCTTTCTAATCAAAGTGTCTCTGGTTGAGCATTGGAGCGCGGGATCCGAACGTCTGAGGTTCCATTCCTCATGGGGTCTCAGAAATTTTCTTTTTCCTACGCTTGTGACAAGACGAAAAAAGATGTTTTCTATTTCTTCACCGAGCTCAAGACTTACCATCTTTTTTAATGTTCTTGTAACAAAATATTTAAATTGTTAAAATATATATTTTTAAGACATGAAACAATGCATTTTTCCACGGTTCGGTATCAGTGAAGCACTCATTTTTTTTCTTTTTTTTTTTTTACTGCAGGTCTACTGCGAATTGACAACAGACGGTAGAGGCTGGACTCTTACTTCCCGCTTTTCAAATAATGACGTCAAGAACTGGATGGCTGACACTGGCCATTGGTGGTACGACCGTCAAGTTTCCACTGGAAGGACAGAGAGTCCCTTTAGAAACACTGACATGATCTCACCAGCATTTTGGTTGGTCAGAGGAAGCGAATTTAAGATCACGCTTAGTGACGACCCTAGTCACACCCCTCTGTTACAGACCACAGGTAACTGTTTGGGTGGACAAACATTCCGATCTAAAATCACAAGTTATGGCGACTTTAGAAATGGCAAGGTCTGGGCCAGTGATCAGTGTCTGGGAAGTTGTACGGTTCAATATGGCGGACAGTACAAGTCAACAGACGGGTTTCAACAGGCTGATTGCAGTGGAAGCATCCAAAGTGCTGACAAGATCGGCTTCTGGTGTGACTGGGATACTGGGGATGGAACAGTCATGATAATTAGTGGAGGAGGAAGTAGCTGTGCACGTGCAGATCACGGCATTAGAATCTCAGAAACTAACGCTGCTTCTTTCGTTGAAGAGGATAGCACACAAACTGAATACGACTTTGGTTATGATGCTCAAACGAAAAGCGCTCCATCCCTGTCCTACTCGTTGAACTTATGGGTCCGTTAAAAATTATAAAAATTATACGTTAAAAATTATAACGAAATACTTGTGTGATTAGTAATGAAGTTAACAAGCCATAAACCAAATTACAAACTCTGATCCTCTGACTGGTAGGTCGGAGAGTATGAAGGCTCGGATGTACATTTTTTGAACCTAAGATATTGCATTTCTTGCCCTCTATGGCTTTACTCCACCAGAATCTTCTTAATGAAGTGAGGTTCAGACATAAGTTTAACGAGAAAGAGCGGGTGAAGTCAGAAGAGGCGTGCTTTCGATTCGATTTTTGTTTCAGAGACGAGTACATTTAAATGTCATTTTGCTAACTAACAACTTTTACATGTAGTTTCGACAACTGCCTGCAACATATCTCAGTTATGCGTTTTAAATAATGGCTACCTAGAAATTTAGATGGTGCCTCTTTGATTCGTTTTTTAAAAAAAATCAATTTAGAATTCTGCATCCTGTTTTGAACTTTTTGTAGGCCTCTGTATTGTTCTTACTTGTTTGTAGCGTCGGTTGCGGAAAGAGTACAACATTTGTGTTATCTATTTTTTTCAAAAATTAGCTGAGAACTATATTGTAGTATTTAGTATTGGAGCAAACTAATCACGATGTGAACAAAAAATAAATCTTTATGCTTGATATGTATCATGCATCTTAGTTCAATGTTTTTATATACAGAAATTATATTTTAATCTTAGTCAACTCCTTTAGTGTTAAAACTGCAGAAATTGAACTCAGGGCTTCCACAGTAGTATTTATTTCTTTTTAATGGTTGTTTGACTGTAGTAGAAAATGTATTTGAGTTCATTTAGTGGGATCCTTATTAAAGGAATTTCTCAAGATCTTAAAAGAGAGTTTCCCATTATGGACATGTCAACGGCTTCCGAAAATTAGATACTTTCTTTTCAATTTAAAATTTCAGTTCCGGTATGCAAAACTACTAGATCTAGAGTACCCACGCGAGAAGACTTAACCCTTTAACTCCCAAGATCTCATTATTAATCCTCCTTACACACGGTCTCCCATACAGTTCTTGTGATGTTAGTTTAGAGAATTTGGTATTGGATCAAAGTACAATCCCTCATTGATATTTTTCTTTATTCTAATCACTTGTCTGCTTGATATTATACTGATATTGTAAGGAGAAATTCTGTCTTGGTCACTCATGGGAGTTAAAGGGTTAAGGATAAACAACAGACCACAAAAAGTAGTGAACAAAACATGAAACACTTTCATTTTAAACATGTCAATAGTTAACAAAGCAATTAAAGTTTAAAGGGGTAAGTTTCGAAAGAAACTGTGGTGCTGCGTCGGTGAGAGAGTATAGCAGGTAATTTAGTGTTAACAACTGGGTTGAAAACGTAAATTAGCCACCGTAAAGAGTAAAAAAGCTGACGTTTCGACTGACGAAGGGCTAACGCTCGAAACGTCAGCTTTTTTACTCTTTACGGTGGCTAATTTACGTTTTCAACCCAGTTGTTAACACTAGATTACCAATTAAAGTTTAAATTTCGCCTGCTAAATAGATACCTGCTGGGCCCACACTGCACCGCATCCGTTTGTTTTATGAAGAGATATTCACGCTTAATGCAATCTACTGAAAGAATGAAAATACAACTTTTCTTCAAGGCAACTAATTTCAAGTATCTAATGACCTTACTTCCCCTCCAAGAACCTTTTACGACGTTAATCAGTTAAAACATTGGATATTTTTACAACAAATCACACAAATACTACGTCCCTATAAATAGGTTGTTTCAATCTTTCATTTGAGGAGAAAAGACATTGCCTCATTTCATCGGTATAAACGGATAATATTTTAGAAAACAACGAGTACATGTTATCGTTTTTGGCGTTAACTACCGCTAGAAATAGTTATTTAGAAGAAGAGAAACCAGATAATTAACTTTAAAGATGTTCGGAATTGCGCCTAAGCGTTCCTCAAAAAAAAACGTATGCCAAAGAATCACCTTTCAAAATCATGAGCGTGAGGTTTTCCTAATCTATTCTGAGCGGCATGGACAATCACCCTATAAATAATTTATTTTGCTAAAAATGCCAAATAGCATTAATATTTTACTGCTTTGAGTTGCAGAAACAAATCAGGGCAGTGGTCGTTGAATTAGGATCCACAACCTTGATGTCCAGTCGCACAACAACCTAAAATCGTCAACACTGTACGAATAGCCTGTCGCTATATATATCTAAGTCGTATGTGATGTATTTTAAAGGGAAAGCCTTCATTTTCACGATGCCTCTCTTTGGTTTTGCGTCTGTTGTTTTGATCACGTGGTTTCATTGCCGGGCTGTTGCAGACAAAGGTGATGTCGATATTTTTTGCTGGTAGAGCATTTAAAGCTTTCAGATGAACTATATTTTAAGTTCATTTCTGGTAATGTTGTGTTAAAAGGTGACATCTCTTTCAAATCACCATAGCATTTTCTTTCGCCAACTTCAGAATGCAATGAAGATTATTTTTTTCCTCTGGAAAAAAAGTCTTAGTTTGTGTCTTGGGTGAAGTGTTTAAAATTATTACCAAGACACACATTAAGTGGCGATCTCTGTTAGAGCGGTCCAAGGCATTTCGCATCGGAGAAACGTTTGCCTCAAACTTTGCCCAAAAACTATAACTATTAAACTATCTTTGGGAGTAAGGAAGTAAAACCGTTAAAAATTTCTTTTGAGAGCTCTCAATAATCAAAGCTGCATAAGGCCCGTTTTTGACCTCTTGTGACATCGAAAATTTCTCACGGTGATAGGCTTGCTCCTCGTAACATACTACTTGCAGCAGGAAAACGTTTGGATTCTTAAATTATGTGATATCTCGAGGGTTTGGAAAGTATTTCAATTTTGATATGTTATTCAGAGATTCGCCATAATTTATTGAAAACAATCGTTTGAAAGCTTTTTGAAATTGGTCAAAATTACTCTTTCTTTCTTCGGTGATATTTCTCAAGTCCAGACCGGACCATTAATAATTACTAATTACTAATACGATGTTCGAAAGCATAAATGTAAAAACATCTTGCAGTTATTAGTGTCTTAAAACTTTTGGTGATTTTGCTAACCTGGCAGCAGAATTATGCAAATTAGTCTGTTAAACAAACCCCGACCGTTTTTTATTAGTAGCTTCATAAAATGGTAGATTTTAAAGAGAAAAGATAGTCCGAAAGAGCAATTATAACATGCTGATTGATACCGTAAACATACACAAAACGTATCGAATATCATATTGATTAGCGTTCGGTCAACGTTTTAATAAGAAACTCTTTTGAAAAAATTGGTTTCTGTTGTTTTATATTTGACTTAAGAGAGCTTAAGCTATTAAAACCTGTATGAAAATTCCAAACCAAACACAGTATTTTATTTAGCGTAACCGGCAATAACAGCACCAGACCACGAGCAGTCCCTCCTTTTCAGCGAGTCGAAAAATTCAGTGAGGAAAAAATGTTATTGCCTCCTGGCGGCGCGTTAACATCTCTTTTTTTTTTTTTTTTTTTTTTTTTTTCGCGGCTCTGATGTTTTTCTTTTTGACTCGCGCGACGGACTTGGCTGAAAAGGAGAGACTGCTCTTAATCTATAACAGCACTTACTGAAATTCACCGTGAGTAGTGATACAGTCACGTAATTCAAAGTGTACTTCTTCCATATAAATATGGCAGCGATAATGTGATTCTTTTGCTCGGAATTCTAGCCTATTTTTTCTAAGCTATCAAACGTGTTGGCGTTTCATGGGAGCAGGGAAATACAGGACTTCAGATCAGCGAGAGGAAGTGTCCAAGATCCACTGCAAGTTTTCAGTGCGTGCATTGACAGCATCGCCGACGCTGTACTAAAGCTCTTCTCCCATGCTATTTAGTTCGTATATGATTAGGAAAAAACTTTGAAACTATCGGCACCCTCTGCTACAGTATTTCCGAGACTCCTCAATGATTTCTTCTTTGTGGCCTCTTGAAGTTCTAATATTCTCCCCATGGTGGATTTACTTATCGGTTGAAATCCAGTTTCTTTGGAATGGCCCTATAATATTAATGATGGCACACATGGCTACTGTTCGTACCACGTTAAGCATGAAAAATTCCTCACTGCTTATAAGTTTGATGGTGCAAGTGCCGTACACTACGTCTTGATAGCAACATTGCCTCATTGTGAACTCTAAGAGAAGTGGTTCAGCTGACGCTATTCTTAACGGATTGTGTGCCGCGGGATATTTTTCAATATAGGCACTCCGCTTGTGTTCACTGCCTTCTTTACTTTTCTATCGGATAGGTTTTCAAATGGCTGATATACCAGTATGTTTTTAAGCGCATTGGCTGAGAATCTATCTCCCGACAAAAAGACAGTGTGAAGGAAATCAACTTCATCTGAAAATTACGCGAGGAGTATCTTAAGAACACTCATAATGTGAAGAATTCATGACGATTTTGTTTCATTCCTTTGCTGAATGTTCTCACTGTTATTCTTTTCATAAAGAGTATAAGAAATATCTTTTCGTGGAAACTCGTATCAAGAAATGGCCCATTGTTCCGGATCAACTTTTCCAAACAAAAGTCCTGAGTAATTGGTAGTCCTAAGGGACTTTGGCCGAAGGGAGGCGGAAAAGCTCGTAACTGATCGAGAAAATTATCGGAGTGACAATTTTACTGCACTAGGGGAGTGGGTAGTGTAAATATGTACTAGTAAAATCAATCTCCATTGGTGTATCCAGGCGTAGGCTTGACCCTCGTTTAGCGTATCGAGCCAAAGGTTCGCAAATTCAAAAATAATTAAATTTATCCGTATTACAGTGACTCATTTAAACCACCTCTCTGTATATGTAAGTCAAGTCGCCTGGTTTTTACCAGTCAGTTTTGTCAACGTACAAATATATTTTTTGGTCTTGCCAGCTCCAACTGGTTGATTATCGGAAGTCACGTCTGATGTTAGATGTTGTCAGTTTACAAATGCAATATAGCAAAGAAAAGTATTGTGTAATTCGACTGTTTTACATATAAGATACTGAATTTAAACTAATGAAAATTGAAAATTATGGGAACGGAGATTAAAAAAAAAAAATTAACATACTTTTCACTGATAGATATTTCAAAGTTTTTACTAAGGCTTCCTGTATGTGCTAATTAAATGATATAAACAAATTTCAGTCTATGTATATATAAAGTTATGACAGGTTATCAATTGATATCTGATCTGTTTCAACAAATAATAACTAGCCCTTAGCATTTTACTATATCGTTTTACACTTTGGCAAGTTCCTCTCAATTTGTTATAAAATTGCTTAATTCAAATGCCGGGGAACTGATCAGACTTCGGTGGCCTGGTGAGGATAGCATATAACTTCGACTTCAAAATGCAGTTTGGACTCCCTGAACTTTCAAGGAACTATTTCCATGTATTAGTGAAAATAGTTGTTCTAGCGCAGGCTTCTAGTGGTACGTAAAGCGTTTTAGACTAACTCCTGATTAAATATTTTTCTTTGAGCAGAATACTTTTAACAAATCTTTTTTCATTCCTCTCTTTATTTCTAGGGACAAAAGTCGTCGATATGCAAGGTAAAACTCTCAGCCGAGGTACAAGTAAAGGAATAACCTATGCCAGATTTAAGGCTCACAAGTTTTCCTACCTCAACATCACTATTACTGGTTCGGATTATGTTGGAGAGGACAGCGAATGTGGATTTGCTTGTGTCAAAATTTCGTCGTGTTTTTCGTTTAACCTGGCTGCATTTCATGATATGAATGGCAAAGTTCTGTGTGAATTACTTCCATCGGATCTGTACAACAACTCGGATAAGCTTGTCCCTAGTCACAGTCACCATCACTACAGTATCGCGGTAAGTTGGAAATAAAAAATGTTCACTCTGTTTTGTGAAAAGAAAAGGAGAGGAATCGCAGATAATTTCTTGTGGAGGTTTTTTTCATTTTTTTACCTTTTTAATAATACACCTAAAGGCTACGTGGTCCACTCTTACAACTGTAACATTTAGGCCATGTGTTTTCCTTTTGAAGTTTCTCCTTATTGGAAGGAGGACAGTGTGGTTAATTGCAAAATAGAGAAAGCGTTTACTTGAGCGGAAGACTTATAGAGAATTTTGGGTCTAAGTGGGGAAGGTTTACTGACCCAATTTTTGAACACGGTCCACGATGATATATAAAATGATTGGTACCAGATCTTTCTCGTTTCCTTCGTATATGTTTTCTTTAGTCTTCATGTTTCAAATGGCCTTGTCAGAACAATGGGAAATGTATGGCACAGAACGAGAAGAACAGTTACGAGTGCGTTTGCGCGAAAGGATACACAGGGGAACATTGTGAAACGGGTGAGACACAATTTAGTGTGTATTTACAAGACTGCTTCAAACTTACGTTGTAATTCTCTTCCACTGCGAGAGAATGACTCAAAGCTTATCTGTTTACCGCTTTCTTGTCGTCATCGTACATTTCCAAATTCCCCCGCAAATTAACTGCCATGCAAGTTAATTTCATTTTTCCTTCAGATATTGACGAGTGCAGTGCTTCCATCAGGCCCTGTGACATCAATGCAAACTGCCAGAACACTTATGGCTCCTACACATGTTCCTGTAAAAGTGGATTTTATGGAAATGGAAAAACGTGTATGGGTAGACCCTATTTGTTCTTAATCTGTTAGTCACACTACTTAGAGTCAGTTTATCAGTTAGTCTATAACTAATTCGTCTCCAGTTTTGAAATTTTCATCTTTTTTAATTACGCTTGCGCTCGATGATCAAAAACAAAATTTTCATGTCGATAGTTTTTGGCTTCCGATGTAAAGCTTTCAAAGACTTAATTATTTGACACGGAGCGAGAGGATAAAGTAACAGAAAATGTACGATTTATAAATTAAACATAGGATCATTTTCAAACTTTCTGCCGATTTTGGATATCATATGGTAAAATCGAGAAAGTGTCCCCCCTTTTTTTTCCTCTAGGAAACTAGAAAAAGATGCTCTTAAAATTGCAATCGGTTTCCTAAATCCTTGTAGTTATATCGAACTACCTCTGGCTCAAAAGTTGGCCTTCAACAGTGAAAATGTTGGCCAATTTACAGCTAACAGTCAATACCTTTCCCTTATGGTCACCATAAAGATTTTACAGTTAACTTATTACTAACACCACACCAAAAAAAAACAGAAGAAGGGTGAGATTATTGCACAGTTCATTTCAGGCTAGAAAAAAGAATACGAAGCTATCCTCTACAATATTCCCATCATATGCCAGAAAGACGTAGACATAAAATTAAAATGTTCATACGTTATTATTAAAAAAACAATGAGAACTGTTCTTTCACTGCAGGCTGGACTCTTATCGCTCGATTCTCAAACAGCGATGGCAAGAATTGGATGCGTGACGATGGTAGATGGTGGTTTGACCAACAAATTGCCATTGGAGCGATAACTAACCCTTCTGCGATGGACGATATGATTTCAACAGCCTTTTGGTCGGTCAGGGGCAGAGAAATAAAGATCACGCGCAGTGACGACCCCAGCCACACCCCTCTGTTACAAACCACAGGTAACTGTTTGGCTGGAAAAACATTCCGATCTAAAATCACAAGTTATGGCGACTTTAGAAATGGCAAGGTCTGGGCCACTGATCAGTGTCGAGGAAGTTGTAAGGTTCAATATGGCGGACAGTACAAGTCAACAGACGGGTTTCAACAGGCTAATTGCAGTGGAGACATCCAAAGCGCCAACAAGATCGGCTTCTGGTGTGACTGGACTGGTGATGGAGCAGTGATGATGATTGGTGGAGGAGGAACTAGCTGTGCACGTGCTGATCATGGAATTGGGATCACAGAAACTGGCCGTGTTTCTTTCGTTGAAATAGATGACATTCAAACTGAATATGACTTTGGTTACAATGCTATATCAAGCACCACTCCATCCCAGTCCTATTCGTTGAACATATGGATCCGTTAGAAATAGCCAGGCTCCGGTTGTCCAAAGGGTGCATAACGCTATCCTTTGAACAAATCTCTATTCGTTGGACTGCGCAATACGTTTTATTAACAATTAATTTTCCGTTGGATAGCAATTTATCCGGTGGATAGCATTATCCGCCCCTCAAACAACTGGGCCCAAGCCTTTTAATCTTTTAAACCTTTTTTTAGAACTGAACAACTTTGCAGAGGATGATATTATTCAAATTGTGATTAAGGTTAGTTGAGAATTTTTGAATTGTCAATAATAGCGCATCCTTCCCCTCATAGCAAAGCTAGATTAACTTGAACATTATCCCGACCACAACGCCAAGATCTTTAAAACATCTTAAGATCTTCACTGGCAACAACTTAATTGCCATCAGTTGCGAAAAACACATTTAGTAGAATTAATCTAAGTCAAACTCACAACTCATTTTCTTAAGGAGATGAAGTATTCATTGATGATTGTTTAGTGATATCACATGTAAAATATACAAGATTTGTTGAACGTTTTCATATCAATCGAACGATACATGTTTAATTAAATCGTCATAAAGAAATGAATAACTAGATGAAAAAAATAGATGTCATTCTTTTTGATGTTCAAAGTTATCCCTTCTTTTCCTCCAAACCAAAGGCCTTTAACAAACTTTAATTATGGGAATTCGCCCCGTGTGGCCCCATTCTACAAGACAGAATTCTGTGGGTATACAGGCAAGTATACAATAGATTTTGACCAATCACAGCGCGCGTTGCGTCGAACTTATGTCATAAATTCCTATATGGTCTACAAAATGAGTTTTAAATTTTTCTACGAAGGTGTCAACCGAGCATTTAAGAAAATAGACGCCATTAATCAATTGAGCATCCAGGGATGCCTAGGACTAAAATCTAAACCGTCAATTGAGTGCAGACCCGAGACAACTAAAGAACTGTGTCAGTCTCCGATTATGGAGTCTTATTTAATTTTGGGCACCTCCTATCTATAGGATAATAGAAATGCGCCGCTGGATAGAGCGCATTTTCACAATTCAGTTGTCACGAATATTACCCGTGGGGGTATTTCCTAATGATAGGCTAATGGGGATATGTCGCTGGATAAGATCGCATTTCACTGACTGGTTTGACCGTAATGGGGTAACGTTATCAACAAAGTCTCAAGAATGGGGTTGCACATTATCGGGATCTGGGGGAAGTTCTAAGGCGGGCAGCTGTACACAGTTCAGGACTGATGGGTTGATTATATCGCTTGACTGCACCGAGACACAGGTTGCAAATGTGGACGTACATTATTTGGTTGTGAGGAAAGATGGTCATGGTCTTTCCTTTGTGAAACTCGTAGCTGGGGTAGAGTCAATTCAGAGCGAGAGAAACTGTTTCCTCGAGGCTAGCATATTTTGAGTGTGAAATTAAAAAAAAAAAATCAAAGAATTCTTACGACCAACTCGGGGTTAAAGTAATCTAAAAAATAAAAACATGTTCGTGGACTCGTCAAAATATTAAAATCGTATATTACTAACCATCCTTGAACTTATTATTCCATTAACAGTGGCCGTCATTAATATGTTATGGACTCAAGCGGTGATCTTTCAGACGAACACAATATCATATGTATTGCAGGGACAACGAATTGGAAAGATGTTTTTGAAAATGTGTGTCGCTTTGACCAACAATACTGAGAACCTCGAACTTATAGAGTTACTTTTATCTTTTTACTCTAATTTTTATTTTTCTGGTCCCGGTTGTTCGAAGGTTGGATGACACTATCGACTGGATAAATCTTTATCCGGTGGATAACACTTCACGTTTTCCTACCATTTATCCGCTGGGTAGCGATTAATCCGTTGGATAGCATTCACCGCCCTTAATACAACTGGGTCCTTCATTTTTCTGGTCTTTGGTTTTTTATTTCTATTAGTTTCACGAGACCATATTCCACTCATAAACAGTGCGAAATTACTAAAGGCCAGAACTTACTCGTCAAATTGACGTGATCGAAAATGCAAGATTTCTTCCAAAACGCTAAATTATAATTAAAGTTACCTTGAGGCCACACACATTTCGGAAACCGGATTCATCCTGGCAACAGGTCGTGCTTCTAATCTCTTACTCTACTGAGGAGATGACAGAAAAATCGGTTAAATAACTGTTTACTTTATCTCTGGCCTGAACGTTTTTTTTTCGATATCAGTTACACAGGAAGCTCAAACCTTCATCTCAGGTAAACAGTTCGTATCTTGCAGCAGTTGAGTTTGCTAATCAGGGAAGCTGTTTACACAAATCCCCTCGAGGCTTCAATGGACTCTACGAAGAGACCTTCTGCAAAATGCTCAAACGATGCTTTTCGCAGATGTTCTTCAATTCTTTCTTTCGTTTCAATTCTGCTGATTGTGGCGCTGTTCGTGAGGATGGAAACAATAAACAGGAAAACGAAGATGAACGAACTTCGCATTTCAGATGTTGAAAGTCACCTTAAGATCGCCGTTCTGATGAAAAGAGCAGGTAACGAGGGGAAACCGTCAAAGGGTAGGTAAACTTCTACTTGCAAATCGATGATAATTTGCTTTGAGAAATTCGGTTTCATTGCCTCCAGTAATTTGGAGAGATTTGGTTTCATCTTAGCAATACAGTAATTCACAACAGAGATTCGAAGAACGCAATCTTTGTACTTAATGAGAAACACTAAATGCTATTCTGAGTCATTTCTTTCCATGTTTTTGTGATCTCACAATGACTATTGGCGCCTACCTGGATGGAAGCTTAGCATGGATACACATACAATTCTTCATCGACCAGGGGTGGAAGCTAAATAATGGGACCTTTATTATTCATTATTCATCGTGTTTTTTTTTCGAATTATTTATTACTCTTTTTAAATTCTGTTTGGTATTCATTCTTCCCTATTCCTTGAACGTAGGCAAGATTTTTCCTTGTTAGACTCGATTTCAGGTTTAATTCATGATTATACATATGATTAAAAGTATCACACTGTCGCACCATGCTACACGCTACTGTCGCACCATGCTACACGCTACTGCCACACCGTGCTAAACACGGCGACCTTTTTATCAAACTAAGCTGGTGTTGTTTTTTCCGGTGCTATGGTTATTATTATCACGATGTATTTTTCGCTTTAACGGCAACTGGTTTCTTCCGCAAGCAACTCCATCGTCGCACATACTTTTCTTTCTCTAGTTCTTGGTGACAAATCTATACAAACATAACCTGAATGAAGTTTGGAAAAACCACAAAATAGGCAAAAGATAAAAAAAAAACATCTGTATGGAGCTTTTACAAGATGTAGTGGGACTTTGTAGGTAAAAAATAAAAGACTTATCTCTATTAACAAGCATAATGCCTGTGTTTGTGTTCTCTCGTTTAGAGCCCTTCCGACTGCTTCAAGATGATACTAAAGTTAATGCAAAACTTTTCATTACAAGATATCAAATAAATTTTCTCTTTCTGATATTCTTGATGGAACTACGTAGCTCCAAATGCAATGTCAGTGGCTGTTTTTTGCAAACTTGAGTCGAGTCCAGACCTGTAAGCATGTAGATTGCAAAATCTCTCAAAAGACGACAAAAATATAACTATAATAACTCTCTTGACAGGTAAAATGGGCTAAGTCACGCAATTCGAAGTAATGTAACAATCACGAGCAGGTGAAAAAATCAACTGAAACATTTCAACAACAGTTCAAAACGTCAAAAGAACGTCAGAAAAAAAGGCAAAAGCCGGAAACTGAAAAAAGACACGGGTGTTAAAAATAGGAAAAGATCAAAGCTGACTGTTATCGAAGATAAACTTAACAAACACTAGACCAATGGTAGTCGGTCTAGTGTTTAGTGTCAATGTTGAGTGTCCTCAAGATGTCTGGTTATAAAATTAAAACAGCTGTAAGCGTGTTGCCGAACGTGTCGACCTGGTGCTGACAAACACACGTTTAGGAGGTTCCTCAGGCGAATCCTCATCGGCCACTTCTTCATTTTTGACGCGTTCATCGTCAGAGTCAATGTCACTGTCATCGCCACCTTTCAACAATCGTTCAATTCTATCCGCTTCCCATTGAGGGAGCTTATAAGATCTCAATCCAGAGGAATCGGTAATGATCTCGTCAATACGCACACGGTTTATAATGGTGTACGGTGAGTTCTTATCGTCTCGGTAAGCCTCATAGAAAGGGCAAGGAAAAACCCCTACTGTTCTCTTCTAAGGTTATGCTTTACAGCGATCACTTCCTCTGACTTCAAATAGGCCCCACATTGCAGTAACGATTGATTAAAAGACAGCTCTCGGTCTTTCTTTTGTGCGTCATTTTGGCCCTCCATCAAAGCGATTGTTTCAACATTGGAAGAAGGCTCGCGTTCTTGTAAGGAAAACGATATGGCATAACGACGATGGCCAAAACTTGATTATCAAAGCAATTCCTTTTTTGAGACATAAAATGGTGATCGCGATCCTTATTGATTCCGAGAATCGTTATGGACAACATGGAACACAGACAGTGGTTCTCAGAATGGAGTAGTTGTATTATATTATCGTAATCCTCACTTCGTAAAGCGGACCCCATTTTAGATCCAAAAACTTGATTTTTTCTTTGTTTTTCCAAACTGATTTGGCCTGTTAGTAGCTTAAAATATTTTCATTACCACTGCCGAGGTTAATCATTTCAGTGCAAAAATAACAAAGGCAACTTTTGTGCGGATATAATTTTTTTTGCAAAAATGAGCATGCTATCTTTATCGCTCTGCCAAAACCTCAGCTCGAGTAACGGTCTTTCTCGTTTCCTTTCAGCAAAGTGTAAACGAGCCGAACATAAGAGACTTTTTTTGCGCTATCAGGCGGCTTACCTTTCGCTCGCACACCAATCCTGAGAAAACAGAAAGAGTAGGTGACGTTTGGAATAAATGAGGTAAGCTGCTGCACCGGCAGCGATCGACTTATTATTGAAGGGGAAAAAAAGCGATCTTTGTAAACCATGTTGAAATCATGAAGCTTGGGAAACTTAGTACCAAACTTTGACTCAACAAGTGGAGATTTAGTTGTTATTAAGAACAAGACATCGAATCGATATGATAAAGCACAGGCGAAAGGTCAAGTCGGTTGGCTGTCTATTCCCAGTGGGGATGTGCGAGATTTTGGAAAGGACAACACAAAATTAAAGTCGTCTCCAAATAATTTACCCTAAACTTTTGGAGCTAATTTAAGAAACAACATCCTTAAAAATCAATTTCTCCAAATTTCCTTTACTACTCGATCATAATCGATCTGACTGACTATTCATTATCGTCATCATCGTACTACAAATCGATCTCAAAATCTGTTTGGCGTTGACCTGCTGGTTGACCGCCTTGAACGGCGCCGTCTTTCAGGTGACCAGGAAAGTTCGCTGAGGGAAAGATGTTTATCATATCCAAAGCATAAAAAAGATAGCTTCGAATAGACTTGAAATCGGCGCATGTTTGAAACAAACCAAAATAGATATAAAATTGCCTTACCGTTGATCGCGACTTCTTTTTTTCTCTTTCTTGCTTTTACCCACTATCACCCTTACAAAAGTCGACCAGACACGACCTCGACAAAGATAACTACCAAGCAGGCTGACCACAAAACAACTTCCACGCGAATCAAACGTCAAATGCTACCATAACAGGACATTCGACAGAAAACCTGTCAAGCTGTCAAGCTGTGAAGTTGTCCTATAACTCGAAACACTTCCGGTCGGAAGTTTCGCCGGGAGACCTTTTGCGTCTGCAGAAATTTTTTTTGGGATCACTTTCTGAAGGAGCTTAGACACCGGGCTCAATCAGGTAACCAAGCCTTCTGATGATTTGTTAACAATTCTATACTCACCTCCCCCGACTGGTTGAAGTGCGATTGGATGGGGACAGGGAAGGGAACATTTTTGTTACTTGCGCGAGAAAAAACAAATGAGAAGTTATCTATTTACCCTATTTTTTTTTTAATTTTCGCGTGAAAGAATATTACCTTATCTCGCTGCGCTCCGTTCAAATACGAATCTTCTGCCTTTGGCTAAAATACGCTTTCTTCGTGAATTCTAAACTCTACTCACGGTCAAATGGAACCGAAGGGAATTTCAAACCTAGAAAATACTTGCTTCTGAATAGTGTCTTAGCTCTGCTCTCGGTGACGTTTTTCCGAAGGACTCGCTAGATTGCAGAACAATCGCAAGAAGTGCACCTCGTCGAGTACAGGTCTTGAAAATGTATTCAATGTTAAAAGAAATCCTAGCAGGCAAACAAAATTAACCTTTCGGTGAACTACGTAATTGAACCAAGTACTTTTTTTAACGGACCACAAATTCGTCGTAAGTGGGTGATCCGCTTATTTATTCTTGACATTAAGCTTATTTCGACTTAATAAAGCAATTGGTATCAATCATATGAAAATACGTATTTGACAACTTGATAATCTTGTTAGAACGTCATAGGAAGTTGTACCTTCAAAGAAGCTACGTGTAAAATCTGTAAGGCCTTTTCACTGTTTATAGCGGTAAATTTATATTCACCGTGGAAGCTTTGCACGTCTTAGTTATTTGCTTGATTATTTTTTGACGCCGTTGTGTTGAGCATCCATCTGAAGTGTGCGTGACTGAGTGTTCAGGGTGCAAAGAGTGAAAACGGTACGCAAACCTAATAATTTCGACCCCTCCACCCCTCCCTGCTCCACCCTCTACAAAAATGAGTAGTTTCTGGACCATATTGACTTGAAATTTTACACTTGGTAATTCCTAAATTGACTGATGCCTCACACAAGAGAAAATTATTTTCATATCATATCTGTGCACCACTGAGGCCTTTCATTAACAAAAGGGCTATTCTGGTATGTTCCAATAATGGCTCTGGGTCAGATGCGTTTGCAACAAAGGATGGAAAAAATGAATTATTATTATAATTATTAACATTATTATCATTGTTATTATTGTGTTACATACTCTTAACCAAATTTGAAACTTTACCACTCCCCTCCCCCAAAGCAGCTGCATGTAAACAATATAGGGCCTTTTTTAAAGTCCTCACAGTTTAATGCCTCAAGACTTGCTGGTTTGGCAGTCAGTGGAAAAGTAATGAAAGAAATACATTCAGTTGGATTTAAATGATTATAATTAAGATTTAAATATCAATTCCAACTGAGCAATGACTCACGATACAGAAAACAAGACATTGATTGCATCATATTAGGTGGCTTGATCCAAATGAGCCAAGAAAGCTTTTTTTTTGTTTTGTTTTGTACCTAATCATAAAAAAGCCCCATATTCTGTAATTATAAGTCATAAAGTGAAATTCAGTACTCTAACTATATTCAATAGACCTTACTGCATTTTTCAACACCACCTTAATGGGTTGGTGGGTAGGCATGACCTTGCAGTATTTGTACGAGAATCCAATGTCAAATAATCTTTGTGAATTATATTAGGTGGCTTGATGCAAATAAGCCAAGAAAGCATTTTTTTTTGTTTGGTACCTAATCATAAAAAGCCCCATATTCTGTAGTAGTAAGTCATGGAGTGAAATTCAGTACTCTAACTATATTCAATAGACCTTACTGCAGTTTTCAACACCACCTTGATGGGTTGGTGGGCAGGCTTGACCTTGCAGTATTTGTATAAGAATTCAATGTCAAATAATTTTCGTGAAAAATTCTGTTATGATAAAAATATCAGAAATATGGCAAACGTAAGCAACAGTTGTAAACGTTACAGGAAAAGGATTCTTCTGTAAAAGAATTTTCTTCTTGCAGACTAAAATTTCCTGAAAAAAAAACAGACAATGCAAGGGAAAATCTATCACAAACAACAAGGCAAATTAAAGGACAGGTACAGCCATAGCCACTATGAAGTAAGCATCCCTACCACTCCCAAAATGCATTATCAGTTGCCTCAGATGTCCAGGCAGTCCAGGCAGTCTAGGGAACAATTTAAACATTGACTCAGTTTGGTGTAATCAGATTAATTGTTGCTAAGTGCATTATTTCACGACAACGTACTTCAACAAGTTAGGTAAACGTATAGTATATACCACAAAAGCAAATTATTTCTGGTGTTATCGCTAATTGAGATATCAGATCAAGAAAGTATAAGGTTATTAATAAAGAGTTAAATTTTAGCTGTAAGCTTTTCGAGTTATTGATTTGACAATTTACTGTAAGTTGTAAAATTACAAAAGGAAACACTAAATTTAGGTTGTAAAACACTAAGAAACTTACTTACTTACCTTTCAGTCTCAAAAAGTTTTCCTCTTTACTGCGTTAAAAATTTGAGCTTGTGTTTACTACTCGCCGAAGTTCCTTGAATTCTCTAGTGTGACAAAAAAGGTCACGCAAGCAAGAAAAGGCTTGGGCACAAATTCAGTAGGCTTGGCTACTGAGTGGAGCCTGGTTTCTAAGCTCCTTCAGAAAGTGATCCCAAAAAAAAAATTTCTGCTTTCCGTCTCTTGTAGTTTTATTTTGCACATCATTGATTTCACTTTAAAAAAAAGCTTGTGAAGATATATCAGAAAATACATAACCAAGACAATCGAATTAAAAAACGGTATTTATTATTCCATTGGCATGACTACGTTATTTATTATTTCGAGGTTTCCAAACCCAATTATTCATTGTTTACTTTGAACTTACACCCGTTATCATTATTGATTATTCAGCTTCCACCCCCGATCATCGATCAATGTGTCCACGACGGTAGTTTTGCATGAATGGCATGGGTATTGTATCGATAACATTTATTCTAAAAGGCACCCCAAGTTCACAAATTTTGTGAACTGCTCGATAATGAGAGATTATTACACACTCAAATTTAATAGTTTCATTCTCTCTATAGAATTGCGTTCTTAAGTTTATCAGTAGGAAGTGTACTGCAAAAGTTTGTTATTTGTAAATTTAAGTCTAGATTTTGCGACATTCGTCGTATTCTCCTTGCAAACCTTTTTCTTACTCTTTGGAATAATATATGTGATTTCCACCAAATCTTCCATCCCTCCCTGCGTACAAATAGTTAGTCTTTCACCCCTCCCTCAGTAACAACAGTCTGCCTTGACCCCTCCCTAAGTATTGATAGACTGCATCCCACCCCTCCCTAAGTAAAAATGGTCTACTACCTTCCGATAAAATGGTCCAAGAAAAAAGTGGTTTAAAAATCAGTTTAAAAAATAAGGTCCATAAAATGGTTAAAAAAATGGTCTAAAAAAATAGTCCAAAAAGTAGGCCAATGGTCTAAGCGTCCAACGGTCCAGTTCATATTTTATCGTATGGTGCCCTCTCTGAGGTTATCAGCTACTGCGCTCAGAAAATGTATGACATAGTGCTTAAGACACGAAACCAAGTTCGTTTAATGCCTAATAAAGAGATATTCCATATATAATTACTGACCCTCATAAAATCCTATTGTTCTCTCTCAGCATTATATCGGCGATTTCAGTTGCATTGTTGGTGTACCAAAACATCAATATGAAGGGGCGACTGAAATCGTCGATGTAATGCAGAGAGAGAACAATAGGATTTTATGAGGGTCAATAATTATAATAGTTAATTACTGAGGTTCGCAGCATTATTGGGTATAATGCTGCGAACCTCAGTAATTATCTATTAACGAACGTCGTAACAGATCCGCACTTCGTAACCGATTCAACCGTTTGTAGACACTAAGTGGGACAAGTCTAAACGTAGAACTAGTTTAGCAAAGTATAACAGGCTCCTGCATGGACAAATGTAATCGTTTTTAAAAGGGACTAGCATCTAAGTTCACCTGAATCAAGCATCACGGTCATGAGAACAGAGGAAATACATACCAAATAAAGAACTTCTGGATTGTTCAACGAATTCTCCATGTCGCCATCATAGTAATCGTATGGAGAATATGCATACTGATGTTAAAATATAAATGGTTAATATTTTTTTTGCATGTGTAATGTACAGACTTTGAAAGCGGTGTGGAAACGCAAAATGTGGATCACCACCAAAGACAGAAAAGAAATGCTGCTCTAAGTCCAACGGCAGTAACTGTAACTTTACAAAAAATCCGCCAAGAAATAAATAACAAGTTCAGTGAAGTTTGTAAATCCTCAGACAGAATATGCCAGGCAGGACCCCCGGGACCGCCAGGAGCCCTTGGGTATCCCGGATATAAGGGAGAAAAAGGGGCCTCTGGAAAGGAAGGACCACCAGGCCCATCGGGGCCAATTGGGACTCCAGGCGTGGGTGGCAAAAGGGGACCTGTGGGACCTCCAGGAGTAAAGGGTGAAAAAGGGGACAAAGGGTCCGTTGGAGCTCCTGGAATTAGAGGAAAGACTGGAACGAAGGGTCCTCAAGGACAAAAAGGATCTCTTGGCTTAAAAGGGAACAAAGGCATCAGAGGATTGGTTGGTATTCAGGGACCAAAGGGAGAATGTGTTGTTCCACCGAAGATCATTGTGTATCCAGTATCTCATGAAGTCTTTATCAATGAGACAGCAATATTCTTCTGTTGGGTTCAAGGCCAGACGTCTTCCAAAATAACATGGCGTAAGCTTGGAGGTACTCCATCTGATGCTACCGTGGAAAATGGTGCGCTTCGAATCAACAGCGTACAGAGGTTACATGTGGGGTCGTATATGTGTTCAGCTAATACTGGTCTCGGAAGTCTAAGGGGTTTTAGCACTTTAAAAGTAAAAGGTATGAATATCAGCCCCTCATCTTTCTGATTTTTTATGATGTGTATCTCTAACAACATTGTAGACAGCCACTTGTCAATGAAATACACATTTTTGTCTTTCCACAGTGAGCCGGCGACATTGAGCGTGTTTAAATAGCAATTTTAATGCCTATTACGTTGGGGGAATTTATGTCAGCTTGATAATGTTAAAAAAAGTATGAGAGGTTTTAGTTGCATGTTCTTGCTATTTTAAACGCTAAAAATTTTCTCCAATGCTGACAGCTTCTATTGATCACATGATGTTGTTTATTACATGTCGGTTTTTTAATCGATTTTATTCCACCTTCAGAGCCACCAACATTTGTCAAGAAACTACCATCTTTAGTCATCGTAGATGAAGGCTCCGTTTTAAGTCTCTGTTGTGACGCTGTGGGCTCTCCGCCTCCCAAAGTCGAATGGTCACGCGCTGGTAACGTGCACTCCGCTGATACATCATTGGCTTTCCAGGAACGAGGCTGCCTCGAATTCAACACTGTTGAGTTCAACAGTCACGGGAAATATGTCTGCCGCGCAAGAAATCGCATCGGACTGGCAGAAACAACAACGTCAGTAGTTGTCAAAGTAAAAGGTGCTTTTTGATCAATAATATGATTTTCTATTATTCCAGCTACCATACAATAATTTCATTCTAGTCTGAGAGACCAATTCTGTCATGACAGTAACACCAGTAGCGCACTTAAATTGATCTCAACCGTCCAGAATTTCAAACATAGAAAAAACTATTGCATGGCTAAGCATCTCGAAGAATTTTTTTGAAAAAATCAAAGATTTATAAGTGCGGCGTTAAAACTGAGCGGGGACAAGTTTGTGACGATATCTTGCCCTCGAGACTCAAAGTAATACTTATGATAAATAGGTGGGTCAATAGCACCAGTAAACAAACAAACAAACTACATGCCCTAACTCCTGGCCTATCCCATGAGTAACTAGCCACTATCTTCGTCTAAATCGTCGAAATGTGAAAAATACTAAGTTGGAAACATGTTTCTTGATATCGCTCAGATTCCGGCCAGGGGTTATCTCATTACTAGTACCCAGACCACAGTATACAAAAATGGGCATCCAATAATTATTCACTGTTGGTGTGATTTAGGTTTTTCCTTAGTTTAGTTCTGTTCTGCGTGCTGTCTTGTTCTTACGTGTTCTTACGCCTCTTGTTCTAGACTCAGAACCACAACAATATCATTCGTAACTATTTCCTTCATTTTTTATGCAGTATTCATACCTGTTTTTTATCAATTTTCAGTTAATTCTTGTGAAGAAGTTTTAAAGAAAAATATGGAGAAACGTCCCGCAAGCTTCGAGCTTTTAGCGGCCAATTTGCGATACAATGTAAGTGTAGACCCCTCGTTTCTCTTCCAGAATAAATATGAATCGTTGCTTTATATTAGTTACTATCTCCTAGAGAAAACAATTTTTGTTGCTTTTTCTTTTCTTGGTTTGTTTGTTTGTTTGTTTTTTTGCTTTTGTTTTGTTTTCTTTCTCGCTGTTGTTGATTTTTTTCTGTTTGTGCTCTTCTCTTTTTCCCTCTACGGACGGGAGGTCTTTTTTTGCGAAATTAAGTGTTAAGTGTAGTTCGACTTTTCTTTCAGCCTTACTGACAGTCTAAACTCCAATAGAAAAGCTTTAATAGTCGCACAACTCAACGACTCCATATATTATAAAATATTTTTCCGTCGAGAACATTTCGCGGGATGCTATCAAATCCTCGCCAACGTATAACCAAAATGATCACTGCCCTCCTTTGGTTTTTATCTATTTGTAATGTACTTTTAGGTTTATTGTGATATCACAGCAAGTCCTGAAGGATGGACTCTTATCGCTCGATTCTCAAACAGCGATGGCAAGAATTGGATGCGTGACGATGGTAGATGGTGGTTTGACCAACAAGCTGCCAATGGAACAACAAATGACCCATCAGTGAACGCTGATATGATATCACCTGCCTTTTGGTTGGTCAGAGGAAGCGAATTTAAGATCACCCGCAGTGACGACCCCAGCCACACCCCTCTGTTACAAACCACAGGTGACTGTTTGGGTGGACAAACATTCCGATCTAAAATCACAAGTTATGGCGACTTTAGAAATGGCACGGTCTGGGCCAACGATCAGTGTCTGGGTAGTTGTACGGTTCAATATGGCGGACAGTACAAGTCAACAGACGGGTTTCAACAGGCTGAGTGCGGTGGAGACATCCAAAGTGCTAACAAGATTGGCTTCTGGTGTGACTGGATGAGTACTGGGGATGGAGCAGTGATGATGATTGGTGGAGGGGGAAGTAGCTGAGCACGTGCTGATCATGGGATTGGGATCACAGAAACTAACGAAGCTTCTTTTGTTGACCTGGGAAGCAGTGCTACTGAATATGACTTTGGTTATGATGCTCACACAAGTAACGCTCCAAACCAGTCTTACTCGTTGAATTTGTGGATCCGTTAGGAATTACAAGTTACTTCTTTTCCGCTGATAATTTTGCGCAAAACTGATGAACTTTGGGATACATAATAGCTCCAAAGGATATAAAAAGAAATACAGTAACTTTATTTAGTCCATGGTATAAAATCAGGATTGATAAAATAGTCAGAATGCAGTTAACATTTTTCAACAAACTGTAGCTAAAACAAATGTTAACATTCCTGAGAATATCAGTTAATACTTAAAAGTTCCCTGATTTCCATGAATGCCGTGCATAAAAGAGATTGTAGATTTTCTCCCACGAAGTTGCTGCAGCTGAATTTAGGAGTAGAGAGTTAATGCTTGCCGCTGCCTAACAGGCAGACTATTCCACAGCACTGAACCTCTAAAAATGAGGCAGTTTTTGACAAAATGTTCACGAGACACTACAGCAGCTAATTTGCCCACAGGGTTCCCCACAGAATGATTAGAGATTTCATTTTGCTAAGTAACCGTACAAAGACTGGGGGCAGGGCCAATCAGAGATTATAGACCATGGCCGCAATTTTGGAGTTTTTGCAGGTAATATGCAAGGCATTTGTTTCAATTTCCTCAAAACAATACCACAGTACCACAATAATAATTTTTCGATGGCGTAGTGAGAAGATGAAAGCTTTACAAATACAGCGTAAGGGCAAATTCTCGTCGGAAAGATAGCGATGCATGAAGGACAACTTCTCTTTCACATTTAACCGCAGAGATCTAATAAATGCAACCTGTTTTATAGAGGCATTATCAATAATAAGGGATTGAGTTGTACTCAACGTCCCTTACCTTTGCATTAACGCAATAAACATAAATTCTGTTTCACAAAATCGAATCAGTAATTTTTTGTCAAGAAGTTTTAAAGAAAAATATGGAGAGACATCCCGGAAGCTTCGAGCTTCTAGCTGGAAATTTACGATATAATGTAAGCGTAGACCCCTTATTTCTCTTTCAGAATAAATATAAATTATTGCTTTAGAGACGACCTCGAAGAAAAACCAATTTTTGCTCCTTTTTCTGTTCTTGGCTTGTTTTGTTGTTTGGTTTTGCTTCATTTTGGTTTTCTTTCTTGTTTGTTTGTTTTAGCTTTTTTGTTTTTTCTCTGTTTAAAAAGTAAGAAGAGTTAAGTGTAGTTCGACATTTCGTTCAGCCCTACTGACAGTCTAAACTCCAATTAAAAAAAAAAAAGCTTAATAGTCGCTATCTTGGCATCGCCAATGACTTCATAGATTATAAAATATTTTCCCTTGAGCACATTTCATGGGACATACCAGCGAGGAAGCACGCATTTTTCAATGGATCGCGCCTATTTACAGCTTCCTGTCAGAAATACATTCCAGATAGCAATTAAAAAATTACATATTTGAATAAAAGAGAGACTCTAAGTGAGAGAAAAACTTTTCTTGATGTGGCGAGGTGCCTTCTAACTTTCACTCTCACCACTCCTATCCCAGTGAGAGAGTTAAGAGTTAAGCCTCCCGGTGACTATTCGAATTCTTTATCGTATGGTTTTAAAGCTGTTGGAGTACTTCATATCTATCAAGGGATGCTATCAAATCCTCACCAACTTATAACCAAAATAATAAATGCCCTGCTTTGGATTGTAATATATTTGCAATGTCTTACTAGGTCTATTGTGATATCCCGGCAAGTCTTAAAGGATGGACTCTTATCGCTTGATTCTCAAACAGCGATGGCAAGAGTTGGATGCGCGACGATAGTAGATGGTGGTATGACCAACAAGCTGCCAATGGAAAAAGAAATGACCCATGAGTAAACGCTGATATGATATCACCTGCCTTTTGGTTGGTCAGAGGAAACGAGTTTAAGATCATGCGTAGTGACGACTCCATCCACACCCCTCTGTTACGGACCACAGGTAACTGTTTGGGTGGCCAAACATTCCGATCTAAGATCACAAACTGTGGGGATTTTAGAGATTTCAAAGTTTGGGCCAGTAATCAGTGTCTGAAGTTGTACGGTTCAGTATGGCGGACACAGAAGCTGCCGCTGCCTTTTTAGTTGAAGGTGGTGGTCAAACTGAATATGACTTTGGTTATGATGCCATGTCAAGTACCTGTCCATCCCAGTCCTACTCGTAAAACTTATGGCTCCGTCAAAAATTATAAGATCTCTCTTTTCCCAGCTCAGTTTAGAACTGAAGAACGTTGAAAAGGATGATGCTCACTTCTTGTCACCTTTTTATCTAAGTTTCATTATCATACGTACATGAAAACTTATATCTCCTCTGGAGTACAAGGGGGGAAGGGAGGGATTGGTTGGAACTCTCCCTTGTGTTTTATTTACATTGCAAAAATTTCAGGTTTTTACCTTAAATAGATAGCCTCCGTCTACGAGATGTGGTTAATATCAGAGGATACATATGCAAATTGGGCTGTTGAGATTCGGTGACGTCATCCGACGTGGCAGTCTTTTTAAGATTTTTATTTCCTTGTTTCACTATAATTGTTGGTTTTTCAAAAGAACAGTAGTTATCGAACTTGAAAGGAAAATGAAATTAAGACTAAGGGTTTCCTGTTTCACTTCGAAAATTAAAACCGTTAATTCTTTCATAGTTATATCGACCCTTAAACCACACCTCACTTGTCATTAATAAAATAACTCTCCCATATCTATCATATAATTTTCACCAGGTTCACAGCAAAATAAACAATCTTCTTGAATAAATTTGCCAAAAAAAAAAAAAAAGGGCGGAAGGGAGCACCCCTATCCCCAACTCCCCCCCCCCCCTTGTACGTCCGTGGGCTAATCAATGAGCATTTTCGATGGTCAGTAAATGTTGAGTTTGCGTCTCGTAGGTTAGCTAAAATGACTTCCTTTGCAGTCAAGTCGCACTGCTTTGAACTTATGGATTAGTTAAAATGATTTTCCGCTTTCACAATCATGATATTTATACCTCTTTTAACGGTTGTTTGAATGTATTAGACAATGTATCAGAGTTCATTCAGTGGGATCCTCATGGCGAGGAATTTCTCAACGTCTGAAACAAGAGTTTCCCATTTTAGACATGTCAACGGCTCATGCTTTTGAAAATAATTTCTTTTCAATTAAAAATGTCGGTTCCGGTATGCAAAACTACTAGATCATGAGTGTCCACGCGACAAGGCTTTAGGATAAAGAGACAACAAAACAGGAAACATCTGCATTTTAAACATAGGAAAAGTTAGATTGATACCTGCTGGTCGAATACTGCTCCTCGTCTGTTTGTTTTATAATAACATATATAAAACATCGGATATTAACAACGAAACGCACAATGCTACGTCTCTATAGCATTTTCTGCCGATAGATGAGCTTGTTTTAATTTTCATTTAAGGAGAAACGCCTTGCCTTGCCTCGTTCCATTGTTATAAACGGGTAATATCATTGTTTTAATAATATATTATACATATTATGTTTAATATCGTCGTTTTCTAAAATGATTTTAGAAAACAACGAGTAAATGTACTAGTTTTTGGCGTTAACTACCTCTAGAACTTGTTATTTGGAAGAAGAGAAATCAGAAAATCAACATGAAATATGTTCGGAATTGAGCCTGAATGTTTCTCGGGGGAAAAAAACCCATATGCCAAAGAATCACCTTTCAAAATTGTGAGCGTGGGTTGTTAACTGATCTATCCTGAGAGGCATAGACAATCACACTATAAATAATTTATCATGCTAAAAATGCCAAATGACATTAAAAATTCATTGCTTTGCGTCGCAGAAATGAGGGCAGTGGTCGTTGAATTAGGACCCAAATTCTTGATGTCCAGTCGCGCATCATACTAAAATCGTCAGCAGTGTTCGAATAGTCTGTCGCTGTACATATTTCAGTCTATGTGATGTATCTGAAAGGACAAGGCCTCACTTTCAGGGTGCTTTCCTTTGGTTTTGCTTCTGTTCTTTTGTTCACATGGTTTCATTGCCGGGCTGTTGCAGACGAAGGTGATGACCTTATTATTATGTTTTTAGCTATATCGTAAACTGGATATTTTTGCTGGAATAGCATTTAAAGCTTTCAGATTAACTATACTTTCAGTTCATTTTTGGTAATGTTATGCTGAAAGCTGCCATCTCCTTTGTATCACCATTGCATTCTCTTTCACCTTCTTCAGAAAGCAATGAAGATCAATTTTTTTCCGAGAATACCAGATTGCGAAAAAAAGTTTAAACCTGTGTCTTGGATGAAGTGTTTGAATTTGTTGCTAAGACACTCATCCATTCACTGTTGATCAAAATACTGCTGAGTCCTCTTACAATATGATTAACACTGAACTTTGGGGAAAGAGCAATGATATAAAAAATGTTTCTGAGGATAATGGTAAAATATGAGAGGAGAAAGAAAGAGAGGGAAAATAAGTAGAGGAGTATGAGGTTTGGATTATTCATGCATCTGTTTCAAAGTTGCATATTCTTGAAAAGTGCTGCAACTGCTTTTTTTCCCTACGAAAAAGAGACAGTAAGTTTGAAGGAAGTCAACGTATACTGAAAATTAAGTGAGGGGTATCTTAAGAACACGCCGTCATAATGTTGAAGAATTCATGACGATAAATTTGTTTCATCGATCCCTTTGCTGAATTTTCTCTTTGTTATATTGTTCTTATAAAGAGTATAAAAAATATATTTTCATGGAAACTTGCCAGCTTTAACCGGTTGATTTTCGGAAGTCACCTCTGATGTTAGGTGTTGCCAGTTTACGAATGCAAGATAGCGTAGAAAAACAGGCTTGGTGTGATGTAATTCGGCTGTCTTATATATAAGATATTGAATTTGAAATCTTACAAAAATATGGGAAAGGAAAAAATATCAATATACTTCTTACGGATCAATAATTCAAAGTTTTAAACAGGAGTAGGCTTCCTGTAAATGCTAATTAAATGATATAGGCAAATTTCAGTCTAGGTTTACATAAATTTACTGCAGGTTTTCAATTGATATGTGATCTGTTACCGAACACATTTAATAATCAGGCCGTAGAATTTTACCATATCGTTTTACACTTTGTCAAGTTCCTTTCAATTTGTTATAAAATTGCTTGATTCAAATGCCGGGGAACTGATCAGATTTCGGTGGCCTGGTGAAGATAGCATATAACTTCGTCCTCGAAATGCAGTTTGGACTCCTTGAACTTACAAGGAACTATTTCCATTTACTAATAAAAATACTGGTTGTTCTAACGCAGGCTTCTCATGGTACGTAAAGCGTTTTAGACTGACTCCTGATTAAATATCGTTCATGAGTACAATACTTTTAACTTATCATTTATCATTCCCTTCTTCATTTCTAGAAACAAAAGTCGTCGATATGCGAGGTAAACCTCTAAGCCGAGGCACAGGTGAAGGAATACCTTATGCCAACTTTAAGACACACAAGTTTTCCTACCTCAACATCACTACTATTGGCTCGGATTATGTTGGAAAGGGCAGCGAGTGTGGATTTGCTTGTGTCAACCTTCCGTCGTGTTTTTCGTTTAACCTGGCTGCATTTCATGATATGAATGGCAAAGTTCTGTGTGAATTACTTCCATCGGATTTGTACAACAACTCAGACAAGCTTGTCCCTAGTCAGAGTCACCATCACTATAGTATCGCAGTAAGTTGGAAAAGAAAAAACGTTCACTCTGTTTTTATAAAAGGAAAAGAGGAATTGCTGCAATTGCTAATGCCGGTTTTTACCTAAAAGCCTAAAAGCTAACTAGTCCAATCTGACAACAGTAACATTTAAGCCATGTGTTTTTCTTTTGAAGTTTCTTTATAGTGGAAGGAGGACAGTGTGGTTAATTGCAGAAAAAGGAAGAGGGGTTGTTTGAGCGGAAGACTTACAAAGAATTATTGGTATTAGCGGGGAAGGTTTAATTAGAGATACTGACTATTTGGAAACACGGTCCATGATTATATACAAAATGATTGGTGCCATATCTTTCTCGTTTCTTTCTCTTTGGTATATGTTTTCTTTAGTCTCCATGTTTTAAATGGCCTTGTCAGAACAATGGGAAATGTGCGGCACAGTACGAGAAGAACAGTTACGAGTGCGTTTGCGCGAAAGGATACACAGGGGAACATTGCGAAACGGGTGAGACATAATTTAGTGTACATTTACAACACTGCTTCAAACTTAACTGACGGCGTAATTCTCTTCTATTACCGGAAAATGACTCAAAGCTTTGCTGTTTACCACTTTCTTGTCCTCATCGAATAGTTCCAAATTCTCCCGTTAATTCACTCCTACCCAAGTTAATTTCGTTTAATGTTCAGATATGGACGAGTGCAGTGCTTCCATCTGGCCTTGTGACGTTAATGCAAACTGCCAGAACACCTATGGCTCCCACAAGTGTTCCTGTAAAAGTGGATTTTATGGAAATGGAAAAACATGTATACATAGCGGTAAACCCTGTTTGTTATTTGTTAGTCACACTACTTAGAGTCAGTTTATTAGTTAGGCTATAACTAATTCCTCTCCACCAGTTTTAATAACTTCACCTTTTTTTAAATAAGCTTGCGCTCACTGACCAAAAACAACATTTTCATACCGAAAGCTTTTGGCCTCTGGTGTAAGGCTTTCAAAGATTTATTTGACAAGGAGCTAGAAGATAAAGTAAGAGAAATGTATGGTTTATAAAACATAGGATTATTGCTTTGCAACAACTAACAACCATTATCTATTTCACATCTCCAAACTTTCTGGCCGATTATGGATATCAGGTGGTAAAACCGAGAAAGTGCCCCCCATTTTTTTATTACACAAGAAAGCGAGGCTCTGAAAATTGCAATCGGTGCCCTAAATCCGTGGTTATATCGATCTACCTCTGGCTCAAAAGTTGGTCTTCAAAGAGTGTCTTAATGTAGTGATGGTTTTTACGGCTAACGGTTAATATTTTTCATTATGGTCACCGCAAATTTTTTATTTTTTTATTTTTTTTTTTTTTTTACCACCGATAAAAACAGAAGAAGGGTGGGAACATTGCACAATTCGTTTCAAGTTAGAAAGAGAATACAGAGCTATCCTCTACAATATTCCCATCATATGCCAGAAAGACGTAGAAATAAAATTAAAATGTCCATGCACTATAATAATAATAATAATAATAATAATAATCAAAAAACAGAAAATATGAGAACTGTTTTTTCACTACAGGCTGGACTCTTATCGCTCGATTCTCAAACAGTGATGGCAAAAATTGGATGCGTGACGATGGTAGATGGTGGTATGACCAACAAATTGCCATTGGAGCGACAAACAACTCTTCAAAGAACGACGATATGATTTCAACAGCCTTTTGGTCGGTCAGCGGCAGAGAATTAAAAATCACGCGCAGTGACGACCCCAGCCACATCCCTCTGTTACAGACCACAGGTAACTGTTTGGGTGGACAAACATTTCGATCTAAAATCACAAGTTATGGCGACTTTAGAAATGGCACGGTCTGGGCCAGTGATCAGTGTCTGGGAAGTTGTCCAGTTCAATATGGCGGACAGTACAAGTCAACAGACGGGTTTCAACAAGCTAACTGCAGTGGAGATATCCAAAGCGCTAACAAGATCGGCTTCTGGTGTGACTGGAGTACTGGGGATGGAGCAGTGATGATGATTGGTGGGGGAGGGAGTGGCTGTGCACGTGCTGATCATGGGATTGGGATCACAGAAGCTAACGCTGCTTCTTTCGTTGAAGAAGGAGGTAGTGAAATTGAATATGACTTTGGTTACGATGCCTTGTCAAACACCCCTCCAAACCAGTCCTACTCGTTGAACTTATGGATTCGTTGAAAATTATACGATCTTTCTTTTTCAAACTAAGATTAGAACTGAAGAACGTTGAAAAGGATAATGCTCATTTCTTGTCAGTTTATTATCCTAGTTTCATTGTCAAACGTATATGAAAGCTTAAACCTTCACCGTTGTACAAGGGGGGGAGAGATGGATTGGTTGGAAGTCTCCCTTGTGTTTTATTTACCTTGCAATATTTTTCAAGGTTTTTACATTTAATAGATAGCCTTCGTCTACGAGATGCTGTTGATATCATGGGATACATATGCAAATCGCGCTGTTGTGATTCGGTGACGTCAACCAACATGGCAGACTTGTTTTAGATTTATCGTTTTTTATACTATAAATTTTGGCTTTTTAAAACAGCAGTAGCTTTCGAACTTGACAAAAAATAGAAAATAAGACTCAGAAAATAGTTTATAGGTTAACTGTATTTCACTTTAAAAATTAAAACCGTTAATTCTCTCGTTGTTTACATTAACCCTTAAACCACACTTTACTTGTTATGACGTAATATCTCTTCACCTTTTAAATATGACTTTGGTTATGATGCTCAAACACGTGACAATCAATCCCAGTCCTAGTCGTTGAACTTGTGGATCTGTTAAAAATTATCTGCTAAAAAGAACCGTGGAGAGGACGGTATTAATTATTTATTTTCACCCTGTGATCCAAGTTCTTTGAGCATTTAAAAATGGTCACTAACATCGCATCTTTTCCCTCTCAAAGTAAAGCTACGAAAGGGAAAAGATCTTAAGGTTTTCACATCTTTAGATCTTCATTGGCAACGAATTGCAATTAAGTTCTTTTTCCTAGAAAGTCATTTTCATTAGAATTGTTTTAACAGACTCATTACTAAACTTGTTGAGGAAATCTGAAGTATTTGTCATTGATTGTGTGGTGATCAATTGGTGAAACCTTATCATACACTTATTGTTTAATTGAATGAGCATAAAGAAATAAATAGGTAATTAGATAAACACATTGCTGTTTTGATAAACATCCGTGGTAAAAGATCCCTTATTCCGCCATAAAAATAAAAGGTCGAAGAGGTTGAGAGGATGAAGTCTTAGGTAAGAGATTACAAAAAGACATTTTCATTATAAATATCAGTTCTCCATTCCAAATCTTGTTCATTTTAATTTCATTTACCATGAAAAAAATATTCATTGTTAAACCTCAGTTCCAGGAGGGTCTGGTCCATTTTTTATAGTCTCACTAAAGAAACTTATCAATCTCCTCTTTAGTCCATCTAAGCTAGGCCCTTATAAATTGTGTTAGCCTATTTTTTGGCATAAAAAACGAGCATTGTTTTTGTTCTTTGTGTTAAAGTAACACTACAAGTCAGCATAATTTCACTGAGGTTTTTTGAAAGAAGAATTATCAGAGTCAGACGCGCGAGGTCTCTAAGACTGATTTTTTTCAAGCTCGGTCAATGGTTTAGTCTATTTTCAATTTTGCAATGACCTGGTGGAAGAAGATCTCCGCAAAACTGAGTCGTTTGTCGACTAAAGGACTGAGAACACCGGAAGTAAAGATTGTATCAGTCCCGGTTCCAGCTTTCACGGTGAAAAAAATAGCGTTTAAGGGAAACGTGAAACTAACATAATACATTTTGACATGTTAACTCGCCGCTTCTAGTCTAAAATGAAGTGCGGTAGTAATTGTGTTTTATCAGAGCAAGAGTCCAAACGTCCATGAGGTTAATAAAACAACTCCTTATGATTCCACATGAGAAATTGAAAATAAGAGAACACCTCAGGTGAAACCCACATTATGCAACTCTAGTCAATTTGAGGTCAATAGACAGATTTCCGGTCTCCAATCCTAGGCGTATTACGTTTACAAGTAACGCATTCGTGACAGAGGAATAAGATAAACAGGAAACTTTAGCCACTTCAGTCACACGGGGAGTGCAAATCTTCAGCGGAAGAAAACAAGTACGTCAGTTTTCTTACACGTTTATTATAAACGTTGTTCAGTAGAAGAGCCCGAAAGTCCCGAAAAGCTACAATGGACTCTACAGAGAGAGCTCACAGAAAAAGGACAAACGACGTCTTTCGAAAGAGTTCATCGGTTCTTTCTTTTATTTCAATTCTACTGATTGTTGCGCTGTTCATGAGGATGGAGATGATCAACAAGCGAACGCAAATCAATGAAGTGCGTATTTTAGCCGTTGAAAGTCGCATGAAGACGACAAATGAAGCAGACAAAAATGTCGAGGACAAGCTGAAAACGTTTACAGGTACATGCAAATACAAAACTATTTACTTTGATCCAAACGACGTTAATTTGAAGTATGATATGAATTAATTTAGCTTCTACAATTCGATTCCCTGGAGGGAAGAATAGGAAATGACGAAAATGGCAAAACCGCCTTAATTGACCTGGTGTTTATTTATGAGCTCCAAATGTTTGATGAGAACTGACCATGAACTTTTCGATTTGATGGAGATCGTGATAGGCTGTAGTCATGCGAAAAACCCATATCATTTTGGCAAGATGATTAGGTCAGTATTTGTTGTACAACGGGTTCATAATCTCAACCCACATACCTTAAGACTACAAAAACAATATGTCAACTTAAAAAACTAAAAGTGAAGTTCAAGTTGGCAAGATGTAACAGTTGCTTGTGATGCTTCTCTTTTTCATGTAAAGAAACGATATTAATATGACTTAAAATATAACATTGCATAACCTTTGACGGTTTATGCGGAAACATGACTTGATAAAATTATCTCAACTATCATTGAAATGGCAACGTTTTAATGGTCCTGTACGAAATATTCAGAGTGGATTGTTCTAATTGGTTATGAGCCGATGAAATAAGAAAATTAATTTAAAAAGGTATGATTAGGCTGCTTAATGTTGAACAAAGTTCGTTTAATGCTTAGATATATAATTTCCAAATCACACATCTTAAGGAACCAGTCATATTTTATCGTCTAGGGGGGGAGGGGGGAAGGTCGGAGGTTTCTGGTTGTGCCACAATAAATTTTTTTCGGGCTCTTTAGTATTTTAACTTTTTCCCTCATTCTTGGTTTTCACCCAAGTTACTTTTGTCATGACGGCGGCTGCTATCCGCCATGTTGGTGCTCAAGCAAATAGTTACAAATGCGCTTGTAGTTAGGTGAAAGTGATAAAGTAGAAATGATTCTTTGTGTAGTTTTCGGATGTGGCACCAGAACTGATCAGGACAAAGGAATTGGATTTCATCGAATACCATCAGTTGTTTAAAGTTAGTCTTCCTTCGAAGAAGAATTGAAAACAGAGAGGAGAGAGAACTGGATACAATCGATAAGTCGCGGCGACGCAAATTTCCCTTTCGTAAACGGTCGTTGCCATTTGAAACGGTCGCTGCCATTTCTCAGAACGGTCGTTGCCATTTGAAACGGTCGATGCCATTTCTAAAACTAGCCGAGCAGACGACAGCCCTCGTGAATAGCTCGTACGCTGTTGGCACGCTCGGACGTCACTTCCGGGCAGTGTTGTTTATAAGATGGCGGAGCAATCCACGTGCGCCAGAGTTTAGCCAGCTGAAACAGAAAGAACCCATTCTTCTTGTGCAGAAACAAAACAAAAATCAATTAAGAAGCCAACGGGGTGGAACTCCTTTATGCAGTCAGTTGCGGTGAGTTTGTTTTGTATTTCCCGAAATATTCAATCATTTTCAGCCTGGATAAAGTGCTTGTTCAAATAGTCTAAAACATGTTGTTTCCCTTACATCCTTTACATCCGATTACAAGTGATTAAGATTAAGTGATCAGAAATATCAGTGAAAAATAAACCGCATCTAAAATTTTCGTTTATGTCATTAACAAATATCTTATCTATAAGTGTTGCACTTGTATTCGTTATTCTTGTAGGCCTTGAAATTACATTCGATATAAGCTGATATAGTTTCCTCGTACTTTGTATCATTCCACAGCCAGATGTCAAGGAACAACTTGGAAAGGGGGCAGGAATCGGGCAGGTTTCCAAAGTGGTTGGCAATATGTGGAAGAAATTGCCGACAGACAGACGAAAGGTTCGTTATAAACTTCTAACATTGCGAATGTTTGTGTATTAACCCTGCCCCATTTCAGTGGACTGCTCTGTGGTTTACGTGGCTAACTTTGTAAGGACCGAGAGTGTAAATGTTCTCGTCAAACTTTCCAATTAAAAGTATTTTAGGTTATGAATGTTGATCTTGAATCAAGCTGGGACCTCAAGCTGAATGTCAATTTTGTAATATAATGTTCAGACTTGTTATTTTTCCAGACAGAACTCTTAAATATACCTAGGGGATAACAAGGCCCATTATAATGTACCAATTAATTTAACCTAAATTTTAATTAGAAATAACCTACATGTGGCGGATCCAGGTTTTGAGGAAAGGGGGGGGGGGGGCAAGGGGGTATTATCCTCAAAAAATTATGATAGAGGGTGAAAAAAACTGTCTTTGCAATCTAGTTTATATAAAAAAATAGGGGGGATCAAAAATACACGATTGTTCCCTAATATATTTCCCCCCTTTTAAAATAGCATGCTATGATCTTCATAGGACTGGAAAGATAAAGCACAGAGCTTGAGGGAAGACCTTGATATGGGAATAGCAGCGATAAAAAAATGTCCAACCTGCAGCACCCAGTTCACAAGGGAGAAGGACTTCAAATACCACCAGAAAGGTTGTCATGAGTGCATTTGCGAAGAATGCAATGAATCGTTTGATCATGAGCAAAAGCTAAAGAGGCGTAAAGACAAGAAACATAAAGACTTTTGCAGAGAAACGAAATCTTATAAAACACCAAAAGTAACATGTTTAATTAACCTATCCTGCATTTAGTGATTTTAACTGGAGATAATTTGAAAGGACTATTGGATCAATCTATAATACATAATTGTTTTTGTTTTTAAATTATTATTATCGATTTTTGAAATTAATTGTGGTCATTGCTGCAAATGTACATCATGTTACTGTTCAAACCAAATTTTAAATCATTACAATGTTGTGTTAGGCTTTAACAGGAAAGAATGAATTAACACTTATTTACAATTTCAAACCTTCAATCTTTTCAAAGTTTTACGTTTGTACAGCTTAATCTTCAGAAGATAGACCCCTCCCCACTTTTTGGGTGAAATAACTGGAGGCCCAGGCCTTAATTTACCTGAGTATTAGTTAGCGCCCCATGTGAATCAATGGCTGAACTTTGCTTATAATTTTCCTCAATCAGGATATCAGCAAACAAACCTTCATACCTACAAGGTTTCACTTGAACAAAAATATAATCAAATTATAAGTGTTTGAAATTGGCTAGAGTACTATACGGTTGTATGGCATCGTACCAATTATCTGAACCATGGAAGAATCCATAAGTTCTGGCACATGTACATCATCACTTCACTGAGATGCTGTTTATCACTTCATATTCGGATATCCATTGCTCCAGGTTTTCTTTCGTTATATCTTCGGTCAAAAAGTGCTCTTTGAATTTTTCTCCATTTCCTGAAATTGCCTTCAGGTAGTAAAATGAATCATCTGGAAGCGAAGCCAGAAAACTCTCCTTTGTAATTTGGGTCGATTCAAAAGATTTTCTTTTCGATTCGACTTCTTTTATAGCTGAAGATATTAGATCTTTGAGAAAATTGTCGGGTTTGTCCGTCATTTTGATTTGATAAAAATCGCGATGGTCTGTGGGAAAGCTAGTCACGCATTGCTCTGATTGTCACGCATGTCGTCGGAGAAAGTCGGAAATATCGGTTCCTTCTTGGCATCGACCGTCATGAGAAATGGCATCAACCGTTTTCAATGGCAACGACCGTTCCGAGAAATGGCATCGACCGTTTCAAATGGCAACGACCGTTCTTAGAAATGGCATCGACCGTTTCAAATGGCAACGACCGTTTACGAAAGGGAAATTTGCCGCGGCGACACGAGATAAGAAAAAAGGTAAAGACAGACCGGCACGGACTCCCTAGGTGGCTTTCGAGGTTGCGTCGCATTATCTCCTTCAAATTATATTTTTGCTCTAACAAGCATGTCTTAAAGGAATTTGCCTTTGGTAAGAGATGATCGTAAAATTTGTTTACAGCAAGGGCGTATTGTGTATCAGACTCAAATGCTCCATCAATATTTGTTTTTATTTTCAACTGCCGGGTGGTACGTTATGACAAAAGGCAATAAACGTTCGTGACCTTTCGGCTTTTGTGTATGTTTAAGGGCCGATTGTCAAGAGGCAAAGTTGATACCTGACAGAGACCTTTCTATAATGTTTTCTGGGTACCCTCTTGCTTTGAGGCGTTGTTTGAATTTCAAACGGCCCTCTTCAAATGTTTTTTCGAAGAGGTAGTTCTCAGCAATCTTATTGCTTCGCCTTTAATGAAATCATGTTTTACGCCTAGTGGGTGGCACGAGGCGAAGTACGTAAATTGGAATTAAGGTCTCGGTCGGCTTGTAATGGGTTTTGATGTCCAAGATGGAATCTTTTGAAAATCTTTTCCCTTTAAACACTGTGGTATCGAGAAAAGTGATTTGGTTCTCTGATATTTCGGCCGTGAATTTGATATTATGGTCGAAATAGTTGGCTCGTTTAATAAACCGATCCAGCACTTTTCTGTCGCAATCCATAAGGGAGAAAATGTCATCGATGTAACGTTTCCATTCTCTTGGCTTGATTTTACCTTGTTGAATTAATTCGTTTCAATTTCCGCCATGAAAATATTGGTAAATGACACTGCCATTTTCGTACCCTTAGTGGTTCCAGGTGTTTGGAGGAAGTTCTCCTCATTGAATTACAACGAATTTTCTTTAAGGATTAAACCAAGCATTTCCCCTAAGTAGTGCGTTCGGATCGTGCGTTATGATTGTGGAACATTTCCTGTGTTTCAAATACTATATTCGTTCATTCTTCTTGACGTATATTTGTGTATCCCTTTCTGCGATAATCCAAATGCCTTCAAGAGGATCGTTCATCCGCTGCGAATGTCTCACCTTCGCTAAAACAACAATCTTGTTTACAATCTCTGCTCCTTGAACTGATGTTACGAAGCCAGACACTATTTGGTTGTACGCTTCAAGACTTTTGAATGTTTTAAATTGCTTATTTGTCAAGAATAACTTGTCTCCAGAACAAAATAAGAAAGAAGGTGCGAGACTTCTATCGAGGGCAGACATTCTGCTTGGAATGGCTACTGGATCGATACCAATCACAAAAAATTTTCTTAAGTTATCGCTCTGGAACGTGGCTTTCTAGGCCCTCCGCATAGTTCGAAAGCACAGGTATTCTAAGGAGAATATTCTCTTGTGATTCTAGATTTTTTTCACCAGAAATATTCATAAAACAAAGTATTTGAAAGAGGGCACTGTAAAGATGGCAATATATTTGCACACCTGAGATGGGCACCAACATGGCGGACGCTTAATTTGCATAGATGTATGACCGTCAATTCTTTACAGCCCCTCTTTACATTCTGTTTGTGATCCTCCCCTCTGTTCCCGATGAAAACCACGTGATCCCCACAAAATCCCCCGATCCCAACCCCTGGCGACCGATAATGACTGGCCAAGATATTTGTTCTTTGTGACTTACCAAATGGTCTTTTGCATTAAAGACGATGATGTTTAATGCAGAATTAAATTGTTTTAAAAGAAATAGTGAAGCTCCCGCACCCCAGGATAAATATGTTTTTTTTCCAAAAATATTTAAAAGCCTTGACCATTTTTTTTCCACTTGTTTCACACAAAGATCTCGAAAGTGTTATGAGAAAACGTCCAGCGGATCATCGCAAAAGAGAGAAAAGAAATATTGCTCCAAATCCAACGGCAGGAACTGTAACTTTACAACAAATCCGCCAAGAAATAAACAACAAGTTCATTGATGTTTGTAACTCCTCAGACAGAATATGCCAGGCAGGACCTCCGGGACCGCCAGGAGCCCTTGGGTATCCCGGATATAAGGGAGAAAAGGGGGCCTCTGGAAAGGTAGGACCACCAGGCCCATCGGGGCCTATTGGGGCTCCAGGCGTGGGTGGCAAAAGAGGACCTGTGGGACCTCAAGGAGTAAAGGGCGACAAAGGCGACAAAGGGTCTGTTGGAGCTCCTGGAATTAAAGGAGATATTGGAGCGAAGGGTCGTCACGGACAAAAAGGATCTATTGGCTTAAAAGGGAACAAAGGTATCAGAGGATTGGTTGGTATTCAGGGACCAAAGGGAGAATGTGTTGTTCCACCGAAGATCATTGTGTATCCAGTATCTCAGGAAGTCTTTATCAACGAGACGGCAATATTCTTCTGTTGGGTTCAAGGCCAGACGTCGTCCAAAATAACATGGAGTAAGCTTGGAGGTACTCTATCTGATGCTACCGTGAAAGACGGTGCGCTTCGAATCAACAGCGTTCAAAGGTCACATGTGGGGTCGTATATGTGTGCAGCTCATACCGGTCTAGGAATTTTCAGAATCGCAGGCAGTTTACTCGTAAAAGGTAGGATCTTTAACTTTAAATACTTTCCAACCTTGCATTCGAAAATTGAAGGAGTCAGCGTCTGCTACTCTCAAGTCATGTGTCATAGCCTGAGTCACTTTTCCTGACGCGCAAGACAAAGAATAAAACTGAAGGGAATGTAAAAACCTACGCAAACTGCATATATCTGAGATTATTCGTGGTCTCCTATTTTGTTTGTTAACTCGATGATCTTCTTTTTGTTTAGAGATACCACAGTTCACTAACAAACCTCCACCGAAGGTCGTTGTAGAACAAGCAACAACTGTCAGCCTCTGCTGCGTGGCCACAGGTTCCCCTCGTCCTAAAGTTGAATGGACTAGACATCAAAGGTCCACTTTGTTCTCTCCGTTTTTCCAGGAAGACGGATGTCTCGCAGTAAATACTGCAAAAGCACATGGTGAAGAAGACTACATCTGTCGAGCCACAAACAGCTTTGGGTTAACGGAAACAGTAACCACGGTGATTGCTACGAAATTAATGGGTATTATAACAGTTATTACTTTTCAACTGTACATCCAAAACACATTTCCTCTCTACGTTTTTTTTATTACAAACTAGACAAGAAAATGTTTGGCAAAAGTCTTAAAATGATAAGCACAGTATTTTTAATTTTAATCGAAAAACGCAAGCTCTTTAAAAATGTATTTAAACAGTTTGACTTGAAAGTTCTTGAAGTTTTATGTTTCGTCTTTAGATAGTTCTTGTGACCTAGTTCAGCATGGACCTTCTCGCAAAACTGATGGGATGTACTACCTACGAGCTAAAAACACTCAACCAGCCTTTCCTGTAAGTCTGAACCGTATTAAATATAGTACGTATTCCTCTCTCAAAATAACGGCAATGCAGTCGAGGCAGTCAGCAAACTTGATTAGAAAAGATAAATCTTCAAATGAAATAACGGTTCAAGGCTGTATTCATGCAATAACTGGAAACTTCCAAGTAAGAACTATGATGCAAAGAGAGTGGAGACCGTTTTCTAAGAATGCTTTACGCATTTCGCTGACATGGCTAAAAAAGGTTTCTCTCGCATGGTCAGATTTTCATCTAACCTGGTTTCTCTTTGGCACTTTGAAGGACATCGTAGGCGTCTTGATGTTGGCTAATGTTGAATTATCTTACGCCTGGCCGTTACATATCAACCCTTTTTAACAAATTATTTTGCAACAACAACAAACACGAACACGAACATAAAAAGGTCAAAAGTTAACCAATGAAGCACAATGTGAACTCTTCCTCTTGTTTTCACGGACCCTCTCGCGAAACTGCCGTGATGTACCACGTATGCGATAAAAACACTCAACTAGCCTTTCCTGTAAGTCTAAACCGAAGAAAAATGTCATATATATTCTTCCCCTAAATAACGGCAATGCAGCCATGCCGGTCAGCAACCTTGATAAGAATAGTTAAATCTCCAACTAAAATAAAGATTCAAGGCTGCATTCACGCAACAACTGGAAACTTTCAGACGAGAACTATGATGCAAAGAGACAGAGAGCAACAGAGACTCTATGGTGAGTAAGGCCCATTACGAAGTTCAATGACATGTTAAAAAACATGACACTCAGACATTGATGACCCTAGAGGTCTGCAGAACGCATGTCATACAGGAACTTCTTAATAGGCCTTGCTAATCATAGTGTCTCTGGTTGAGCATAGGAGCGCGGGATCCGAACGTCTGAGGTTCGATTCCTCATGGGAACTCAGAAATTATCTTTTCCCACGCTTGTGACAAGACGAAAAAAGATGTTTCTCTATTTCTTCACCGAGCTCAAGACTTACCATCTTTTTTAATGTTCTTATAACAAAATATTTAAATTGTTAAAATATATATTTCTAAGACATGAAACAATGCATTTTTTCACGGTTCGGTATCAGTGCTCAACACTCATTTTTTTTTTTTTTTTTTTTTTTTACTGCAGGTCTACTGCGAATTGACAACAGACGGTAGAGGCTGGACTCTTATTGCCCGCTTTTCAAATAATGACGTCAAGAACTGGATGGCTGACACTGGCCATTGGTGGTACGACCGTCAAGTTGCCACTGGAAAGACAGAGAGTCCCTTTATAAACACTGACATGATCTCACCAGCATTTTGGTTGGTCAGAGGAAGCGAAATTAAGATCACGCGCAGTGACGACCCCAGTCACACTCCTCTGTTACAGACCACAGGTAACTGTTTGGGTGGATATACATTCCGATCTAAAATCACAAGTTATGGCGACTTTAGAAATGGCAAGGTCTGGGCCACTGATCAGTGTCTGGGAAGTTGTCCAGTTCAATATGGCGGACAGTACAAGTCAACAGACGGGTTTCAACAAGCTGATTGCAAAGGAAACATCCAAAGCGCTAACAAGATCGGCTTCTGGTGTGACTGGAGTGGTGGGGATGGATCAGTGATGATGATTGGAGGAGGAGGAGGTAGCTGTGCACGTGCTGATCATGGGATTGGGATCACAGAAGCTGGCGCTGCTTCTTTCGTTGAAGATGGTGGTCATGAAACTGAATATGACTTTGGTTATGATGGTTTAACAAATAAAGTTCCATCTCAATCCTACTCGTTGAACTTATGGATCCGTTAAAACATTATAAGATCTTTCTTTTACAAACTTGGTTCAGAACTGAAGATCGCTGAAAAGAAAGATGTTGCTTATTTCTTGTCACCTTATTATTCAAGTTTAATTTTCAAAACGTAAATAAAAACTTATACCCTCACCCTTGGAACCCTGCCATCCGTCTTCGTTACGTTGCAATATTTTGAAAAGTTTTTACCTTTAATAGATAGCCTTATGTCGTCCACAAGATCTTGTTAATATCATGGGATACCTATGCAAATTTCGCTGCTGGGACGAGGTGACGTCATCCGACATGGCAGACTTTTTTCAGATTTTTCCCTTTTTTTGGCCATAAGTTTGGCTTTTCAAAAGAACAGTAGTTATCGAAGCTGACAGTAAAATAGAAAATAAGACTCAGGGATTGCTGTGTTTCACCTTGAAAATTGGAATCGTTCATTCCTTCGTAGCTCATATATCAACCCTTAAACCACACCTCAATTGTCAGCAATAAAACCTTAACCCTAAGCAAATATGTGTCCATAATATACAAAATGCTACAGAAGTGGACATTTGCCGTGGGTTTATCAATGAGCGTTTTAAATGGTCAGTAAATGTTCTGTTTTCGCCTCGTAACAAAGTTAAACTAACTTGATTTTGCACTGCTTTGAAATTTTGGATTCGTTCACGGTTACTTTGTTATTCACGTTCAAGCGACGAAAGTGGTAGTCAAAAAGTCACCTTAGCATTAGGTGATCAATTTTGCAAACGTCCATATTCCATTTAGCTTATAATCCTTAGGCTTATCGGGTTTTAGGGAGAGTTTTAATGGAAGTGAGCTAATCGTTTAAAATCTCCTAAATGAAGTGAGGTTCAGACATAATTTTAACTAGAAAGAGCTGGTGACGTCAGAAGTTGCGTACTTTTGATTCAATTCCTGCTTCAAAGTCGAGTACATTGAGATGTCATTTTGCTGAATAAAAACTTTTTTATTTGGTTTCGACAACTTTCTACAACATGTCTCAATTATGCTTTTAAAAGATAGCTAGCTAGTAGTTTAGATGATACATCTATGATTCGTTTTTAAAAGAAATCAATTGAGAATTCTGCATTATGTTTTCAGGCCAGGCTTGGCCTGGCCCCTATATTGTATTTTTTTGTTTGTAGCGCGTTGTGAAAAAAGTACAATATCTGCGTCATCTATTTGTCTTCCAAAAAGTAAGTTGAGAACTATATTGCTAGTATTTAGAGTAAACCAATCACGATGTGAACAAAAAATAAATCTTTATGCTTGATTTAAAATAATGTTCGGGTATAACGCGCGCTGTCATTGGTTGAAAGAGCGTGCTCTATGAGGGTATAGAGTATAGAGCTGAGCTAAAGCTGTCACACCACCTGCCAAATTGTACTATGTTCGACCTTTTCCAGGACTTCTTTTTAGCTTTTTTTCGATAATTGAGAGTGAAATTTCGGAACAAGTGAGCCGCAACAGAAGAACCAAACAAAGGTTTGTAAACATACTAGCCGCTGTAATTTACTTTACTAAAACGTGAGCAGAACGAAAATCCTCAAAGGAAAAACAAAATAGACATTCCGAGTTTTAAAGATTTTCACGCTCAGTTAGATTGCAAGCTTAAGTACGGTAATAAAAATCAAACACACCTAACACTCGTATAGTATATAAAATTCAGTGTTCAAAAACAAAACAGAAATGATGAAAAATCAATCAAACTGGCATGTCAGAGCGAATATGATCATGCTGAAGTCCATCGCGGCTCGCTCATCATGGCAATCTCCAGTTATCGTAGTAAAGCAAGCTTCAGAAAATGCATCGGCTGCTCCTCGAATGAAAAAATAAAAGCTTGCTCTAATATCCTTTCCGATGCGTTGAGAGGAAAGTCTCATCAGTCATCACTGCAGCCGAGTTTTGCGGCGCTGTCATCCCGAGTGATCTTCAGGTTCCGGTGAATTTGGCTGTCGTTCATTCATAAAACACTTGCCTAGAACAGTTTGTTTTCTACCTTGTCATGTGAAAAAACTCGCGTGTTTTTATGAGCCATAATTCGGCTGAAGTTCACTAAACATTTCACTATAAGATTCTGTACTATAGACTTAGATAATTAACATGAAAGATGTTCGGAATTGCGCCTGAATGTTTCTCGAACGAAAAAAAAAACATATGCCAAACGATCACATTTCAAACTCGTGAGCATGGGTTGTTAACTGATCTATCCTAAGCGGCATAAACAATCACGCTTTCAATAATTTATTATCCAAAAACAGCCAAATAACATTAAAAATTTACTGCTTTACGTTGCAGAAACAAACGACGGCAGTGGTTTTCCAATGGTCGTTGAAGTAGGACCCACAACCTTGATGTCCAGTTGCGCAACATCCTAAAATCGTCAGCAGTGTACGAAAAGTCTGTTGCTGTGTATATTTCAGTTGTATATGATGTATTTTCAAAATCAACGCTTCATTTTCACGGTGCTTCCCTTTGGTTTCGCGTCTCTTCTTTTGTTCTCATGGTTTCATTGCCGGGCTGTAGCAGACGAAGGTGATATAATTATGATTATGTTACTAGCAATACAGTAAACTATATATTTTTGCTGGAATACCATTCAAAGCTTTCAGATGAACTATATTTTCGGTTCATTTTTGCTAATGTTAAAATTGTTACCAAAACACACATTAACTGTTCATCACAATACAGCAGAGTCCTATCATGAGATGGTTAACAACTTTATGGAGAGAGCATTGATATAGATGATGTTTCTGAGAATAACAGAAAATATAAGAGGAGGAAGAAAGGAAAGGAAAAATAGGTAGAGGAGTCTGAGTGAAATCTTTGATTCTCAATGCATCTGTTTCAAAGTTGCATGTTCTTGAAAAGTGCTGCAACTGTTTCGTCCCGACAAAGAGGCAGTAAGTTTGAAAGAAATCAACTTCTACTGAAAATTAAGAGAGAAGCATCTTAAGAACTCTCATAATGTTGAAGAATTCATGACCATAAATTTGTTTCATTGATCCCTTTGCTGAATTTTCTTATTGTTATTGTTCTCATAAAGAGTATAAGAAATATCTTTTCGTGAAAACTTGCCAGCTCTAACTGGTTCCTTTTCGGAAGTCACGTCTGATGTTAGATGTTGTCAGTTTACAAATGCAAGATAGCAGAGAAAAACAGGCTTGGTGTAATATAAAGAGGGTAATTCTCTAAAGAAACTGTGGTGCTGCGTCGGTTAGAGAGTATAACAGGGTAATTTAGTGTTATCAACTGAGTTGAAAACGTAAATTGGCCACCGTTAAGAGTTTAAAGACTGCCGTTTCGAGCGTCAGCCCTTCGTCAGAGCGATGGACGAGGGGCGCTCAAAAAGGGCTAACGCTCGAAACGTCAGCCTTTAAACTCTTTACGGTGGCCAATTGACGTTTTCAAATCAGTCGATAACACTAAACTATCTTGGTGTAATATAATGCGACTGTTTTAGATACTTTGATAAGATATCGAAATTTAAACACCTAAAAACTATGTGAAGGAGATAAAAAATTAATATACTTCTTACTGATCAATAATTCAAAGTTTTCAGTGAGGCTTCCTGTATGTGCAAGACGAATTTCAGTCTAAATATATATAACTATACAACAGGTTATCAATTGATATGTGATCTGTGACAACAAATAATAAAAAGCCTTTAGAATTTTAACATATCGTTTTACGCTTATGCAAGTTCTTTAGAGTTTGTTATAAAATTTTTTAATTCAAATGCCGGGAAACTGATCAGATCTCGGTGGCCTGATGAAGGTAGCATTTTTAATTCGACTTCAAAATGTAGTTTGGACTCCATGAACTTTCAAGGAACTCGTTCCATGCACTAGTGAAAATAGTTCTTTTACCGCATACTTCTCATGGTACGTAAAGCGTTTTAGACTGAATACTGATTAAAAATATTAATATACCTCTTACTAATCAATAATTCAAAGTTTTCAACAAGAGAAGACCTCCTGTATATGCTAATTAAATAATATAAACAAATTTCAGTCTAGGTGTACATAAATTTACGACAAAAAAATGATATTTAGCCCTTAGAATTTTACGATTTGTTTTACACTTTGGCAAGTTCATTTCAATTTGCTATAAAATTGCTTCATTCAAATACCAGGGAACTAATGAAATTTCAGTGGCCTGGTGAAAAACACTTACAACTTCGACTTTAAAATGCAGTTTGGACTCCTCGAACTTTCAAGGAACCATTTCCATGTACTAGTGAAACAGTTTTTCTACCGCAGGCTTCTCATGGTACGTAAAGCGTTTTAGACTGACTCCTGATTAAAAATGTTAATATACTTCGGACTGATCAATAATTCAGAGTTTTCAACAAGAGTAGGCATCCTGTCTATGCTCATCAAGAAAATTGACCGAAAGCATTGCGTAAACGTGATCGGTCGTAACACTTGCGCGCTTGCGTGGCTTACAAAGTAAACGAAAGTGATCGGAAGGCGCCTTCTCGATAATTTTCTTTGAAATACAGGTCATAAACTACGCACAGTGTGGAGAAGATCAAAATTGGCAAGTTCCTTTCAATTTGTTATAAAATTATTTAATTCAAATTCATGGCTAGACCACCCGTGTGGACAGCGATCGAAAGTGTAAATTTCAGTTAGTTCACAGACAAAAAATTAATATGGAAACTTCAGCTGAAATATCTTTCACACCAGCGTGATCCGAAGACACCCTTCTCCTCCGATCAAAAATCATTTTTGCATGTGGTGACGCAAAAAAGAGAATTGGAGAAGAACTAAACTGTTTTTTCATTACATGTGTCCTAAACCCTATTCATGGGCAAAAAATAAACGAAACTTTTTTTTAATTGACGGGAAGTCGAAACTACCGCTCTTAGCGAGAGCGGCAGTGAAATGATATAGAAAAATTTCAGTCTAGGTATACTTAGATTTACGACAGGTTTTCAATTGATATCTGATCTTTTACCAAACAAATAATAATTAGCCCTTAGAATTTTACCACATCGTTTTACACTTTGGCAAGTTCATCTCAATTTGTTATAAAATTGCCTAATTCAAATGTCAAGGAACTGATCAAATTCGGTGACGAGGGGAAGATAGCATATAACTTCGACTTTGAAATGTAGTTTGGACTCCTTGAACTTTCAAGGAACTATTTTCACGTACTCGTGAAATAGTTTTTCTACAGCATGCTTCTCATGGCACGTAAAGCGTTTAAGACTGACTCCTGATTAAATATCCTGCATGAGCAAAATACTTTAACCCTTTAACTTCCATGTGCATGTGACCAAGACAGAATTTCTCTTTACAATATCAATGCAATGTCAAGCAGAAAAGTGATGAGAATAAAGAAAAATATCAATTAGGGGATTATAGATTGATCCAATACCAAATTCTCCAAACTAACATCACAAAAACTGTATGGCAAACAGTACGAAGAATTACTAATAAGATTGTGGGAGTTAAAGGTTAAGTAATCATTTACCATTCCTTTCTTCATTTCTAGAAACAAAAGTCGTCGATGTGCGGGGTAAACCTCTCAGCCGAGGTACAGCTGAAGGAATAGCTTATGCCAAATTTAAGGCCCACAAGTTTTCCTACCTCAACGTCACTGCTATTGGCTCGGATTATGTTGGAAAGGGCAGCGAGTGTGGATTTGCTTGTGTCAACATTCCGTCGTGTTTTTCGTTTAACCTGGCTGCATTTCACGATATGCATGACAAAGTTCTGTGTGAATTACTTCTATCGGATATGTACAACAACTCAGACAAGCTTGTCCCAAGTCAGAGGCACCATCACTACAGCATCGCAGTAAGTTGGAAATGAAAAAAATTTCACTCTCTTTTTGTGAAAGGAAATGAGAGGAATTACAGACAACTGCTTATAGCGGTTTTTTTATTATTTTTTTAATAATACGCCTAAACGCTAACTGGTTCAATCTGGCATCGGTATAATTTAGGCCATGTGTTTTTCTTTTGAAGTTTCTTCTTAGTGGAAGGAGGACACTGTGGTTAATTGCAGAAGTAAGTAGAGAGGTTATCTGACCGGAAGACTTACAAAGAAATTTTATTATTAGCGGGGAAAGTTTACTTAAAGATACTGACTCTATTTGAAAAAATAGAAAATATAAAATGATTGGCGACTTGTGTTGGGCGACCGAATGCCACATCTTTCTCGTTTCTTTCTCATTGTTATACGTTTTCTTTAGTCTACATGTTTCAAACGGCCTTGTCAGAACAATGGGAAATGTATGGCACTGTACGAGAAGAACAGTTACGAGTGCGTTTGCGCGAAAGGATACACAGGGATGCATTGTGAAACGGGTGAGATACAATTTAGTGTACATTTACAAGACTGCTTCAAACTTAACTGAAGGTGTAATTCTGTGAGAATGACTCAAAGCTTAGTTGTTTACCGCTTTCTTGTTGTTATCGAATATTTCCAAATTGTGCCGTTAATTCACTTCCGAGTTAATTTCTTTTAATGTTCAGATATTGACGAGTGCAGTGCTTCCATCTGGCCCTGTGACGTCAATGCAAACTGCCAGAACACCTATGGCTCCCACAAGTGTTCCTGTAAAAGTGGATTTTATGGAAATGGAAAAACATGTATACATAGCGGTAAACCCTGTTTGTTATTTGTTAGTCACACTACTTAGAGTCAGTTTATTAGTTAGGCTATAACTAATTCCTCTCCACCAGTTTTGATAACTTCATCTTTTTTTAAATAAGCTTGCGCTCACTGACCAAAAACAACATTTTCATACCGAAAGCTTTTGGCCTCTGGTGTAAGGCTTTCAAAGATTTATTTGACAAGGAGCTAGAAGATAAAGTAAAAGAAAATGTACGGTTTATAAAACATAGGATTATTGCTTTGTAACAGCTAAGAACCATTATCTTATTTTACATTTCCAAACTTTCTGGCCGATTGTGGATATCAGGTGGTAAAACCGAGAAAGTGCCCCCCGCCCGCATTTTTTCCTATTAGACTAGAAAGCGAGGCTCTGAAAATTGCAATCGGTGCCCTAAATTCGTAGTTATATCGATCTACCTCTGGCTCAAAAGTTGGTCTTTAAAGAGTGTCTGAATTTAGTGATGGTTTTTACGGCTAACGGTTAATATTTTTCATTATGGTCACCGCAAATTTTTTTATTTTTTTTATTATTTTTTTTTTTTACCACCGATAAAAACAGAAGAAGGGTGGGAACATTGCACAATTCGTTTCAAGTTAGAAAGAGAATACAGAGCTATCCTCTACAATATTCCCATCATATGCCAGAAAGACGTAGAAATAAAATTAAAATGTCCATGCACTATAATAATAATAATAATAATAATAATAATAATAATAATAATAAAAATCAAAAAACAGAAAATATGAGAACTGTTTTTTCACTACAGGCTGGACTCTTATCGCTCGATTCTCAAACAGCGATGGCAAAAATTGGATGCGTGACGATGGTAGATGGTGGTATGACCAACAAATTGCCATTGGAGCGACAAACAACTCTTCAAAGAACGACGATATGATTTCAACAGCCTTTTGGTCGGTCAGCGGCAGAGAAATAAAAATCACGCGCAGTGACGACCCCAGCCACATCCCTCTGTTACAGACCACAGGTAACTGTTTGGGTGGACAAACATTTCGATCTAAAATCACAAGTTATGGCGACTTTAGAAATGGCAAGGTCTGGGCCAGGGATCAGTGTCTGGGAAATTGTACGGTTCAATATGGCGGACTGTACAAGTCAACAGACGGGTTTCAACAAGCTGACTGCAATGAAGACATCCAAAGCGCTGACAAGATCAGCTTCTGGTGTGACTGGGCTGGGGATGGAGCAGTGATGATGATTGGTGGAGGAGGAAGTAGCTGTGCACGTGCTGATCATGGGATTGGGATCACAGAAACTAACGCTGCTTCTTTCGTTGAACTTGTTGGTGAACAAACTGAGTACGACTTTGGTTATAATGCCTTCTCACGCACCCCTCCAAACCAGTCCTACTCGTTGAACTTATGGATCCGTTGAAAATTATACGATCTTTCTTTTTCAAACTAAGTTTAGAACTGAAGAACGCTGAAAAGGATAATGTTCATTTCTTGTCACTTTATTATCCTAGTTTCATTGTCAAACGTACATGAAAACTTTAACCTCCACCGTTGTACAAGGGGGGGAAAGAGGGATTGGTTGGAAGTCTCCCTTGCGTTTTATTTACCTTGCAATATTTTTAAACGCTTTTACCTTTAATAGATAGCCTTCGTCTACGAGATGCTGTTGATATCATGGAATACATATGCAAATCGCGCTGTTGTGATACGTTTTTTATACTATAAATTTTGGCTTTTTTAAAACAGCAGTAGCTTTCGAACTTGACAAAAAATAGAAAATAAGACTCAGAAAATAGTTTATAGGTTTACTGTATTTCACTTTAAAAATTAAAACCGTTAATTCTCTCGTTGTTTACATTAACCCTTAAACCACAATTTACTTGTTATGACGTAATATCTCTTCACCTTTTAAATATGACTTTGGTTATGATGCTCAAACACGTGACAATCAATCCCAGTCCTCGTCGTTGAACTTGTGGATCTGTTAAAAATTATCTGCTAAAAGGAACCGTGGAGAGGACGGTATTAATTATTTATTTTCACCCTGTCATCCAAGTTATTTGAGCATTTAAAAATGCTCACTAACATCGCATCTTTTCCCTCTCAAAGCAAAGCTACGAAAGGGAAAAGATCTTAAGACTTTCACATCTTTAGATCTTCATTGGCAACGAATTGCAATTAAGTTCTTTTTCCTAGAAAGTCAGACTCATTACTGAACTTGTTGAGGAGATCTGAGGTATTTGTCATTGATTGTGTAGTGATGAATTGGTGAAACCTTATCATACACTTATTGTTTAATTGAATGAGCATAAAAAAGAAATAAATGGGTAATTAGATAAACACATTGCTGTTTTGATAAACATCCGTGGTAAACGATCCCTTATTCCACCATAAAAATAAAAGGTAGAAGAGGTTGAGAGGATGAAGTCTTAGGTAAGAGATTGCAAAAAACCATTTTCATTATAAATATCAGTTCTCCATTCCAAATCTTGTTCATTTTAATTTTATTTACCATGACAAAAATATTCATTGTTAAACCTCAGTTCCAGAAGGGTCTGATCCATTTTTTATAGTCTCACTAAAGAAACTTATCAATCTCCTCTTTAGTCCATCTAAGCTAGGCCCTTATAAATTGTGTTAGCCTATTTTTTGGCATAAAAAACGAGCATTGTTTTTGTTCTTTGTGTTAAAGTAGCACTACAAGTAAGCAAAATTTCACAGAGGTTTTTTGAAAGAAGAATTATCAGAGTCAGACGCGCGAGGTCTCTAAGACTGTTTTTTTTCAAGCTCGGTCAATGGTTTAGTCTATTTTCAATTTTGCAATGTCCTGGTGGAAGAAGATCTCCGCAAAACTGAGTCGTTTGTGGACTAAAAAACTGAGAACACCGGAAGTAAAGATTGTATTAGCCCCGGTTCCAGCTTTCAAGGTGAAAAAAATAGCGTTTAAGGGAAACGTGAAACCAACATAATACATTTTGACATGTTAACTCGCCGCTTCTAGTCTAAAATGAAGTGCAGTAGTAATTGTGTTTTATCAGAGCAAGAGTCCAAACGTCCATGAGGTTAATAAAACAACTCCTTATGATTCCACGTGAGAAATTGAAAATAAGAGAACATCCTAGGTGAAACCCACATTATGCAACTCTAGTCAATTTGAGGTCAACAGACAGATTTCCGGTCTCCAATCCTAAGCGTATTACGTTTACAAGTAACGCATTCGTGACAGAGGAATAAGATAAACAGGAAACTTTAGCCACTTCAGTCACACGGGAAGTGCAAATCTTCAGCGGAAGAAAACAAGTACGTCAGTTTTCTTACACGTTTAATTTATTATAAACGTTGTTCAGTAGAAGAGCCCAAAAGTCCCGAAAAGCTACAATGGACTCTACAGAGAGAGCTCACAGAAAAAGGACAGACGACGTCTTTCGAAAGAGTTCATCGGTTCTTTCTTTTATTTCAATTCTACTGATTGTTGCGCTGTTCCTGAGGATGGAGATGATCAACAAGCGAACGCAATTAAATGAACTGCGTATTTTAGCCGTTGAAAGTCGCATGAAGACGACAAATGAAGCCGACAAAAATGTCGAGGACAAGCTGAAAACGTTTACAGGTACATGCAAATACAAAACTATTTACTTTGGTCCAAACGACGTTAATTTGAAGTATGATATGAATTAATTTAGCTTCTACAATTCGATTCCCCGCAAGGAAGAATAGGAAATGACGAAAATGGCAAAACCGCCTTAATTGACCTGGTGTTTATTTATGAGCTCCAAATGTTTGATGAGAACTGACCATGAACTTTTCGATATGATGGAGATCATGATAGGCTGTAGTCATGCCAAAAACCCATATCATTTTGGCAAGATGATTAGGTCAGTATTTGTTGTACAACGGGTTCATAATCTCAACCCACATACCTTAAGACTACAAAAAACAATATGCAAACTTAAAAAACTAAAAGTGAAGTTCAGGTTGGCAAGATGTATCAGTTGCTTGTGATGCTTCTCTTTGTCATGTAAAGAAAGGATATTAATATGACTAAAATATAACGTTGCATAACCTTTGACGGTTTATGCGGAAACATGACTTGATAAAATTATCTCAACTATCATTGAAATGGGAACGTTTTAATGGTCCTGTACGAAATATTCAGAGAGGATTGTTCTAATTGGTTATGAGCCGATGAAATAAGAAAATTAATTTAAAAAGGTACGATTAGGCTGCTTAGTGTTGAACAAAGTTCGTTAATGCTTAGATATATAATTTCCAAATCACACATCTTAAGGAACCAGTCATATTTTATCGTCTAGGGGGGGGAGGGGAGAAGGTCGGAGGTTTATGGTTATGCCACAATAAATTTTTTTCCAGCTCTTTAGTATTTTAACTTTCTCCCATATTCTTGGTTTTCACCCAAGTTACTTTTGTCTTGACGGCAGTTGCTATCCGCCATGTTGGTGCTCAAGCAAATGCGCTTGTAGGTAGGTGAAAGTGAAAAAGTAGAAATGATTCTTTGTGTAGTTTTCGGCTGTGGCACCAGAACTGATCAGGACAAAGGAATTGGATTTTATCGAATACCATCAGTTGTTAAAAGTTAGTCTTCCTTCGAAGAAGAATTGAAAATAGAGAGGAGAGAGAATTGGACACAATCGATAAGTTGCGGCGACACGATATAAGAAAAAAGGTAAGGACAGACCGGCACGGACTCTCTTGGTGGCTTTCGAGGTTGCGTCGCATTATCTCCTTCAAATTATATTTTTGCTCTCACAAGCATGTCTTAAAGGAATTTCCCTTTGGTAAGAGATGATCGGAGGTTTTGTAAAATTTGTTTTCAGCAAGGGCTTATTGTGTATCAGACTCAAATGCTCCATGTTTGTTTTAAATTTTTAACTGCCGGGTGGTACGTTATGACAAAAGGCAATAAACGTTCGTGACCTTTCGGCTTTTGTGTATGTTTAAGGGCCGATTGTCAAGAGGCAAAGTTGATACCTGACAGAGACCTTTCTATGATGTTTTCTGGGTACCCTCTTGCTTTGAGGCGTTGTTTGAATTTCAAACGGCCCTCTTCAAATGTTTTTTCGAAGAGTTAGTTCTTAGCAATCTTATTGCTTCGCCTTTAATGAAATCATGTTTTACGCCTGGTGGGTGGCACGAGGCGAAGTACATAAATTGGAATTAAGGTCTCGGTCGGCTTGTAATGGGTTTTGATGTCCAAGATGGAATCTTTTGCAAATCTTTCCCCTTTAAACACTGTGGTATCGAGAAAAGTGATTTAGAGGATCGTTCACCCGCTGCGAATGTCTCTCCTTCGCTACAACAACAATCTTGTTTACACTATCTGCTCCTTGAACTGATGTTACGACGTCAGACACTATTTGGTTCTACGCTTCAAGACTTTTGAATGTTTTAAATTGTTTATTTGTCAGGAATAACTTGTCTTCAGAACAAAAATAGGAAAGAAGGTGCGAGACTTCTATCGACGGCAGACGTTCTGCTTGGAATGGCTACTGGATCGATACCAATCACAAAAAATTTTCTTAAGTTATCGCTCTCGAATGTGGCTTTCTAGGCCCTCCGCATAGTTCGAAAGCACAGGTATTCTAAGGAGAATATTCTCTTGTGATTCTGGATTTTTTTCACCAGAAATATTCATAAAACAAAGTATTTGAGAGAGGGCACTGTAGAGATGGCAATATATTTGCACACCTGAGGTGGGCACCAACATGGTGGACGCTTAATTTGCATAGATGTATGACCGTCAATTTTCTACAGCCCCCCTTTACATTCTGTTAGTGACCACTGATTCTCCCCTCTGTTCCCGATGAAAACCACGTGATTCCCACAAAATACCCCGATCCCAACCCCTTGCGACCAATAATGACTGGCCAAGAGATTTGTCCTTTGTGACTTACCAAATGGTCTTTTTGCATTAAAGACGAGAATGTTTAATGCAGAATTAAATTGCTTTAAAACAAATAGTGAAGCTCCCGCACCCCAGGATAAATTTTTTTTTTTCCAAAAATACTTAAAACCCCTTGACCATTTTTTTCCACTTGTTTCACACAAATATTTCGAAAGTGTTATGAGAAAACATCCAGCGGATCATCGCAAAAGAGAGAAAAGAAATATTGCTCCAAATCCAACGGCAGGAACTGTAACTTTACAACAAATCCACCAAGAAATAAACAACAAGTTCATTGAAGTTTGTAACTTCTCAGACAGAATATGCCAGGCAGGACCCCCGAGACCCGCAGGAGCCCTTGGGTATCCCGGATATAAGGGAGAAAAAGGGGCCTCTGGAAAGGTAGGACCACCAGGCCCATCGGGGCCTATTGGGGCTCCAGGCGTGGGTGGCAAAAGAGGACCTGTGGGACCTCAAGGAGTAAAGGGCGACAAAGGCGACGAAGGATCTGTTGGAGCTCCTGGAATTAAAGGAGATACTGGAGCGAAGGGTCGTCACGGACAAAAGGGGTCTATTGGCTTAAAAGGGAACAAAGGCATCAGAGGATTGGTTGGTATTCAGGGACCAAAGGGAGAATGTGTTGTTCCACCGAAGATCATTGTGTCTTTATCAACGAGACAGCAATATTCTTCTGTTGGGTTCAAGGCCAGACGTCGTCCAAAATAACATGGAGTAAGCTCGGAGGCACTCTATCTGATGCTACCGCGAAAGACGGTGCGCTTCGAATCAACAGCGTTCAAAGGTCACATGTGGGGTCGCAGGCAGTTTACTCGTAAAAGGTAGAATCTTTAACTTTAAATACTTTCCAGCCTTGTATTCAAAAATTTAGGTAGTCAGCGTCTGCAACTCTCAAGTCATGTGTCATAGCCTGAGTCACCTCTCCTGACGCGCAAGACAAAGAATAAAACTGAAGGGAATGTAAAAATTTCTCAATCGAATACTACTACCCAATCTGATCCTTGCGACAAAAACATTATTCCTAAATTATATTTTTATTTCATTTTTCATGTGATTTTATCATCTATTAGAGGAAAGTGAAATTAAAGTGAACTTCTAATACTACCGAGTGTAATCCTTTTTGCGAGACGCTTACTTTTTCCTATTGCTTTTCCTTCAAATTGATAATCTGCGCGCGACAAAATTTTCAATTTTCAAAAACCTACGCAAACTGCATATATCTGAGATTATTCGTGGTCTCCTATTTTGTTTGTTAACTTGATGATCTTCGTTTTGTTTAGAGGTACCACAGTTTACTAACAAACCTCCACCGAAGGTCGTTGTAGAACAAGGAACAACTGTAACCCTCTGCTGCGTGGCCACAGGCTTCCCTCGTCCTTAAGTTGAATGGACTAGGCATCAAAGGTCCACTTTGTTCTCTCCGTTTTTCCAGGAAGACGGATGTCTCGCAGTAAATACCGCAAAAACACATGATGAAGAAGACTACATCTGTCGAGCCACAAACAGCTTTGGGTTATCGGAAACAATAACCACGGTGACTGCTACGAAATTAACTGGTATTATAACAATTATTACTTTGAGTACTTTTCAACTGTACATCCAAAACACATTTCTTCCCCATGTTGTTTATGACAAACTGGACAGGAAAATGTTTCACAAAAGTCTTAGAATGGTAAGCACATTCTTTTACTTTTAATCAAAAACTCAAGCTGTGTACGAATGTGTTTATTCAGTTTGACTTGAAAGTTCTTGAAATTTTGTGTTCCGTCTCTAGATGTGACCTTATTCAGCATGGACCTTCTCGCAAAACTGATGGGATGTACTACCTACGAGCTAAAAACACTCAACCAGCCTTTCCTGTAAGTCTGATCCGTATTAAATATAGTACGTATTCCTCTCTCAAAATAACGGCAATGCAGCCGAGCCAGTCAGCAAACTTGATTAGAAAAGTTAAATCTTCAACTGAAATAACGGTTCAAGGCTGTATTCATGCAGTAACTGGAAACTTCCAAGTAAGATCTATGATGCAAAGAGAGTGGAGACCGTTTTCTAAGAATGCTTTACGCATTTCGTTGACATGGCTAAAAAAGGTTTCTCTCGCATGGTCAGATTCTCATTCAACCTGGTTTCTCTTTGGCACTTTGAAGGACCTCGTAGGCGTCTTGATGTTGGCTAATGTTGCATTATCTTACACCTGGCCGTTACATATCAACCCTTTTTAAACAAATTATTTTGCAACAACAACAAAATCGCTCCACGAACATAAAAAGGTCAAAAGTTAACCAATGAAGCACAATGTGAACTTTTCCTCTTGTTTTCACGGACCCTCTCGCGAAACTACCGCGATGTACCACGTATGCGATAAAAACACTCAACTAGCCTTTCCTGTAAGTCTAAACCGAAGAAAAATGTAATATATATTCTTCCCCTAAATAACGGCAATGTAGCCATGCCGGTCGGAAACCTTGATAAGAATAGTTAAATCTCCAACTAAAATAACGATTCGAGGCTGCATTCACGCAACAACTGGAAACTTTCAGACGAGAACTATGATGCAAAGAGACAGAGAGCAACAGAGACTCTATGGTGAGTAAGGCCCATTACGAAGTTCAAAAAACATGACGCTCAAGACACTGATGACCCTAGAGGTCTGCAGAACGCATGTTACATAGGAACTCCTTAATAGGCCTTTCTAATCAAAGTGTCTCTGGTTGAGCATTGGAGCGCGGGATCCGAACGTCTGAGGTTCCATTCCTCATGGGGACTCAAAAATTTTATTTTTCCTACGCTTGTGACAAGACGAAAAAAGATGTTTCTCTATATCTTCACCGAGCTCAAGACTTACCATCTTTTTTAATGTTCTTGTAACAAAATATTTAAATTGTTAAAATATATATTTTTAAGACATGAAACAATGCATTTTTCCACGGTTCGGTATCAGTGAAGCACTCATTTTTTTTTTTTTTTTTTTTTTTTGCAGGTCTACTGCGAATTGACAACAGACGGTAGAGGCTGGACTCTTATTTCCCGCTTTTTAAATAATGACGTCAAGAACTGGATGGCTGACACTGGCCATTGGTGGTACGACCGTCAAGTTTCCACTGGAAGGACAGAGAGTCCCTTTAGAAACACTGACATGATCTCACCAGCATTTTGGTTGGTCAGAGGAAGCGAATTTAAGATTACGCGTAGTGACGACCCTAGTCACACCCCTCTGTTACAGACCACAGGTAACTGTTTGGGTGGACAAACATTCCGATCTAAAATCACAAGTTATGGCGACTTTAGAAATGGCAAAGTCTGGGCCACTGATCAGTGTCTGGGAAGTCGTACGGTTCAATATGGCGGACAGCACAAGTCAAAAGACGGGTTTCAACAGGCTGATTGCAGTGGAAGCATCCAAAGTGCTGACAAGATCGGCTTCTGGTGTGACTGGGATACTGGGGATGGGGCATTCATGATGATTAGTGGAGGAGGAAGTAGCTGTGCACGTGCAGATCACGGCATTAGAATCTCAGAAACTAACGCTGCTTCTTTCGTTGAAGAGGATAGCACACAAACTGAATACGACTTTGGTTATGATGCTCAAACGAAAAGCGCTCCATCCCTGTCCTACTCGTTGAACTTATGGATCCGTTAAAAATTATAAGAATTATACGTTAAAAATTATAACGTAATACTTGTGTGATTAGTAATGAAGTTAACAAGCCATAAACCAAATTACAAACTCTGATCCTCTGACTGGTAGGTCGGAGAGTATGAAGGCTCGGATATACATTTTTTTAATCTAAGATATTGCATTTCTTGCCCTCTATGGCTTCACTCCACCAAGTAGAATCTCCTTAATGAGGTGAGGTTCAGACATAAGTTTAACGAAAAAGAGCGGGTGAAGTCAGAAGAGGCGTGCTTTCGATTCGATTTTTGTTTCAGAGACGAGTACATTTAAATGTCATTTTGCTGACTAACAACTTTTACATTTAGTTTCGACAACTGCCTGCAAAATATCTCAGTTATGCGTTTTAAATAATGGCTACCTAGTAGTTTAGATGGTGCCTCTGATTCGTTTTTTAAAAAACTCAATTTAGAATTCTGCATCCTGTTTTGAACTTTTTGTAGGCCTCTGTATTGTTCTTACTTGTTTGTAGCGTGTTGCGGAAAGAGTACAACATTTGTGTTATCTATTTTTTTCAAAAATTAGCTGAGAACTATATTGTAGTATTTAGTATCAGAGCAAACTAATCACGATGTGAACAAAAAATAAATCTTTATGCTTGATATGTATCATGCATCTTAGTTCAATGTTTTTATAGACAGAAATTATATTTTAATCTTAGTCAACTCCTTTAGTGTTAAAACTGCAGAAATTGAACTCAGGGCTTCTACAGTAGTATTTATTTCTTTTTAATGGTTGTTTGACTGTAGTAGAAAATGTATTTGTGTTCATTTAGTGGGATCCTTATTAAAGGAATTTCTCAAGATCTTAAAAGAGAGTTTCCCATTATGGACATGTCACCTGCTTCCGAAAATTAGATACTTTCTTTTCAATTTAAAATTTCAGTTCCGGTATGCAAAACTACTAGATCTAGAGTACCCACGCGAGAAGACTTAACCCTTTAACTCCCAAGATCTCATTATTAATTCTCCTTACACACGGTCTCCCGTACAGTTCTTGTGATGTTAGTTTAGAGAATTTGGTATTGGATCAACGTACAATACCTCATTGATATTTTTCTTTACTCTAATCACTTGTCTGCTTGATATTATAGTGATATTGTAAGGAGAAATTCTGTCTTGGTCACTCATGGGAGTTAAAGGGTTAAGGATAAACAAGAGACCACAAAAAGAAGTGAACAAAACATGAAACACTTTCATTCTAAACATATCAAAAGTTAACAAAGCAATTAAAGTTTAAAGGGGTAAGTTTCTAAAGAAACTGTGGTGCTGCGTCGGTGGGAGAGTATAGCAGGTAATTTAGTGTTAACAACTGGGTTGAAAACGTGAATTAGCCACCGTAAAGAGTAAAAAAGCTGACGTTTCGACTGACGAAGGGCTAACGCTCGAAACGTCAGCTTTTTTACTCTTTACGGTGGCTAATTTACGTTTTCAACCCAGTTGTTAACACTAGATTACCAATTAAAGTTTAAATTTCGCCTGCTAAATAGATACCTGCTGGGCCCACACTGCACCGCATCCGTTTGTTTTATGAAGAGATATTCACACTTAATGCAATCTACTGAAAGAATGAAAATACAACTTTTTTTCAAGGCAACTAATTTCAAGTATCTAATGACCTTACTTTCCCTTCCAAGAACCTTTTACGACGTTAATCAGTTAAAACATTGGATATTTTTACAACAAATCACACAAATACTACGTCCCTATAAATAGGTTGTTTCAATTTTTCATTTGAGGAGAAAAGACATTGCCTCATTCCATCGGTATAAACGGATAATATTTTAGAAAACAACGAGTACATGTTATCGTTTTTGGCGTTAACTACCGCTAAAAATAGTTATTTAGAAGAAGAGAAACCAGATAATTAACTTTAAAGATGTTCGGAATTGCGCCTAAGCGTTCCTCGAAAAAAAACGTATGCCAAAGAATCACCTTTCAAAATCATGAGCGTGAGGTTTTCCTAATCTATTCTGAGCGGCATGGACAATCACCCTATAAATAATTTATTTTGCTAAAAATGCCAAATAGCATTAATATTTTACTGCTTTGAGTTGCAGAAACAAATCAGGGCAGTGGTCGTTGAATTAGGACCCACAACCTTGATGTCCAGTCGCACAACAGCCTAAAATCGTTAACACTGTACGAATAGCCTGTCGCTATATATATCTAAGTCGTATGTGATGTATTTTAAAGGGAAAGCCTTCATTTTCACGATGCCTCCCTTTGGTTTTGCGTCTGTTGTTTTGATCACGTGGTTTCATTGCCGGGCTGTTGCAGACAAAGGTGATGCCGATATTTTTTGCTGGTAGAGCATTTAAAGCTTTCAGATGAACTATATTTTAAGTTCATTTCTGGTAATGTTGTGTTAAAAGGTGCCATCTCTTTCAAATCACCATAGCATTTTCTTTCGCCAACTTCAGAATGCAATGAAGATCATTTATTTCCTCTGGAAAAAAAAGTCTTAGTTTGTGTCTTGGGTGAAGTGTTTAGAATTTTTACCAAGACACACATTAAGTGGCGATCTCTGTTAGAGCGGTCCGAGGCATTTCGCATCGGAGAAACGTTTGCCTCAAACTTTGCCCAAAAACTATAACTATTAAACTATCTCTGGGAGTAAGTAAGTAAAACCACATTGGTTTCTGGAAATACGTTAAAAATTTCTTTTGAGAGCTCTCAATAATCAAAGCTGCATAAGGCCCGTTTTTGACCTCTTGTGACATCGAAAATTTCTCAAGGTGATAGGCTTGCGCCTCGTAATCATACTACATGCAGCAGGAAAACGTTTGGATTCTTAAATTATGTGATATCTCGAGAGTTTGGAAAGTATTTCAATTTTGATATGTTATTCAGAGATTCGCCATAATTTATTGAAAACAATCGTTTGAAAGCTTTTTGAAATTGGTCAAAGTTACTCTTTCTTTCTTCGGTGATATTTCTCAAGTCCAGACCGGACCATTAATAATTACTTATTACTAATACGATGTTCGAAAGTATAAATGTAAAAACATCTTGCAGTTATTAGTGTCTTAAAACGTTTGGTGATTTTGCTAACCTGGCAGCAGAATTATGCAAATTAGTCTGTTAAACAAACCCCGACCGTTTTTTATTAGCAGCTTCATAAAATGGTAGATTTTAAAGATTTTGCATTAGTTTAATAAGTAGTTCGCCATTAACATCAAAGAAAAGAAGAATTTTAATCGGGATAAGGATACCGCAGATGGAAGAAGTCGAGCAAACTATGCTTGCGGACCTCTGCAAATGTGCCTTCCGGGCATATTCTTTCCTAACCGCAAAAGGATAAAACAAGCAAGATAACAAACAACTCACTAATACCTTAACCGGAAAAATATATGATTAATGTGAAAAAAGTAATTTAACGACTTCCATGGCTTGTCACCCGCAAATAAGATAAATACCTTGACGCAAATAAGGCACCATCTGCATTAGTTTTGTCAGTATTTTATCATATCATCAAGGAAAACTAAAATTTTAATCGAGCACCGAGATACCGCAGATGGAAGAAGTCAAGCAAACTATGCGTGCGGACCTTTGTAAACGTGCTTTCCGGGCATATTCTTTCCAAGCCGAAAAAGGAAAAAACAAGACAACTAAACAAAAAAGATAACAAACAACTCACTTAATACCTTAACCGGACAAATATATGATTAATGTAACAAAATAATAATTTAACGACTTCCATGGCTTGTCACCCGCAAATACGATATACACCTTGACACAAATAAGGCACTATTTGCATCAGTTTCGTCAGAATTTTATCATATCATCATGGAAAACAATCATTTTCAACGGGCACAAGGATACTGCAGATGGAAAAAGCCACGCAAACTGTGCGTGCGGACCCTTGTAACCGTGCTTTCCGGGCATATTCTTTTCCAACCGAGAAAGGAAAAAACAAGACAACTAAACAAACAGATAACATTCTTTCAATAACACAGAGAAGGATGAAATTCCATCCCGATTCTCTAAGAGCAAAACGATGAATTTAAACTTCACGCATACGATGCGAAGCATAAACTATTGGTTCCCGCTGGCGAAACGGTACAGACTTTGCTAATCAGGGAAGCTGTTCACTCAAATCCCCTTGAAGCTGCAATGGACTCTACGAAGAAACATTCTGCAAAATGCTCAAACGATGCTTTTCACAGATGCTCTTCAATTCTTTCTTTCGTTTCCATTCTGTTGATTGTTGCGCTGTTCTTGAGGATGGAAACAATAAACAGGAACACGAAGAGGAACGAACTTCGCATTGCAGATGTTGAAGCTCACCTTAAGATCGCCGTTTTGAGGAAAAGAGCAGGTAACGAGGGGAAACTGTCAAAGGGTAAGTAAAATTTTATTTGCAAGTCTATGATAATTTGCTCTAAGGAATCCGGCTTCATCATAATTTGGGCCAATTTAGTTTCATCTTAACGGTACAGTAATTCACAACATAGATTCAAAGAAGGCAATCTTAGAACTAAATCCCGATCATTTCTATCGGCGCTTTCCTAGATGGAAGCTTAGCAACGCATACACATACCATTCCCCATCGATCAATGTGTCTACGACGGTAGTTTTGCATGAATGGGCATTGTAGCAATAACATTTACTCTAGGAGGAACCCCACATTCCCAAATTTTGTAACTGCTCAATAGTGAGTAGATTATTACACACTCAAATTTAATGGTTCCATTGTCTCTATACAATTTCGTTCTTAGGTTTATCAGCAGAGAAGGTACTGCAAAAGATTATCTGTACATTTACGTCTAGATTTTGCGACAATTGCGTTATTCTCATTGCAAACCTTTTTCTTACTCTTTGGGGCAATATATGTGATTTCCACCAAATCATCGCTAAAACTCTACATCAGATTGAACGATGCTTCCTTTGTTTATCATGTAGAAAATAAATTATCAAATGGCTCGAAAATGGTTAGACATGTTGCCAAAACCATCATGGTTCAAGCAGATAAGTGACTTGACAAATTATTTTGTGTCAAAAAGTTTTCATCAAGGTAGTATAGTCGTCTTGATCTAGAGATGATTACTCTATGAGGTTATTAGCCACTGACCTTGGAAAATGAATGACAGATAACAGGACATAAGGTGAAATATGGACTGAACCAGTGGACCCTTACACCATTGGGCTAGTTTTTGGATCATTTTTTGGACCATTTATGTGGACCAATTTTTAGACCCTTTTTTTGTTCAATTTTTGAACCGCTTAATCACGGGGGAGGCAGACCATTAGCACTTAGGGAGGGTTGGGATGCAGTCTATCAGTACCCAGGGAGGGGTGCACGTGGTAGACAGACTTTTGTTACTAAGAGAGGGGTGGAAGAGGAACTATTAGTACGCAGGGAGGGGTGGGAGATTGCTGAGGTAGTAGATGCTACTGATTAATGGAGTTTTTACTGGATCATACAAATTATTTGAGCAGTTTTTCGACTGACTATTTTTATGTCAAAACTTTTGCGCTGGACCATAGTGTTTCTTTATTTTTTTGTCGCGCGATTACGAAACTAGCACCTAAACACTGGATTATAATTGTTATTGAAAATATCGCCAATTCCCGTTCTCGAATCGACTCATTTTATCCAACTTTAAAATTTGATTAAATCACGCTGAATCATTTCCCCAAAAAAATTCTTCGGAGATTGAAAAGAACTACAATTCACCTTGCAAAAGCCGGATTTTCAGTCAATCATTTTGTGAAGCACATAGTTAAATAGCGGGTTACTTTTGACCTATTTTTTAACTAATTAGAAGTAGGTCGGATAAATTCAATTAGATTGTGTAAATAGATGGTCAGGTTGCTGTCAACCTATGTTTTGATGTTGTTTTCAAAATTTGATATTTTTTAATCAAACAAGGTGTAACTGTTTCCAAGAAAGACAAGCATCTAATTTCTCCTGAATTTAACCCCTGAATCAAGCATTATGGTCATGAGAATAGAGGAAATAAATACCAAATAAAGAACCTTTTGATTGTTCAACTAATTCTCCTTGTCACCGTCTTACTGATTTCAGAATATAAATGGCTAATATTTTTATATGTGTAATATACAGATTTTGAAAGCGGAATGGAAACACATAATGTGGATTATCACCAAAGACAGAAAAGAAATGCTGCTTTGAGTCCAACGCCAGCAACTATAACTTTACAACAAATCCGCCAAGAAATAAATAACAAGTTCAATGAAGTTTGTAACTCCTCAGACAGAATATGCCAGGCAGGACCTCCGGGACCGCCAGGAGCCCCTGGGTATCCCGGATATAAGGGAGAAAAAGGGGCCCCTGGAAGTAAAGGACCACCAGGTCCATGGGGGCCCCACTGGGGTTCCAGGCGAAAGTGGTGTTAGAGGACCAGTGGGACCTCAAGGAGAAAAGGGTGAAGGTGACAAAGGGCCCGTTGGAGCTCGTGGTATTAGAGGAGAGACTGGAGAGAAGGGTCGTCAAGGACAAAAAGGATCTATTGGCTTAAAAGGGAACACAGGGGACGGAGGATTGGTTGGTATTCAGGGACCAACCAGAGAATGTGTTGTTCCACCGGAGATCAGTGTGTATCCAGCATCTCAGGAAGTCTTTATCAATGAGACAGCAATATTTTTCTGTTGGGTTCAAGGCCAGACGTCGTCCAAAATAACATGGCGTAGACTTGGAGGTACTCTATCTGATGCTACCGTGGAAGATGGTGCGCTTCGAATCAACAGCGTACAAAGGTCACATGTGGGGTCGTATATGTGTTCAGCTAACACTGGTCTCAGAAATCTAACGGGTTTCAGCACTTTACAAGTAAAAGGTATGGATATCACTCCCTCATTTTTCTGATTTTTTATAATGTTTCTTTAACACCAGTGTAGACTGCCACTTGTAAATGAACTACACATTTTTGTCCTTCCACAGTGGGCCGTCGACATTGAGTGTGTTCAGATAGCAATTTAGCACCTTTAATATCGATCACGGGAAAAGTTATGTCTACTTGATAATGTTAAAAAGTATAATAGGTTTTAGTTGTATATTCTTGCTATTTTCAACGCTAAAGGTTTTCTCCGATGTTACCAAAAGTTGCTATTGCTGACGGTTGCTATTGATCACATGATGTTGTTTATTACATGTCGGTTTTTGAATCGATTTTACTCTACCTTCAGAGCCACCAACATTTGTCAAGAAACTACCATCTTTGGTCATTGTAGATGAAGGCTCCGTTTTAAGTCTCTGTTGCGAGGCTGTGGGCTCTCCTCCTCCTAACGTGGAATGGTTACGCGCTCGTCAGGTGCACTCCGCTGATACATCATTGGCTTTCGAGGAACAAGGCTGCCTCGAATACAACCTTGTTGGGTTCAACAGCAACGGGACATATGTCTGCCGCGCAAGAAACCGCTTCGGACTGGCAGAAAAAACAACGACAGTAGTAGTCGTCAAGACAAAAGGTGTCTTTAAATCAATAATATGACTTGCCATCATTCCAGTTATCAAATACTCATTGCATACCAATCCAGAGACCAATTCTGTCATGACAGTAACACCAATAGCTTACTTAAATTAACAAAAACTGTACAGAATTCCAAAAATACAAACACTTGTTACATGGTTAAGCATCTCGGAGCGCTCTTTTCAATAATCAAAGATTTATAAGCGCGTCGTTAAAACTGACTGGGGTCACGTCCCTGATTGTCATGATCTCCGACAATATCTTGCACATGAGACTCAAAATGATGATTATAATACATGAATAGGTGGGTCAATAACACCAATAAACAAACAAACAACTACATGCCCTAGCTCCTGGCCTATCCCGTGAGTAACTAGCCGGTATCTTCGTCGAAATGTGAAAAATCCTAAGTTTAATACATTTGTCGTAATATTGCCTACATTCAGGCTAGCGGTTATCTCATTACTAACATCTAGGCGACCGTATAAAAAAATTGGCATCCAACAATTTTTCACTGTCGGTGTGATTTAGGTTTTTCGTTTAGTTCTGTTCCGTGTGCTTTCTTTTTCTTGTGTGTTCTTATGCCTCCCTTTCTAGAACGAGAACCACAAAAACATGTTGATATCTTCGTAAATATTTCCTCCCTTTTCTTATTCATTATCCATGTCTTCTTTTTATCAACTTTCAGTACATTCTTGTGAAGAAGTTTCAAAGAAAAAAATGGGGAGACATCCCGGAAGCTTCGAGCTTCTCGCGGTCAATTTTCGATATAAAGTAAGTCTAGAGCCTTTATTTCTCTTTCAGAATAAATACTTCCAAAGGTTCTTAATAGTAGCAGGCAAGTCAAGAATTTGAAGAAAACGACAAAACTTTTAAGTTTGCAAAACATGTTTGGACAGAAACTTCTGTCATCTTCAGTTAATTAATGTACAAAGCGTTGGAAGTTGAATTTATAGTGAGTAGAAAATGCTAATTATGATAAATGCCGACAACAAGAAAGAGGCAAAGCATGAAAGTGTGAGGGTTAAAAGGATAGTTTTAGATTTACATGGTGTGATTGTTGATTCGAAGAGGGTTGTATATGAATAGCCTCTTTTATCTTAAGTTGAAAATATCCTTTCAATTTTCACACTTTCACTATAAATTCAACTTCCAACGCTTTGTACATTAATTAAATGAAGATGACAGAAGTTTCTGTCCAAACATGTTTTACAAACTTAAAAGTTTTGTCGTTTTCTTCAAATTCAGAATAAATTAAATATGAATTATTGCTTTAAAGACGATCTCGTAGATAAAACAATCTTTTTTACTTTTCCTGTCCTTGGTTTGTTTTGTTGTTTGTTTTTGTTTTGTTCGGTGTTGAATTTTTCTGTTGTGTTCTCTTTTTTTTACTCTCCGGACGAGAGCTTTTTTAAGCCAAATAAAGAGTTCAATGTACTTCGACTTTTCTTTCAGCCTTACTGACAGTATAAACTTTAATAAAAAAAAATTAATAGTCGCCATCTTAGCATCACCCAGGAATCCAAAGATAATAGAATATTTTTCCGTCGAGAACATTTCATAGCACATACCAACAAGAAAGCACACGTTTTTCAATGGGTTGCACCTATTTACATCTTCCGGTCAAAAATTCAGTCGCGATGGCAATTAAAAAATTACACATTTAAATTAAAAAGAGACTCTTAGTGAGAGAAAAACCTTTCCTGATGTGAAGAGGTGCCTTCTCACTTTCATTCTCACCTCTCCTATCCCACCCCTCCTTCTCACTGAGTGCAAGAGTTACGACTAGATCCCAAGCCTCCCGGTGAATATTTCAATTTTTTATCTTATGGTTTTAAAGCTGTTAGAGTACTTCATATCTATCAAGGTATTTTGTCAATTCCTCACCAACTTATAACCAAAATAATAAATGCCCTGCTTTTGATTGTAATATATTTGCAATGTACTTTTAGGTCTATTGTGATATCAGAGCAAGTCTTGAAGGATGGACCCTTATCGCTCGATTCTCAAACAGCGATGGCAAAAATTGGATGCGTGACGATGGTAGATGGTGGTATGACCAGCAAGCTGCCATAGGAACAACAAATGATCCATCAGTAAACGCTGATATGATCTCACCAGCATTTTGGTTGGTCAGAGGAAGCGAATTTAAGATCACGCGCAGTGACGACCCCAGCCACACCCCTCTGTTACAGACCACAGGTAACTGTTTGGGTGGACAAACATTCCGATCTAAAATCACAAGTTATGGCGACTTTAGAAATGGCAAGGTCTGGGCCATTGATCAGTGTCTGGGAAGTTGTACGGTTCAATATGGCGGACAGTACAAGTCAACAGACGGGTTTCAACAGGCTGATTGCAATGGAGACATCCAAAGCGCCAACAAAATCGGCTTCTGGTGTGACTGGAGTAGTGGGGATGGATCAGTGATGATGATTGGTGGGGGAGGAAGTAACTGTGCACGTGCTGATCATGGGATTGGGATCACAGAAACTGCCGCTGCTTCTTTCGTTGAAGATGGTGGTAGTGAAACTGAATATGACTTTGGTTATGATGGTGAAAAAAATAAAGCTCCATCCCAGTCCTACTCGTTGAACTTATGGATACGTTAAAACATTATAAGATCTTTCTTTTTCAAACTTAGTTCAGAACTGAAGACCGCTGAAAAGAAAGATGTCGCTTATTTCTTGTCACCTTATTATTCAAGTTTAATTTTCAAAACGTAAATTAAAACTTTTACCCTCACTGTGGTACAAGGGGAATGGAAGGGGTTAGTTGGAACCCTGCCATGCGTTTTCGTTACATTGCAATATTTTGAAAAGTTTTTACCTTTAGTAGATAGCCTTATGTCGTCCACAAGATGTTGTTAATATCATGGGATTCGTATACAAATTTCGCTGCTGAGACTCAGTAACGTCATCCGACATGGCAGACTTTTTTCAGATTTTTCTTTGCCTGGCCCCGTATATTGTACTTTCTTGTTTGTAGCGCGTTGTGGAAAGAGTACAATATCTGCGTCATCTGTTTGTCTTCCAAAAAGTAGATTGAGAACTATATTGCTAGTATCTAGAGTAAACCAATCACGATGTGAACAAAATATAAATATTTACGCTCGATATGTAACATGCATCTTACCTCAATGTTTTTTTAAACATAAATTAAATTTAATCTAAGTGGACTCCTTCTATCTTTATAAATGCAGGAATACTACCCGGGCTTGTCCGCCTCCACAATAATGTAAATCATATTCCTTTTTTAGCTGTTGTTTGAATGTAGTAGAAAATTCATTAGAGTTCATTTAGTGGGATTCTCATGGAAAGAAATTTCTCGAGATCTGAAACAGAGTTTTCCAATATGGACATGTCAACGGCTTATACTTCCGAAAATAGTGTCTTTTCAATTGAAAATTTCAGTTCCGGTATGCAAAACTACTAGATCTAGGGTATCCACGTGTAAAGGCTTATGGAAAAACAAGAGACCACAAAAAGAAGAGGAAAAAACGGGAAACACTTGCATTTGAAACATGGGAAAGGTTAAAAATGAAATCAAGGTTTACATTTCACCCGCTACCTGCAGGACTAATACTGCTCCTCAGCTGTTTGTTTTATAATAATACATATAAAACGTCGGATATTAACAACAAAACGCACAAATGCTACGTCTCTATAGCATTTTCTGCCTATAAACAAGCTTGTGTTAATTTTTCATTTCAGGAGAAGCACACCTCGTCTCATTCCATTGGTATAAACGGGTAATATCTCAGAAAATAACGAATCCATGTAATCTTTTTTGGCGTTAACTACCTCTAGAACTGGTTATTTGGAAGAGAAACCAGATAATTAACATGAAAGATGTTGGGAATTGCGCCTGAATGTTTCTCGAACGAAAAAAAGCATATGCCAAACAATCACATTTCAAAATCGTGAGCGTGGGTTGTTAACTGATCTATCCTAGGCGGTATAGACAACCACGCTTTAAATAATTTATAATGCTGAAAAAGCCAAATAACATTAAACATTTACTGCTTTGCGTTACAGAAACATACGAGGGCAGTAGTCTTCTAATGGTCGTTGAATTAGAACCCAAAACCTTGATGTCTAGTCGCGCAACATCCTAAAATCGTCAGCAGTTAACGAAGCGTCTGTCGCTGTATATATTTCAGTTGTATATGATGTATTTGAAAGATCAATGCTTCCTTTTCACGGTGCTTCCCTTTGGTTTTGCGTCTGTTCTTTTCTTCTCATGGTTTCATTGCCGGGCTGTTGCAGACAAAGGTGATATAATTATTATCATGTTACTAGTTATATAGTAAACTGGATATTTTTGCTGGAATAGCATTCAAAGCTTTCAGATGAACTATATTTTTGGTTCATTTTTGGTAATGTTACGCTAAAGGCTGCCATCTCCTTCGTATTCCAATGGCATTCTTTCACACCTACTTCAGAATGCAGTAAAGATCAATTTTTTCCTCGAAAATACCGGAGTGAGGGAAAAAGTTTGAGCTTGTGTCTTGGGTGAAATGCTGAAAATTGTTACCAAGACACAAATTAACTTGTTCATCAAAAGCGGAGTCCTATCATGAGATGATTAACAACTTTATGGAGAGAGCAATGATATAAATAGTGTTTCTGAGAATAATAGAAAAATATAAGAGGAGGAAGAAAGGAAAGGAAAAATAGGTAGAGGAGTATGAGTGAAATTTTGATTCTCCGTGCATCTGCTCCAAAATTGTATGTTTCTTGAAAAGTGCTGCAACTGCTTTGTCCCGAAAAAGAGTTAGTAAGCTTGAAGGATATAAACTTCTACGGAAAATTAAGTGACAGGTATCTTAAGAACACACATAATGTTGAAGAATCCATGACGAAGTTATGTTATTGTTATTGTCCTCATAAAGAGTATAAGAAAAATATTTTCGTGAAAACTTGCCAGCTCTAACTGGTTGATTTTCTGAAGTCACGTCTGATGTTAGATTTTGTCAGTTTACAAATACAAGATGGCAGAGAAAAACAGGCGTGGTGTAATATAAAGGGGGTATGTTTCTAAAGAAACTGTGGTGCTGCGTCGGTGGGAGAGTATAACAGGGTCATTTAGTGTTACCAACTGAGTTGAAAACGAAATTGAACCACCATAAAGAGTTTAAAGGCTGACGTTTCGAGCGTTAGCCCTTCGTCAGAGCGATGGACGAAGGGCTCTGAAAAAGGGCTAACGCTCGAAACGTCAGCCTTTAAACTCTTTACGGTGGCCAATTAATGTTTTAAAATCAGGCGATAACACTAAATTACCTTGGTGTAATATGATTCGACTGTTTTAGATATGAGATATCGAAATGTAAAAGCTTGAAAACTGCGTGAAGGAGATAAAAAAAATTGATATACTTCTTACCGATCAATAATTCAAAGTTTTCAGTGAGGCTTCCTGCTAATTAAATGATAAAGACAAATTTCAGTCCTATGTAAACGATATCTCATCAATTGATATGTGATCTGTTACAACAAATAATAATTAGCCCTTAGGATTTTACCATATCGTTTCACGCTCATGTAAGTTCTTCATACTTTGTTATAAGATTGTTTAATTCAAATGCTGGAGAACTGATCCGATTTCGGTGGCCTGGCGAAGATAGCATATAACTTCGACTTCCAATTCAGTTTGGATTCCTTAAACTTTCAAGGAAATATTTCCATGTACTAGAGAAAATTCTGGTTGTTCTACCACATGCTTCTCATGCATGGTACGTAAAGCGTATTAGAGTGACTCCTGATTAAAAATATTGATATACTTCTTACTGATCAATAATTTAAAGTTTTAGACAGGAGTAGGCTTCATGTATATGCTAATTAAATGTTATAGACAAATTTTTGTCTAGATGTGCATAAATTTACGACAGGTTTTCAATTGATGTATGATCTGTTACCGAACAAATAATAACTAACCCTTAGAATTTTACCATATCGTTTTACACTTTGGCAAGTTCCTCTCGATTTGATATAAAATTGCTTAATTCAAATACCAGGGAACCGGATCAAATTTCGGTGGCCTGGTGAGGATAGCATATAACTTCGACTTCAAAATACAGTTTGGACTCCCTGAACTTTCAAGGAACTATTTCCATGTACTAATGAAAATGGCTTTTCTAGTGCATTCTTCTCATGGTACGTAAAGCGTTTTAGACTGAAACTTGATTAAAGATATTAATATACTCCTCACTGATCAATAATTTAAAGTTTTCATCAAGAGTAGGCTTCCTGTCTATGCTCATTAAAAAAATTGACCAAGATCTCCTTTCGACCGTTCAAACTTCGTTTTCTTTATCTTCTACGTTGAGGATTTTAGGTTTTCATAACAACTGAATGGAAAATAGATGCCGAGTTGTCCTAAACGTTGCGTAAACGAGATAGGTCGTAACGCTTGCGCGCTTGCGTGACTTACAAAGTAAACAAAGGTGATCGAAAGGCGTTTTCTAGATAATTTTCGTTGAAACGTCTGGTCACGAACTACGCACAGTGTGGAGACGATCAAAATTGGCAAGTTCCTTTCAATTTGTTATAAAATTGCTTCATTCAAATAGCAGGGAGCTTTTCAAATTTCGGTAGCCTGGTGAAGAAAGCATGTAAGTTCGACTTCGAAATGCGGTTTGGACTCTAACTTTTAAGGAACTATTTCCATGCACTAAGGAAATAGTTTTTCTACCGCATACTTCTCATGGTACGTAAAGCGTTTTAAACTGAATCCTGATTAAAGTTATTTATATACTTCTTACTGATCAATAATTCAAAGTTTTCAACAAGAGTCGGCTTTCAGTCTATTAAGTGCCGCTCTCGCTGAGAGCGGTCTCGACTTCTCGAAGGGTTTTAGGACACATGTTATAAAAATAGTTTAGTTGTTCTCCGATTCACTTTTTTTTTTTGCGTCGCCACAAGCCGGAAATGATTTTTGGCTAGACCACCGGTGTGGACAGCGATCGAAAGTGTTAATTTTAGTTAGTTCACAGCCAAAATATGGAAACTTCTCCTGAAATATTTTTCATACCAGCGTGATCAGAGAAGACCCTGCTCCTCGATCCTAATTTGAAAATAACAAAAAACTCACCGATTTGTACGAAAGAATTCTCGGAAAAATACAGGCGTTAATCGGGCTAAAAAAGCATATCAATGCACAGTTTATACACCATTGAGATCACCGATTGCCTCAAACGCGCGGGTATATCTCTAACCTTCATACACCAACGTCTTAAAAACAACGCAAATTCATGTGTTGGCTCAAATGCGCTCGTGTCAAATATCATTTGCCTTTTGACCGTTCAAACTTCGTTTTCTTTATCTTCTATTTTGAGGACTCTATGTTTTCAGAACAACTAAATGGCGAATAGATGCCGAGTTTTCCTAGAACGTTGCGTAAACGTGATCGGTCGTGACGCTTGCGCGCTAGCGCGACTTACAAAGTAAAGAAAGATGATCGAAGACGCCTTCTCAATAATTTTCGTTGAAACACCCGGTCATGTACTACGTAAAGTGAGGAGAAGATCAAAATTAAAGAATAAAATTTGGCACTCTGGTCATTATATTTAATTTTGATTTGCAAATTAAGGTCGAGGGGAAGGGTCTCCTCTTATCGCGCTGGTGTGAAAAATATTTCAGCTGAAGTTTCCATATTTTGTCTGTGAACTAACTGAATACATCTTATAGCTTGTAGCAGGATATAATTCCGTGACCAATATTATCACAGTCGCTGCGCGCTGGACAAAATGTGTGAAATTTATACTTTCGATCGCTGTCCACACGGGTGGTCTGGCCAAAAATCATTTTCAAAAATCAAAAAAGAGAATTGGAGCACAACTGAACTATTTTTGAAACACGTGTCCTAAACCCTTTTCATGGGCAAAAAAAATAAAATAAAACTGTTTTTGGACGGGAAGTCGAGACGACCACTCTTAGCGAAAGCGGCACAGAAATGATATAGACAAATTTTCGTCCTGGTATACACAAATTTACGACAGGTTTTTAATCGATATATGATTTGTTCCGAACAAATTATAATTTGCCCTTAGAATTTTACCATATCGTTTTACACTTTGGCAAGTTCCTTTCAATTTGTTCTAAAATTGCTTAATTCAAATGCGAGGGAACTGATCAGATTTCGGTGGCCTGGCGAAGATAGCATATAACTTCGACTTCGAAATGCAGTTTGGACTCCTTGAACCTTCAAGGAACTTGTAACATTAATATGTTACGCAATCGCCTTAATTACGTGACTTGTGTTAGCCAATCGTGCGCGTTAACTACCATGTGCTTTAAGTTGCGGAAGCTGTGGTGACTTCACCTTGGTAAAGTCTTGGATTCCGACTGCCTTTGTGCGAGTCATTACGATGGAATCGTAATATGGTGTCAGGAGACTTATTCTAAATTATCCTCGTCCTCGAGCCTTTAAGAGTGACGCGCAAAACGTGAAAATCGAGAAATTCCGACAACGCCGGCAAATTCGAACACCTCTGGCTCGACCACTGGTTCAACACAACATGTTTCCTTTACCGACTTTTACGTCGAAAGTAACCAAGCTCAAGCTCAAGCTCTGACAACTGGAAAAATGGAAGCAAGTATGGACGCTTACGAAACCGTCACGAAGTTAAACGAGAAAGAAAGCGGATTTCGCGTAGCGACTTTCATCACATACATTGGCGCCGACGCGCTCGAAGTACACATTGGTTTGCCGTTTCGTACCGAAGATGAGAAATAGGACATAAAAGTTGTTTTAGTTCTATAGAACTCCCATTATATTGGCCAGAAGAATGTCATCTATAAACGCTACAGGTTCAACAACCGAAAACAAGAGCCTCACGAATCAATTGATGTTTATGCGACGGCACTGCAATCTTTGGTTCGAAACTAGAGTATTGCGAGCTTTGAACTCGAAAGCGCCACCGAAACGAAGCAACAATAATCCAAAACAACCCTTACCTGAATCCAAAGGATATTGAAATATTTTAAACACTGCGGAAGAAGCCACATCAAGCAATGCATCAAATGACCCGCGTTTGGAAAGGTGTCCCGTGCTTGCAACAGGCCAAACCATTTTGCCGAAATGTGCAGGAGTGCTCCCGATAGAACTAGCCGGCCACGGAACGATGTTAACATGGTAGACCCGGATTATTCATCCGAAGAAGAATTGCTGTCCGTAACCTTCGACTCGACTGAAGGAAATGTGCATACGGTCCACGAAGACAGCCTTCCTGAAAAGAAAATCTTCGCGACGATGGAAATTGCAGACGAAATTGTCCAAATGCAGACTGACACGGGTACTTTGTGTAATGTTTTGCCTCAGAAGTTTGTGCCGTCAGGAACTAACTTTGTTGAGTCTGACCGTACTTTGAAGATGTACAGCTACTCTACAATGCCCGTTTTAGGAACATGTCGAGTGAGCATACGTAACCCGAAGAACAAGAAATACAATGCTGCATTTGTTGTTGTGAAAGGCGATTACACAGTGCTGATTGGATCTCGCGCTTCTCAGCAAATGAATCTAGTAACAGTGCGGCAAGAGAACATTCAGCAAGTCACCACTAACACTGCAGGTCTTAAAGAAAAGAAAGAGGAGTTTGGAGATGTTTTCAAAGGACAAAGCTGCATGGAAGGAAAGCTTCACCTCGAAATTGACATGACAGTCACACCGATAATCAACCCACCTCGCCGAGTTCCGTTCGCAATCAAGGATAAATTGAAGTCGGAACTAGATCGCCTAGAGGGACTACAAACAATTCGCAAAGAAGAAGAGCCTACCAACTGGGTGTCAAGTCTCTTTGGGGTTGAAAAGCCCAATGGAACATTGAGAGTCTGCATTGACCCGGTCTACCTGAATCAGGCACTGAAGCGGTCACACTATCCTATAGAAGATGTTCTTCCTGATTTAGCCGATGTCAAAGTCTTCAGCAAAGCAGACCTCAAGGATGATTTCATGCATGTTGAGCTCGACAACGAGTCAAGTTTGCGGACAACATTCCAGACGCCATGAGGACGCTTCTGTTGGAAACATGCCATTTGGAATCTCACCTGCCCCTGAGCTGTTTCAACAAAGGCTTGATCAGAATTTAGAAGGGCTGCCTGGTGTACGCAGAATTTTTGACGACCTGCTGATCACAGGAAAGGGTGCTATCCTGTCAGCAGCATCGCCTGACCATGATAAGAAGTTATGGAGCCTCTTGAAAAAATTCCACAAAGTACACAATGGTTTGCCATTTCGTACCACCGTGATCGGAAAGCTGCAGAAACGTTTCGCCACCCATGGAATTCCTGATACATTCCACAGTGACAATGGATCGCCTTTTAATTCGAATGAATTTTCAGCTTCTGCCGCAATGTACGAGTTTGAATACGTGACCAGTTCATTGGAGTATCCGAAGAGCAAAGACAAAGTCGAAAATGTAGAAAAGACGTCCAATAATTTGATGTAGAAGGGTGCTAGTACCAACTCAGATTTCCAGCTTGTTATTATGTCACGCAATCGCCTTATATCACATGACTCGAGTTAGCCAATCATGTGCGTTAAGTACCATGTACTTTGAGATTCACTTCACTTGTAAGTCGTGAAAGCTGTAGTGACTTCGCCTTCTTAAAGTCTTGGATTCCGACGACCTTTGTAATAGTTATTACAATGAAATCGTAATAGAACTATTTCTATTGACTGGTGAAAAAAGTTTTTCTACCGCATGCTTCTCGTGGTACATAAAGCGTTTTAGACTGACTCCTTATTACATATCGTCCATGAGCAGAATACTTTTAATATATCATTTATTATTCCTCTCTTCATTTTAAGAAACAAAAGTCGTCGATGTGCGAGGTAAACCTCTCAGCCGAGGTACAGTTAAAGGAATGGCTTATGCCAAATTTAAGGTTCACAAGTTTTCCTACCTCAACATCACTGCTATTGGCTCGCATTATGTTGGAAAGGGCAGTGAGTGTGGATTTGCTTGCGTCAACATTCCGTCGTGTTTTTCGTTTAACCTGGCTGAATTTCAAGATATCAATGGCAAAGTTCTGTGTGAATTACTTCCATCGGATTTGTACAACAACTCACACAAGCATGTCCCTATTCAGAGTCACCATCACTTTAGTATCGCAGTAAGTTGGAAATGAAAAAAGTTTTTCAATCTGTTTTTGTGAAAGGAAAAGGAGAGGAATCGTAGACAAATGCTCATGGACGTTTTTATTTTTTACCTTTTTAATAATACGCCTAAAGACTAACTGGTCCAATCTGACAACACTGGCCATGTATTTTTCTTTTGAAGTTTCTCCTTAGTTTAAGGAGGGCAGTGTGTTTAATCGCAGAAATAGGGAGAGGGGTTATTTGAGCAGAAGACTTAAAAAGAAATTTGGGTATTAGCGAGGAAGGTTTATTGAGAGATACTGACTCTATCTGTAAACACGGTCCATGATGATCTATAAAATGATTGGTGCCACATCTTTCTCGTTTCTTTCTTATTGTTATATGTTCTCTTTAGTCTCCATGTTTCAAATGGCCTTGTCAGAACAATGGGAAATGTGCGGCACAGTACGAGAAGAACAGTTACGTGTGCGTTTGCGCGAAAGGATACACAGGGGAACATTGTGAAACGGGTGAGATACAATTTAGTGTACATTAACAAGACTGCTTCAAACTTAACTGACGGTGTAATTCTCTTTCATTACCGGAGAATGACTCAAAGCTTAGCTGTTTACCGCTCTCTTGTCCTCGTTGTATATTTCCAAATTCTCCCGTTAATTAACTCCCAGGTTAATTTCGTTTTTCCTTCAGATATTGACGAGTGCAGTGCTTCCATCAGGCCCTGTGACGTCAATGCAAACTGCCAGAACAGTTATGGCTCCTACACATGTTCCTGCAAAAGTGGATTTTATGGGAATGGAAAAACATGTATAAATAAGCCCTATTTGTTAATAATCTTTTAGTCACACTTCTCAGATTCAGTTTATTAGTTAAGCTATAACTAATTCCTCTCTACGAGTTTTGATCATTTCATCTTTTATAAATAGGCTCGCGCTTACTGATAAAAAACAAAATTTTTATCTCGAAAAGCTTGTGACTACCGGTGTAAAGCTTTCAAAGACTTGTTTGACAAAGAGCGAGAAGATAAAGTAGCAAAAAATATACGGTTTATGAAGCATGGGATTATCGTTTTGCAATAGTTAAGAACCATTATTTACTTCACATTTTTAAATTTTCTGGCCGATTGTGAATATCAGAAGGCAAAACCGAGCGAGTGCCCCCCCCCTTTTTGTTTCCTCTGGAAAACTATAGTTAGAAAGAGAGGCTCTTAAAATTGCAATCGGTGTCTTAAATCCTCCTAGTTATATCGATTTACCTCTGACTCAAAAGGTAGCCTTCAAAGAGTGTCTTAATGGGGTGATGGCTTTTACGGCTAACGATTAAGATTTTGGCCAATTTGCATCTAACTTTTATATCTTTTCATTATAGTCACCCGAAAGATTTTACGGAAAGAAAAATCAGAAAAACAGAAGAAGGGTGAAATCATTGCACAATTCGTTTCAAGCTATGAAAAGAATACGAAGCTAACAACTACAATATTTCTATCATATGCCAGAAAGACGTAGACAAAAATTTAAATGTTCATACACGATTATTAAAAAAAAGAAAGTATTAGAACTGTTCTTTTAATGCAGGCTGGACTCTCATCGCTCGATTCTCAAACAGCGATGGCAAGAATTGGATGCGTGACGATGGATTTTGGTGGTATAACCGACAAATTGCCACTGGAACGACAAACAACCCTTTAGTGAACGACGATATGATTTCAACAGCCTTTTGGTCGATCAGCGGCAGAGAAATAAAGATCACGCGCAGTGACGACCCCAGCCACAACCCTTTGTTACAGACCACAGGTAACTGTTTGGGTGGACAAACATTCCGATCTAAAATCACAAGTTATGGCGACTTTAGAAATGGCAAGGTCTGGGCCAGTGATCAGTGTCTGGGAAGTTGTACGGTTCAATATGGCGGACAATATAATTCAACAGACGGGTTTCAACAGGCTGATTGCAATGGAAACATCCAGAGCGCTAAGAGGATCGGCTTCTGGTGTGACTGGGAAAGTGGGGATGGAGCAGTGGTGATGATTGGTGGGGGAGGAAGTAGCTGTGCACGTGCTGATCATGGGATTGGGATCACAGAAACTAACGAAGCTTCTTTTGTTGACCTGGGAAGCATTGCCACTGAATATGACTTTGGTTACGATGCTAACATAAATAACGCTCCAGCCCAGTCTTACTCGTTGAATTTGTGGATCCGTTAGAAATTAAAAGATCTTTCTTTTTCAAACTTTGTTCAGAACTGAAGAACGTTGAAAAGGATGATGTTGCTTATTTCTTGTCACCTACCTCCACTGTGATACAAGAGGGGGGAGGGAGGGATTAGTTGCAACCCTCCCTCGCGTTTTCGTTCCGTTGCAATATTTAAAAAGTTTTTACATCTAACAGAGAGCCGTTTATGTCGTCTACAAGATGTTACTAATATCCTGGGATACATATGCAAATTGCGCTGCTCTGTTTCAATGACGTATTCCGACATGGCAGACTTTTTTAGATATTTCATTTTTTTCACTATAAGTTTTTGCTTTTCAAAAGAACAGTAACTGTCGAAGCTGACAGGAAAATAGAAAATAAGACTAAGGGATTACTGTCCTTTACTTTAAAAATTAAAACCATTAATCTTTCGTAGCTCACGTCAACCCTTAAACCACACCTAACTTGTTAGTAATAGAGTATCTCCTACATCTATTCGAAGATTTCTGCCAAGTTCACAGCAAATATGTCTCATGATAAACAAGATGCTATTGAAGTGGACATTCGCCCGGATAAAATCCTCTTGATAAAAAGGGGGGGGGGAGGTGGCACTCATTCCCCCCCTTCCTTGTACGTCAGAGGGTTAATTAATGAGCATTTTGTGAAAGTTCAGTTCTCGTTCAGTAGCAAAGCTAAAATGACTTGATTTATATGCCAGTCGCACTGCTTGGATCTAAATATTTTAAGATTTTCGCTGATTTCAAATATTCACACAAAGTCAATGTCAGCATTATGAATTATTTTAAATCTGACTCAAAACTCATCCGTTCAAGGAGATTTGAAAAATGCCTCAGTGACTTGTTAGTGATTTGAGATGAAATATGCAAACTATTAAAAACGTAATCAGTTATTTGGTTAGTTAATTGTTCAAGCAATATGAAAACTACTGCTGTGAAAGAAAAAACTGTGGAGCTGCGTCGGTGGGAGAGTATAACAGGGTAATTTAGTATTATCAAATGAGTTGATAGCTGACGTTTCGAGCGTTAGCCAACCGTCAGACGAAGAGTTAACGCTGGAAATGTCAGCTTTTAAACTCTTTATGGTGGCTACTTTACGTTATCAACTCGGTAATAACATTAAATGACTACTATTTTGAAAGGATGGGTTGAAAATTAAATCTCCAATCGCTGGTCTGCAACCACGGGTATTCAACCGCTGGTCTCGTCGAATAAAAATCAGGCTTAAATATCCATGGCAATGGAAATATTACACCAGCATAATGCAAGATAACATACTCAGAGAGTTAGACTGTTCATGAGTTGTCTTGGATCTGCATTCCAGGCCTCTTTCTGGTTTTTTTAGACCATAGGATATCTGGTGTATTTTCCAATCAGCTCGGTTACCCTGTTCGTACAAAATTTGCATGAATTTAACTTCTTAATAATAAAGAATTATCGTTTGTCTCACGATGTGGTCACTTATGATGTAAATCGCGACGTTTTGACTGCGTACTGCTAGTCTTCATATTATATACTTTAGTATTATTGTACTTTACCATGATGAACAAACACAACCTTTATATGGAATTTAACTTCTTGTTTAACTTCTCAAATAGTTTACTTTTTTGGGGGTTGGACAATTTTTTTTTAGAATCTGGGACGGTAGGAAAAAAAGCGATGGTTTCTAATTCGAGTGGTTTCCGGACAATTGAAAAGCATCCTTGAACTAAAAGTTTTATTTACAGTGGCCGTGAGTATTGTTCTATGGACTCACGCGGTGATCTCTCAGACGAATACAATACTATAGCTTATTGATAATAGATTGGAAGGTCTTTTGTGAAATCAGACGTATCCATGACTTTCAAGATTAACAATTGTTTGCAGTGAAGTAGCTATATTTTTCGATGTTTCCCTTTAAGTTCAAACTTACACCATTCCTATTTTCTTTTCTGGTGTTTGGTCTTTCACAAGCGAGCTACAATGTTACTATTCTGATTTTTCACAATGCTCTTCCTAATGAAAGCATCGTTGAGAAAGCGCGTCATATGTTTCAACTGGATAGTTTCCCACAAACATCTAAAGTGATAAACTTAACATGGTTGCAGACCAATGCATCCCAAGTTAAACGCAGAAAAGTGGGAGTCCTAGGCACACTACATTTCCTGCAAAATCTTGATGATTTATTGGATGGGGCAATTTTTCACGAGGTCACCAAAGAATCGATTGCTTTCTCTTCACTCTTGGAAATATCAGGCATCCCAACATTTGGTCTTTTTCAGGATCAAGAAGTTCTCTTAACTCAGGTACAAATATAAAATGTCGTCCATGAAATTAAGGAATACATGAGAGCAAGCAAGAAATAACGTTTTTTAAATCTAAATCTTGCCAGTCTGTCTCTAACTTTGCCCAAATCGAGCCAAATGTAACCATCTATGTTTGAGTTCATGAATTTTTAATGTTCTTTTGTGATGAATGTAAAAAAAAATTGATGAAGAAGTTTTAAAATTACCGAGTTGAGGAGAAATTTATGATATTTATGATATTTATGATATTTATGAAGAATTGAAATAGATATTCGAAATCAGGCCTCCCGAATTTGATGGTGAGACTCCATTTGATCGATCTTGACGCTGAAGGAACTCTTTGTGTCGCAAAAGCACTCACAATTTAGGGCTCCTTTAGGTTACTTCTCCTTTGAATTGATTCCTGTCATATTTCCTTTTCTTTTAGGAGAATCCTGGTGATTTTACCAAAGATGCCTTCCCTTCGATCTCCAGTTGTGTTGCCGCAGTTCAAAAAATAATTATGAAACAACGATGGCGAACTCTTTTTTTTGTGTTTTCCGCCGATAACGAGGGAAAAATATTTGCTGATGGTATGCTTTACTACGCTGCTAAGGCGAAATGGAAAATAATTAAAACACTCTGGTTGATTGATGACACGGTTACAAATCGCACAAAATCTGACCTTCGAGAAGTAATCTCAAAAGCAAGCGACGCTGTGATTATGCACAGCAGGCTGAGCCACCATGACCATGCGCAGTTGTTTGAGATAATTGCAACGGGAGCGGACGACAAGCAGAGGACGACTGTTTGGGTTATTACAGAGATGACCAGCTATTTGACAACGGGTCCTCAGGTGATTACTCCAGGAATGCTGAAAGTAACGCTTAAAAGTCCTGGGAAATATCGTGACGTCATTGCTTATGATAATGTTCTTCGAGATGCTATGTCGCTGTTTCAACTTTCCTTTGAGGAAAGTGTCACAAAATGTATCCAAAATTCAAACCTGGAGAACTGCATGAAAGACAGCAAGCGCGAGACAGTAAGACGTGTTGCCAGAAGGTATTTATCTTCATTGTTTAAAAAACTATTATAGAATCAAACCTGTTTTTAGTTAGGAAATTAAAAATTATCTTTATCATCTAATCATGTAAAATTATCAATCTGTCCTCAAGGAATAAAGGGGGCAAGTTTCTAAAGAAATTGTGGTACTGTATATTAGCGTGGTAAGATAGAGAAGCACAAACTTAGAAATAATAAACCCAAAGGAAACCAGAATGATTAGGCATGGAAAAGATGGGCGCATATTGTGAATGAATCGTTGACAAATATCCTTATTTTCTTAACTTTGTCTTACGACACGGAATTGACAATCGTTGCGCTGTTTCTCACCGCAAATTGACGCTTAATTATGTTTTTTAATTTCCTTGGTTAGACACTTGGCTCAGAGTGCGGTTTTGGGTGCAAGCAATCTCTACGATGAACAGGAATCCAACGAAAATACAACAGCCTTTACAATTTGGAATTTGAAAAAGGATATAACTGGCACAAAGAAATGGTCTCGGACAGGAATGGGAACAGCCACTGGCTTGGCCATGGAGAGATTCATAGCTCCCAACGGGAAAACAATAGAACCTATTTCTAAGCCACCAAGGCCCGTTGTTCACGTGGCTGTGAACGAGTACCCACCATTTGTCTACAAAGATGACCCTTCAGAGACCGAGGAGTGTCTTGGAAGGTTCGTTCCCTGTTATGAGTACAGCCAGGGGGACTATTTGGCAGATTCTACACCAAACAAATTTTGTTGTTTCGGAATCTCAATAGATTTTTTATCGCTTCTGCAACAAGATCTTAATTTTGATGCAGACATTTATTTTGCTCCCGATGGACAGTTTGGAATTGTGAATGACAGTGACGGTTCTTGGAATGGAATTGTTGAGGAGTTGATCACTGGGAAGGCGACGCTGTCATTGGAAATGGGCATGAATAAACGTCGAGCAGAGGTGATCAGTTTTGCTCATCCCACACTTCTCCTGGAGCTTGGTATCCTAGTGAACAAGAATCCACCAGAAGGTACAAAATTGTGGTTTTTTAGCCATTCATTTTTTATATCATTTTCAAAAATTCGTCGGTAAAAAGATCGGAAAGAGGTTTGCTAGTATCTCGAAATTTTCTGACTCTATTTAGTCAAAAGTGCTTTCAGATAATGCGCATGCGTTTGAAAACCAGAATCAGATAAGGTAGTAAGATGAATTCTCTTACACGTTGGATTGCAACATTCTTCGTTCATTCCAATTCTACCACAACGTTTAAGTCCACTTTTTGATTGGTTTCCTCGGATGGTTTCCATCCTGAAATAGCATGAAGTCAAAGATGAGTTTTTGGTTAACATATTTCAGAAGTCAATCAAAACCATTGGCTGAAGCCGTTTCACACATGTCTATGGCTGACTCTGATGGCAACTGCCTGTATTGTTTCCCTTGTGGTATGGTGGTTGGACAGGAAAAGTCCCCTGGGTTATCATTACATGCTGAAGGACAGTGACGAGGAAGGATTCACATTACTAGGTACTCTTTATAAATTGGCAATAAAGTAAACTCAACTCTCCTTATTAAGTTTAGTTTGGTATTATTGGAGCCTCTCTAAGCCTTATTCTTGTAAGGGCAACGGTGCCACTTCTAATTGGTTCTGTATCAATCCCAGGTCTTTAAATGAGCTAATGATACAACCTTAGTACCATAACAACTGTCAAGCATCCTTTAAGACATTTTTGAAAGACCTTATTCATATCGTTAAAAGTTAGCCTTTACTGAAAAAATTTTCCAATACAGAAAATAATCAGCAAGGACTGCATATTAGCCAAAATATTCAGAATTTGTTTTTTCACTTGCTTTCTCACAAGATTCCATCAGTTACGTGGGTGGACTGACATTTGGAAAAGACATTGGACCACAGAGAACTCCTCGAAGTACCAGTTCGAGGCTGGTGTCTTGTGTGTACTCCTTTCTCGCTGTTATCCTGATCAACTCATACTGTGCTAACCTGACAGCATTCCTTGTGAAAGAGAAGGTTGATCTTCCAATAAGTGGGATTGATGATCCTAGGGTGAGATTTTAGAACTGCAACCTTTTGAATAGACAATATCATGACTCACTGAATGACTGATTGGTAAGATACGGACAGCCAAAGTCACTAATTTGAGTGGCTGCCTGGCTGACAGACTGATCGACCGAACGAGTAACAAAGAGTCTGTCCCTCCATCCTTGCCACCGACTGACTACATTACTTTATCACTGAATTTATTAACAGCCATTTGCGGATGTTACAGCGAAGGCAGCGCATTCTCTTCAGTTTTTTTAAGGCCCTTAGTGTTGATCTGGTTGGGGGCTTGAAACTTTGATCTTTCCCACGGCAGTCGGGCGCTCTTAAACTTCCCGAGCGGTTTTAATTTGGGCCACTCAGCTCAAAAGAAAATTAACTAAGCCACTCTCTAGTATTGGTTTGGTCCCAACAAATCCGACATATCATTTACATTTGTTTACCTCTGAATTTAGCTTATCTCAGAACCCGTCACGTTTATGGTTGGTGCGGTGAAAGGTTCCAATGAAGAAGACTATTTCAGACATCACGTTAACCCATCATTCCGTAAAATTTATGAGATAAATCTGCAAAAGAACACATTGAAAAGCCTAGATTCTGGAGTAACACTGATGAGAAATAGGTAAGGATCTACTTCCTATCAAACATATCTTAGATTTCGAAGGGTGAGAAAATTTCTAGAACTAGAAAATACTGTTATAAGATTTGGGTTTCAACAATTCTTACCAGTGATAGTCCGTCCAAGTAGTCATATATTCTTGATATCCTACCATTCGTGACATTGTTTCCTTTCACACCATCTCTTGATAGTCCAATTTTCGAGTTTCTGATTGAGAGATGCGACGATTAAATTAGTGTTTCGTGCACTTTCACCAATTATCGATACGTGCTTCATGAATATTATTTATGTATCACGTCATTTTACCTAGATCTATTTCAATTAGGTTTTCATATATTTTAATTATTTTTTTGTTGCAAATATAAAGACAATAGCTTCTCTCTTTCTTCCTGTTATAATATACTTTTCATTCAATAGTTTCATCACCTACTTCAATCAAAATTCGTGCAAAATTCAGCTCATCGTATGAATAATTAATTTCCTTTCAGCACCATTCAAGGGTTAGTTGGAGATTATCTAACTCTGAGAAAAATCGTGAACTCCGACAGGAACTGTAGTTTCAGTTTAATAAAAGATCACACCTTTAAATCAGGATACGGTTTCGCGCTACCAAAGGACTCCCCCTGGGTGAAAGATGTTTCTCTTTCCGTCCTTAAACATCAAGAAAATGGGTCAGTGAAATCGATCGAGGATCGATGGTTTCCCAAGAGCACTTGTATTGAAATCAAGCATCGACCGTTTTTTCCAATCCATTTTTCCAGTCTTTTCTGGGTTGTGCTTACCGTCATGGCATTCTCAGTGCTTGCTCTACTCGCAGAAATACTCATCGCGTTTATCTTGGTTAAGTATGGCAAGATGCTTGGGCCCTTTGGACGGCTCCTAAAGAGATTTCTGTTTGATGTGAAGAGAGGAGAGGAGGATTTGCTTACGCTCCATTACCCCGGAAAGCAAAAGACCAGCAATTATGGTATCACTGAGGGACCCTTTACTTACCAGAACCAAGGGTTTGTGGAAGATTATGACTTGGAAAGAAGTTTCGCTTCCAAGCGATAGTTTTGTGTGGAACTTCCGACTGTCTTCCTCCGAGGACAGCCAGTTAGCTTCCACAGTCACCCGTGCAGAACATTTCCTGAGTTAATCGTAAGTTTAAGAGGAAAAAAGCAGACTGGTTGACTGATCGCCTGACTGACTGATCGACTGACTGACCAGCTGACTAACTGACTGATTGATAGACTGATTGATTAATTGACTGACTGAATGAATGACTGCCTGATCGGCTGACCATCTGACTGAATGACTGTTGAATGACAAGTAAGTAAGCAAGTAAATAAACCCTTTACTTTTACAAGAGAATCTTTCAGTGTTGAAACAATGCTGATCTTAGCAAGACGTCCAGTGATAAATAAAAATCGAATTTGACTGATCGTACTTATAGATTGAGTGAGTGACTGATTGACTGATTGACTTTTTTGAGCGACTAACTGAATGACTAATTGACTGAGAGGTAATTTAGTGTTAACAACTGAGTTGAAAACGTAAATTGGCCACCGTAAAGACGAAGGGCCCTGACGAAGGGCTAACGCTCGAAACGTCAGCCTTTCAACACTTTACGGTGGTCAATCCACGTTTTCAACTCAGTTGTTAACACTAAATTACCTGTTATACTCTCCCACCGACGCAGCGCCACAGTTTCTTTGGAAACTAATCCCCTTCATTACTTGACTGATAAACTGACTTCTTGACTGACTGACTGGTCGACTGACTAATCGACTAACCAACCAACTGACGATTGAATTACATTTACCAACTATTACTAAAGAACAGACCAGAATCTACTTTAAAACTGTTATGATTTATTTAAAACCTCTTGCAGAGTGAATTGACATAAAAGTTACCAGATACTTCGTATCGGCTAAAAAAATCTCTTATTAAATAAACAGCCGATCAGCAGCTGTGACATTACAAATATTTCCGATGTTTTATACAAATTTTCCCTCAACTGAAATAGTGGTTTAGAATTTTTAATCTACTTACTTATTGGACTTCCTTTGTGAAATATTAAGTAATTAATTAAAAAGAGTAAGCCAGAAGAAAATTCGATGTGATATCAGTCTTTGCTCCTAAATTTTCGCATGATCTCGACACACTAAACACTTTCAAAAGATTCAGGACAATTAAGACTTCCTATCCGTTCAAAAGAGTACATTCATTAGCATCACCAGCGGTCATACTTGTTTCTTGAAACAAAAGAGAGCGAATGCATCGACACTTCAACTCTGACAAGTGCGTGGATGGCAGACTGTTTATAGTGTATATAAAACAAAATGGCTGCTGATGTAATTTTCAACCGAGTTGCAAAAATCATCCTACATTGAACCGGTTTTCATTTTCAGTTTTAACAGGGCGTCCCTGTAATTGATCAGGAAAACATGACCCTCAGCCAATAACATCTAAAATTAAAACCAACCAGGACTTATTCACTCACGTTTTCTCATTCTTTGTAGAATTAACTGTTTTTTGTTGTTGTTTTGTTGTTGTTGCAGTTTTTTTTCTTTTTCATTTTGACTTCTAAATAACTTCCTCTACTATTTTCTTTTGTTCTGACTACCCACTACGATCACCATTTCCTCTCTCATTAATTTGGATTTGATTTTACAACTCTCCATCGAAAATCGCTACACGGCGCTATGACTGCACTCTATGAACTTACTTTATTTTTATCTGTATGTAAGAACTAAACGAAAACACTCTAAATATCAGGCTCTCATTGGGCCCTTATGATCGACAGCGTTTTGAACGTAAGCATGCGATACTGAATGGCTAATGCCGTTAATAAATTACTTTTTTTTCAATAAACAATTGAATATGAAGAAATAAATACCTTACCGAACAATTAAACAAAAAATATGAAAACTTGAAAATAAATAAGAAATTAAATTTATAAACTTTTCTCGTACCAACGGTAATATTTTCTCAAATCTAAAAGCAAACTTCTACACGTAACACATTTTCCGTGAATTTTCGTAAAATCCAACTGTAACAAGATAATTTGACAATTTGCAATATTCTTATTACCAATGCACTCAATACAACGAAGGGAGAAATTACATCTTGACCACCTGTGGGAAGGGAGGTTGGAATTACCCCTTTCATCTCCAAGCTCGAAGCTTAATTTCTCCCCACGCATATTCGTACATTTCGCATATCGTGGTTGTTATGATTAAGTTCACCAGCAGTGCATTAAGTATACAATTAATTACCATGAACAACCTAATTCAATCTGTTTTGTGTCAATTACTAATGACTCTTGAAATTCTATTCGCGTGCGTTTTTTAACTCATATCAAAGCCCTAACTTGGAGATAAAAGTGCCCATTTACCGATTTTCATTCAATTCTTGTTTCCATTGGGACTTTAAATTTGGTATGACTTACCCAAAAAAGTTAAACAAAACTTGAATGAAAGTATGTTATCCCCATACTTCAAGTTTATGTGCTAATGTTATCACCAAATTGCGTGCACATTTCTCTTGACCGAAATATCGTCGAAACTCTGCTACGACAGACACCTAACAATTGCGTGACAAGAAGCGACTTAACATTTCACTGTACGTTCTCACGCAATGGTGGTGGGATATGCAGTGAGATCTTTCTCGTATAAAACCAATAAACATGTAAAACGTCACTATTTGAATTTTTCCAGCTGTGGATCTGAGTGTGCCAGCACAAACACCAGGTCTGTTTGCTGAAGTACAAAGTTGTATGGCGGCGAGCAAATCACGTACCGTTTGGCAGACGGAATTCCAATGTTGATTTTGTTACTGTCACGGAAGCGGTAGAGACCCAGGCAGATCATAGACGAGGACTGCAAGGCGTGCAAAAACATGTCGCCAAACTTGCCACCATCCTGTGGAGAAAATAGAAATGATTACACACAAATTAATCCAAGAAGGAAGGCCATAACACAAGCTATTCCCAATAGATCTTTAGGTCATCCACAGCCGCTTAACTCATCAAGTGAGGAAATGCTAACCAAAAGCGCGACAAGGAGCGACCGCGGATCATAATACAAGAGTATAACTTCAGTTTGGGGCTCGAACCCAGGATCGAAAAAAAGCAGTATTACGCTCTGCCACTCAAGCCAACCAAGGAACAGCGATGAACTGAAGAAGACTTACTCCGTACTGCGCCAGTGGACCATCAAACAGCGATATCTGCACAATTTTACACCGGCTCCTGGTGTCTGCTGTCTGTGCAGCGTCTAGGCCTCCTCTTAGCTCGTCTCCTTCAGCGATATGTTCCTCTAGAAACTGGTTCACGCCACCGGTTACCAGATTCCGAACGAGCGTTAGCACGTCTGGGTTGAAGTAGCTCTGTGACAAAAGTAAGTGATTGGAATCAACATTCTCTTTGCTACAACTAAGAGGAAAAGTCACGGAGAAAGGTTCACGAATTACAAAAGAAGAGCAAGGAGGGATTTTTTTCGTCACTCTGTTATCCGCCATTAGCGCCCCCCCGGGAACCGCGATTTTACAGAAAGACTGTTCAATAATTCCTGACAGCAGCCAACTCGAATCCCTAAAAACATTGGGTCGATCATTTAAACAAAGTTTAGCAGTTGTTTAATAAAACCGCGTTCCAAACGATCCTCGCTTTAGATGAACCTTTTAAGGGCATAAAGCTGACATTGGAAGGAAATGTAATAAATTAAATCAACCCTCATACAGAGAAAGCCTAACGCCCACTATTCGTGTAAAACCGTGGTTTGGATTAGACCCCGTGCAAATTACCGGCCCATAATGCTTTACCTCGTGACCACTGACGAAAATGAAAAGCCATGGTTATTTTGTGTCCTTGTGAGACGACTGAACTCCCGTAACCCCACAATACTTCCCCCATCCCTCCACGGTAAGTCCCCTTCATGGCAGATAATCGGTTCAAATTCTCACCGGGCAGTTATATTCTTCCACAAAATCGCTTATCTTACGACAGTTTAATCTTCGCAGCTATCATTTGGTTAACTGCGCATGAACATTTTTAATTCTCTTCTCAGCTACTCACCGCGCTCATCAACGAATCCAGCATGGAGACAGTAAAAGCTGTACCACAAGCGAACGGCTGGGTGAGGTAGAGTTCAAGGTCGTCATCGTCTTCGTCATCAATATCTAGGTACTGCACACTCTGGTCAAAAGCTGAAAATGTCGTGCAAGTCTAAGACAGGTATTACGTCTTGACGCATTTTACTCAAGGACTTTCTCATGCTTTAACTTCCCATATCACCAGCTAACGAAGCCTGACACCATCTACGTAATGTTGAGTTGAACTTTAAGAGCAAAATAAAGTCTGCCACAACGCAGAAAGGCTAAATTGGTGATGGTTTCAGCAAGGAAGAAAAAGCGCCACATTCGAAAGCAAAAGTATTGGAAAGTTTCGCCTTCTAAAATTCCTCGCTCTTAGATGTAAAAGGAAAACAACAAACTAAAAAGAGAAAGATTAGTGCCGCCCTGGAGCAGGTATCGTAGCGACAAGTCTACAAATTTAATACGCGCCTCTTGCCAGTTCGGTAAAGTATGGACTCATTCTATCTCTATCGCGTTACAATAAATCATCGCAGATTACTCCAAAGCAATTTGTCAAGTTTTTCTATAGTTTGCCGGTACCCAATCAAATGCCTGAGCGGAACCTCCAACTACTTATACTTCCTTATGCCCTGCTAGTGTCTGCATCCCGTTCTCTATCCGAATGGCACCCCTACCAGGGAAACTGTGTAAGGCAACTAAAGCGATTCCCATGTAATAAAGAAGGCACCTACCAACTTCTGTGATTATTGGGACATTGCATCCATAAGCTGAACCTCTTCTCTCCACTTGCGGTGCCTCGTGAAACTCTGGACCCGCAAAAGCATTCCTTGTACTCTCGCTTAGCATTCCAACCGCGTCGTCAAATGACATGGCTTTCAGATTCAACGACGCTAAAATCGATTCCTTATCGGCCAGCTTCGGGTCGTCGGTTTTTCTAGCCGTAGAAGGCGACAAAAAAACGACCATGTCCGCCAAGTTTGCATTGACAGCCCGCAGATCCGCTCGGCAAAATGGAGAGCCCTGAAATATCGAATATTAGACCGTAACAATCACGATTCCGAGTAAATTCACAGTTACCTATATATAGCATGCAGTGAAGGCGTCGTATTGTCACAAGTCAATCACGTGGGACGTGCTTCCTACATACGACATAACAAAAAGTTCGGAATACGCGAACCTCGACACGAAGGGAATCCACGCTATCCTTCTTTGTTTAAGTAAGACAGCACAGTTCTAAGAGAGATGGCTAGCGTTTCTAAAAAGACCCGAAAACTCTTCGAAGCCCAATCCAACTGATTTTCTCGAACCCAAAATTTCCGTGCGCTTTCAGGAGGTTCATAGCAAAGGAGTACGCTACGGAATGGTCTCAGGGCCAGAGAACTTTCCGAATCATTTGAGAAACGCACGCCTGTTCTCCTTCTCATTTAATGATGAGTGTCAGAAGAGTTGATGACGGTTAATAAGGGTGTATGTGTGACATTCCTACTCACCGGAAGAACGAAAACATCCTCAAAATTGCACAACTGATGCCACTGAAATTATAAAACAAAACATTTAAAGATGCTACATGAGTAAGCTACAAGGACCTAATTTCCTTTGGGCTTATTTCTTTTCTTTCGTGCAAGGGGCTCGGTTGGAATTGTCGTAATCTGCAGCGTGAGTTTGGACGATTGACTACAAAGTATACACATCATAAAGTACACATTTGATAAGTCGACAAAAAAGCATTTGTTGAGTCACCGTGGTTTTTGTTTTGTATCTGATTGCACAATGGTGGCGAGAAATTGTAAGATCAATCAACGTGCGTAGTTTATCAGAACCGACAGAATCCCGCTTACTTGCAACACTCAGTTGTAAATTGCTCTGAACGATTGACATTACACTTATCACGCTCAATGTACCAGCCTCATCAAAGGCAGCTGTCTCATTGCACCATACCTCTCTCGCCATGTACTCCTTGTTTCCAAGAAAGACAATTTTCTTGAGTTCAGATTGCAGCAGATTGCTAGCTCTTAAAGGTATGACCTAGGAGGTAAAGTGAAAAGTCAATAAAACATTAGATCTCAAATTTCACGAGACCATCTACACAAAATAAAAAACGCCCGTGCATTCTCCGGTGTCTTGACGATGAAGCGACGAGGAGTATTGCTACTCCCCTTGGACGGGACGGAAGTCCATTCCTGGTCCTCCTTTCCGAGTCAAAAGCTTTACTACCACGTTCCTGGTATCCAATTATACTCCCGGGCGAAGAGACACCGTGTAAGACAAAAGTGTCTCAACCAAGAACACCACACAAACCAAGCAAAACTGCTTAACTTACCAATGGTCTCAACCCCAGAAGCGGGGCGTCTTCTTCATTGAAAACGCAGACAAGTATGTGGTGCGAGAAAACGATATTCACAGCATCCTCTCGAGTCTGTAGAAGAAAAAAATAAGCTACAATACTGTAACTGCAAGAAGCACCTCCCTGACGGCCTCCCAAGATCTGATTGATAATTCTCCCCTCTAGCTGCGACACATTTCCTTGTAAATTCGATAGAAGAATTTGGTATTAGTTGTAGGTAACAACTTCTTCCTGATAAGTTTAAGTATTCTCATCACCTGTTTGTTGGATAATGTATGGATATTATAGGGAGAAGTTACATGTTGATAAGTTCTGGGCGTTAAAGGGTTAACGAGTGTGGGAACTGTTTTAACTCTGATCTCCAAGCAAAACACTGGCTTGGGACTAAACAAACCTGAGTTTCAGAGTAGGTGGAGAGTCCTGAGGAAAAAGGAGACCTTTAAAGCTTTAGAGAGCTTTAGCGTTGTTAACACTAAATTACCTGCTTAACACTGTCACCCTTGAGAGTGATATGATTACATTTTCAAGTAGACAGGAGATGAAAGAAAAACGAACCGCCTTAGGGGCTTATTTTCAGTCCAACCCAAATTCTTAGATCTAAAATTACAGGAAATGGAAGGCAGAAAAAGATGAAAATTTATACTTATATCTTGGGAGTGAAAGAGGTTTAGAAAGAGGGGGACAAAAAACACCCCCACCTCTCCCCTTTCCTTTACCAAAGTTTAATTTTCGGGTTATTTTTTCCAACATACCAACAAAACATTCTCAAATCGCGTCGGCTGGCACCAATAAAACGTCCCTGAGATGTCAAAACAAGGCTTCTTTTCACCATCATTTGCTTGTTGCTCTTTTAAACTGAAAACAGAAGTTAAAGCACTATGTAAGCAAAACCCTTTTCTTGGGATTCCACTTACAAACACCATCTTCCTTTGCAAAGGCGACCCCCGAGTGCAAAACTGACTCACAGAGATATCTTTTGACCATGGAAATCACTTAGCTATGGGACGAAATTTTGAAGAAACAGCCTGCTAAAAGGCGGGAAAACGCGAGTGAACAAGTCGCGGTTGTTTTAAATTTTGCATCTGATTGGTTGAGATAGAGTCGTGTGAGTTTTCTAGACCAATGAGAAGGCGATGTAAGGCTAAACCCAAGCAATCCTGGCGTACTTTTCCAGAACCTACTTACGCTTTAAGCTTGTGTAGAACTTTGTAGGTGCCCTGCTTTGCCTCTCCACCTTGTTTGCTTGTTAAACTTAAAGACAGTCTCGGGTCGACCGCTTTAACTGAGGACACGAAAAGAAACATCAAGTGTTATTTCCATTATTGCGATATTTTCGCTTGATATTGGTGAAATTGCTTAGTAAAATCTAACGTTACAAGCTATCTTGGCTTAAATGTATTTCAACTAACAAAAATATAATTTCATATAAATTACAAGACAAAAAAACCCCTCCATTTAGTTCACAGCAGTTTCTAACCCTCCTATTACCCTTTCAAGGACTACGACGACTTCGAACCTTTTTCTCAAGGAAATGTTAATTACACAACATATAAAAACACAAATTGCTTCCGAAGACAGAACTACCCAGCTTTGGTGTACAAATCAACTATGGCAATGATTTTTCACAGGAGCACACTGTTAGTGTGTTGGAAGTATGAGCTCTTATTAGATGAAACGAAACATGCGAAAAATTCCAGAGACAACTAGTCACTGGATGATTGCATGTATAGCAGTGAAAATCACAGAGAGGAAAGAAAAAAAAGGAGACCCTCTACAGACTTACAATATCCTATTAAATTTCCCAAGTTAATCTAGTCCGAAAGACAACAAAATAAACCAAAAAATCGAGGCCCGTTTAAATCAAAGTAAGAGATCTCAAGGTACAACGAGCGCGAAAGTGAGTGGCTAAGTTTGCATAGATTGTTCTTACGAACAGATAAATTTCCGCCCTTTAAAAATGTCTATGGCAGGCTTGTATCAGTGCAGAAAATTCTGGTCCAACGAGTGCTCGCACGGAGAGAAAATTTCTGCTTTCTTACACTCTTCCACTTCTATACAATGGTCACTAACAGATGCATTTTTTGAACTCCACACGGCTTCCACAAATAGCAGATTTCTTGAACCGCCATGAGGTTTGTTGTTTCGTCGATCTAAGAATCAAAATTAGAGAGAGACGCAAGAAAAGGCCTCAAATTTTTTCAATGAAATTCTGCCAATGTGAATTTGTGGCGATATGCGACATGGACGGTGATAACAGCTCGAAGAAGTGACACCTTGACCGTCATATATGATGATGCAACTGTCAGTGATTGCAATGGACTGGAGAAGTGTTTGCTGAAGTGAAAATGGACTGTGACGTCACCAAAATGACCAAAGACCTTTGAAACAACCATTAACAAGAACTTACAGAACGCTGAATTTTTATTCTTAGTAGCGGCTACAGCACATCGGATATCTACGTAAATACAGCAAACATTTAACCTTGTGGTTTTCAGATTTGCTTAAGTATTTTCCCTCTTACTGTGATTTCTTTCCTTGCAAACTTGAGAAGAAATTAGTCCAAGTTCCCTAAAATCACGTGACCTTAACCTGCCTAAATGTAAGAGTTCTAACCTGATAGGAGAGGGCAGGGGATGAGAGGGAGGGAGAATTATACTGTCTTGCTTCGACGTTATTCAGCAGAAACAAGTTTACGACATATTCCCTGACTTGCATACGATCAAAATCGTATTCATTCGCGTCTATATTTATAAGCTTATTGTTCCGTTATTTGCAATTTCTGAAGAACAATTTCTAACCAGATGACTACGAGATTGAAGTTGCCCGTAATCTCTCCATTAAGTCGACTTCTCTTCCCCTCTAATCACTAAGCGCCACTTTCCCTCCCCTAGCGTGTGTTGAGCGGTTACGATGTAATCGGCCAAATCTGATCTCTTACAGCACTTTTCGTTTGAGTGTCATGAAAACCAAAGTAACCAAAATGGCCAATCAGAGGAAAATGAAATACCTTAAACAGCAAATGAGAACTCGAGGTCCAAAACGAAAAACTGCCCTGAGCGCGGGAAAACGCTTGAAGACGCAGGCGACCAAGTCGTGATTGGTTTTAGTTTTGCGTCTGATTAGATGAGTGGCGCGAGTTTTCAGGACCAATCACAAATCGAAGTAGAACTACTTTCGACACTTAATGAAAAATCGCTCTAACTCAACCGTCGATAAATTGTACACACAAAATTCGTCCAATCTAAATATGTCAATCTGTAACCTCGAACTTGGTTTCTCCCATGGATAGACTAGGCAGTTTCTTGGACCAAATCAGTTATTTTGAAGTCTTTTCTACACAGTCTTTTTGTTCCAAAGTATTAATGGATTACGTTAATAGAATAACCTTATCTAATCGACACGCATAAAAATTTTAAAAAAACATCTGGACATACGTCGAGGAAATATCTAACAATTACTTAACTTAATCTTACTCCCCCCCATTCCTACGCCATGCCATTTTGAAAACATATTCGTGTTGTTATCATGACTTATCAGCGGTTTTAAATGTGCAGGTGACACATGTTTCTATTTTGTTATTTTATTGCAAGTGCATAAAATACTTCACGAATGCAAGGGCACTATACACAGTTAGAAAAAAGTTAAGAATCGAAAAATCAAATAAATTGTTGGCATTACAATGCAGCATTACACTCTTAACACCCAGCCTTCATAATTTCTTTATTTTAAATCAAAGAGATCGATACTTTAGAATCCTTCAAAGATCAATTTGGGTTCTATCTTATAGCCTTTTCTAATTTTAAGAGTAGTTTTTCTTCCTTCATAACCTCAATGATTCACTTAGCACAACACCTCTTCGTTGATTAACAGAAAAACGAACAAATAAAACAAAAATAACCAGTCTTATTACTAACCAGGCTAGCAGCTGTCAAGCCAGAATTTTGCAAGGGCCAATCTTGGCTTAAAACAATCGGTTATTGGGTCATTTGTCTAAAATGACTTTTACTCTAGTTTTCCGCGCTGAAAAACGCTACAGAATTCATATTAGACAAACAAGCTTAGAGAGAAGAGATCATGAATCGCCACATTCGTTTCCGAGTGATCATTTACCTTTTCGGTGAGATCCAGCAACACGATGTAAAAAGCTGCTAGGTTTTTGTTATGTTTTGTTTTCTTTCTTATCCATGAGCCGGCGCTATCACTCGTGAAATTTATATGCAGAGAAAAAATTATTACTGCCATTACAAGGAATGAATTAATTATCAAAATCTCACGTCAAACTTGCCTGGTGGTTTGCCATTTCTTTGTTTGCCTTCTGGTGCAAAACACAAATAGGCTGTGTCATGATCAACAGCATGGTTGACTAGACCAGTTAAGTGAACATCTGTCTCATTTTCTTAAATAAACAAAATCAGAGGAATTCACCGTGAAAAACAAAACATATTTCTCAACGTTTCGACGGCGTCTGTCCATTCATCCAATAACAAATCAAGGAATGTCACAAGTCATGTCATACACATGGATCAACAGTATTCAACGGTAATCTCAGTTAGTCACCACCAACAATAACAATCTTTTCCAGCCACCGTAATATTCGTTTCCAGGACTACCTCATCGGATGATCAAACTAATCGATAAAGTCCGAGTCCGAGTGTTGGTTTTTGTCGTAAATATACTCTGTAAGTGGCTCTAACCCTTCTTAACAACTTGTTCCACACTACGTATAAAATGCCTCTTTGCTTTTTATAAATTCTTCCTCAATTCAGTCAACTCTGAGGGTGCAAATCAAGAAAGAATCTCCAATATTGGAGCACTGACAAAATACCACTCAAAGTTAATGAACAACTAGGATCTCAAGACTCCCTGGGAGCACGTAAAACTAGTTTCCATAGTGCAGGTGCATGTGGTCAGATTAGTAGGGTTAAAGTTAATCCATGCAGGGTGCATAGCTTAGTTTACGCAACAACAGATGCAGAAAAATAGAAATGAGCGAAGTACGCAGTGTGTTAGAAGCACTTCATAGAGGAAAAGACAATGATTTCCAAGAGGCCATCGTAATACAGTCAGCTACACAAAGTAGTTAGGAATAACTATGAGTGGTGAACAAATACGTCCAGCATTTTTCGCAGGCGAGGAACTAGCAAAAAAATCCGAGTCACCCACGTGGACTCGAAACTTAGACCCTGCGATTTCCCGGAGGCATTCTCCACTAAATCTACCACTAAATCTCTAATGATGTAGTTTTTCGGCAAAAGCTTAGATTTTTAACCCCAACTTAAACAATGGATAAAAGGTCTCATTGAAAGTTTCTTTTGAATCTCAAAATGCTGCCGAAAGATGAGTAAGTAAATATCACTGAGGTACCGTAGACCACTACTTGGTGAGCTAAGCTTCATACAAGATCCACATATAGCAAGACTGATCCTAGCAGTTTGCAAAACACTATTTGAAATCGACCCAAGTTTCTTGACTCACGTCGACACACATTAAACGTGGTTTCAACATTGTACTCAGGGGAGTGCCCAGAGGTTTATCGCTAGGTTTTTTTCCAAGACGACGCCCGGTCTGGTTATGCTTTGGATAAACTTAGGACCAACCATATATATACTTCATCTCAAACCTGGAAACCTAAACTCGAGTGGCATTTGCATACACCCGTTGCGTGACACTATTCCTTTAAGGACAGTCACGTGCCAGAAGAATCTATCAGGGGTAGGGACAACGCGAGCTTTACACATGAATGTAGCTGTTTGAGAATTTTAAGATCTAGATGAGAAAGGCTTCTTAACAATAGAACAAGAAAGTCTAAGAAATAAGCATGTATAGAACACTAGAGCTTACATTTAAGAATGGAATTTATCAAATAGTGTTTAGTGTTAGAAAGAACGTTTGAGGTTGACAAGACAGATACTAACTACTCGCAGCAGTTGCAGTGATGAGAACGGCTTTGCCTAATCCACGGAAAGTGAGGGTTCCTTTAGTTGGAAGAAGTAATGAATTGTTAGTATTGCAGCAAGAAGATCAATTAAAAGGCTGCGCCTAGTGATTAGGTTTAGCCAGAGTTAAGCAGCACTTCACAGAGACAGATTTAATTTTGCTATACAGTTATGAGCATCAGCTTACAAAATGGAGAGCAATTATCTGTTCTATTGCTTGGAAAAGTTAAAATTTGGTGGTTCTTACCGGTCATAGAGTTGTGGCTGAGTCATTACGCTTTCATCAATAATTTCGAAAGTTAGCAATCACAATACTTGACCATAACTGCCCCTAAGTGAAATCTGAACCAACTTTTCATAACTCATCGGAGCTTCCTGTACATCCCTACATTGTCAGTTGTCCTTTGAATCACTGAAATGCGTTTTGTAACTGAAAGGAAACTTCGAAATAGTGGTTCGGCTCATTCAACAAATGCCAAAGGAACCGGTAAAACACAAGAATGGACAAGACTGACGTGGATTGCAAATCACAACCATGGAAAATTAAGTTTAAATTGTCCGAGATTGACAAGCCATGGTGTACAGGTAGCCCCTTTGACTATCCCAAACAAGTTCAATGACACAAAAAATCATATTTACTCCATTCATTTTTGCCTTTACACACTCCATATAAATCAAAACTAAAAAGACAAGATCAAGTATTCGGCAAAGTTTGTAGGGACAGGGCGAATATTTTAAGCCCTTCGAGCCAAAATGATATGTTAACCCGGTTTATTTTTGTACCTTTGGAGCAGTCGCATTCTTTTATCAGCTCTGGTTGTTTCACATCGGCATGACAATTTACACAGTAATGTAAAGCCCTTGAAAAAGGTCAAAATTAATTATTGGTTATGAAGGTCACTTTAGCAGTAAGAAAATGAGAAGGTCATGATATCTTGGAAAGTAAGATAGGATGAAGTTAGCAAGTTAGTTAGTCGTAGAAACACGTTTTTCTTGCAAGATGAGCCTTACGGTTTGATTTGCGATACTTTGACAAACTTGAGCTAAATTTTACAACAAGATACATTGTCAGCGCCTGCAATATTAGTGGAAATTACAACCATTTAAGAATTATATTGTCGATTGAAGTACTATCTCCCTTAATGACCGCATTCGCGTGGAGAATACGTGTTTGCAAAAGACGAATATACGCATTTGCGTGTAAACCACTGCACGAGTGTAATTTTCTTATTGCCTAACTACACGCACAAGGACAAGTAATTTGACGCACTAACCCTTGAAATACCAGAAGAATTTAGTTATGTACCTCTTGACTTCAGATGCGGAATCAGCTATGAAGTATCCTCGTGTCCGTTGTTCAATGGTCTTGTCCAAAGGATTGATGTTGAATCTTGAGGGAAAAAAACCAAGAAATAACAGTGAATTACCTTGAGGAGTTTCGTAGAGCGATAGCATCAATTCTTATGTATTTTTTTTTAATGTAAAACAAATATCTCATCATTAATGCAGAATGTTGTATTTAGTAACATGATAGATATCAGGAAATTCGCAATCAAAAGTTTCTTTTAAGTTGCGTGAATACTTACACTTTTTCTCCATCAGGTTTAATAGTTTCTATGGCAATGAGCAGGAGGCCAAGCTTACCAAAACAAATCCTGTCATGAAAATAAATAAATATCATTTACCGGGCGGGAAGTTAGTATGGGGAAACACTGTGCCCCAGTTCTTGGGCACGAACCAAGGCTGAAGTCCGACGGCTCCACTCAAAACCAAGTACACAGTTTTTTCCCATACGCGCTGACCAAGATCAGTAAGTAATTTTTTTTGCTGCAAATAGCGCGCAAAAGATTCCAGACCGTGGTTCGTATTGGAAAAATCTGTGGACCGGTCATAAGTGTGTAATTAACCAACCAGATTCGAGGATTTAAGTTTCCAACCCACCGAGATGCTTTAGGAAAAAAAATAAGACGAGAATATTCTCCACGGCTGAATAGCAGATAGCTCAGGCCATTAAAATTTGGCGAAAGAAAGCTGCAGAAGAACTTTCCTTTCTCCAATGCATTGCGAACAGCTGGCAATAATTGTAATAAGAATTTGCAGTTACCAGATGAATAACTTACTCAGCAACTTGTTGGAACGTCATTCCTTTGAACGAACTTGATAACGTTTCAGTGTATAATTCAAGGTTTGCTCCTTCAATGTAGTGAGTCTTCCACGAGTCTAATTCTGTAGTGTCTGACTGAAATTACATATTGAACGTTAAAAGTTAGGCTTACCCGATACATCTTAAAATTTCACATGTTGAGTAAAACTTACAGACATCATTGACCACAACCCCTTAAAGCGCTCTTTATGTCAATAATTATGATCTCACAATTAGAGGATTATAAGTTGATCCAATACCAAATTCTCCAAACTGATATCATTAGAATTGTATAGCAGACAGTAAGGAGAATTGCAAATGAGATCTTGGGAGTAAAAGGGTAAAAAAGTCACTTCACCCATGCCCTGATCAAATGGCCAAGCTGTCTGTCGTATAAGTTGGACATCCCTTCTTGTGTGATTCCTATATTTCATAATTTTGAGCAACTTACTGTTTCATGTGATCGCATTGAGAAAACATTGGCCAAAAGTGTTGAAAATCCCGGTGACAAACAGCTTTGGGCAATAAATCCCAACTTGAGCTGGTTGAAGAAAAAGACACAGAATCAGAAAAATACAATCTGAACAATCCGAACTTGACAAATTTACCATCTGAAGGTTTTTTTTCCCCACAAATATTACTCAATTATACATTTTAAAAAACATATAAAGCAAAAAGGAAAAAAATTCTCAGTTGAACGTATACTTACTTCACTGATGCAAACAACATCATCTCCACGTTTGGGATTCCATGATGGAATATTCAATAGGTACGACTATAAACACATCAAATTGGTTTTTGTAATATTCTTTATTTTTTCATACCTGATAACTTTCTTTGAATATACTGATTATTTTTTTTTTGTTTTTTTTTAATATACTGATTGTCTAACTAAGACAAATTTTCATATAATTTCCATTCAAAAGTCATTTTTCATGCGTTGTATGGAATCTTTTATTAACACAAGTAAATATAAGTTAGAAAAATTAATCTATTTCCATTCTATAAATTCTTAAAACAAGTCTGTTAATTGATTTATTACACCCATTTTGAAATCACTGGTGGTCCCTGTAATCTGATTGGCTCTAATCGATGCGATTTATTCACAAATCGCACCATTTTTTGCTTTAAATCGCATCTTTTTCTCAGTCAATGAGGAGGCTACACTAAAAACAAAACAACCAGTTAGATTTTAAGGCTCATTTAAAGTAACCGATCAAATCGCAGGAAAATGAAAGACAAGGAGTATCATGTGGCAAATTTTGCAACTTTTGTTTCTTAACTCTTACTTTTTCTCCCCAAAAAATGGACATGAATTTAATTTCAGACCGGCTCAGTACTTCATCAAAAAAATATTTGAAATGACCAAGTCCTGTATTTGGCCGATTTCAAAATAGATGTAATAAAGTGGTAATTGAACCTCGTGTCGTGCAATTTTGGTCTGAAATCATACTTGTGATTTCAAATCGAACTCACGCTGCGCGCTCGTTCGATTTTGAAAATCACGCGTATGGTTTCAGCCCAAATTGCACTCCACTCAGTGCAATTACCATTATAAATATAAATTTACATCACTTGATATCATTAACATTCAAGATATATAACCTTTTAACCCCAAAAAGTGATAAGCATATGATTTCTCCTTATAACATTACCCCTGAATTGAAAGTAAGGTCATGAATATGTAGGAAATTAACACAAAACCAAGAAGCTCTTGATTGTTAGACAAATTCTCCTTGGAAGCACTATAGGAAATGTAAAGAGAACAGTGTGGAGAATATGCATACTGATTTTAAGGTGTAAAAGGGCAACATAAGGAATATAATCCTACCTTGTTCTGATACTGGAGCAGCTGTATGATGACTCTTATTCCTGGGTAGTAATTCTTCACAGCTACAACTCTGAATATCAAGATCAGCACAAAAAAAAGAAATAATTAAAACATTTTCTCACACGCTGTTCAACTAATTTTCATCCAACATTTCTGCTGACTAGAATGGAATCACTTTTTCAGAAAAGGAAATATATTTTGATTGCAGAACCAATTCTCAGTGAACAAAAGTCTTTTCAAAAGTTTTTAGCCCCTCTCACACATAAAATTAATGTACCTCATGATATTCTCAGAATCCTCTTCACTGGGATTAACACACTCTCTGTTACACAATACAATACAGGAATCAGCTACTTTCATCTAAAATGAAATGCAAACCATTCTGTATTAGTTAATGACAGTTCAAAAATTATGTAACTTGACCTCACATCTTGTTTACTCACTAGTCTATTTAGACATACCAGGGCAGGGTTGTACTTCAAAGTTGGGTTAAGTTAACCCAGGGTTAATGTCAAATCTGATTTCAGATCTGAAAGCTTTAAAAGAAAACTCAGTACAATTCTTTTTGTCTACAATTAGATAATTGTAAGCTCTAAAAGAAAAGAGAAAATATCTGTAAAAGGCTTTTGAACAAAACAGTAGAGAAATTTGGATTTAAATTTAACCACGGATTAGCACTAATCTACATTTGAACAATTGGGCCCAGAGGTTTAAAAACTTTTGACTTAGACATTGTATTTACAGACCTTAACTCTTTTGCAGTCCTCTGCACTCAGAACTGTGCCCTTGAAGTACGATACATGAACAAAATGTTTCTTGAGCAGGGACTGCATTTCTGCATCTGGCAAAAAGCTAAATAAGAAAATTAAAACAACAGATCAGAGGGTGACTTATGCTATTAATAAAATGTTATATCAGTGACACATTTGGCTGTGCCTTATCTGCCAATTTGTTATTTTTTGAGACATTTTGATGTCACCTGTGATTTCTTGAACAGACACACAGCTACATATAATCTATTTGTTAATTTGAAAATAAAATACTCACTTTCCCATGATGACAACATTTACAGCAACATTGGATCGATCTTTATGTAGGAAATCCCGTAAGAATGTTTCTACACTCCCCTTTGTGATATATCCACAGAGAATGATATGTCTAAAATAATCAGGAAAAGAAAAGACATTAAATCTAAAAGAAATTATGAATAATGTTATAAATTAAACATCAAGGCTTAGAAATCCTTCTGTTAAGAACAAATAAAAAGGGAAAGAAATTTAAAATTTGGTTAATTTGTCAATTAATCACCAATTATATTTATTTAGCTAGCATGTAATCTTGCTAATCATGTAAAATAATTGTAATGGAAACTAGACACCACAAAAATAAAATGCAAGATGCAAATAACCTTAAGATATCCAGTGTCAAAGCCATTGACAAAAAAGCGAAATTTCATGTTTAATATGTATTAGTATATAAAATTTTGCTGAAAAACAAAGAAACTTTCTCAGCAGCTAGCTTATGTTTGAAGATGTGCACAACAAAATGTAACGAAGACATCTGAAAACATATTCTAAAAACTTAATCTCTATCTGTAAATAGAATGAGAGAGAAGGTAAGTTTTGAGCTTGGTAAAGAATAGAGAAAGATGTCTTTTGTTTCATTACAAGCGTGAGACAAATAAAAAATTCTGAGTCCCCATGAAGTTCAATTCCTCATAAGGCCTCAATTTTCTCTTTGTCCCACGCTTGTGACAAGATGCTTGTGACAAGACGAAAAAAAACATCTAACTCTATTAATCTTTATCATTTCAAGTATAAATTAAAATGCTTCCTCCTTACTTTCTTCCTTCAGAGAGTTTGTATGAGCCATGATAAACTGTATGGCTACCCAAATATTCCAAGATTGCTGGGATGTAAGTGGCAAACATACCCTACACAAAAACACAATCAAAAGGTCAGATCATTCATTTAGTTATTAAAACTAAAAATATTATAATTCATTCATACTGTATAGTTCTGTAGCTCTTGGCAAAATATTTTATCAATGTCATATCATCTATTCACCCTTTACACCCACCATTTCCTGAGGTATTGACCAGGAGAATTTCTTTTAGAGCCATGAGCCCCTTTGAGGATCAATTCCTTTATTCTTGATTAAGGACTGATAAAGCATGGAGAAGTTATTATGCTTCCCTAGTCACTCTTAAGGGCCAGAAGGTCATTTGTATATCTTTTGTTTGATCTTGTTCAAGGAAAAAATTTATTCTTTCTTTGTTCATTCTTTTCTTCTCACAAAAATCTTCCAAACTAGATTTCAAACATGAATAAACAATGAAATTTTTTCATGGTTTGAGGATGTCAAGAGTAGAGTAGTACAGATTTGAAGCAACTAACAAAATCCTGTTGTATCACCAACTTAATTGGTTACTTTTGTAATTGAAAACCTTGTGGTGGAATATATCCTCTAAAAAGTCTGGAAACTGAGTTTGCACCCTCCAACCTTAACATCAGTTTATTTAATAATAACTATACAGTCAACAAGAAACCAAGCACTTCACTTACCAGGCCAATGGAAATGAATATGATCATAAAAGTCCTTCCAAAATATGTTATAGCAGATATGTCACCAAATCCCACTGTACTCATTGTAACCTAGTCAATTAAAAACAGCACCAGTGAGAATAACGATAATTATTACCATGAGACCTATCAATTAATTTATCTCCAGTTATGGGTAATTAAAATTTGAAAGTGCTTCTGCAATGGAAAATTTGTTTTGTGCTCTCTTGATTGGATTTTGCGCGTAGCAAGAATGTACCCAGGCAATCACTATCCCTCAATCAATAAAGAATCAAAGTAACAATTTCAACTTGGTAATAATTTCCCATTTAAAGAGCTATCTGTCATTAGCTTATCACACCATAAGATGCTCATGTATTGCATGTAGTTTATATAATATCAAAAGAGTTTACTATTTTGAACATGGGAAACCAACAAATCATCAATTATATTAAATTAAAATAAAGCACATGATTGTAAAGCTGGATTGCATACCACTAAAAAGTAGAGACAATCAAAAAAGTTCAAGCTTTGACCATTACTGAAGCTCCAAGGATCTCCTGAATTTTCCACCTGACATCAAATCAAAATAAAAATTTCATTTCATTTATCTCTGTCAGAAATCCTGCTCATCACAAGTAGTTACATTAAAGCCAGCAAACTATTTGAGGATCCAAGGGTTACAGGTATAAAAATCTTTGAATGAATGTAACTTATCAGCACAAGTGTTGGAATTCAAGCACTTCAACAGACTCCTGCTAAAATTCTCCACTATAGATTCTCTCATCATGCATCTCTGACTATTTCAACATAGTCATAAGGCTTAATACACACTCACTGGTGTTTCAATAGCTTTTTCCCGTAAATGGCTGTTCATGGTGCTATAATAAGTGGGTGTGACTGGAGAAGGGGTGGTACAGCAAAACCAAAACACCACAGCCTGTTCGCAAGCTAAACAGATGCAACAGCAATAGGAAGTCTTCTAGGCTGCAGTAGACAGCCACTCGCTGGCTTCTATTGAAACTGCTGCACTCAGCATATTTTGTCCTTGACTTACCAGATGAAGAATCCCAGCAGATGTAAAGATGAGAGCGAACAAGTTACCAATCATGACTGTAAGTGTAATGATCCCACTAAAAATATAAATTGAGAAAAAATCATAAAAGGTGTCATTTTCAATCATGCAGGACAGTGTTTTTTAAGCATATATAATACTCATAAAAGCTAAAAAAATGACTCTGAACACTGTTATCAGAACATGCATGTACACAGAATCCAGAATATGTCAAAAACAAAATCGCCTTAATTTCAGGCACATGACAAACCTTGAGTTAATAATTCCCAAGAATTGAAGAATATCTGCAAGCCTAATAAACTGCATAGCACGAAGAAATCTTAATCCTGAAAAAAATTAAATGTAAAGTTTTATTTTGAAATATATTAGGCTGATAATCAGTTAACAAAAAATAAATTTTAGCAATAATTTATTTCTTCCTTGTCACAATAATGTGACAGGCTGTTGGGATTTAGCAAAGGATGACCGCATCCAATTAATAGAGGTGAAAATTACAGTGATTAAGGGGAAACAATTCAGGACTTTGACAACTGCTTGACAACAGGGTGACCACTAAATACCCTGCCACCTAATGCTGATTCAACTGTATGTTCTCTCTTGTATTTCTTTGTCTGTCTATTGGTGTAAGTGTACGTGTATATTGATTTAGTCTGTCAGTCTATCTTTCTATCAACTATGTTCATACGCCTTTCCATTATACTGTCTACCTGTCTTTAGATGTTTATCATTCACATGTCTATCATACAGGTGTCTGTCAAACAGGTGTCTATCAAACAGGTGTCTATCATACAGGTGTCTATCAAATGGGTGTCTATCATACACGTATCTATCAAACAGGTGTCTATCCCAGAGGCCTAAATTTATGGGTGTATATGCATCGATCTGTTTTCTTGTTTGCATATATCTGTTCTCACCAGATGTATGAGAAAATAACATTACTAAATAAATCTTACCCAACCAGTTCTGTTGAAGGACAACAGAAACAAACACTTGAGGTATCGTCAGTAAGTCCACCAAAGATAACGTCTCCACCCAAAACATCAGCTTATCATTTGCTGCAAGGAACTTACACAATATTTCAGATTATTAACCAGCTAGAGATGAAACAAAAGTTTGAGACTAAGACAAATATAAGCAATTCATTTTAATTTGAGCCTATAATTTGTACATAATATGAAATCAGTTTTCATTTTCATTTTTACAGTGATTTAGATGCCAATGAAGACATTACAAGCTGCCACTTCAAAAAAATTAACTTCCATATTTCAATATCCAACTTCACTGAGTACTTTACACACCAAAAGGTCTCATAAGTTATAAGTATTACACCACAATGAATAGGAACAAATTTTCATCAATATCAGAAATTTTTAGCTGTATCATTTGGCCTGAGAATAATTAGCATGCTTCAAAACAGAACAAAATGCTAATTAATTTTTATGTATCCTTGGCAATGAAGTCCTCACCCGAAGAAGAAAATGAAGCAAGAAGAAAAGATTAAAAGCAATGTCAAATATCCAGAGCTTTTGTTCTTTCATGTCCAGACAATGCTCGACAGGGCTGGAAAACAACAAATAAAATGGATTTAATAAAATGCCCCAAAGGAACTGTGTGTAGTAAGTTGAAAAATATTTGTTCAGCTCTGCCAAAAATCTTTACAAATTTCCTCTCTTTTTTTCAAACTTTGAATTCAGCAACAGTATATGTACCGAAGAAACTGATAATCACAAAGTTTAATCACACACCATCATTTTGGTTCTTAATTCATATGCAGGAGAGTATTAATGCCCACATTTAGCCTTTGATTCTTGAAAGAAAATATTGCCTCATCATATTATTGCTTGTTACATTTTACATTTTGTGTCTTCTATTGTTGTTTAAGTCTTCGCTGTTTTCCCACTTCACAGCTTGATTGCTGAGCAGAAATTAGTTACTTTGACAGGCTTCTGTCTTAAAAAGAATATTTTAAAAATTGATTAACATTTTCGCAAGGAATAATTTCCTAGACATATGCATCATGTGCTAACAACAATATTCACAGGGAAGTTTTTATTCCAATTATGATAAAAATTTAAAAAAAAGATAAAATAAAAACAAACAACAGGAAAGAACTCCTAATACTTACTAACTTGCCTCTACAGCATACAAGACGATATAAAGCATGCTTAGGAGGAATGAAATTACAACCTATTGAGAGAGACAAAAAAAACATGTAAAAACACGGCAGTAGTTAACACATCAAGATTACCAGAAAAAAAAGGAAGCTCCTAAGTCAATCTGGCCCATATGGACAGGATGATATTAATAAAAAAAATCAATACAACAGTTGTTAATTACTTGCAGATCATCAACACCAGGCAATAAAAAAACATAGCTTACTGTATTGATAACACCCAACTGAATATTTCCTGACTAATTGACTTGAAAATGAATCAAAATCATTCCTTGACTGAAGCACATTCTGAAGGCTGACAAAATTCCTAAACTGAAAACACCTTTTTCTGAGATTATTGTATGCCACTAGCAACACTGTAGCTGTCGTAGATACAGCTGGAATTGAATTTGACAGGGTCATATGAACTGCTGGGAAAGGAAAGTAGCCCAGACATCAAACCGAAAAATGAATTGCCTTGTAATTTAAGTGCAAATTATTGGCAGGTGAATGCTCAAATGCTAATTGCATAGCCATCATTTTGGTTTCTTATAGCAGAGGAGGGTTGGAAAGAGGTAGATGGGAAGTTGGGGTGGTCGATAGGCAAGAGGTAAGGGGGTGAGTTAGGGGAAACAAAAATTATTCTCATACCCCTTGTCGCCTTTTTCTAACCCATTCCGAGAAAAACAACTGTATCATGAAATAACTGATGGGAGCTTTGGAATAATTTGTAAAAAACAACTATACTCTTGTTAAACAGTACTCTCAACACATTTTTCAAAAAAATGAAGAAAGTCCTTTAGACTAGTAGTCTCCGTACAGAGTCACACAGCTAATGAATTGTCTCATAAGTCTTGGAAGACATTACAAAGAACAGTAACTGAAGATATAGTTTGTGCAACAAATGTGCACAAAACATAATTCTTTTACTCCCAATATCTCATAAGTAATTCTCTTTACTGTCTGCCATACAATTCTTTTTTATGTTGGTATGGAGAATTTGTTGGTGGATCAATTAATAATCCCCTAGCTAATTGATATCACTCTCATCACTTGTCTGTTTGGTATTGCTTTGATATTGTAAGGAGAAATTCTGTGTTGGTCACTTGTGGGAGTTGAAGAGTTAATTTGAAGGTCTAGAAATTTTAGTAATGAATTATTATTTTTAATAGAAAATCCTATCTACAAATAGGCTAGATCAGTATCCTCCTTTCTCTTTCTCTTTCTCAATAAGAATTCTATCATTTCTATCACTCTGCAGTGGTTAAAATTAGGTACCAGTTACATAAGGGAGTTCTAAAACTTCAAGTTACCAAGCCAAAACAAATATTATGTCAAAACATTTAGTACTAGCCTGAGAGGATAAAGTAATCAACCTGAGGAGGTCAATTTTCTGCTTTCAAGCCTGGCTGTTTGGAACATCTGTCAGTTAATTCAAATCTATTGCAATGAGGCTCACAAGTACCTTGAAGTTACAAAGATATATTTTGTAGTACCTGAATCCTAGTCCTTCTGAAACAAATGTTAGCAAATTCTGTCTGACAGTTATTTGATACTACTACTGGAATGATATTCCTACATCTAAACAGAGAGGCCGACAAGAAAAATATTTATAAGAGCACTTTTCATATATTAGTTTTCTCCACATTAATTTCTGCATTACTTTGGCCTTGCACTATCCATTATACTTTGTTTAAAGTGTTATTCCTCTTTTCCTTTCAAATATTTGTATTGTTTTGTTTTACTTTATGGAAAATGTACCTTCATATGACTTGAAAGGCACTCAATTAGCTTAACTACAATGTAAATAGTGCCCTTCTCTGTTTCTTTCCCTTTTTAATCATTTAAAAAGTTTGAAATTGTTGAAATAAAGGAAAAATTATTTCAGAGTTATAAAGTATCATTTAGAGGTTCCATCAAACACTTTAAACAAAAAACTATGATGGAATTTTAAAGGAAAAAATGAAATGGGATGGGCTGTTGGCTTGATTTATGCAAGAAGACTAAATATTCATGAATATAGCACATTTTCTGAATAGGAAAAAAATACTAGAATTTGGGCATCCATTCCTGTCTAATGTATTAACCACTTAGCTTTGTAATTGACAATAATGGTGATAGGGCAACAGAGCCTTAGAATGAATTGATACCCCAATTTGTGGTCACCGCATCAGAAAAAGAGAAAATAATATTGAATAGGGAAAAAAGCTGGACGAACAACGAATTATTCATTTTCCAGAGATTAGATAGAAAATGTAGGCAGGGGGTGATAGGCAAATAAAAAATTTAAAACACTCATCAGGTTGAAGACCAAACATGAACGAGAATAAAAGAACTTTATCAGAATGTTGGTCGTGTCATTGTAAACGACACAAGTGAAATCAACCTACAACTGAGATTTTTTCGGAATTGTTTATTTTCTCTTTAGGGTTCATAAGTTATCGGATAATCGATCATCAAACTTAAAATCTACCAAAATTTTTCCGATATGAAACGCTTACGAATTTACATGAAAGTCGCGCGCTATATTTAATTTGGAATACTACGAATCACGCGATTGCTACTCGACGCTGAGAGGTCGACAAGAAACCTCTTACGTAGCACCGCACCCAATTATTGAAAAAATTATAGCCTTGAACGATAACATGTAAATAAATATTGGCACGAAATGATTCTGAGCACATGTATTTTACTTTTTTGAGAATATTAGCAGTTGACATATGATATTAGGCAGGAGCGACGTAATATTCACCGTGCGAGTTCGTGGTAATCAACGATCTGTTTGGTTTTATTTAAGTCGGTCAGCTGGCAAACAATGTTGTAACAGAAGGCAAATAAGTGAATCGCTTCAGATATCAAGCTTAAAACCATCAAATTACTTCCGAGTAGCGTATAATTTGAGTGTGGCGATGTCATGTCTTGTTTTGGAACAAAACTGTGTCACGCTACGAAGATCAAAGAACAAAAACATGACGAACGTTTCCAAGACGAAAAACTATCTATTATGTTTTCTTTTTTTGATGTAAGTGTGAAACTCCTTGTTTCCTGTTAACAAGCAGGCTCAATTTGTCTACTGTACTTCCTGACTCAGTTAATGTTACTCGAAAAAATTACACCTACCAAACATCGGCCCTTGAAGGTCTGTGCTGTTATCAGTGTACCGGCTTGTTCCTTAAGTTTGACATAAATCCCTCGTTTCTGCACTTCCGGTGCGACGTGCGACCGATCAATCCGCTGCTTATTGGCATCCTTTTTAGTTGGGTTTAACCTGCTCTGTTTTGAGTTGCATATTTTAATAAACAGCCTTGAAGCTAATATGACCAACAATCCCCCAATGAAAATTGCGCCGCTTGTTGCGATAAAGTACCACCATTTTCTATCTTCTTTGACGATCAAGCAGTGGAAATCACAGCTCTCAGATAGCGCTGCTAAGGTACACGTTTTAACCATGGCGATCCAGCGCAGAAATATTCCATTTATTCTTTTGAAGAGCCATTAATGTGTACAACTGTAATCCTCGAAGTTCTTCAAGATTCGGACTGATGGAGTCGAATCACCGGTTCAGCTAGGTACGATTAGCATGTAATGAGAATTTCAAATAAATGCCTATTCAAATAAAAAAAATCCAATCAACAAATTGCGACTTACGCTCAAAAAATATTTCTGTGAATTATTTCATGATTATTTCATATTCTATTTCACTGCTTTCTGCATAAAATAACTTACAAAATGTATTCAGCTGAAATACAAAATCCAGTTAGGGACGGAAGCTTGTTGATCTAAAAGTTACTTCTCCTGGAGTAACGTCCAGATGTGTAAACCAATTACAAATGCTTAGCAACTGTGTTGTTTCGTTTGAATATTTACCCACTTTGTAAACATTCGCTGTAGGAATTAGTTTTTCCTTCAAATTGAAAAATTCAAATAAATGTTGTATTCATTCATTTGTATTGAATAATAGAATACAGTAAGCGGTAGTTTCACCTTTCATAACTTTGCTGTGTTTTTTTTATCGGAATTAAAAAAAAACATCTTCCAAACGTTCAGAAAAATTTACGAGGTGGATAATTTGTTATGATTCGGAAAAGGTCACATAGTGCTTAAAGTGTCATCAAAAAAGCTACAGGAAACAGATTTCAAGGGAAATATGAAGAATAAAGCCTTGTTTGTATGCAGAGATCTTAATGCCAAAGGTATTAAAAGAAATCAGCTTTCTACTGAAACTCATCAAAAATTTAAATCACCATATGAAAACAGATATTGACTGGAAACTGAAAATTGCCCTTGAGAATGTAATTTTACTGAATCTATCATTGGAAGATTTGATGTCATTCAGAAAATCCAGGCTGAATGCACCGAAGTGTCCTATTGTCGAAGTCAACGGTTTGCGGCAAGCTCTCTCAAGCGTCAAGGCAGGGGAAATTGTGAAGAGTATTGTCATGCAATCCTCTCGGCTAAGACTTACTTATTGTAAAATAAAAATAGTCCGAAATAGAGAGTCAGCAATTTTAATTGTGACTTGTGTTAAACAAACTGAAAGGTGGTAATAGTTCCAGCTGCTGCTAAAAGAAAGGAAAGCTGTTCCCGCCGTCGTATTATTACTTATTCTGTCAGGCGCACTAACACTATAAGTGTCACAGGAGAAAATTATCCTGAGAACAGGGATAAATTTTGACCCCAACAAACAGTTTGTCAGCACTTCTTTTCAAGAGACGCTTCTCCTGCTCTATAGCTAGCACCCTTTGAATAGAGGTCATCGTAATGTTATGAGTAAAAAAGGTGCGTGCGCAGATAACGGAAGTTGTCAGCAAGTTATTTCCCTGACAACCAGAATACAAAACACAGAATACAAAACACAGAATACATTGCTTTGGTTAAGAATAAATAATATATCTGATAGAAAATTATACAGGCTTTTAGTATACTTTGCATTCGAACACTATCCTAGCCCAAATGAATAACAACACACATCTCCAACCCCCTCCCTTTCTTTTCTCCTTCTCAAGACCTCTCTTACAATAGCAGACACCATCATTACCATTTTTCATTTTGGTTGTATGCTTTAGACCTTTCTTGATATAATCTTTGTTGTTTCAATACAGGTCATCAAGGATTTGAAATCATAAGTTTGATTTCACACCACATTTGCACAATAAGTCCAGTATTACCACTTTAATTATCATGTCAACTTTAAAATTGCAAATTAAATGGCCTAAATACTATAGTTATTTAGATTTGGGGACAAAATTCACCACACAATGGCTTCTTTGCCTTTCATTTCCCTGCAACTTGATTGTTTGAATAAGGCTAAAAATTTGATAGAATGTTTCATTCCAGTGTTGCTTCCTCACAGGCACAGAGGCTTGTGAATAAACTAGGTTGTAACTATCACCTGTGTTACCAAAACAGATGTGTTAAAAATGAATGAGTAGCTTGTCATTCATGTTCCAAGCTTAAGCAGAGGAGGGCAGACAGGGCTGTGTTGAAGTGAGACTTCTAACCCTTTACACCCTAACATTAGTATGCACATTCTCCAAAATGTTCTCTACACATTTCCAAAGTTGCTGAAAAGGAGAATTTATTATACAATCAAGAGATTAATGTTTAATTTGCAGGTGATGCAGTAAGGAGAAATTAGATGCCAGTCACTCTTTTAGGGGTTCAACTCTTTAACTCCCAAGATCTGATTGTTGATTCCCCCTCTTGCTGCTCAACATTTCTTTGCAAATTAGTTACAAGAATTTCATGTTAGATTAGAATAACAACTTTGAACTGATAAGTTTGAGTTATGACCTGTTTGTTGGAAAGGTGAGGATATTACAGAGAGAAGTTACATGTTAATAACTACTGAAAGTTGAGTTGAACCCTGTGCAATTAGTTACAAATGCCAAAAGGACATACCTAGTCCCCCTCATTAAGTATCATTCCATAAGACATAATATCCAATCAAATCACAAGAGAATAACAGTTCACAACTACATTTATTGATGTATTGCTAAGTGAAATTAAAGTAACAAATGTCAAGAAATTCAACTTTATTGATGTAAAAGGACTGGATTATCTCAGTATCTGTAGAAAGAGGCTGGTCATGCAACTCCTACCAACAAACTCATACTTAGTATGAGAACCAGCTTTTACAATGTTTCTCTTCACTAGAAAAGCACACATCAGAAAAATGATACAAAAACACTCAAAAAACTACAGGTTGAACTTAGAAAAGCTTGCCACTGGTTAAAAAGTGAAGAGTGATTTATTCAAACTCACGATTACACAATTGTACATTGAGCATATAAATACAAACAAAGCATAACATCCTTTTAATGGTTAATAGTTAAGATGTAGGCAGAGCTTTACTTTGCAACGAAGTGTATAGGCAATGTTATGGTTCCAATGAAACTGTACAGAGAATATGGAGTAAAAAGAAACTGAGAAATTAAACTTATGTTGGTTTGTTGGCACCCTTCTTGCCAATTAAACTCTTGTGAATGTGAGGGATAACACCTGCAAACAAGAGAAAACAAAACTTTAAATAACAGTTTACTACTTAGTTCAACTTTTAATGCAGTAGCAAGAAAGTTTCTTTGGGAAAGCTAAAATCCTGGCCTATACTTAAGATTTCCAGGTCTTCTACAGGATTCAGTACAAATGTTTATAAACGTAGCAATTTTCTACATATACCATGCAGTCATGGTGAGTAACACTCCACCAACTCCACCTAGAAATCAAATTCTTATGCGAAAAAAACCGCCTGCCATGTACCACACTGTTTCACTCTTGAGTGAAAAGATTCTTTTGTCCATTTCTTGGAAGCACCTTCCAATGCAAATTGTGGTTGAAAGTCTTATGGAAATTTTTGCATATTCTGTTGTAAATCTTACAGTATAATCCAAAATCAAATATCAGTTTTCAGCACATAAAATGAAGTTGTAAGGGAAGAAATCAAGTTTTCACCCCAAAAAAATCAGAGAGACAAGCAAATTTGATGAACTTAGATTTATTGTTTCCTGTAGGAACTAAAACTGTTGCAGTAAATGTAGCTGCAACATCAACTGGTCGATGTTCGCCGACTGGAACAAGAGAATACTGCCTGAAGAGTTAATTTATATACAGCATGCATTAGAAAACAAGTTAGCTTACCTCCACCGGCGATGGTTGCTTTGATTAGAGAGTCGAGTTCTTCGTCTCCGCGAATGGCAAGTTGAAGATGGCGGGGAGTGATACGTTTCACCTTTAAATCCTTAGAAGCATTTCCAGCCAACTCAAGGACCTAATATACAAAGATCGGTTGAAATCAGGCACATGTCACATGTAAACTCGATGCAAAATCGAAGGATTCTTTGCAAAAATATTGCTTTGTCATGTTAAAAAATCACGAAGGCAGCACACGCAAAATCAGCAAAGAAATTTTCTACATTTGAGCAAAATTCTATCATTTGTTTAAACATTTCGAGCAGTTGCTACATTAGAGCACTTGAAAGCGAAAAGAAGCGTGGAATTACGCTTGAAATCTTCCGATCAAGCTATATTTTCATTCATTGTATAATTCAAATACGGCGGGAACTGTCGTTACTGGCGTAACAACAGTTCATTTGACTGCTTGCTTCCTTCAAATATTCACGACTCAGTCGCACAGCAATGAAATTGGACTGGAATTATCCGTACCACACAGAGAAACGAAGCAAATAATGAAGAAATCGAGCAGTTTAAGGATGAGGATTATTATGCTTCAAATCAATATTCACAAACATACAACCGCCCAAACGTAACACTGGCTTTCGCTTCCGAGACTATTTCCATAACTGAAAGAGCGCTGTTGGCCCTCGAATGAGCGAATAATTTTTCTTAACAGTAGAGCTAATGTGCCATCTCACCTCTGCCGTTAAATACTCCAGAATAGCGGCACTGTAAACGGCGGCTGTTGCTCCGACACGTCCATGACTAGTCGTTCGGTTCTTCAAATGTCTGTGAATACGACCTACTGGAAACTGTGCAAAACGAAGAGCGTAAGGTACAAGCCAAGGGAACACATTTAGGGTTCCAGCAAAAACCTTGCAGCATTTTCTCTCTTTAAAAACGACTACTTACCTGAAGTCCGGCCCTTGCTGAACGAGAAACTGCCTTGGCCTTTGCCTTGGAATCTTTTCCTGCTTTTCCACCAGCCTGAAAGTCGAATAGGGAAAGATTTGCAGTGAAAAATATGACTCGCAAGAGACAGTGCTCGCAGAAATCTTCTTTAAGTTTAAACTTCAAGAAATGATGCACATTTTGGCTCATAAAATAGACCGAAAGTTTTTCGCAAAAAGCGGATGGAAACGGATTCAAACCGCTCACGACTTACCATATCGGTTCTTCAAGATTATGTGACGCGCTAACAAACGACTACTGCAGAGCGCCAAAATTTTGCCCGTCAATTTGAAAGTAGAAGAGCCAATCAGAGATCAGCTTTTGAACAACAACCAATCACGAACTGCTATTTTCGCGCTTGACTCTAAGTTCTAAATAAGGAGAATTAACGTTCAATGGAGATCTGACGAAACAATGTAAATTATGTTAATTTCTATAGCTTTGAAGAAATACTTTGTTATTGTCATAACACGCAGAGATTGAAATATGCACGAGCGTAGCCTTGGTTGAATATACACGCCAAGAAAATCTGAAGTTATCATTTACCGGCGACTAAACGTCAAACAATGAATTATTTCCTAAAAAGATCGGGCCACTGGAAAGGTCATGGGGCGAAACGAAAAATTGCACGAAAAAAAAAAACCATGCCAACATGCGAAGTGAATGGCCAAGAAGAAGAATTCATACACTGGCACTCATACACATGAGATTCACTTGTAAAAGGAAAAAATTTCGCGAAGTTCTTGACTCGACGAAAAAGGACCTGGGGAGGGCGCAAAGCTAGGCCAAGCAAAACACGCCCTCCTTTTCATGCATATTTCTTCATCCCAACCGTACATGTTTCACACTGTAGTGTCCACATCTACTAAATTAGATTTGTCCCTGCATACTGCTTACTAATTTTTATCACAAGACATCCCGCCATTGCCATACAAAAAATTGATAAGATTGATATTTAATTATGATGTAAATAATTATAGTAACAATGACGGGGTCTAGACTCAACAGAAGACAAACGAAGTCAATATTTCCTATCGTAGATGTGTGGACAAATGCTCGACAAGTTTTCAGTAACTTCAGTTTGTGAAACTTTTTTCGCCTAAATAACCTTCGTAACTTTATGACACCTTTTTTTCCTAGGAGGGTTATGATTTGTGTAAATTTATACCACTATACCAATAAATACTTAGTAAAAACGCCCAGAAAAAAGTTGACATATAACACTCCTCCCCCCCCCACGCCTTCCAGAAATTGTAAACCTATGCACAACTCTCAATAACCTTGTACAGATTCAAACCCCTTAAAGTCCTCGTTTTGCAGAAGTAATCATAAGACACTTTAACAGTTTCAAGTTAATACATTCATATTGATCTGCCTAAACCTGGCTTCACCTCAGAGCCAACAAGATACTTGACTTCAGACTTCCTCTCTTCCATATCAGATTTTAGTGGAAGACGAAACACTCGATGGGGAGACTTCAATACCAATCAGCATAATTTGTTAAGCCGTTTACACTGAGTGAATGAAAGGGCTCAATCATATTATAAATGGGCCGTTAAGTTGGTAGGCTTTTATAAGCATAACAAAATCTGACCCTACAATAATTAATCACGGTCTAGAGGTCACTCTCTGGAAGAGTCGGTTTACTTAAGCATTACTTTTCCAATTTCGCGGACTTTTCTTTACCAAACAGAGTAATCCGAAAAGTAGAATCAGATACATTCAAAAACAACTTTTTTGTCCTTGAAACTGACTGTCACCACTTTAGTTAACTTTCTACATAGTTAGAATCAAATGTCTTTCTAACCGAAGCTGATGATTGGCAGATGCATATGGGAAAACTGTCTTATATCATTCCGCTTCATGATCATATTGAAAATATACTACACCATACATAGCGACGGTGCTGGGTGAACCGCCCATCTCCGAAAATTTACAGATGGCGTCTTCAGAAAAGGAACTCATCCCTTTGAATGATCTACCGCCAAAACATGAAAGCATCCCAGAGAAACCTTCAACAGCAGGCACCACCGATTTGGTGCCCTCTAAGTTTCCTTCCAGACCCAGGCGAAAAGTTGTAGTCGTCGTCACTGTCATCGCAGTGGTCGTTTTAGTTATTATTGCAGCATCCTTGATCGGCAAATACATTCCGGAATATCTTCGAGATGCTGAAAACAAGTGTAAGTATACGGATAAATTATTAACCTTCTTAAGGTGGCTTTGATTGAGCTGTAAGCGATAGAGTGAACATCTTACAGCAAAAACTCTCGAGGTTTGTTTGTGCGCCTTGAATTCCTTTGATTATTTAAGTGTCACGGGATGGAGTTCGTCGCTGAAATTACGACATCGGACGACTTTAAAGTTTCCCGAAGTCTGAAGAATAGAAATTACGCTACAAATACTCAGAGCATGGGGCATGTGCGAATTTAAATACAAAATGTATTCAGGAGAGGTTATCTGGGCCTAAATTAAACTGACTTTGCGCGTCTTTTGCCGACCTTTGAGCTTTGAGCTTTGAGCAGTAATCCAAAAACATGAATTCGTTTTATTGTTTTTCTCCCACATAGCTCGAAAATATACTACAGATAAGGGAGCTGAAGAACCAAAAGGACCCATATCCTCTAAAAATCAAGTGTCCCCTACAGGTACTTTGTTCACTTTTTTGATGTAGAAATTTAAAATTGTATGTTCCCAAATTGCAAGATTTTTACTAGAATCGCAAAATCATTCACTACCTCCAAACGTGAAGGAAGCTCAATTACTTGCTTTCTGACTCCGAAAAGAAGCCTGAACAAAAAAATATTCGGACTTAACGATTTAAACGCACAAATTTCAACTTCTAGCTCCATGATCCCGGCTATATTCTCTTATTCATAATTCACAACGTAGTTCTCCGCATTTGCTGCGGCTGAACTGTCTCCAAGCAAATCGTTGGAAATATCTAGCTTAATTCACTCCTCAACAAATGTGGAGATATTTACGACGTTCTGAAGGAGTTGTTTATGATGAAATTAGCGAATATATACACTGGACGAAAAAATGGATTTTGCTCAGTTTTGCAAGTTGGGCAAATGTAGTGCAATTTAGGGCTCTAAATTTGCGCTGGCAAAGTTGATGGAAACTCGAGCATTTGTACCTGGTGTGTTTACTCGCATATGTGACGTAAATGTTATATTTGCTTTTAAATTCACCTTTCACCAAGGTAAATATGAAAGTTCCACATACATTCGCCACACGTTTGCTTAACATAAGTGTCATATTTACCACAAATGCAAACGCAGGCAAACAATTTTTTTTGCACTGGTTTTCAGCTAATTTTCTTATCTATGAAAAAATGCCAGAAATCTAGTGGCAAACACTCGCTCAAGAATGAAAAACACTGAAGCAGCTGGGAGGGGGGGGCTAAATTTCCCCTTTAGCGTTAATTTTTCCACACCTCGATAAGTGGCCACAGCAACTTTGTTTTTCATCCGATATGGAGTCTTCTATTGTTTTTATCCTTATTAATTAAAGCAGCCACTGTAAAAACCCCCTAGCAGTGGTGGGCTGATGATAGGTAAGACTCCAACAAAGAAGGTAGCAACTGATAAAAAAGCTATCAAGTTCTTTATCTTAATGACCTTATTCCATTGTCATTAAGATGAGTGTGGTAGTTCGTGATCTTTTTTTTTTTTTCAGGCAGTTGTCTTCTGCACCATATACAAATTTCCGATGAACCCCTATCAAGCAGCCAACCTATATTTAGCTGCTGCTTAATTGAGCTTTGACTGTCTGCAATTTTAGACAAATAAGCAAAAAATAGTGGCAGGCCTCTGCCTACCACAAACATAAAAAATTATTGTTTTCTTGTACAAGGTAAATCTGTGAATATATCCTACACATGAAGATGGTTATATGGTTACCTTTTTTTAATGCACGCTGTTTCCACAACTGCAAATTCAAGCCAGATAGTTTCAGTTGAAAGAATACAGTGTGGGGTTCATTAACTTCCCTGGCAATTCTTTAAGAAAATAAGTTATTTCACTGTTAAGACAGATGTAACATCAAAACTGAGAGAACCAAGTTATCTTGGTTACATATTATAAAATGTTTATATCTTAGTGTACTGTACAGACAAGCAGTAAACAGATTTCTCTTGAAACTGTAGTTAAGATAAGATCGAAAATGTAAATGCATTCTTCGTGGGGTTGCAATACTACAAGTACATATGTTATTTTGAACACATTAAATATACTTAAAGTGTAATAAACATCTAAGTTAAAACATCTTTGGGATCTCTCATGGAAACCTTGTGAAAACATTAATGGAAATTATCTTGATGGATGTTACTCATGGGAACATGAGCATGGGTCATTTAGCAGAGGATTAAACCTCTGTAATGCTTTTCTGATTGCATTGGTTGCTTTGGGGCCTGTTATTATCTTCTCAATGCTTAATAACAATATTGTTATTAAGGTCACACCCGTTCAAAATGTGCTGATTTGCAATGAACCACTTGTTACAATTTTAAGAAATTTATAACAAAATACTTGAACAAGGAATTATTAAAATCTCTCTACTGTTCAAACTGGGTGGTAAAGGGTATTTGCATGATTCCAGATTGGCCTTTTTTCTCCTGTGAAATTTGAAATGGCTATTTTTTCCTCCATGAATCATGACTTTCATGGTAGCCAAAAACCCTAATTTTTCATGATTATTTTTGAAAAACAGGTTGTTGAGATGTTGTTCCAAATGTTTCTAAAAATGATCTGCAAAATTGCGTGTAATCATTCTGTAGATGTTTTCAAGGCACAATAAAAATCAAAAGTCCTGTAAATTTCGTAATTTGCAGGAGTGAACTCATCCAGACAGGAGGCCTTTGGATTTCCAAGGAAAATTAGGGTAGAGCACTGCCATTAGACAAACTCAGGACCACCTTTTCTCATGACCTTTGTACCCTTACCAGTAACACATTTACATGAGTGCCAATCTTTAGGGGTGTCATGACCAAAACCCTACCCGTAGTATAAACCAGGCTAAAGTAGACATAGTCACAGCAGCCCATTCCTAGCCTCCACCTCCTCCCCTTTCCCTCCGCTTCTTACCCCCCCTGCACCACCTGTCTCAAGGAAGAGGTGATGTTTATCTTTAAACAGGATAGCTAGATATAGAAGGCAACAGAACTGATCATTCACTGCTTCAGTGACCACTCTCAAGACAGTTCGATGAGCTTCCATAACTTTCAGCTTAATTGGAGACGACCGATGCTTGAGCTCATAGGCTTAAAAATTTTAATTATAATTTAAATACTGCACGTACCTATCTCTGCGTTTGGAATTGCCTTGGAATCCGACGATGTTAAGGCTTTCCTTGAAGCTTCCTCTCGCCTGAGAAAAGAGTGCCATCGATCATAATACTTCCTCGCTAAATATTTGCATATCTCCTGTTTCTCTCGAGGCTAGCCTTCTCATTCTGCAACGCAGATGCAAGTGTCCTATCTTTGTTAGCGCTTCTTTGTTGTCGCTTTCGCTTTTTCCGTCCTCTGTTCATTCGCCATTTTGCCTCATTATATTTTCACGACTTCTTCTACCCGCGAGGGCAAAAGAAAGAAATAAAATTGTACTCAAGTTACAGCTAGATTTCTTCCCGCCGACTCTGTTTCAAAAAGCGCCTAAACGGACACCGCTGACCATCAAATAGACGAAAAGCCACCTCCAGAGCCCCTACGCAAAAAGAAAGTAATGGTAGTGGGGTGGGGATAAATGAGCACTTCCAGATCCCCTGGCTGTTGAGATAGCTGCTACCCTCTTTCTCAGCCAATCAAAATACCAAGGAATACACTCGCGGGTACTCCAAAAGATATGCTATTACCAGGAGCCCAATAACTTGGTCTCCTGCTATTACGCATTCAAATTGTTAGCGCCTTTTCTCTTGTGTATCTTCGCTCGACAACGTACGTTTTGGTGATCGTTTCTGCTAAGGGAAGGTACGTTTTTTCTTGGGGAGGGGAGGGCTGGGGCCTCAGAGGGGAGGGTCATCAGTGAAAGTGAGCACCAAAGGGGGAGGGCCATACCCTCTTTTTCAGATATTCAAGGGGAGGGTCACACCTTTTCCAGAATTTTTAATGAGGATTTTTGTGATGTTATTTTCCATTTTTCTTTAACAGACTAAGTTTTTTCTTTTCAGCTTGTTTCTTTTAATTCGGTGCAGGTACTAGTTTTACAAGGTTACTGGGTGTCTACATGTATATTATTCCATGGCACATAATTTTCTCGGAGTACTCGTGTCCTTTTCCGTCCGTATCGTGACGTACTTGACTCAGGTATGGTTTCTTGTTCCAGCTGTTGTCTATCCGCTGCCTAATCTCCTGAGTCATTAAGATCTGAAGAGTTACTAGAAGATCCAACAATGCCCTCTACCCTGTCGCTGTCACTGTCACTGTCAGACTCTGGATTTGAGTCAGAGGCTAGCGGAATGTTTGTCTGTTTTTCCTGTACAATTGAAGTCAAAATCTTACTGCGCATTTTCTTGTTTCAGCGCGCAAATATTCAATATCGAGATTTATTCATATTCAAACATTTTGCGTTTACAAGCAAAATGTCGAAAAATGTTCTGAGGTTTCTATGGCATGGAGCATACCATGTGGTAGTGAGGGGAGGGTCACACTTTTGTTAGTCACCTAAAAGTAGGGGGACCAGGAGTTTTTTAATCAAAACATGAGGGAGGGGCAACACTTTCTTTTGGAAAAAATACCAAAATTCCCCAGCCCTCCCCCCCAAGAAAAAACGTATCTTCCCTAATATGGCTAGACTTGCACCAAATAAGGCTAGTAAACCCAGGTAACAAGTGACCTCAGCCTCAAGGGCGACAAGAAGCAATGATAAAAAGGGCGGGAAAACGACGAATACTGTTTGCATACTTCCGCACATTTTCAGTCACTTACAGAGCTTGCTTGCGATTGATCTCCCATCAAAACGGCAATTATAATCCAAGGTCACGTAAGGTAAAACAACCCGTCCCTAACTCAAGCCAGGTTGGGAGCTTAGAAAGGTTATCTTCTCAGATCTGACTCTAATCCAGTACGAGTCTCTTGTGAGTTAACGACACTTTGGTTCACATAATTTGCACGACAACCACGTGGTCTATTCGCTTATATCAAGCCCCATATTAGCCGGAGAGAAGAATTAATTACAACCTTCTTTCTGAGCGTCCTTATAACATGCGTTCACTGATTTGCTTTCTCTATCGATTTCTTTTCTTACACGTTGCTCTCTGCAACTGTAACCCCCTAAAACTGTAAGCTGTCCTCAATGCCGAAAATGTGTGTTCACTCTAGAATTCGTCATTGATTGTATCCTAAAAATCAGATTTCTCAGTAACTCTTTAAAGTTGCAGGAGCTATGATTTTCATCCAACTGAGGTAAAGAACTCGATCGCTTGCAATTATCCTTGACCGATCATCTAGATCTAATCAAATCAAAACAAACAAACAAAAGAATACAACATTCTAACATAGGTCTAGATCGGAATTCTTTTTTAAATGGGGTGTTAATAAAGGTGTATCAATATTTTACGCTATTATTTTGTAATACTTATCTTCAATTTTTTTACTAGCGACAAGCGAGACAAAAAGTTTACTTCAAACTACTTCAAGTGTTATTCAACACACCCCAATATCGCCTATACCAGAATTTACCACATTTGCAGCAGTTACGCTTTCTTCAAGGAGCGAGATCAGTGCTTCCTCAGCAAGTAGCGGGGTGGCTGACTTGTCAGTCATTGCGAACCTTCTACCAAACACAGGTGAGACTAACTAATTCTTCAGTTTAGTATTCTATTTTTCTTTTTGGAAGTCATAAGTTTTTTTCATTGCCTGAGCGAAGGAAAGGCAAAAGGGTATTCCTCAGCTGTCTCATACTTTTTCTCTCTTACCAAGCGTTACGAGTTTTGAAAATTAATTCAACCGACTGTCTGAGATAAACGCATTTAAAGAGTGAAGAAAATATGATTGAAGTTTTAAAGTCAGAAGAAAATCCTCATTTGTATAAGATATTGCTTGAAATGAATTCTCCGCGCTCTGTAGTAAATAAGTACTATGAATAAAGACTGAACAGATGAAAAAAAAAACTACGGATCTGGCGCTTCATAACCTGGTTCCCCTTCAAACGTGAAGCGAAAGTTTATCTCTTCTCCACAAATTTCTAAAGGCGTAAAGCAAAACCTAGAGGCTGTAGACTTCCCCATTTGATAAAAAAAATAATCCTGGAAAGGAAATGAATGGGTGAGGAATGGGCTCTTCGTTGTCATAGAGCCTCTTTCACCGAAAGAGCTTTTAATGGTCTATAGGTTTCCCCAAACTGACCAGCAGATCTTAAAAAAAGTATGGGTAACCTGCGTTTGACTAGTAACATCCCATCCAGGGGCCGGGAGGGGGAAACATTCCTATCCAATCTCTGTCATAGATATTGCACCAAACATTTGACGAGCTTATTTCAGCATACATGATTTTCCAGTGCTACTGTCAGTTTCTTTTTGTAACGAGCATCTTACCCTTAAGTTCAGCTATGACTTAGCAACTAATTTTGTATGTCATAACCTTAGAATCCAAATGGTCTCGTTGGAGCCCTTGGAGTGACTGTACTAAGACATGTGGCACTGGTACACGATATCGAAACAGAGCGTGCGTTGCCATCAATGATAGAGCAGTCTTTGCTCCAATTTCTTGCGCTGGAAAATCTGACCAGATCAAATTATGCGCAGAATGGAAATGTCCAGGTAGGTGCATCTTTCAACAAGAATTGTCAATCATGCCTGGTTAGTGTGAATTTTTGGTAAAGAAAGCTCAAAATATTTGATGTGGGTGAGAGTAAATTTCATCATGAAAAACTGAACAGAGGTAATCAGATGACCAAATAGTCGAGGGAAGAGCCAGGATGAACAGAAAGTGTTTTTTTTTCAGTAGATTCGAAACGGTATTTCCCAGAGCAAACAGCTGTCTTCGCCTGTCTTACTTTCAGAAAATCTGTCTCGTGAGATGTATGTTCAATATCTTATATCTCATCCGTTGTTTAGACTGCTCAAGAAACTGCACCATTGGAACACTAAATGCCGCCTGTGACGCATGCACATGCATTCACCACGAGCTCAGTGGACGAGTCTTGACGGAAGATGATATACCGCTCTCAGATGCAAACATATCATTAGCAGAGACACCTTACAACATTATTGCACAAACGAATATTAGCGGATACTTTGCAACCCTGGGTGTTTGTGCAATCCAACAAGAGCTGCTAATTACTAAAGCAGGGTTTGTCCCCGTGAAATTAATGGCAAATGTTACAACGCCAACAACTGTGAATATTTCGGCCAAAATGGAAATTGCAGGTATGCGCTACTTCGTGTCATCATAGGTCCTAGGAATGCACAATGTCTAGCGTGTGTTCATCCAATATCAGCCAATCTGCGTTAGAATTTAGCTACGTTATAATTTTGAATACTGAACAACTCACACCTATATGTTGTGTTGACATCCAAGTTTAGCTCTTTTCATCAAGGTCCTGTTAACCCTCAGTTGAACTCTCAAGATCTGATTGATAACCGGCTTCCCTTTAACTGCAACACATTTCCTTGTAAATTAGTTGGGAGAATTTGGAGGATGTAGGTAACAATCTCTAGCTGATTATTTTTAATTACTCTCGTCACCGGTTTGTTGGATAATGTATAGATATTACAGGGAGAAGTTGCATGTTAGTCACTTCTGGGAGTTAAAGGGTTAATAGGACTCCGTAAGGATTAGGGAAAAAGCAAAAGAATTACGTCAAAGAACACAGGAGGGGATAGATACAGAGCATCTCCAAAGTTGAAAATGGAAAATTTTTGGTGGAACTCTGTCCCAGCCTAGAGGCTTTCAATGCTCCATCTCACAGACACAATACGCGACCTAACCTCAGCGATTGGCATATGCAATACACATATAATTGATTATCACTTGATTTCTTAGCAAAATGTCTTCTATATTTTTTTATGATACAGTTTAATTCTAACGCACGCTCTTATTGGCCACTATTTTATGAAAAAAAAAATAGTTCATAGAGATGGTTCAGGCTGACGTCATTGTACAGAATAAGCGATTTTTCGGCGTGAAAAATATCTCGTTATGTTATAAAAGCAATGGACAACGTCTAGCGTGCGTCCATCCAATTTGAAATGCATTTGGATAGTTGAAAGAGCACTTTGGTAGCTACTGCTGCCGTACCTCGAGCATCTCTTACGCTACCTTCGTGTTCTCTCAACTATCCGTGTGCATCCCGAATCGGATGGACGCACGCTAGACGTTGTCCTTTCCCTAAGACTTCTTTCTGGGCGGAACTTTCCATGCTATCATTCAACGAATACACTGTTGTTCTCCATCTTTCTGAGTCTTTTTACAGTTTCTGCAGGTGTTCTTTCGTTTTTTTTTCTCTTGAAGTCGCACCATTTGTAACAGTCCATCCAGAAAGCAAGATGCGCATGCCTGGTCAGAGTGTCACATTCTGCTGTGAAGGCGAAGGAAATCCTCCTCCAGAAATTGAATGGTAAGGAGGTTAAATGACTTGGTGCAATATTTAACGATAATTTCAGTTTTTCAAATGGCCTATTAATTTCTATATTACATTCCGGGTTTTAAAGCAATCCCTTTCACAATAATCAACGGGGTTATATCAGATTTGGCGTTATCATACGTTTACTGCAACTTTCGTATGTGTTTAGAGGGTGAAGCCGTATAAACAACGTCAGGGATTTGGATGTTCGAACCATGCTGTAGAAATAAACTTAAATTACAAGTTATTATGACTATTGCCATCGTTATTACAATCATAGTCACAACTATTAATTATCTTAACAGCATCATTATTATTGTTACTTTTAGTATATGAGGATGTCTGGGAATTTAGTCTGATAGGACACCAAGCGAAACCTTTGTCGCTCTTTGACACTGAAAAAATTAATAATTCTTTCATCATTATCATACCATTTCTTATCAATTTTATTATAATTATTGCTATCGTTATTACCATTTTTATTTTTATTACTGTTGCCATTATTGTTGGTATTATTATAGGGGAGCTCGCAGAGCGCAGCCCCATAATTATACAAAATAAAATAGTAGTAACCCATCAAGCCGAAAAAATTTGGATGTACGACCGTATGACCGTATGACCGTATGACCGTACGACCGTACGACCGTACAAGGTGCTACTTTTAACATGCGTGGTCAACTGTACCGCGGGCACGCCAATGCCACGGTTTTGTCCAGTAGTCCAGTGGTCAGTGCACTGGGCTCCGAGTCGGACGACCCGGTCAACAGTCAATTGATAACAAGTTAGGGTGAATGTTAGGTTAGGGGAGGGGTAGGTGGGCAGTTGCCCAGATACTGATATTGATCCTAACATTGTATGTAGTTTTATCCTAGGTGGGCATCGTTAAATATTTTTTCTTTTCACTTTTCTCTGTTAGGTTTAAGGAAAACAACGTCATCGATAAAAGCCTCTATAACTACAACAATACTCTTGAAATCAACGACGTTCAGGGTCTGAATGGAACTTTCCGTTGTCGAGCCATTAATCAATTTGGTTCAGAGTTTTCAAGCGTTGCTGAATTAAAAGTTTTAGGTAAGACTCATTTTTACTGAACTTTAAAAAAAATGGTTTTTAATGATAATATGATAATAACATAAGGGTAATACTTAGTGCTAGGGACAGAAGAGACAGATACTCGACTTCCGATTACTCCTATAATCGCGACTATCTTAAACGAAAAGCTCTCTTGCTTAAATTGTTCCATTTTCACCTGACAATGCCATTAGATAATTAGACTGAATTCGGTAAAACTTTACAACGATCAAGAAGAGAAATACAGTAAACAACCCTTCTTTTTAATTTCCAGTCATGCCTCGTAAACCTTCTAAACCCCCTTAAGATTTTGAATCATAGGAAGTCTTCTGTACATTTATTCTATCACTATCGTAAGGGTAGAATTCAAAGCCGTTTCCGCCTTCATCTTTCCAGGAAAAAATGCTGAGAAAAAGTTAGACTTCAGCAAATGTTCACTCATGTCTCCAAGGCAACAAAATGATTTATATTTCTCAGACGGATGAAATGATTTCTTAGAGTTACACTTTACATTTTTCAGTATTACCCCGAGATGATTCAATGAGAGGGGATTAGTATCCTATTGAACAGACTCATCAGTTCAGTTAAAAAAGTACCCTAATTTTGAAGCTCTTTGATTACCAACGATTTGAGTGCTTGAAATCTGACTTGTTTCAGCTTCTACCCAGTAAATAAGTCATATTCATTTGTTTTCTGACCTTAGAAAATTCTGAGGACTCTTGCCCTTCGATACCAAGTTTAAATGATTTGACTCTACCACCTGGTTGTTTAGTTAATGGTACAAACTCCACCATAGTGAATGTCGGCGAGTGTGAGCCTACTGCATGTGTAAAGAGAGGTGTTAACTTCAGCTCTTCATGTTCGGATCCTCCCTTTTGCTGTGGTCCTCTCCTTTTTGAAAGTGTTTCAGTTAAATGCGCCGCCATGTCGTTCGACTTATCTGTGGTAAAGAGGTGTGGCTGTGGAAAATGCACCGAAAAACAGACTATTATCGGTGGTGTTGCTGTCGGTCAGAATGGCAATCCAGCCATTTTAGTAGACTTGTTTTTCAGAGGAAAATCTGTAGGTAATACCAATGCTGAGGGGAAGTTTTCATTTCCCGTTCCAGAAACTACGAAAAGAGCGATTGTGACCTTCAAAGACCAGAAACGAAAAAAATTTGTGGAAGAGGATAAAATTTTTGTAGTAAAAAAGGGCCAAACAGCTATTTATACTGTAAAACTAAGAGAAAAACCAGCGCCCGTTACGTTTAATGCCTCCGAACCCCTCGATGTAGCGCTGGGTAGTGATTCTTCTGATAGTTTTGCTGATCTTGAGCTGCCTGAAAACGCCCTGTTGACTGAAGATGGTTCTGTTTTCAGTGGAATAGCTAAGGCCACCGTTAGTGTCACTGATCCTCGTAACCAATCGGATATTGAGTCTGCTCCAGGAGATTTTAGCTCAATGAGTGAGGATGGTGAGGAGGAACTACTTCAAACGTTCGGTATGATAAAGCTTGATTTGGAAGATGACAGTGGGAAACCGCTTACTATGTCTAAACCTATGAAAGTGTACCTGGATTCAGAAAAGCTCAATTCATCTGTGTCAGATGGAAATGTCTCCATCAAACTTTACTGGCTCGACAAAAAAACAGGACGATGGAGGGAGGCCGGTGAATTTATGCTCGAGGATGGAAAAAACCGAAGAAGAAAGCGTTCCGATGTTAAGCGGACGTTCCTAGTAATAAATGTGACCCCTTCCTTGGTAAAGCGTGATCTGAACTTTGATACCCCAACGGCTCGAGTTGCTTTAAGAGTAACCATTGCAAAAAATTCAAATAATAGTGATGCAAGTAAGGATGTCCTAGTAAGAGTCATTTGCCTAAACGGATACTACATGGAGGAAGTTACGCGCGACGACCGTTGGGCTTGCATCGTGATTCTAAGAGATGCAGATTGCTTCGTCCAGGCTTTAAAGGGAAATGATTTTTATGAGCCTGCCATATCCTCCGATAATACACAGCAAATATTTAAGAAAGTTAATGGAAGCATAGTAACAAGCAAAGGCAACGGGATTACAATCAAATCGTTTCGATTTAGGAGCAAGCTAAACGAAAATGATCATGATGGACCAATTTACTCTGTAAAACCAGCTGGAAAGGAAAAGTGCAAGGCCTCTCCAAACAGTTTGCAGGCGCCGCAAAAAAAAACAGCTCAGTTTGTATTTAAATCTCCGGAATCTGTTCAGGCGACTTATGATCAACTTATATTCAAAGATCAGTTATCAGGCAAATGGTCTTACAATGACCAAAACTGTTTTATCAGAGTCGTATACAAAGGAAAAGAAGCAATATTCATGGCAGCCAGTTATCAGAAAGGAAACTTTGATGATGACACTGCGTATGGCCATCATCTCAAGATGTCAAAAAAGAATTCATCAAGCGGTTCAACTCAAGTTGTATGCCTTCAGGTTCCATGTCCTATATTTAGAGACCGTGAATATGTATTTTTTCTTGTAACATCTGTAAGCTCGACGGATAACGTTGGCATTGAATTTAAAAAATTATCCCCTGTTATACAAGGACAGCAAAGTTTCTCGTGTCGACATATGAAAACCTCTAAAAGTCCTTTTGAGAAGAGGTTCTGTATTTCTCATTGGCTAAGTAGCTTAATAAGTTTCACAAATTCAGCCGAATGCTTTAATAGTCACAGGGATCATATAGAATTTAAATAAGGTATGTACAAGCGGTTACATGTTTTATGTAGTCAAGCTTCCATAAGATAGGATACTGGAAGTTATGCCATGCCAAGCAGCCGGATGCACAAGTAATAGCCCCTCTTATCATCAAACTTCGCGACCTCCACTTTTAAGATCAGCGAAAATCTATCTATGTTCGTAGTTATATCTAATTGTACCTTTTTTGGTACCTTTCCACGGCATATGAGGTGCGTTTCGTCGAGCCATGGTTAGTATTTTGATGCGAAACTTTTGATCAAACCTATACTGCGTTTCGTCGAGCCATGGTTAGTATTTTGATGCGAAACTTTTGATCAAACCTGTACTGGAGGTGATTCCTTGGCCTAATCTAGCCGGCTTATGATAATTGTTAAATCTTTCTATTAGAAACTCGTAGTTTGCTAAAGGATGTGGCTTTTGAATTGTTTTGGTTAGAAAACAGCCAGATTCTGACCATATCATTTTCTTAAATAGGGTAGAGTTTTCAAAGAGAACTATGTTCTATAGAAATTATATACAATTTTCATCTGCACCATTGAATATTGTATGTAGAATTTGTATGGTAACTGTGATTTGGGGTTCCTGAATGGTAATCACTTGTTAAAGGCAGTGGCTGTTTGACATTATGCTAAAAATTTCCTTTATAGAGGCTGCCAATATTTGACTTTGGCACCGATACAACTATGTCATTTTATGACAAAGCACAATGGTTTGCAAACTGAATATTTGTGGTTAGAGAAGACCTACGAAGCCAGGTCTCAAAATGGGTACAGAAAATGGTAAGTATTAGTCTTAACTTGCTCAGGTAACTCTTCTATATTCTTCTTTCATTTTTATACAGTTAATTGAATTATATATCTGATGTTTGTGAAGTAGGTGGTTACAGAGTTTTGTACAGGGTTTTAAGTTTTATACACTATTTTAATAGTTTGTGACGAGAAGAAGGAATTAAATTGTTTTCATAGTCATAGATTGAGAAATAGATGGTAACGTTGCATGATGGCTTTCAGTAGAATGTTGGTTTATATTTTATTATTTCAAGTAATAAGACCCTGAATTATTGCATTTGGTCAGTTTTCGCCGGTCCGATTTCGAACCACAAGATTTGATATCAATTGTCCTCAGTTGATTATGTACATATGCCGACTCCAAATTCATATAATACAATTTTGAAAGCACTAGCCGTTGGGGGTAAAAATTGATAAATTTTAACCGTTAGTTGTCAGAAAGGTAACCGTACAAAAATTCTGGTGACAGCAATGGAAAGATGTAAACCGTTAGCTGTAAACTGGCCAAAATCTTGACCGTTAGCCGTCAAAACCATCACTCCAATGAGACACTCAAAATTATGATGACGTAGCAAAAATCTAATTATGTTTACATACTCAGTTATCAACACAAACTTTATTGACATACATCTTTACAAGCAGCGTGCATTATGCATGTAAGAATGTACGTTAATCATGTTTATACTTTTATACCATGATTTGTAGTAAACAGAACATTTTTAATAAATGCGTGTTCAAAGTAACGTATTCTTTTTTGCATTTCGCGCTTTTTCCCCCTACATAGTGTAGGTCTCCATTCCTCGCTAATGCAGGAAACAATAGGGATGTGATTCTCCTTTTTCATGAAGAGGAACCTCTAGGAAAGGAGTGTCTCGTCGGCAATCTAAACGCCATGCACTTGAAAGAACACAAAATCAAGCGTTTTGCTACGCTTGCTGTGTGTGTGTGTTTTTTTATTTATATTCTGCATGATAATATTTAAATTGGGTATTTTGTTTCAATAAACAGCTTTTCTCCCAAGTTGCTACAACAATTGACGCGATTTCCTGAAGCTGGTTTTAATGGCAACATGTTCTCTAATTCACTTCGTGATAGTCACACTATCTATCGGATTAGTGACTAGAATCTTTCTTTTTTCTTGTCCGCCATCAATCACAGCCAGTTCGATTTCGTCGCCATCTATGGCCGAATTTGCCTTCTGCATGCTGTGAAAAGGGCTTCAGCTCACTCAACTAAGAGATTTGGCGACCAATAAAGTAATGATCAAATCTGGATTATAATTATGTCATTAACTGTAGAAGGTGTCGATTTTTAATCGCATTCAGTTGTCATTTATGCTGAAAAAAGGCAAGGAGCTTGTTAAACAATTGCACTTAATTAGTCATGTATAAGATCGGTCGAAATTAATTCTTCAACACTCTGGAAAATAATTTTGAGTAAGACTGTGAGCCCAGCCAAATGTGGTGAATAAATAACAATTCTTGCAGGATTGCAGGTTAGATGTACATGCGTTACTGACCAAGCTTGAGGTCAAATTGCTGAATTTACTGTGTGATATGAAACAAAATGCATGACTTATCTATTTTCGAGCACTGAGAAAGAAAGCCAACTGTGATGGAGCGTGCTCGTTTCTTATTCGTGTTCTGTCTCCCGCAACTTTTTGCGACTCCATTGCCAGCATTTGCCCCACTAAAATTATGATATTTTAAGTCCCCTCCACGCTCCACGCTCCACGCAATTTTGCGTGGTATCAAAGCATGCTAGTTCCCACTCATTTCCTTTAGACAAAGTTTTATCTGCCCTTTCTGATAGCTGAGACAAAAAAAACATCATAAAATTTACAAACATTGTGTTACATCACAAAAACCATCTCAATAGGACTCAAGCACACAATTTGCTATTGTAGAAATATCCTCAATATTATTTTCATAAGTAACAAAAATAGGAGTACAAGTAAGTTTGCAAACAGTAATACTTTTAAAATAATGGTTGTAAATGAATCATCCCATAAAAATTGTTCTAATTGGACAAGAAGGAACTACTGTTCCCACATATCTACTACTGAATGAAGGTCATTGGATGATGAGAAAAGTAGTGGATTCCACTGTACTCACTCACAGTTCTAGACAACAATGAATGTTTAAATCAAGAGACTATGTGGAATCTTGCACAGCTGTCAAATTATATCAATTTCAAAGAATGTAAAATTAATCTAAAAATTCAAGAAATGCTTATTACATGCCAGCAATGTGGGAAATTATTCACAAAACATGTTTGGAAGGATTCATGAAGAATCCTGTGTGCTGATCAAATTATTGGGTCAACTTGCTAAAAACCCTTCTATAATGGCAGAATGTAATATTCAACATACATGTATGCTAGATAACATGACAAACATATTCAGAGATGAATTCAATTCTTCTCCTATCTTCCAGCATGGTCCAAGCAAAGGAGACAGCACTAGAATATTTAGATATAATTAATTCTCATATTTTTCAATAAGCTGTGCTCTTTTGAAACCTTCTGTTTGGGTTTTTTGGTCCAGAGTCTCAGAGGAATTACTATCGCGGTCATATTGTCCTCTGAACCATATTGTATTGCACAATGTGTCAGAATATTAGCAGCATGTTCAGCATCAGGGCAAGTCTGCACAAGGTGAGTAATCTCCTCATCTGACATAACATGTGAGACACCATCAGTATGCAAAACAATGAAAGAATCTGTGTTGAGATCCAGTTTAAATTGCTGTATTTCAGGGATGGCAATGACTCCATAGGGCTTCAGATGAAAGTCACCAACTGAGCGAGTCATTGCAAGCTTTCCATTAACCTTTGGAGAATTTAATCCCCAATCAATCCATCCATTGAACACCTTTATTCTTTGCTGCTCATCTTCTCTGGATGGGTGATGTGCAATTGTCATTGAGACTGCTTCACCCAGTCGGCACATTAATGCACTACTGTCTCCAACACTAGCTACTGTAAGATCTGTACCATTTTGTAAGAGAGCTACAGTCGCTGTAGTACCACAGTGCAATATGTTCCTCTCATGACCTACAACAGAACCACATGAATATAATTCAAAGCTCCTAAGCCAAAAACCCTTTCACTTCCATGAGTGACCAAGATAGAATTTCTCTTTACAGTATCAATACAATGTCAAGCAAACTAGTGATGAGACTAAAAAAAAAATAAATAATCAGTTGATCCAAAACCAAATTCTCCACACTAACATAAGAATTATATGGTATATAATAAGGATAATTACGTAAAGGATCTAGGGAGTAAAAGGGTTGACAGATTTAGTGGAAAATATGCATACTCAAAAATCAAAATTACCAAATTTTAGATTTTGTGAGCAGAGGGGAGGGAATGGAAAAAGTCTCAAACTGTCATCTGATAGACTGCAGGGTTTCCCTTCCAAATTGTCTTTTATTCACTTGAAAAACACAGGAAAAGTTGATGTTGGACAAAAAGTCAATGGAGGCTTTCACTGAGTATTCAATTTTCCTGTCTTTGTGTTAACTACAATAAAGAAATCCTAAAGTTGCTCAAGGATTTGTTAAAAGATCAAGAGACTGAAAATTTGTCCAGACAATTTTCATGCTGCCCTAGAACAAGGGTCTGCAGCCCACTGAATCCCTTCTGCACCTTCTCATCCCATGCAAGTTATTGACATTTTGTCTCTGCTAAGTTATCCCTCTGTAACAAAAAACTTAGGAAAATGAAGAAGAACAAAGAAACATTATGTGATAAAAAATGCTTCGAACCTTAATTAAAATGCTGATGAATATTTCCATATAACCCCGTACCTCATTCTGCATAAAGGTCTTTGACAAAAGGAACAATAGCTAACACGACTTTTGGGACTAAGGTTTGTCTTAGAATAGTGTGAGGTTGGACAGATTTATTTCCAGAACGCTTTCCAACTGCATGCTGCTACGTTGGAAAGCACTTATCCCCCGCCGTTACTGGGAAGAAGTACATTAGTAGTTTATTTGTTATCATTATTTTGCCTTCTAGTAAACCTTCTTCACCCTTATCACTGTATCCAATAACTATGTCTCCCTAGAGAAACTGTGTTCGCGTAACGAACAAAAACATAACAAACAATTACATAATTCACTTCAATTACATAACGTTTCTCCTAAACCAAAGCACCAACATGCTTTCTACGAGAATGGCCGTACCGTAGCAAATATATCAACAATCCTCTTCATATCACATTAATCAAAATACGGTGGATATACAAACAATCGGAAATTATCTGAAATGAAGGGTGAAATCGCGCCAAACGAATGCAGATCAAAACTTCGAAGCAGTGACGCACGTAGAAAGTTTCCTTCCATAATATTGATGGTACCAGTGAGCAAAACTTCTAGAAAACGGTGAAATTTGAATCCACTCAACAATAAAATATTTTGGCGAAGAAACTAGTGTCATTCAACGAATCCAGACAATATTATGTTGTAGAAGTATCTAATACGAGCACGTGCTAAACACAACGAAAGTGAATATTTCGTAAACTGTTTTCTTTCTAACCGGATGACAATCTAACAACTGAACAGAGTAAAACTAGAGAATTACCACTAAAAATATCTAAGCTCATTCCGTCAAAATATATGGGGCGCCTTAACGAGGGTAACAGGTCAGACGTGAGTAAAATTCCAATCAGTTTTCAGCGTGTACCTTACATAATTCCTGTTGTTTACAACTACTTCGTACCTTACCTTTTTCAATAAGCCACTCACAGTATTCCTTCAAATCGTTGTTACACTTAATAAAAGCTTCCACTAATACACTTTCAATACTTTTATCGCTTCTGTAAAAGTTCTTTATACAATCATGAAGATGTTCGCTCACAAACTCCACAGCCACTGATCCACCATGGCCGTCGAACACGGCAAAGTAATACAAGTCTGGTTCTAGTTCTAAAATTTTGTAACAGTCCTCATTCGCTTCCCGTTGTCCTTTCGCAGTACTTTTTCCAACCGTGTCTACCGAAACATTGTGAAGAAAAGATTTGGCTTCAGCGTCGTGCCAAGCACCTAAATCATCGAAAGGGTTCGAAACAACATGATCACCGCCGCCATCGCTCCACAAGCGAACGCTCGATATTTCGCTGTTAGTTTCGCTGGAGAAACTTCGCGAAAATTTTTTTAGAACTGTAGAGTATTGAATTCTGTAGTTTCTTCGAATAATTCTGGGCAGAGAATGCAATCCGATTCGGGCAAGACCCGAAATTCTACGGCACAACATGCTCTTGTTTGGACCCTGAACTAGAAAGAACTTACAATGTTTTGCTCTGGATGACGAAATATTCGATTTACACATGAATGGGATTATAATAAGATTTGTGATTTGCTAGTTTATGCTTCTATAAAAAAATAACTTCTAATTGGTCACATCTTGAGACGACGCCTCCTTCCTGCCCTCAGTCCCAAGTGCACGTCGTCGCGCGCGACACGAGAGTTTGCACGAGTGTTTTCGTGCAACGCGGCCCAACTCTTGCAGTTTTCACTTTAGAAAGAAGGATTTTTTTTTCACATTGCCAACGAGGAGGATATGTGATAATTTAAAGGTAATTATGAAAATTTCGCGGAAACAAATTGATTTTTTTCAATGTCGAGGCACATTGCAAAATTTGAGTTTCTTTCCTAAGGACATGCTGCAATCAGACCAGGTAAAAATACTTCCTCAAACTGTGAAAATGAATCATATCGGGATGTCATTCTATGTAAAATTAAGAAAAAAGTTGTATGATAACCAGTGGTAGATCCAGACCTTGAGCTAAGCGGGGGGAGGCGGCGGTTTTTCGTCGCTTAACCTGCCGGCTTTTCTTCCTTCTGCGATTCTTTGTTTGTTTGTTTTTTCTACCCAAAATGGGGGAATGGGGGGGGTGGGCGAGCCTCCCCTGGCCCCTCCCCTAGATCCGTCACCGGTAACGTGTTCTTAAGTTGAGTCTTCACTAAAGAAGATCTAAAAATCACGAATAAAAGCATTGGTACACATTGTTAACACATACATGATACATGTTTGGAGTCAGTGCGTTTGTATTGCCTGCATTGCATCAGTACAGCGGGCTTCGTAACCGTGGTTACAAGCCTCGAAGAGATACAAGAAGGTCTTTGCTGACGGTAACTCAGCAGTTCCAAGGACTTTCTCTCGCTTTTGCCGTTAAAAATGGACTCCGAATATCTCAAAAAACACGTCGGAAAAGCTCTTGCCTCTGGTTTAGCTGAAATAGCGGAGAAAAGACCAGTAGATCCCATTGAATATTTAGCTCACTGGCTACGAAAATACGTTGAAAATGAAGAGTTTGCAAAGAAGGTATTATGTGTGGCAAATTTGGTTTTATGTATTGTTTCACAGTCTGTATCTACTGCTGTTATATTTTGACCCCATGAAAATATTCATAGTTGTTTCAGACGGAAACAGGACGTTTTTAATCCCTTCAGTAATACAAAAAAATAGCGAAAGTTATTACTTAAACGTTGTGTAAAATATTGACTTCAGTTTGGGAAGAATTAAGAAATTTTTTGGCGACATGTGTTTGTATAAAGAAGTTTGTCATTGCTTTGGTTGCAAATACGGAATACGAACAACTATGTGATGATATTTTAAGTTAACTGGTATACTTGAGATCCTTGTTCCCAATTTTTTTAGTCCTGTAAATAAGGATCTATGAAAAATTGTTTTTTTTTCCTTGGTGTATTATGTTTGTAGGAACTAGAAGAAAAAAAGGCTCTTGAGAAAGAGAGACAAGAAGCTGAAGAGGAGCTTATTAGAGAACAGAAACGGAAAGAGGAAGCTGAATTGATTGCACGGCAAGAAGCGTTTGAGAAGGCTGCCAATGAGGAGGTTGTGCTTGATCAAACACCAAGGCCGATTCCACCAGAAGTCACTGGGACATTGGCTCCTGTTGCAGAGGGAGATGAAGTAGAAGGTGAGTAAAGGCAAAGGAATACGATGTTGAAAAATGTAGAGTCACTATTAATTGAAGACTGTGACATTAAAACTTCTCTCTTACCAATTTTCATCAGGTAGTGAGGCTGAATGAGTATGCAGTATTATTTGTACAATGTATTTGTAGCTGTAAAGTATCATCATTCAAGTGTCTCAAAATCCGGTGAAGACAAGCAGTATAGCTGATAAAACATCATGAACTTAAAGTAAATGCTGTGAGGTATAATTATTCAAACTCAATTTGCTGGACAGAAAATAATAGTGGAGCAGTTATTTAAATGACCTTTTACCTCATTACAAAATTCCGTTTTGTCTTTTTCTGTAGTAACAATAGTAAGACTCTAAGGAGAATGTTGTGTAGGAATATTGTTTGAAGAGTTCTCTTTTTCTGGGCTTTGTTTAATCCTTTAACCCTTTAACTCCCAGTAGTGATGAACATGAAACTTCTCCTAATAATATCCATACATTATTCAGCAAACAGGTATTGAGAATATTCAAACTTATCAGTTAGAAGCTGCTATCTAGATCTTGCACCAAGTTCTCATAACTAATTTACAAGGAAATCTGTAGCAGCTAGAGGGGAGAATTAACAATCAGATCTTGGGAGTTAAAGGGTCAACCTTGCCAGCATGAGTTGCCTAAAAGTTAGTAAGTGTAACTCATCAAGTCGCCCAAAATTCATCTCATCCAAAGTCATGTCTCCCAAAACTAGAGTTTATCTTGATTTAACTCCAAATTCTCCTAACTAAAATATTAGAAAATATATAATGGCTAGAAGGGAGAATAAATAATTAGATAATTTCCTAATAAAGCATCTAAGTATTTAAATCAGAATAGGGATCTAATAAAAACTTGCTGTATTACTCAAACTTTGAATCTCTATCAACCGATAAGTCAATACAGAATGAAACATGTTAATTTTTTGATTTTGATGTAAGTTGTTAATTTCTAACAATTAAACCATGACTGTGATACTAAGATTTTCTGTTTTATTTGTAATGCAGCTGGTCAAAGGAAGCCAGAAAATGAATAACTCAGATGCATGCTTCAAATAAAAACCAACAACTGAAGATGTCTTCACCATCATTGATATCGTTTTGAAAGTTTTCCCTTTGAGATAGTTTAATTTCAAACATTTTTTAATGATTGTTTTGTTCTTAACGTTACATGTTACAAAAATTTTTAAAGATTTTATGATTGTTACTATTCTGAAACTGAGAAATACTGCCGGATAACATAAAGTCATAAAATTCCTCAATTCAAATTTTACTGGAGAGTTTTAATGCAATTTATTAGAGAATTATTCATTAAAGATGATAATTATGGAAATTGTGCAAATAATATAGATTCACATATTTTGAAATATATAATTTTAAATTCACTCTACATTGATAAACTTAAAGGTTAGATATTGGCTCTTCAACCCAAATGTTATCATGATAAATTATTGATCAGAGAACTTTGTAACAGTTAAAGTTTGTTCAGCAACATGTTACTTTTTTTTTTTTTTCTGGAGAACAATTTCATATTCGTGCAAAGTTAAGTGTCTGAGATAAGAAATAAAGTAATCTGAAGTGCCTCTACTAGACTGTACAAATTAAACTTTCATAATAACTTGTAACTTGGATTGACAGCCTTCTTAAGAGAAGCCATTTGCTACAATCTCATCAAGCAAGAAACACCTAGCTTGCAATTTGATGCAAATTAGTTGGAAATTCAATAAATGCATGCCTGTTGGATTTACCTAATGTATAATATTTCTGTTTTGAACTCTGCTCTGAACTCCTTTCTTTTCCTTGGTTTTTCTGTTTGTTTTTTTTGTTTTGTTTTGGTTGGTTACCTTGGATTTCTTTTCTTTTCTTTCCCTGGATTTCTTTTTTTACCACCACTGGGTCAACGTATTTCTTAAAATTCAATTTGAGGTATTCTTCAGACTATAGAGACAATTTAGACAAGTCTTCTTTCTGAAGTAATTATTCTGTATTTCTTGTGCTTAAGCTTTGACAAAAAGGGAAGGGTCTCCAAAGGAAGCATGCAGTTTGCAGGCAAAGTTTAAGTACTCATCTTAGAAGTACCTCAAGCATCACTGGAATGTTTCATCAGAGAGAAAAATAGTACATGTCAGAGTATCACATGAGCAGAATCTATTTATTAAGTATAGGATCTCTTTAAATCCCTGTGGAGTGTGGGAAAACAGAGGTGGTTCTTTAAAATCTTAAGGAGTAAGGTTCATAATGTAGATGCAGTCTCTGTCATATTTGTATCCTCTCTTCTTGGTGGTAAACACTGTCCTCTCCCCCCCTCCCTCATTCCCTTTCTTCATTTCTCTCAATGCTAACACCACCTCAGGGATATAAAAAGCCATGATGAAATTTGAAAATTGAAATTTCCCTGTTTTAATCAATCAAACAAATAGATCAAGACAATAAAGCAGAAGAGGCCGAGAAGACTACTGAGGAAGCTGCACCATCTGGTGAAGGTGAGGCTGCTGCAGCTTCTGCTGAAAAGAATGATGAAGAGGCAAAGCCAGAGGGAGAGGAAAAGAAGGAAGGGGAGGGGGAGGAGCCGGCAAAGGAGACAGAGGGGGAGGAAAAGCCTACAGAAGGAGAGACAAAGGAGGGGGAAGGGGAAGTGGAGCAAGCAGGAGAGAAGCAAGAGGGGGAAGCAGCTGAGGATGAAAAAAAAGAGGGAGAAGCAGCGGAAGATGAGAAAAAAGAGGATCAACCTGAAACAGAAGGTGAGTCAAATTGAAGAAAAAATTGATTCATCATCATCATCACTTTATTTGGTAATGCAGGTTACAAATTGGCATGTTTTTTAATGGCTCTCTAAAGCTGCAACCCTTGTCAAGTTTTATCGAAACACCCACTCTCAGCAACTTTGTCTTGGGAAAAGTTGAAATATGGCAAGAATCTTAATGAAGATTGTGGTTCACTTCTCATTTTCAAGTCCCTTTTTATATAAATAGAGAAACATTTTTCTGGTCAAGATATCTTATCTTTGCCATCCATGTTTTCTTCAGCAGCAGAGCCTGCACCTGCAAATAAAGAGGATGAAACAACAGATGCAGAACCAGAACCAGCACCAGCTGCTGAAGAACAGGCGGACCCTGCAGCTCAAACAGAAGAACCTGAAGTGCCTCAGGAATAAGAATTGTGTAAATTAATATATTAAATTTAATATTTTAGTTTTATTTTTCAATACCATGTATGTTCATTTTTGTAAATATCCGCTTGCATTTTTATAATCTCTGTTAGTAACAGTTGGTATTATACTTTTCCAGCATATTGCACAACGTTTATGACTGTATTAGGATTGCATAACAATTCAAACGAGAGTTCACCTTGAAAAAAAGAAACAGTTCAGTTGAGTTTAGTAAACAGACAAATGTAAATTTAATTAAATAGTTTGCATCATTCTATAGCAAGATATTTGTCATTTTAAGGGTGCTTAAGGTAAGGAATGTTGTATTTTTTTAGGAGCAAAAGTGAAATCAAGAGTACATTTTATGAGTTAAGCTAAGAAAATGACATTGAAAAAGACTTGACCTTTAATATGTTAAGGGTTAAGTTCCATTCAAGTTTGATATAGGAAATTAACTAAAAGATTTGTTAATCAATAAATCTATTTAAGCTATTTCCGATAACAATTTTCTAAGCAAGACAAAATGTCTGCACAGGAGAACATTACAAATAAGTCTGCACATGTTTACTTACTAGAGTCCCTTCAAGGAACGATCTTTGAATTTTTTTTTCTTGGAGGATTCGTTTTGATTGACCAATGCTCTCAATTAGAGAAAAAAAGTGGAAAATAAACAAAAACGAGGAGAGACAGATGGTAAACTCACGGGTGTACTATACATCTTAGTCACCTTCCTTCTTAACATCCCGACCCTCTGCCACGGTCTGCGGACCTATCTGTTTTGACTAGGGCCTGGTACCGAATTTACAATTCTGCAATCTAAGCCAAACGTGACAAAGTGCATCATCAAAATTTGTACCGTAGACATGTAATCTTGTACCCTTTGGAGGCCTTTTCACCAGAATAATGGATAGTGCCGAGGTAGCTGTGATGTTAAATGGTACTCAGGTAAGGACTGAAATTTATTTACTAGCGATCTTCGCAGTAACAGCAGTTTGGCACTTGATATCAGCGGAGTATATTTATATAATGATTGCATCACGCTTCGGTCCCGAATTGCTGTCTGTGTTCGCTGATTCATGGTTTTCTTATTCGCGGGAAGCTTTGATGAATAAATGGTTTGTTTGGTGCTGAAAAGTCGCTGACTACGTGAATTGCAATTCGCTCAAACAAGTTCCGGCTGTGCACATTCCTCCTGTTACACTCACCCAAAGCGATCACATTCAGCTGAGTTCTTGAACATTGTCTCACTCTTTTGCAATTTTGAAGGGTATTAGAGACAGCATTAGTTGAATTAGTACGGTCTGATTTTATCAATCACGAGTATGATTACAGACAGAATTGGACGACACGAAGTCCTGTTACCAATTACTCAGAACTATAACAGAATGTGAGAAAGAAACTAGACATCGGTTATACGTTTTCATTAAAAAAAAAGCAACAACTTGAGCTCGGCGAAATGCGAGACAATAGCGCACTCATATGACGCGTTCTGTCCACTTACACAGGCATGACGTGTGAACTGTCCCTTTAACTGTCCTATTACACTGTCCAGTTACAAACATGATGCGTACACTGTCCTATTAGTGCTAAAATCGGGCTGGTGAGAACCAATTATGTTCGAGAATTTTGTTATAGTTTTGATTACATCTTGAATGCACACTTCGGACTACCAAGTGTTAGTTAATTTTGAAGGGTTTTAACCCTGTAACTCCCAAGATCTCATTGTTAATTCTCTCCTAGAGCTGCTACAAATTTCTTTGTTAATCATAACCATTACAAAGTCCTTAATTCTTATTGATGCCTTTGCAGTTTCATTTTTCACGAATCATTCTTTACAGTTGTAATCAGACAGTGTAATCGGACAGTTGGCTGCAATCACAGAATTGATCACAATAACCACAGCAACAACCATTTATCCAAAGAAAACTAGGCAATTTCCAAAATGAAGGAATTTTTTAATGAGAGACATTATCTCCACTGGAGATATTTATTCTAGATGTATTTGTTTTTTGGGAAATTGAAATGGTTATGATTAATTGTGAGAAACAAAATGGACTCCTGCTTCACAGTTATCCAATTTTGTAAATCACTTGTATGATTACAGACCAAATTGGACTCCAGTTGGTCCTATTACCATTATAAATTGATTACAAGAAATTTGGTGTGAATATGAAACTGATCTTTGCAGTAGTGAACACTACCTGAGCAGTAGTGAAAATAAGACCTGAAAAAAACTCATGCCTGTACGGCCCGGGATTTGAATGCATGACCTCTGCGATACCGGTTTTTTTTTCTTTTTTCAGGCCTTATTTTCACTGCTGCTCAGGTAGTGTTCATTACAGCAAAGATCACTTTAATATTCATGTCTTTTTTTGATTTTCACAGTCATTTATTCATCACTTAACAGGTTTATTTGGAACCAACATAATGACCAACTGCCAGTTGGCTTGTTGGCTCAGTTGGTCAAATCCCATACAGGCCTAAATTTTTTCAGACCTTATTTTCACTACTGCTCAGGCAGTGTTCATTGCTGCAAAGATCACCTTCGCATTCAAGTCTTTATCCACAGTTCACATATATGATTTTCATATATTCACAGTCAAGAAATTTGGTGTTAGGTCAAGCTAACAACTTCTTCTAGAAAAGTTTGAGTATTCGCACTGCCTGTTTGCTGCACAATGAATGGATAATGTTACATGTTGAATATACAATGAATGGCAAAGTTACTTGCTAATCACTTCTGGGAGTTGAAGGGTTAAACATTCAATGCTATGTTGCAATATTTTAGTAAATATCAAAACTTGATATTGAAGCTTACAAGTGAAGAAAGGATGTGTTTACTCCACAAAATTCAACCAAGATGTTGAAATATATCTTTCATTTTGAGCAAGATTTACAAGTATCATCTGATATGACAGTGAATAAAGATGGCAAGTTTCTAAAGAAATTGTGGTGCAGCATCGATGAGGGGTATAACAAGATACAGTTGAAACTGTATTTAACAGTCACCTGCAGGGAATGGCAGGGTGACTACTTAACCCTTTAACTCCCAAGATTTCATGAGTAATTCTCCTTACTATCTCCCATACAATTTATGCGATGTTTGTTTGGAGAATTTGGAATTGGATCAACCAATAATCCCTTAATTGATATTTTTCTGTATTCTTATCACTTGTCTGCTTGATATTGTACTGATGATGTAGGGAGAAATTCTGTTTAGGATGTACACATCTTGCTTAACCCTTTAACTCCCATGAGTGACCAAGACAGAAATTCTCCTCACAATATCAATGCTATATTAAGCAGACAAGTGATGAGAAAAAAGAAAAATATCAATTAGGGGATTATTAGTTGATCCAATATCAAATTCTCCAAGCAACATTACAAGAACTGTATGGTAGACAGAAAGGAGAATTACTAATGAGATCTTGGGAGTTAAAGAGTTAAATATACTACTTACTTTGACTTTTATATTATCAACTCAATTTATAAAACCAAGTTATCAGACAAGAAATGGAATGGTTGTATTTTGATTAATTTTTTTTGTTGAATTTTCCAATGTCATTCACAAGTGATCCTGTTAATCCATTGGCGGATCCATCATCAACTGATCTACATGTTGCAATCAATCAGTTTATTAGTCATTTCTATTCATTCTACCTATACATGCATACAATACTTGCAGTATGTACACAATCTTTTTTGTTTCAATAGTTATCGTTTGTTGGCCAAGAGGCAGAGAGCATACCAGGGATTATTGGAAGGAAATATGGGAAGGTTACTACAAGATTGGATTTGAGCTACAACCAGCTAAGGTAAAGATATATGTTCTTAGATCAGATTTACACTGAAACCAAGAGGTCACTGCATTCGATTCTCTGACATACGGTTCCATGTGCTTTGTGTGCTGCAACTACTCAAACTACCCTACTGTTCTTGCTGTGTTCATTTATATAAATTCAGCTCATTTTAAATTTGTGCTGCTTGTCTCAGGGGAAAAAAATCATCTCATAAAAAGATTTTACCAGAATTTTTATTGTTGTATTCATTGTGATTAACTTGTTCAAAATTGGTGTTACCCCTTTACACCCTAACATCAGTATGCATATTCTCCATACTGTTTGCTAGACATTTCCTAAGGTGCTGACGAGGAGAAGTTGGTTAACAATCATGAGCTTCTTTTTATTCTTTGTAATTCAAGGGTGATATTGTAGAGAAAAATCAGACGTTAGGATGCTAGTCAACCTCAGGGTGAAATATTAAATGTTACCTTGATACACTTTTTGCTTTCTCCACAGATCTCTCAATGGCCTGTACAGTTTTGAAAAACTGGAGGAACTAATCCTTGACAACAACCAGCTTGGAGATGATATGGATTTTCCTGAAATGCCCCATGTACATACACTAACGTTAAACAAAAACAAAATATCCTTTTAACCCTGTTTGGGTTATCAATTTGTTTATCAAGGAAAAATGCCGTGGGAGGGGAAGGGGGAGGGGGAGGTTAACCTGCAATGGTATAGTATTCTGACCAGGGAGGGAAGGAAGCAAAATTCCAAGTCACTTCATTTTACCTTAACCAGGTGAAGCTTAATTGATCCTCTGACCCATAAACAGCTTAACCCTTCACGCACCAATATTGATATACAGATTTTCCATACTTTTCTCTATACATTTTTAAGGGTGCTGACAAGGAGAATTTGTCTAACAATCAAGAGCTTTTTAAGTTGGTGATGGTTTCCTTCATTCTGGTGACCTGAACACTTTAACCCCTAAGAGTGACTAATATCTAATTTCTCCTAACAACATCATCCCTGAATCAAACATCAAGGTCCTGAGAATAAAGGAGATGATCTCCAAGGAAAGAAGCTCTTGATTGTTGAACAAATTCTCCTTGTCAGAACCCTAAGAAATGTCTAGGGAGTAGTATGGAGAATATGCATACTGATGTTAGGGAGTAAAGGGTTAATGTGTGATTCAGGGGTGATATTTTAAGGTGGAATTAGATGGTATTCACTCTTGGGAGTCAAAGGGTGAATGATTTATGATTTGCATTCTGAAATGATAAAATGCCACCTGAATTCAAGAGTCAGGTGAAAATTCCCTAAACTGCATCAGTTTTGGCACATGAATGGTCTGCACAGTTTAGATCACTCTGTTTCAAGGCTTCAGTTAATGGAAAGGAAGAAAGGAGAATATGAACAGCAAACAGCAGCTGGATTTGTCAGGGAAATAGCTGCAGAACCTTATCATTTTTCATGCATCCACTTTTCCACTTGTTCCCTTAATTAAGAGCCTGTCACAGCCTAATTTTAAATCATCTCAACAGAGCGATAAGACGAAGTCATTTATTGCAGATCACAATTTTTCCTTAATGTCAACACATAGTCAGTCTAGATGTAATTTTGGATAAGCTCTCCAAGAATCTACCCTCACTGAAATACCTCAGCATGCTGAGTAACCAGGCTTGTCCAAATGAACTGTCCTTTTCACACAGAGACGAGGAAGATTACCAGCGATACAGGTACGTAAACACAAAGGGTATTTTATCAGGGAATATGATCCTTGGTCGGCTCCTAAGAGTGGTACGTCCAAGTCCATAGAAACGGTTTTTTCGAGTAAAGCAATTTAGAAGTAATTTAGCTTTACCACTGAGCCTCGGAGACTCTACGGTGAGCGCGGTCTATTGCGAAGTTCTTATGACACGCGTCCTACAATTCATCATAACAAGAATCTTTTTTAATGTTTTTTTCATCAGATATTATGTCCTCTACCGCCTGCCAAAGCTAACCTTCCTTGATTCAAGACCTGTTAAACAGGATGAGAGAGATGAGGCTCAACGAGTTGGTGCTCACATGAAGATTATGGCCCCCTCTGACGAAGAACTGATTAGTAACGTGAGTTCCAAACATAAACAGCTCTTTTCTTTCAGAGAGACACCTCAGTAAAGAGTGTCCTTTGTTATTCCGCCCCAAACCCCCCCCCCCCCCCCCCCCCCAAATACCTAAGGGCTTTCAAAACTGAGTCATCGATGGCTTGTGAGTAGGCTCTCCTCATTAGAACTTCGGCGGGAAAGTACGAGGCCTTGAGTGACGTAAGCCCGTGAAAGGTCAGCAGATGGTCTAGCAATGATAATTATTAGTGCCATACCCCTGGCAAACCTCTACCCGACTCGTCTCAAATCTTCCCGCGAGCGAAGAAATGCGTGACCTGCAGCGCTGGTAATGAGGGCGTGCTCCAAAGTTAGTTTATGGAACCTCTATCGTTTGAGTTCTAGGTATCATATCAGCAAAAGACAACAAAGGTGAAAATGAATTATTAAAATGTCACAGTTTCTCTCATATCTTCGCAGCGACGAATTCCCCGACAATCAGACTGGGAAAAGTAACTAGCAATCCGCAGAGAAAAGTTGCAGCGAATGGAAGGAACATTTAGTAAAATCTTCCTTCCCGCGACCGACTCTTTCACCGAAATGAGTCGTAGAAATTCAAATTGGTTGGAATTTATGCATGCATAGCAACAAAATTTGGAAATAGTTCTCTCGAAGTAGGTTAGTGACCCGTGGCATCGTGTGCTCCTCGATACATAATATAGGGTGCTAGAGCCACAGAAACGTCTATCTCTCGTGTGACTGGGGCTTGGATACGACTGTCATTTCAGACTAGTGTCTAGGCCTTTATTCTTCGATGTTTAAGCTGAATCTTCTTCCATTCACGGAATAAATCTTGTCATCTTTTTGTCGACAGACTGCTGATTCGCTGGAAAGCACGGAATCCTTAAAATACACCCCGCTACCGAGCAATTCAATCACTGCAGGAGATCATAAAGGCACATTTGGACGTTGTCGATACGTCTACTACGGAAAACAATCGGAAGGCAACAGATTTATAAGAAACAACGAGCTTTAAGAAATGGTAAAATTTATTATTGAATTTGTTAAGTTTTTGTATATATGACATCTAGTCATGAATTATGGGACGAAAAAATTTTCACGAACAAATTGAGCTTGCGAGAGATGCGCCGGCGAGCAGGCCCGCCACAAATTTGTGCGGTTGGCCGCCGGCGTTTCTTCGCCAGAGGGAAATTACGAGGCCTTGAGCCACGCGAAGCGGTTTACTTCTCCCTGACTCGTCTCAAATCTTCCCGCGGGCGGAGATACGCGCATCCTGTAGCGCTGAACATGACGGCCTGCTCGAAGCCTAGCGAGAGATTTACCTCGTGATCAATCTCGAATGCGTTCAATCTCTTATTAGGCTTTCGGGCAAAAAAATACCACTGGAACGAGTACAAAGAATCTGGCCCCTTTTTAGGGGAAGCAGACCTACTGGTTTCCAAAGCAAATTTGAACTTCAGTCATAATAGCACTTCTTTTTTTAAAAAAATATTTTATTGAACAAAATGGATTGGGAAGGAAGCAGTGTCTTATTATGTTTGAAGGAAGTTCGCAAGCCAGACGCTGGCGTCTTATGACTTACCATTTTTTATCAGTGATGTTTGCTTTATAATTTGTTTTAGATATTGTTTTACGCACTCAAATGTACTGGTGATGCAGAGTTTTACCGTTTTGCAGTTATTAAAATACATTAAGGAAGTTAGTAGAGTTTTATTGTTAGAGCGCTTTTCCGTTTTGCGTCGTTAAACTAAAACTTAAGTTACCACATCGGCCAATCAGAGGAGAGGAAAATACCTTTAAGAGCCAATGAGAACTCAAAATCAAACTAAGCAAACTGCTTAAAGCGCGGGAAAACGCGGGCGACCAAGTCGTGATTGGTTTCAGTTTTGCATCTGATTGGTCATGAGGGTGGTGCGAGTTTTCTGGACCAATCAGGGTGAAGAAAAGCAAAACCAAAGTAATCCCAGATTAATTTCGACAGTCAATTGAAAATCGCTCTATTTATATACAGGTGTTTTTGTCCAAAGTAACCTTTTGTGAAACACTTTAGAATATATGTCAAAACGACATTTTATTCTGAAATTCTAACAATAAACCCGTATTATTTTGCTCAACTTTCCTTCGTTATCGGAAAGGTTTTTTTTCTTAATATTATTTTAAGGGAAAGAAAGAATTATTTAATGTACAAGTCGAACTTCTGTTTTAGTCTGAAAAGTGTATGAAGAATGCCTTAACGTCGAAAACTGAAATTCCCTTTTTTCGATTGTCATGACTATTTTTTTAGAGCGATTTTAACTTTTTATCTATAGTAAGCTTAACTAAATGCGATGACATCGAGAAAGACTTTGGAAATCCTGATTAGGATAGATACAAATAAATACACAAAATAAAATGTAATAAAAACTATTGCGTGGTAATGATACTGTTTACGGTGCTAGTTACTTCAATTTTTAAACTGACTAAGAGTCTGATAATTCATTCAGACAAAAAAACTTCTTCTTTGAAAAGTTCAGTTTTCTCGTACAAGTCCTCTTGTTCAAAATCTGGAATATTAATATTTGCAACCCGCGTCGAGTGTTGTTGAAACACCGCGCTCTTCTTTTAATACTGAGTTTTATTTCAGGCGGTCCGGTTTTCCTGTTGCCAACCCTACTGAGGGGGGAGGGGGAAGGGGAAGGGGAAATGTTTTAACAATCTTGACAGGGATTATACATACTATGTTAGCTTCAATTAAGTTGATACGGAAAATGTGTTCTGGAAAACCTCTGGTCCGATATATTGCGCCAAATAAATTAGAAACTGAGCTTGCACAAAAGGAACACGATGACAATTTTTCGCTCCGCGCCGATAAAGGATAAACATTTTTGCTTTAATACATACTCCTACCGCGATTATCAGCGACAGAGACGGCTTGACTGCATCAATGATCCTTGAGCATGCACGCAATATGGAACTGTCTTATCCCCACCAAAGTAACGTGAGCGTTTTCGAAGAAAAGTTATATATGAAAAAAAAATTAGTCTCCTTAAAGATCTTTTTGGGAAGGTCTCTTTTAAAGAGCTATGTGGAAGCCAGCGGAAAGGCTACACTCTCGTTCACAATCGGTGTGACTGTGGTGCATTACAGTAGTAATAAAGATGCTTTTTTCAACACTCGGATGATCACGCGTAAACACACACAAACCTTGTAATTATATACTGTAAACAACTGACAAGGCCACACATGCCTCTTTCCTATGACTAGTACACTTGATGGTGAGTAGTGTGTATATATCACTAATTTAACATGCTGAAGCCATTGTATAATAAAAAATGTACGTTGCTATGGCAGACATGGCTAAAACGTGGCACTCCTCTTGCCGAAGAATAACATGGAAGCTAGGCATGTGAGGTTGGGGGAACCAGCCTTATGACTTTTGCTCTACGAAGTCCTGTTACCAATTAATCAAAACTATGACAACATTTGAGAAAGAAACCAGACATCGGTTATACGTTTTCATAAATAACCACAGGTAACACGGCGAAATGCGAGACAACAGCGCGCGCACATGACGCGTTCTGTCCACTTGAACAAACATGACGAGTTAACTGTCCCTTTAACTGTCCAATTACAAACGTGACGCGTACACTGTCCCATTAGTGTTCAAAGCGGACTGGTGATGACTAATCACATTCGAGAATTTTGTTATAGTTTTGATCACATCAAATATATTTAGCCATATACAACTGTCTTTAACCCTTTCACTTCCACGATCTAGATTTTTCATATCGTTTTAGTTAATTTGGTGGTCTGTTGAATAATATCCCACCAGTTGACACCTTGATAATTCTTTCACCTCTCGTGATCTTGCTGCTTGAGAATGTATTGATGATGTGAAGAGAAATTCATTATTGGTCACTCCTGGAAACGATAGGGTTAAAATCATCAAATTCTTAAAAATAATAGTCCTTTGGGTCAGGAGCTGATCCCAAAAATGTCGAACAGGATGGAAGCAGTCAAAGAGGAAGGAGAATGGGCAAGCCGAATGAGGAATTTTAATAAAAATAACACAAAAACAATGCGTGAAGGCCTGTCATCCATGTATTTATATCACTGTCACGAAATATCAAATGAAGTATGAAAAATTATGCCGATTTGTTGATTTTGTTTGTCGGAACATCTTGGTACTCGAACATAAGCTTCATCGAAAATTTTATTTTTCATGAGCGTTTGATTAAGGAAAATCTAGGCTTCTGGTGCAGTGAAGTGACTTACCTTTGAGCAGAAGGGTACTTAGACTGCTCAGATGGCCTGTAATTTCGGTGTAGGCGTGACACGAGTTCCGCTTACAACTGAGATGGAGTAACAAAACAGGAGAAACAAAGGATAGTTGACTTGATGACAGCTTGCTTTGAAAAACCTTTCCGGACCATCCTTGATCAAACTTTCAAATTAAGAAGAAAAGAAGGCAAAATTGATGACAACTTCCTCTGAAATTTTCGGTGTGACCACTGTTGATGAAACTTTCAACGGATGCCCTGTTGATGACGCTAAATATTGCGGTGATGTAATAAAGTCATATGGTTACCACTCCCTGTCGCGAGCTCTCGATAGGGCCAGAATAACGATTAATCCCTAGCGGGTCGTAAGATGACTGACGCGGAGCACATCCGTGAAGTGTGTGGTGCGTGATTCACGTGGATCGCGTGACTTTCTCCTGACAGGAACAATATAAAATAGTATGGGTTTTTTCAAAGATTGCCGAGAAGGGACAGATTTGGTACCGAGTTACATGCAAAACATCACAAGTTGAATGGAGACCGCACGTTTATCAAGACAGGGTCTACACAGGAACTAATCTCTAAAAAAAAATCCCTTTTTTCGGACAAAGCAATGGAAAATTCAGACGCAGGTTTTATAATTAGTGATACCCAGGTAAGGAGAAATGTTTGTTCTCGGCTTTTGGTGTTTTAATCGAGTGTGTTCAATTTGCTGTTCCGAATCATCCTTCTGTCATATGATCTTTCACATTGTTTTGAACTTGAATTGGCCCTATTTCATATTTTAATTTTCAAAGTTGAATTCGATTCAATATGAGCAGTCTTTGTCTAACATCTTCGAATAATCTAAATGGTTCAAATTTGATTTCAATGGAACAGTCTGAAAACCTTTTTTTTTTTTGTACTGTGTTTGATTTCAACTACTTTGGGACTCGCAAACGATAGGAGGCGACAGTCACTCAGAGTCTCAAATCGTCACAGTTTTAATCTCTAGGACTGGGACCGACAACAATTTTCATACACGGTTTAACGCTTATAGAATCATTAGGCTGCATATTTTTCAAGAAATTTTTTGTACAATGGCGGAACCAGGAATTTCTTGATGGGAAGGGGGGAAGGGGGGAAGTGTGGTGTCTAAACTTTGATTCAGAAAACGTTTTTTTTTTTTGTCAATGTTTCCTTACTCGGAACTGGTTAGATCAAATGACCACCACAAACTGTATAATATCAAGCCAAGCTTTAATAATTATTCGATCTAAAAGGAATACATTTATAATTCGCAATCAGAACAAACGCAAATCAAGTCTTAATCTCGTAGCTAAATTCAAAGACTTCAATGTAAACTTACTTCTGTAGCGGGTCGTTACAACAGTCTCACTTTACAGGTTAACAGATTCTCCAGGTAAGCGGATTTAGAGACAGAAAAAAAGTTATAAAAATAACTTCTTTCTCACTTCGATGCCGGTGAAAAACTGACTTAAAACATAATAATCTAACGCTTTTAAATCAATCTATGGAATTAATGTCAATCACAATTCTCGTCATTAAGTAAATCTGTCAACAAGAGGCAACGCCTATTTGATGAACGAAACAATCCTTTTTTGATGTATCCATCAACTCAATCATTTATTTTCTTTTAGATTAAAACCTTAATAAGGTAAGAAATATTTGAAGACATATATTGTACTTACGTTAAGTTAAGCAGTAGTACGCGATCCTGTTGTTTAAAAAAATTGAGTTTAAACAAGTAGTGAAGAAACCCACAGGTCTGATGGGAGTAGGGTGTTGTAATAAAATATCCTCAACAGACGCACACCGATAAAGAATTCAAATTTTCTGAAAAGAGTTTCCGGTTTATGAAAGAGATGAATCTTTAAATCAGTAAAAGTACATTTTGATTGAGAAAATAGGCTGTGAAACATGCACTCATTAAAACTCGATTTTAACACAATTGTCTTTACGCGACCTTGGAATGAAAAAAAAAAACTTCGTAATTTAATTTAACTCAAGTTGGCTGGCGCCAAGTCCAAAGTATCTTTTATTTTACTCCATCAAAAGAACGTGGTCTGGATAGAATTAAGCTGAACTTAAAGATATCGGTTGGATATTTTAACACAATTCCGTTAGTAAAACTCAACTTTCAGATAAATCTTGATTGTGTTATCCGTTTGTTTTGGTCAGTTGTCGCTTGTTTGTCGTGAAGCTAAGAACATACCAGAGGCTATTGGCAGGAAATATGGGAAAGTAGTCAAGATCTTGGACCTGAGCTCTAACGGACTGAGGTAAAACAAAAATTACGCAGCAATAGCCGTTTTCGATAAGTTCAATTTATCCTCCTCCTTCCTCATCTGTCACGTGTTTTTCATTTACTGCTTCATATCCATAGCGCCCGAAATGCTCACTGGGTGGTGACATACGGCGGTGCCCATAATCAGAGTTCGTCATAAGTTCTTAGTCTTTCCTGTAGGTCACGTTACCGAGATGTGCTGATGGAGAAGATCTGGGAGATGGTTTTACCGGGAACATTACTGAGTGCCCTGCTACACGGGATTCTTTGCCGTCCCTAGGGAGACTACGCCCTTTTCAGCGGAACAAACACATCGTGGCCAAATAAGAAAGTTTCCCAACACAAAGCTAACCTTTTGCTACCAATCAGACTCTTCTTTTGATTGCTTTTTTCATTATTATTTATTTATTTGCAGATCGTTGAACGGGTTGTACTGTTTCGAAAATCTGGAGGAACTCATTCTTGACAATAACCAGCTAGGAGATGATGTGGAAATTCCCGTAATGGCCAATTTACACACACTGACATTAAACAAAAACAACATATCCTTTTCATTTTAACTTGCACCCTGGATAGAGCGGTTCTGTAACTTGCCACAAACATATCCTTCAGGTGCTGATAACTGGCATCCTTCCCTTTGAGGCTATTGTCAAGAGAGGCCAATGTAAAACGTTTTCATCATTTTTTTCTTTTTTTCTTTCTTTGTTTGATCCTTAATTTTTAATACATATCCAATCTAGACGGATTCTTGGACAAAGTTTCCAAGAATTTACCTTCTCTGAAATATCTCAGCTTGCTTAGTAACCAGGCCTGCCCAAACGAACTGTCATTTTCCTACAGAGACGAGGAAGATTACCAGCGATACAGGTTACTTTTTGACTTCATAATTTCGCACTTTGGCATCGCTTGACATCTGAATTCATATTATTTTCATTTTTTATTACCTTATTCACTTTAATTTTATCTTTTTACTTATCTATTCACTATTTCAATACGAGTTACTGCTGCTTAACTCTTTAACTCCCAGAAGTGATTAACATGTAACTTCTCCCTATAATATCTATACATTATCTAGCAAACAGGTAATGAGAATACTCAAACTTATCAGGTAGAAGTTGTCATCTTGATCTAACACCAAATTCTCATAATTAATTTACACGAAAATGTGTAGCAGCTAGAGGGGAGAATTAACAATTAAATCTTGGGAGTTAACGGGTTAACCCTTAAACTCCCATGAGTGACCAAGAGATAATTTCTCCTCACATATTCAAGACAACATCAAGCCAAGAAGTGATGGGAATCAAGAAAATATCAATTATGGGATTATTAGTTGGTCCAATGCCAAATTCTCCAAATTGACATCATACGAATTGTATGGGAGAAAGTAAGGGGAATAACTAAAGAGATCTTGGGAGTTAAAGGGTTAACTTCCACTTTTCTCAGGTTAGGTTAGCGACGAGTTGCTTGAAAATGTTTTTAACGTTGTTACAATGTGAACAAACTATCTAAATGGAATGTATAAGTTATTTCCAAGATACCTGGGAGTCTGGGACCTCTCTCTTTGAGTGCAAAGCCTTTGATATTAAAATCATTTTCACTCTTAAAAATAAGAAATCCCGTGAACAATAATTTTCAGTTTATCGAGTGAGGTTTGAAGACTTGAGCTTTTGTCAACTTGAAGGGAGTGACCTGTTATTGTTAACGGTGATAATGATGATGCTAATCAGTTGTGATTTTAATGACGCAAATGATAACGGTAATGATGATAACAATGTTGTTCTTAATAATGATTGTTATGAAAAACGTTAATAACGATGACGATGACGATGACGTGACCACAATGCTAATGATATATGATGACGTTAGCTCGACTATATGACCTGTACAACATGAATTTTCTTTAATCTTTGATTCATTCTTCAGATATTATGTACTTCACCGACTGCCAAACTTAACATTTCTCGATTCAAGGCCTGTTAAAAAGGCAGAGAAGACAGAGGCACAGAGGGTTGGTGCTTACATGAAGATCGTTGCTCCTTCACTAACCGACCTGGTAAGTTACTGAAAATTTGTGACATTGAAACGCGTTTTCTCCAATTAAGAAAATCTAAAACTCAAATATGGTACGCCCTCTGTGACCATAGTATACCAATTTCATTGCGTTATAATTTTCTTGATTGACAGAAAGCTCAAATGCAAGAAAGCGTAGAAATATCAAGATTCACTCCACTACCTAGTACCACAAAGGCTCCTGGGAAACACAGGGGGACGTTTGGACGTATTCGGTACAACTACTCTGGAAAGAATTCTGAAGGCAACAGATTTATAAAAAATGCTCAGCTTTGAATCTGAAAACTATTCTACAAGTTTTGTTGTAATTAAGGACCTTGTGCTTGGTGGGGTTAGATTCCATTCCTCTCATCACAAACCTAGTTCGAGCTCCGTGCTGTAAGATACTGACCGAGATTTCCCGCTCGGATTTAAGGCCCGCGCGCTCGCGCTTCGCATGGCATTCCTGTCATAACTCTAATTCAGACTATTCTTAGCAAATCAATTTTTCCTTGAGCATAGAAAATGCGCAGGATTCGCAATGACAGTATCGTTGTGTTATAAATAAGAGCTGGTTTGTCCTATTTTCCCACTCAGCTTAATTGTCAAGGAGAAATTAAAAAAGAGAAAATATTTTAAAACCTTTTGGATAAAATAGAATGGAAAATCTAATTAAAACAGATAGACTACGTGAACATCAATAAACGTCGTTACTGAAAATGAAAAGGTAGCATTGATTTATCTCCCCTCCCTTCAACCTGCCTCCCCATCCCCCCAGTTTACTTTCTTCTTGAGTTGTTCTGTCACGGTATAAGGGTAAGGTGATGTCATGCAAAAAACGTTTTTTATTTTTTATTGATAAACTCGAACTACTACGACAGTTTAAGCTTGTCGTATGCTATTTCTAGGTTTATTTTAAAAAATGATTTTTAATGCGTTTTAAACAAAAGGCAAACTACAGCTGTATTACTTAACCGTTGTAAACACCGCGCAACAAGGATTAGTCTACAGAATAAAAACGTCTAAAAGGCCCTTCTCACTTCTTTTCTTACATGCATCTATTAGAGAAAAACTCAACCTATCAACAGCATTATATAGCGCATGTTGTCTAAGAGAATAAAAATTGTTAACATTATGAAACGAACTTGTTATGAAACTGTTCACTATACAAACTAAGATACAGCTAAATTATTAGTCTGAATATAATTAAGAGCAATACCAAACATTCGCGGTATCATTCATTTTAACCCTCGCTCCCAGACCCTCTAAGTAATTCTCCTTACTTTCTGCCATACGATCCTTATAATTTTAAGTAAGAGAACTTGGAATTGGATCAACTAATAATACCCAAAATTAATATTCGTTTATATTCTCATCACTTGTCTGCTTGATATTGTAATGATGATATAAGGAAAAAAATCTGTCTTGGTCAATCATGGGAGTTAAAGGGTTAAGCCTGCCAAGTAAATGTTACATGCAATGCCTTGTTCAATATTTCTAATACACTAAAACCGCAACTGCGCATGCACTCAGAAATTGACTTACAAAATTCATGCCATCAACTTTTACCTGAAATCTGTAATTGAAAAGAGGCCCCTGAAAAGTGACAAAGGAATTGAAATTTAAAATTGAAATCGATGGAAATGTTTACACCTAAGAGGAACCAAGGAAAAAAGAAATTATGCCTGGCACGCGAAGGTTTGAACGACAGTATTTCTACGCTCCTCTGGCCTATCCTTCAGGAACCTCCGAGTTTCATACTAAGTAAACAACTTAGGGACTAGCAATTTTTAACTCTTGGGGGGGAGGGGGTGCTGTTTTAGAGGATTTTGGGGGGGATTAGTCGCCGCTGACAAAGTGTAAAGGGGGGACTATAGAAATTTGGATGTCGATTAACTGCCAGTGTGGGGGGGGAAGGGGGGGAGAGGGGAAGATCATGACAATTTTACAGTGCCTAATGGGGGAATCAGGTAAATTCAATAGTGACACACCCAAAATCCTCTCACCCCTCCCCAAGCGATAAACAATGACCGGTCTCTTAGGGTCTTCGTACCTGGCCCAGATTAACGAATTTTCCTCCCTCAGCAAAGAAAAAGTAAATTAATCCTGATTGACACGAAAATTCCCCAATTTTTTTGCTCATATCCCTAAGTTGGCCCAGTCTGCGTTCACTAGTTCATGTACAATCGTAATGTAAAGCAAAGCCTGAAGAAAAAAATACCAGAAAATAAGACACCCTAACCCTAGGTCTCCAGTTCTGCAACCGCTCTCCGTAGTACCCTATGCAAAATACTCAGACTGTTATACAAACCCGGGACAGGAAGTAAAAAGGATGTTAGTGAGACGTTGCATATGAAACAAGCCACTCCTTGTTGAGGGGGGTAGGGGATATGGGTATTGGCCCTGATAAAGATCTAAGTCATGTCCTGATTTCACGAATTGGCAACCAATTGGCCTGGTTACAATATACGTTTTGTTGATTAAAGAACCATTATTCATAACATCACTACATATACATTCAAGGCAAATGGCCGATGCTGTCTGATTATCCAAAGAAGGTCTCGTTGTATCAATAATGTAGCAGTACAGGTATTTCTTGTTTGCTGTGTAACTTTTGGCTTTGAACACTGATCTCCTTCCGATGACTTTTATCTTAACATAAAATTTATTTCCATCGCTGGGCCACTCGTAAGTTCTAACTGTGCTCTTATAACTATCTTTAGGCAACCCCGAGGCCCATGGGACGGATCATTAAATTACACGATTATTTGCTGTTTTAAGGAAAATCCATGCTAATTTTTGTAAATCTAGGACACATTTTCTTGCATTTACAGTTCCAGGGATACAACTGATAAAGTTGTCTGTGTTAGATTATTCGTTTGTCAGCTCTGATAAATTGAGGTTGCAAATTCGTACCATCCTTTTATCCACCAGATGCAAAACTAGTAGGTTGCTTACTTGTGATTTGATTTTGCTTCTAATCGTTTGCTCCTATAGAAATTTCAATTGACTATACTACATAAGTTTATTCAACAGTTATCGTCTTAAGATGATTCATTAGAACACAAATCAAGACAACAACCTCTTAAAGGCTACCGAAAGTCTTGCTAAGAATGCAAAAAATTACGGTCAGTAATGAAATATTATTCAATTTGGCTGTAACGAAGGGTACACTCCCTTTGCGAGGAGGCGGTATGATGCATATTTAGCAAAATATGAAATAGTTATTTATCTTAAAATAGCCAACCGTTCAGAGGGAAACCGGTTTACTACAATCATCTATTTAAAGTAACCAGAAATAGTGTATAAACTTTCACGAAGCAGAATAATCAGGTTAATGTTTATGGCGGGATTACGCAAACGAGGTGTGCTGACCACGTGTACCTCCTACATCACGTTTACGTTAAATATATATATAACAAAAACTTTCACTATGAGAGAAGGATCGCTAGAAAGGGAGGACGAACTCCCTTTCTTGATGAAAAGTCTTACATGAAAACATACGCCTTCCATATTGATGTCAGTCTTCTGCAAAATGTCAAGTCCACGTTGCAATGCCTTCAAAAAACTTCACGTTCAGGGTTTAACTGTAGAATGAAGGATGACAGGCAGTAGAGTCACTTTTAGGTATCACATCAATAATGCTTGAGTTTAGGCAAAAAATAAAACATCATTGATCATCTCTGTTTATAACATTGCCTCATTATAATGCGCGCTCTAATTGGCCAATATTTTATGAAAAAGAAATGGATGGTTCATAGAGATGGTTCAGGCTGACGTTATTGCGATTTCATCAGCACAGAAAAAGCGACTTTTCAGCGTGAAAAATGTCTCGCTATGTTATAAGAGCAGTGGACAATGTCTAGGGCATGTCCATCCAATTTGGGATGCTCTTGGATGGTTGGGAGAGCCCTTAGGTAGTTAGAGATGCTCTCATGCAGCTGCGCCTCAGTTGAGCATCTCTTACGCTACCTTCGTGCTCTCTCAACTATCTGCGTGCATCCCGAATTGCATGGACGCACGCTGAACATTGTCCATTCCTTAAAAAATAGAATAATAATAATTTCAGTTGTTCTTCAAGTTGTCTTTGGTTTGTCCTTTGCCTTAACCCTCAGACTGATCATGACAATTTGAACATAGAAAGAAATTAGACTGTTACAAATTTTAGTCGGAAAGTTTCTGAATGTTTTGAGATCTCTTGAATGATTTCAGTCACCGCAAAAACACCATATGCCATTGGTCAGAATGGTTACAATTATATAGCTCCGTTGAACTTTCGGCTTCCGTGCGTCGAATTAAAATGATTCAAACAATGACAATTTATTTCTTTGGGGTAAATCTGTTTAAAATTCAGAAAAAAAGATTCAACAGAACGATCGCAAGAAATTTTCTCACCCGAGTAAACATTAAAGCCTTGACAGCAACTATGAAATTCTGTAAGCTAATTTTTCAACCAAGGGCATTATTGTGCAATATACCAACCACCATGCAGAAGAGGTTTAATTGTTTCTAAAAGCACGTCTAACTTCCTTACAGGGTACGTGACCTCAAGAGACAAACAGATTAACATTTAAAAACTTCGGATTGAAAAAGAAAGTTGTACAATCATGTATTTCTTCCATAACAGGCCGTTTTCCTCACTATGCTAACTTTTAAAAGCATTGATATCAAATTTCATCAACGTGAATGGTACAGTTATCAAAGTGAACGAGGATTAAGTGGCTGAAAACCGTCCATTATGAATATTTCGCAGGAAGTTAGAGCAGATATGTCCATAACATTTTGTCCAGAATTATTTCATTCTGATAGTCACATCTATAATTTTTTAACGCTTTAACTGAGCATGAGGACTCTTCGCAATGTGAATGAAGTATTCAATTAATGAATAAACGAGTGAGTGAAGTAATCAATAAAATTTACAATGAACGAAAGACTGATTTACTGAATGAATGAATTCTTTTCTATTGAAAATTGATTAACGTACCTGCATGTATACTCCACGGATGACCCGGCGGAAGATTTCACAGGAGGCATATTTCGCAGACGATAATATTGGTCATTTCTAAGACATCTCTCCTCGTCCTCTTTTTCCGCTCCCGAAACAGTGGTAAACATATCCGTGGTTGAAAACGGAATGCAAAGCCATTTTTCCTGTCCCGCAGCGGTGGGTAGAGTTCCCGGAGGACACAATTTTTGGCTTGACTGTACATCATTCAAAGTCTGAGCTGTCTTATGATACCTGCATGTAGCGCCCGACGTCATTGGAGTCAGAAGAACGACTGTGGGACTATTAGCTCTCGGACACCTGAACTGGAAACAAGCAACGCTGCCTGAACCCGAGGTAACGTTTTCTGGCATCCTGATGTGAAAGCCGAGAACAGTTTTGATATCTGTACCATAGCTAGTGGCCATTAACAAAGTATTCTTGCCAGTTATTTTAACTTTGATAAAACAATATCCGCCTGTCGCCTGCGAGATCCACTCAAAGGGCTTAACATTCTTTTTGAGCAATGTGTATTCCGGATTGGCGTTTTGATGTGGCTTAAACACAAATTGTCTGCCTAATCCTGGCCCGTTTGCATCGTTTAAGGGCTTTTCACACATCTGCCTTTCAATTCCACCATACCAAGCGTCGTCGTAATAAATCGGCCCTCTTGGATTCACCAGGGCGCTATGAAACTCAAAAGATCCAATAGTCTCACCGTCGCCTTCAATTGATACAATGCTACCATTAACGTGTTTTATGTAATCTCTAATACTTTCATCAGGATCGTAATACTCGGAATCCTTTTCGGCTTGAAGGTAATAGTCCTTGTCTTTCCAAATCTCCATGCAAACCACGCCTTGATTTGTAGTGCGCTGAACGTATCCCTTGTTATCTTTGCGGATGGCTGTAATAACGACGTTATCCTCTTCTGGATTGACTGTTACACGTAAGCCGACTATCTCATTGGGCCGATCAAAGTTAAGATATTCCTCAGCTATGGACGGTGTCACAGTTCCTGTAAGAAAGATTCTGTTGGTTCGTTTTCTTCTACGTTTGCTTCCATCTTCGAGAGAAAAATCACCAGCCTCTCTCCACCGTCCCGTCTTCCGGTCAAGCCAGTAAAGTTTGACGGAGGCATTACCTTCAGAAACGGTCAAGTTAAGTTTTTCTGGATCTAGGTACACCTTCATGGGCTTTGACATAACTAGAGGTTTACCATTATCATCCTCCATATTGAGCTTAATCATACCATACGTCTCAAGGATTTCTTCTTGGCCGTCTTCACTCACGGTGGTAAAATCTCCAGGAGCTGTCAAGATGTCAGAGAGGTTACGTGGATCAGTGACACTGACTGAGGCCTTAGCATTTCCCCGGAAAACTGAGCCATCCTCAGTCAGGAGGGAGTTTTCGGGAAGCTCAAGATCAGCAAAGCTATCGAGGTTACCTCCTAACGGCAAATCCAATGGTTCCGACGCGTTAAAAATGAGAGGCTTTGGTTTCTCTCGCAGTGTAACCTTATACATTGCTTTCTGTCCTTCGTTTAGAACGAAAATTTTGTCTTCCTCTTCAAATTTCTTAAAAATTTGATCTTTAAAAGTCACTATCGCTCTCTTTGTATCTCGTGGAACAGAAATTGAAAACATTCCATCAACATCCGTTCTATCGACTAGTTTATCATTAAAAAACAAATCTACAAATTTCGCCGCTTTACCATCTTGACCAACAGTAACACCTTCCATTATTGTTTGTTCGTCGATACATTGGTCACAACCACAGGTTTTTATTTTGGAAAGAGCGAATGACATGAAAGCTCCACACCTCACAAGGACGTTATCAAAAGAGCGAGGCCCACAGCATCGCAGAGGCTCTGAACAAGAAGAATTAAAGGTGTCTTTCCTCTTCACACAAGCGACACGCTCACATTCTCCCACGTCTAAGACTGTAATGTTTGTGCCGTTTAAAACACAACCAGGGGGCAGCGTCTGGTTTTTGGAAATAGGCGCTGAGGGGCGTGAATCATCCGACCTTGCTGAAAATAAAAAAAAAAATTATACATCATGAAAACGACGTGATTAATCATAAAAATGACAATTTCCTCGATTGTGATTGGTTTAAAATTCCTATTTTCCACCAATTCACTTGCCAAGTTGCTATTGGACAATTTGTTATAGGACAGTTTGTTATCCATGGGACAGTCCAATAAGCCAATCACCTTAAAAGTTGTAATTTACATTAACCAATCACATTCAAAGTTGTAGTCAGTTAAGTCAACCGATCACAACCTTGGTTTCAATCACCATAGAAACAGACTCCTAAATTGAGGCTTTCTTCAAAATGGAATTTTTTTCCCCTTGTACAATGACAATATACTAGAAAACAGTAGTGATATTTAGCATTTTAAAATGACTTTTAGATGATCATTTAAACGAATTTTTAGATGAAATTGTAATTTTTATGACTCAAAGGTTGCGCGGTCGTCCGATTTTGTTATCATTTCAGACCGAATTGGACTCCTCTCAGTCCTATATTACCATTATGTACACACTACATTCATTTGGCGAACAATTCCTTGCCCTCAAGTCCGTCACTTATTCATTTGTATGGAGTTCAAGATCTCTTTATCACTCAATGTGGAGTCTTGTAAAGAATTGATAGCATATAAGATAAGTGCAGGAAATCCCACGAAAACGAGACAATTTCTTAATTAATGGGTACAATTGCTGTTTTGAAAGTATTTAATACGATGTACTAAGCACAAGGGAAGGATCGAAGCTGATTTGTAGCCATGAACGCGATTATGATTAGTTGCATCATTCTAGTTTTGCAGATTTGTCAAGTAACGCACGAAGAATGCTTACCCATGACTTTCAACTCCGCCACTCCAGAGAATTCGGAGCCAAACTGATTTACCACACGACAACGGAAACTTCCATTTAGACCAGCGACGTCACTTATCTCAAGAGTGTTGTTATAATTGTACAACTCTTTGTCAATGACGTTGTTCTCCTTAAACCTAAAGTGAAAAAAAAAGCGTCACAGAGAAGCGTTACTCCAAATTTTCTATGGGAAAACACCGTTTTCCTTCGTGTTTAGGAAAATTTCGCTGTGTGAATATCAAATTTCTGCTTCCCATAATTTAGAAACAAAAACCTGTCAACAAGTGCGTCATTGATCATGGAGTTGACGTCCCCTATAAATGATCCCTCGAGACGTTTGCTATTTCATTATGAGTGAATTAAGAAAATACTGAGCATCGAATCCTGCTTTTAAACTAATTGATCATTTTTAAGCCTAAAATGGAAATCCACAGAATGAACATTCAGTGAGTCTTGGCGAATTCTTTAACTAAATATTTGAACTGAGTTTTCATTTTTGGACAAAATAGAATGCCAACTACACTGGAAGGCAAGAAATTGGCTTGTAGAGGGCTTTTGTGAAATAATCGTTGTTGCCATCAACAACAACATAATTGAATCCTCTCTGTCAGCTTCGCGAGATTCTATCCGCTCAATATTAGAGCTTTTCAAGGGCTTAGATTAATTCATTCTTACTCGATAAAGCTTTAAACTCGTGGCTCACATTTCGCCTAGTTAGTTTTTTTTTTTTTAAGGAATACTTATAAGCGATGGCTTGTTTTTTCTCAAATCCTGTCATAGTTTTGATTACTTGGTAACAGGACTTCGTGTTGCCCAATTCGGTCGCTAATCATACTCGTGATAACAAATCGGACTCCCGCTTCGCGGTTTTCCGATTTTGTTGATAACTCGTATGATTACAGACCGAACTGGATCCAACTTAGACCTACTGTCTTCATGTATTCAAAAAGTGATGGTGAAAATTTGGTACGTTGACTATTAATTGTAAAACATATATTTCCTCTTACAGTACTGATCACGGGCCATTTTTTAAACCTTTTACTCTAATGAGTGACTAACACAGAATTTCTTATACCATTATCATTATAATATCAATTTCAAGTAGACAAGTGACGAGAATAAAGGAAAATATCTATTAGGGGATTATTAGTTGATCCAATAGCAAAATCTCAGAGCGAACATCATGAGTATTTGTAGATAGAAATAATAGAGATGGTAAGTTATGAGCTCGGTAAAGAATTAAGAAAGATGTTTTTTCATCTTGTCACGAGCGTGGGGCAAAGAAAAATTCTAAGTCCCCATGAGGAATCGAACCTCAGACCTTCGGATTCCGCGCTCCAATGCTCTACCACTAAGCCACAGAGACTCTACGGTGAACGAGGTCTATTACGAAGTTCATATGACACGCGTCCTGCATACTGCGTAATGTTTGTAGATAGAAATAATAGAGATGGTAAGTTATGAGCTCGGTAAAAAATTAAGAAAGAGGTTTTTTCGCACTCACCGTAGAGTCTCTGTGGCTTATGAATTTTATCCTCCTTTAGTAAGGATATTAGTGAGCGTACACATTTAAGCTGCTCACTGTAAGTGTTTTTTTTTAGTATTGATAAATGTTCATTTTGAACAAGGATATAATTAAAGATTCACAGTGTCAGTGATATTCAAGATTCATTCAAAGCATACACAAGCCTTAACACTCAGTTTTCTCAAAGCTGGAGAGAACTGTCAGACGATTTCACAAATACTCGAGGGTACAATCGCCTGAACAATAATTTGAAAACATCAATAGCCAAAAAACTGCACAGTGTTTTAGAGGCCATGTTAAAAGGAATTGGATTGTTTTGAGCCAATCTTCAAGAAGTAGAGTACTTACCACTCAATTTCCGGTGGAGGATTCCCTTTTCCATCACAACAAAATGTAACAGCCTGACCAGGCATGCGTATCTTACTTTTAGGGTGAACAGTAACAAATGGTGGGACTGCATAAAAAAGTAATGTATTTTTTAAATACCTGTTGGATAAAACTGAATTTTGCTAATTTTCTAACTTTTAGAGTCTATTTCTAGTACATGTTAAGTGCAGTCTTTTATCGTTTTGCCCTTCAGTCCCTCCTTTGATCAGCCAATCCTCCATTCATTCAGTCATACATTCAATTTATTCTTTCATTCAGTCGTCCAGTCAGCCAGTCAGTCAGTCAGTCAGTCAGTCAGTCAACTAGTAAGCCAGTCAGTCAGTCAGTCAGTCAGCCAGCCAGTCAGTCAATCAGCCAGTCAACTAGTCAGTCAGTCTATCAGTCAACTAGTCAGCCGGTCAGTCAGTCAATCAGTGGGTCAGTCAATCAGTCAATCAGCCAGCCAATCAGTCAGTCAACTAGTCAGGCAGTCAACTAGTCAGTCAGTCAGCCAGTCAACCTGTCAGTCAATCAGCCAGTCAGTCGGTCAATCAGTAAGTCAGTCAGTCGGTCAATCAGTAAGTCAGTCAGTCAATCAGTAAGTCAGTCAGTCAATCAGTCTTTCCATTAGTCAGTCAGTCAATCAGTCCTTCCATCAGTCAATCAGCTGGTCAGCTAATTAAACAGTCAGTCAGTGAAATGAATAAAGGGGATAGGTTTCTTAAGAAACTGTGGTGCTACGTCGATGGGAGAGTAATGAGCAAGTAATTGAGTGTTAACAACTGAGTTGAAAACGTAAATTGGTCACCGTAAAGAGTTAAAAGGCTGACGTTTCGAGCGTTAGCCCTTCGTCAGAGCGAGAGAATCGGAGCGAGAATCGGAGAATCGAAAGCGGAGAATCCACTCGCTCTGACGAAGTGCTAACACTCGAAACCTCAGCCTTTTAACTCTTTACGGTGACCAATTTACGTTTTCAACTCTTGTTAACACTAAATTACCTGTTACAGTCTGTCAGTCAGCCAGTCAATTAGTCAGTCAGTCGGTCAGAGAGTGAATCGGCTAGCCAGTCAGTCAATCAGTCAATCAGTTAGTTGGTCAGTCAGTAAGTCAGTCGGTGAATCAGTCAGCCAGGAAGTCAATCAGTCAGTCAGTTGTTAACACTAAATTGCCTGTTACAGTCAGTCGGTCGGTCAGTCAACTAGTCAGTCAGTCAGTCATTCAGTCAGTCATTCAGTCGGTAACTCAGTCAATCTGTTGGTCGGTCAGCCAGTAAGGCAGCCAGCCAGTCAGTCAATCAGTCAGTCAACTAGTCAGTCAGTCAGTGAGTCAATCAGTCATTTAGTCAGCCAGTCCATCACTCAGTCAATCAGTCAGTGAGTCAGTCAATCAGTCCTTCCATCAGTCAGTCAGTCAGTCAGTCAACAAGTCAGTAAGTCAGTCAATAGGTATGTCAATGCTTTAATGAGTTAATAGTTGGGACCCTTAGTAGATCAATAGGTCAACAAGTCTGTTATGTGCGGGTCAGAAGGCCAGTAAGTTCCAGTCTCAGTGTGTATATAGTCCGCTAGTGTGTTAGGTTGTCTTTGAGTCTATGGTGCAAGAGGTCAGTAACTTTGTAAGTCTACCTGCCATTGAGTTTGAAAGTTGCCTTATAGTCTCTTATTCAGCAGGTCAGTAAATAATTCTGCTAGCCGAACGAAGTTAAATTAATTCAATTGGTGATGCGACCATCGTGATTAGAAGGGACAGGGCTAGGACAGACAAAGAGTAAAAGGGAGATGATAGAGGATGGAGACGCACACTCTATCGAATAATGAGATTAACTTATTTTAAATTAAAAGCAAACTATATTAAACAGACACTGAGTTAACCACTAAAAATTTATGGCTTAGGCACATACCTGCAAACTCTAACTTTACAGTAATCGTAGCCATCGTTGGAGTCAGCACACTGGCTTTTTCCCTCACGGGAACAAACCTAGATTTTTGCAGTAGTAGTTCCTGCTCACCCGCGCAGACACCTAGAGTCGTGAAGTGTCCACTGGCGTTCGTCTGTGCAAGGATGTGATATGGTGTCTCTGCCAGTGACATGTTTACTTCTGACAGTGGCACGTTTTCTATTGTCAAAACCCGGCCGGAAAGAACGTGGTGATGACATGTACATGCGTCACAGGCGTCATTCAGAGTTCCATTGGTGCAGTTTCTTGTACAATCTTAAGCGGTGATACGATAAAAATTATGTCTTAGTTGTCAATTGACTTAAAAATGAAAAAAGTCCCATGTCTAATTGTTTTTAAGTCTGGGCATTGCCGGGCTAAAACAAAAAGCAGTGGAGCACAGCAACCAAATTTAACATAAACAAACAACAGTCTACATTCTTTGTGGTTGCTTCCTTTTAATTGAATGTAGTAAATGCTATATTCAGCAAGAAATCTGCATCAAATGTTTTCTCTCTCTTTAATTGCTACATGTCAACATTAACTTGAGCATTGTGGTGATCTTCACATGATCACCGATCTGGCAAAGCTTTAAAACATGTAAGGGGAGGGGGGGTTGGGCTAATTATTGTACACCAAACCTAACCGTCAATCAAATTTCCAAAAATGACTTTTGCGATCTTTAACAGTATCTAAGACAACATCATATCATTTTACCGACAAATAACTTCATCTTATTTCACCTTAAAATAGTAAAATAAAATAATAATGGAAATTTAAATCAAACCAAGAGAAGAAAATGCGCAATCCTGATGATACAATTTATAAAAAGACTACATTTTGAGGAAGAAGCAGGTGTCCCCCCCCCTTCAGCTGATCTCCTGCCTTAGAAGAAACTCATGAGGAAGTCTACAGAATCTACATTAAAAGGAAATTAGTAACTCATTCCCTGACAGCACCTTCAAATTGCAAGCTATAATTTCAGGAAAAACAATGTCATAATATATTCCAAGAAAACATGTCTACCTGGGCAGTTCCATTCTGCACATGACACAGTCTGTGAAGATTTTCCAGCACATGAAATAGGAGTGGAAACTGCTCCCTTATTAATGGCCACGCATGTTCTGTTACGATATCGTGAACCAGTACCACATGTTTTGGTACAATCACTCCATGAGCTCCATCGAGACCACTTAGATTCTGAAATTGATGTAGTAATTGATTGCGAACAAAATGGGTAGAAGGATGACAGCTTTATTAGTACAGGCCTGAAATTTTTTCTGGCCTTATTTCAACTACTACTCAAGTAGTGTTCATTGTGGCGAGGATCACTTTCATATTCACATCTTTATCTACAGCTCAGAGATATGACTTTCATATATTCACTGTCATTTATTCACCACTTCATGGGTTTATTTGAAAACAACATAATGCTCAGCTCCCAGTTGGCTTGTTATCTCAGTTGGTAGAGTACTGCATCAGTATCGCAAAGGTCATGGGTTTAAATCCCATACAGGCCTGAATTTTTTTCAGGCCTTATTTTTTACGACTGTTCAAGTAGTGTTCATTACAGCGAAGATCACTTTCATATTCACAGCTTTATTAGTGTTTATCATTTCCTTAATCAATACGGGAAGAAGAAAGTTCAATTTATGTCCTCTTCTCTAAACAGCTGCATTTGATACAGCTTATCATGATGAAGGAGAAAGAGGGCAGAAAGGAAATGTAAAAACCAGGGACAAAATATCAATTTCACCTAGCTCAGAGAACATATGAGCAAGAGTGACTGAATGATCAACAAGTTTTTTTTTTCATTTGTTTTTTGTTATTGTGAGGCAAGCAACCAACTTCAATGTCGCAACCAATGGGCTGCATTACGTGATTGAAGCAAGTGTCACATTTTCACCAGTGGGTGTATTATCAAAAATCTGACGCCCAAAACTGCGATGAAATCATAATACATATCTTAAAACACAAAAATAAAAAAGACCAAATTGAAAGATCCATGTTTGATTGATGATGATTCACTAGCTTCGTTCATGGAAATACAGCCACCATTAGGAAACAATTCTTCAACATGACTCTTAAGTAAATGTATTCCCTTAACATTCTATCTTCTGATTTCCATCACTCAGACGAATAAAGAATTTCAGACTCACCTTTGTTAGGCAAAAGATTCGCGATAACTGTTGGGTCAGCCACACTGCTAAATGGGCGTACTTCACTTGACGATGATATTATTGAAGAAACACTCACTCTCATTATCTTTGAGCTTAGTGACACAATACTTGATAGTGAGGGTGTCTGAACTTTCTCAGAGACTGCCAACATAGCTTTTGGTGAAGGCATTGTATTCAACGATATCAGTGATGAGGTGGCAGCTACAAAGAAATCAGATTATATAGCACAGTCCCCTTAAACTCTGGCTGCTAAGCAAGTCTTTGACCCCAAACGTACAACATGGGCGATTACCATTGGTGACTATATGTTTATTCTGTATTTCCTCTATCAAAGGAATTAAAATATAAGACACAAACTCTGAAAGCAACAGTATCCACCCATAATATAAGTTGTAGATTGAGTTTCATGCAACAGCCCTGCAACTTAACAGAGCACGAATAACCTTAAGATATCATAACATTTGTTTTAGCTGTATACTTTGATAAGAGAGCACCAAACAATTATCTCAATCCCTGTTTTAGTACCACTGGCCATAATCGTTCAACCATATTCCAAGGCACTCGAGCTCACCAAGGACAGACTGCCCTCTTGTTTTAAGAAAAATAACATATTGTACTCATGTGAATTTGACAATGCTTTTGAAAACAAACACTTATGACATCAGAATGTGTCTAATGAGGGAAATTGCTACCCACAAAATTTTTAATTCAAATCTTTCCAGGAGATTAAACTAAAGAAACTAAAATAAGGAATTTTACATGGGCAGCTATACCAAACGGGAGAGCTACCTGCCCCTGGGTAAGAGTGATAATCTCTAGAGCAGTCAAAGAATATGTTGACAATTTCAGCTTTATTCATATTCCAAATAGCCACAAAACGTTACTCGAATAGCTCCTTGATATGATTTGAAATTAATTTCTAAAGGGAAAAAACTATGGATCATTGTTGTGCAAACTGATCATAGACTTTCTGGAAAAACGTCTATGTTCTTTTACAACTCTGGCAGGTTTTAAGTTTAAGTTGGCTGCCGTGGAGATCAAGGTAAGGCTACATTACTTGGCTACAAACCTGGTTTCTTCTTCTTTGTTGTGGCATAAATGACCATGGAAGATCGACTCAGTGACGTCTGATAGTGAACAGATGAAGAACCTTCGGTAGTCGTTAAAAACGAGCCTTCCTGTTTCGATGTCAAAGTGTTGAAAATAGACCCTAAAATCAAAATTATAACAATAATGGCAATGATATGGTAATAATAACAAAAATAACTAAAATAATGGCAATTTATAGTTATATCAGAAGAACTGTTCGCCTTACCCCTGAGTATTTCAATAGATTTAGCAGTAACGAGGCTGTTAAAACAATTACTCTAACCTTGGAAAACAGATGTTCTAGTTGTTACACCAACAGCAACTTCGGAGTTAGTTCTGCTGTCTAATTCTTTACCGTTCGGTTGCTCTTGAATGTTTTCTAAAATAAAGATAGAACAATTTTTATTACTCTTTCCTTTGGGACTGCTGAGAAGTGAAATATGGCTAACCACAAAATTTAGCGACCTCAGTTAATCAATAAAGGTTTTATCCACCATTGGTATTAGTTGTCCTTTTTTTGTATCCTAAAGCTGAATGGACTGTAACAATCGCAATTTGCCCCAAGATCCTTCGTATTAGACAAGACATCTGTAAGAATATTGGATTTTTTATATAACGAGTATACACCCACAATCAGAGGAACAAAAATTTACACGAACAATTTACCATCCTCTTCAAGAAATGTCGTGGGAAATTTTAATGCTTATTTTACGATCTACTCTTTATCCAAGAAAAGAAACCTATAAACTGAACACTCAATCTGACTCAATTAAAGCAAAACTATCTACTACTCAATTAACACTCTCTACGTTCCACATTGAGGAGCTTTTAATCATATGCAACGATCATATGTAACGATAATTTGAACTAATATACTGCTTTGTTATTTTCTTTCAGTATATTTACTGATCAAGACTTTACATCATAATGAACAATGAACACATAACACATAACACATCTTACCACTGGTGCTTTCAGGTTTCCCCTTGCCTCTCATGTAAGTGGAAATCAATAGAGCAAAAAGGACTCCCACCACCACTAAAATAATAGCAACCAGAATTGCTATAGGCAAACGCCTTTTTGGACTGGAGGACTGTAACTTCGTCACAGTATACTTATTCTTGCGCGGATTTCTGTTCCACGAAGGCTTCATTTCTTCCATTTTTCCTTCAAATGGACGGGATGTAAACAATAATATGCATTCACGGAGTTATTTTTCTGATAACTCTCGGTAGCTCAAGGGCGTGAAGTGTTTAAGCAAAACTTTAGCCTCCGTTGCTGGCGGTCTGCGATTTTGGGGGCGAAGAGAAAAATTAAAGACCGCCTGCCCACAAACGGTAGGTTTTCGAGTTGTCCGTTCGCTGGTGAACTGGAATTACTGATTGGCTGAAATGCTGTCATTTCAAATGAGGTGTCATCAAAAGTGTCACTAGCCTTGCTACCATCAACAATCCAAAATAGTCTACGTTGCTGGCGGTCTGCGACTTTATGGGCGGAGAGAAAAATGAAAATATTTTTAGTTGAAATATACGTAGTCTTCTCGAAGTTACCGTATTTTAGCTTCAGTGGACTCTTACAAAATCTACAGAAGTCATTGACTTGGTTTTCGTCCTGGTTTTGTCGGTTTTTAGGAATTAGAATGTTTTGCATTTTACCGCACGTGGACTTGACAGCTGAGAAAAGTTTTGTTTTGAACTCCACGCTTGAGCAAACATGTCAAATTACGCTCGTAAACCTACCGTTTGCAGGCAGGCGGTTTTTCATTTTTCTCTCCTCTTCTAAAATCGCAGACCGCTAGCAACGCAGGCTAAAATTTTGCTTAAACGCTTGTCAGGCAGTACAGACGACTCAAACAATATCGAGGGCTCAATGAACACAGTCTTTATTCCCGCACCACGAGCACTTCGGCAACAACAACAAAATTTTTCCCTCAGGGAGGGTCTTAAACACGCTTCACGCCCTTGAGCTACCGAAAGTGATCAGACAAATAACTCCGTTAATGCTTATTATTCTTTCTTTATTCTTGGGAGCCTCAGGAAAACATTTCCCTCGATCGTATCCGGTATGACTGACTGATTGATACCAATATTCTGCCATTTTTTTCAGGATTCCTATCATTGGAAAATAAGTTATTTTAATTTTGAAAAGGACACTCAACCTTGCCACAGTGTAAATCAAAAACGTAATTCTCTTTACTGGGTTATTAACTTTAATGTTACGTTCGGGAATTTAGAGCAGATATGATCAATTTATGTCATGCCTCACTTTTTCAGCAACAAAATCAAGCTTTTGAATGGCCTGTTTTCTATTTACTATTTAGTTAATACCATCAGATTCTATTCATTAAAGGCATAAAAAAGCTGGCTTGTCTTTTTTTTGTAATTGTCAACTGGCAATGGAGTTGAAATATTTCAACTTTTATCTTTTTCCTTTATTCAGGTTTTTTGAGAATTCATCCAAAGATGAAGTGATTATCTACAATCAATGTGCATCTCTTAGAGTTGCCATTCAACAACATCTCAAATCCAAGTCAAAGTTACCTGTAACTATAACATTCCATGGTGATGTCCACAAATTTCTTTTCAAAAAGATGGGAATTGTCAGGGATGGTTGGTATTTCCTAAACAAAGATGACTTTCCCTGCAAATATTTCCCACGCTTTTGGGACCACTGTGCGTACAGTCATGGCCAGGGAGTAAAAGTGTTCTATCCAATAAAGGTTAGACATTTTATTTCCTGGTCTCCAAAAAAATATAGCATAGGTGATCACAATCCTTCCCTTAGAGCTTTTCAGGAGAAGCTTACCTTCATTAGAGTAGCTGTTGGAGATGACTCTTAGAGTTGAAAGCATTTTCTGTAAGTATTTTCCTCTGATTTTCTTAAGACAATGCAGCCTTTCAACATGTTTCAATATTGTTATACTTACAATAACATCACATATATTAGTTTCCAATGGGAGATAACCAATTAGCAATGTGATTTTTTGCACACTTTGATTTCTTATTCGTATTAGATTTACTGCTGTTGGCAGACTGTTTTCGTTTTCCCCTTTTAGTTTTTTTGGGTGGAGGCTCAACTGCTACTGCCTCCTCCTCTACGGGTTGCAATTCTTTAGGCTTGTCATAGTTGAGATGTTTGCGTGTTTTTCAGTATGATTGATAGTGTCTTCCCAGTACTCAACAGTTTTCTTTTTAAAATTTCTGGGTTGTCTTTCCCTGTGTTTTAGAGAACAAATGCGATGTTCTCCTTGCAATATGTCGGCAGGGTCATCAGTGTGATTTGTTTTTCACTGCAGTGTTCGTCTTGCATCATCGTTGTTTTTTTCACTTGAAAATAAAATTTATAGACGCAGGGTTTTCTTGTTTTCAGAACTTTGGTTGCTATATTTTTCTTTCCCAAAAATTCTAAAAGTTTACCTTGACCACTAAACTGCCTGAGGTTTCCATGTCTGGTTACCATATTGGGAATATGGTATGCTGCTGCATGCATGTAGCATGTCACACGTTCTTTTGCATAACTAATCCACTTTTCCCCTAAAGTGGAGAATGTATCAATCCAGTTTTTTGTATAAAAAGATAAAAAAATGTATTAAAGTTTAAATGGCATAATGTTCTGTCTAAGGAACAATATAGTTTTGGGGAAGTGGTAAGACTTTATTTCTTCCAAATACGATTTTACGGTAATCATCAACACTAAATGGTTGAGAAGAAGAAATTAAATCGAAGTACATGTCAAAAAATCCCTGCAGGAATAGAACGAAGTGAAAACCATTAAATTCCAAAAAAATAAAGAACAAAACGCAGAACTTAATAAGTGTCTCATACTTAGTAAGCTTCAACACCAAGGGAGCTACTTATGCAGAAAAAGGAGAAATGTCATCTTGGACTCTGACGACAGGTGAAGGCCATGATAAGAGTCAGTGTACCGTGCAACTGACCATATTTGCCGATGGTGAGCCTCGCATCAAACCCTTGTTGATCTTTAAGGGCACAGGACAAAGAATTCCAGATGGAGAAAAGAAGCAGTATGATCCAAAAGTCGTGGTCAAGTTCCAAGAAAACGCGTGGTGCAACGAGGAAATGATGGTTTTCTGGCTCAGAAATATGTAGAAGAAGCCAAACATGTTTGGTCAACCAGGCGATAGACTTCTTATCTATAATGCGCATAGAGCTCAAACAACAGAGAGGGTAAAGACCATTCTGACGCAAGAGTGCCAGACAACATTGGGGCTTGTACCTCCGAGCCCAACGAGCGAGGTTCAATTACTCGATGTTACATTTAATGCGGAATTTAAGAAAAGTGTTGACAGACTAGCCACGGAACACTTGTCCGCAAATCCAGAGAGCTTTATGACGGGAAAAGTGACTGCTGGTGATCGGCGTGTGCTTTTCACGAAATGGGTGGGTACGGCATGGCAAGAGACCTCGCGCCGGCTGAAAGACACAGTGATCTGTTCATTTGTGAAATGCGGAATTTCACTACCTATTTCCGGTAGCAGGGACAGTGATATAAATATCAATGGTTTACCGGACTACCGCATGAGTGAACCAGCCGATATAGAGGAGATCGAGTTCTTTACTGACTCAGAGGAAGAAAGCTAAATTGCTTCGATCGTAGTGCATGACACACCGCTGCGTTTTAGTCTGTACCCCGTGCCGGTATCTCAGTGTCATTAATTGGAAGAAACACGTTCATGTTAATCGACAAAAACAATATAGAGTTTTCCATTTCAATTTGAAGAAACGTTCCTGTTGTTAATACAAAATTATGCCGGCTTAGTTCTTACATCGCTACATCAGTGAACTGATGTCAAGGACGAATGGTGGTATAAAGCTTTCCCTTGTTGTAAATTAAAGTGCCTTATCGTCAACAATTTGTGACACTGCACGAACATCTTAGGGACTTTAAGCAGTTAGGACGGCAACGCCAAGGAAGACTTCGATTAAAAAATTAATTTCTGCCTTCAATTAGAATTTCAAAAATGGCTGCATGTGTTTACTGTCTCATACGGCGCCACACCTCAACTTCAGCATAACGTATAAAAGAAGCGTTGGGCTCCAAATGGAGATTAAAAAAATTTGCTATCGAAACTTTACGGTAGTTTTTTAATTCCACTCCAAGCAATATTGCTTATAAATGCCAATGTTCCTTTTGATTTGGATATTGGTATATTTTTGTATTGTAATTTCATCATCTCAAATATTTCTTTTAAGATGAAATTAACACTGGTCATCCACTTGCGATCACCATTAATATGATGCAGCACACTCAATCCTTTCAAAAATCTCTAATATTTTTTTTTTATGAATCGTCGTTATCTGTATGTTTTTCTTACTGCATATACTGCTAATCGAATTAAAAATGCGATACTTTCAATGGTAAATTGATTTTCGAATTATCTTATGTCGATTCCCATGAAAATCTATAAACTGATTTACTATTTCATATCTATCAACCTAACCGTAATTAATACACACATATTCTCCATCATTTTTTTCAAGTTTGAACTTGTCAAAACATTCCATTTTTTATAGCATGTTCTTCCAGTTGTTCATCACGTATAGGGAAAGTAAACTCTTCCACATTCTTAAATTCACGATGAATTTCTGAATTACAATTCATTATTTTGATGCTAATATATGAGATTTTTCTTGGGAAAGTCTCCATTGCATCACATCATTGATTTCTTGTTTTTTCTGAAAATGTCACGCAATGGAAAAATGATGTGAGACCATAGCGCTATTCTCCTATAGTATTTCAACGCTTTGATATTATAAAATGATTCCATGAAATTATTCCGTTCCATCATATGGAAAGTAGTATAGAGAGTCAACGTTGGTACCAGTTGGCGATACCAGCCACTTTAAAAAAGTGATCTGGTATCGCCAACTACTATGCTACTTACAACGGTCAAGGTCACATTACCTTTACAAGGTAAAAATAATTGTGTGGTCTGGCAGTGCATGAAAAACCAAGGCTCACAAGAATCGCACACGGATTTCAAGATAATCTAACAGGCCTTAACAATTTCCAACCACCTAGTCAGAACATCCCTTGTTAAGTAGTTCCCAAATACTTCTAATTTAATAGTAGTTCACAACAATAAATACGCTGCAAATGGCACTCAAAAGAGGACACTTCATTGTCTACTATGGGTGACTCCGAAAGAAAACGAGTATGCGCTTTACTTCCCGAAGTAGGAAGTAATTTTTGATCAGCAATTTTCCTGTGAGTGTTGTTAATAAGTTGTTAATAGGCAACAACAGTCCAACATCATCATGGAAGCCATCGCCCTCACAGAATGAAACTTATAAGGTCTGATTGAGAGGTCTAGTCTAAACTACTATGGCTTTTTTTTTTTTTTGCATTATTTTAGGTTTTTCTTGCCTTTTGTTTACTTCAGCCCTCATAAAATATTACTAGTGAAGAGCTATGAGGAAGCGAATATACGAAAAGACCACCAGACCACCAGTGAACTAATTAACCGAAGTCAGTCCGCTTGGTCTAAAATCAGCGGCTAATTAACTACATTCTTCAGAAGCTGAGCATTGTGAACCTATGGTGGTCTGCAATACTTATTCTTTTTTGTTTACTTCTCTGCTTCCAAGCTGTCAAAGTTGTCAGATCAGTGCTCAAAGAGGGTCAAAGAAAGAAGTCCCGATTACCATTGAGCGAGCCCCACACGTAACAATGTATGACTCAGTAAGTTTTTTTGCCCTTATGAAGTTGGAAATACAAAGCTAGTCTCAAACTTTGCTTTCATTTTCTTATGCCAGTCCTTCTCAAGGTCATTTAAAATTAACAGCTGAGTTGATTACGTAAATGGGCCACTGTAAAGAGTTTCAAAGCTGATGTCAGTTTTGAGTGTTAGCCCTTCGTCAATTGGCCCTGAGGAAAAGCTAACGCTTGGCTTGTCGAGTAACTGTAGAGCGCTTTTCGATTGAGTGTCGTAAACCAAACCAAAGTAAACACAACGACCAACTAGCAGGAAGGAAAATGTTCTAAGAACCAACGAAAATTCAAAGTTAAAACAAGCAGACTGCCCAAAGCGCGGGAAAACGCGGACGACCAAGTCGTGATTGGTTTTAGTTTTGCATCTGAGTGGTTGAGTTTTCTGAACCAATCACAATGGAAGGTAAATCAAAACTAATGCAATCTCAGATTATTTTCGACAATCAAATAAAATTGCTGAAAGAGACAATGTTTACTTAAATACCGAATACGCAAATACGAGGTTGGTATAATGTTTATCAATTATACTGCTTCTTGCTTCAAATAATGACCATATTCACAGAGGAATGCCAAGATTAATCAACAGATATCAAAAACGGCCTTATGAGCTTAACTAATGGTCATCTTACGGTTGTTTGTAATAAGCGGAATGTTATCTATATCTGTATCTTAAATCGTTAGTAAAGCTGAGAGCTCTGAAGGAGTAACACGTGACTTGAAATTAAAGTTGAAGCCGGCAGGACTGAAAAATCTCAATGCATTAACTGTTATTTGAATTTGTAACTTACAGAAAATAAAAGTATTTACACACTGATATTCCAAAAGCATTTATGCCTGGAAGAAGGAAAGTACCACCCCCTCCTCCAGCGCACAGCCTTTACACTCTCTTCGGGAACCCCTGAGCCTTAAACACAACAGGCGGTCACTGACCTGATTGGTCGAAGTCTCAGATTTGGCCTTTGGGACTATTCTCCACTTTTGATGTTTACTTTTTTTCCGGAAAGAAAATGATTAATTGATGAAATAAAAATACAGAGAAAGTGAAGTAAAAACTGTTTTGACAGAAATATTGCGAAAAATAGCTGTTGGTAATATGTATTTCGCTTAAGGTTCTATTCTTCAAAGCTCTTCACTATATAATCCTAAGATCACCATCCACGATCGCTCGTCTCAATGGCTGATGGCACCAATCAGAAGGAAGGATTCTTCACTCTAAAAGGAGAAATAAAGAATAAAGTTGTTAATTGGTTTTGTGTTTGAAAAGTGTTGAGTTTTCCTTTTCCCCAGTTTTGTTCTCTTTTGCAGATTTCTTTGAACGTTTCAATTTTTTCGCGTATTTTATGACAGCAGTTGTTTTTTCAGTATATTTTGGTTTATAATTGTGTGCAGGAAATTAGCGCTCGGGCCGTCAAAGTTAATCCATTTGCGAATGCGCGACTTTTCACCACTATCATCCCAAGCATTTGCGACGGCATCTTGTCACCTCATTCCATGGCCAGATCCTTATACTAAGATACCTATAAACAATGAATGCTGTTTAAAGCGAACATCCAAGGGACTCTTCTGAGCCCGCTGTCGATTTGAGACATTTAGGATTTAGGCTGGCGTCTGCTTAACGCAGAGTGTATGTATAATTTTGAAATCCTCCCTAAGATAGGCTTCATTGTGTTCATGGTGACCGCTCGCTCCGCGAGTGTAATACGAAGATGATCAGAACGATGGGACCTATGCAAGGTCAAATAGAAAATACGCATTTCATTTGAAGAACTACTAATTACACTGGCCATTAACAAACGAGACATAGCATCATAACAAGCGCAGTTAGAGCATGCAGGAAACCGAAAATAACAAGATAACTCTTTTCGCTGACTTACCACAACTATAGACCAAACTTGCTCCAGTGATTGAAGGAGGAGTGTCAGTGATTTGGTCTTCTCTTATTCTACCGATGAGACATCTATGCTTTGCTAAATTCTCCTGACTTTTATCTGCTCGGTACACAAAGTCGACATCAAACCCGCTGGTCAAACCACTCGGAACACAGATCCACTTTTCATGGTTACTAGCGCCGGAGGACGGAAGAACACACGGCACATCGAGATTGTTTTCCATAAACTTTTGCGGGATATGAACAGATTGGAAATGGCAATGTCCCGTTATGGGAATAATATGAACGTCCGTTCGTTCCTCAGCTCTGTCAACGATCCCTGGACAACGGATCTGAAGGCAGACGACAAATTCATTGTCTCTATTAGAATCAACTGCCATTGTAGCATAATCGCCGACTTTTGAATCTGTCGTACCCTGCCTGTTTCCTCGGAAACTGGAAGCAAGAAAGGTTGCCTTTGCATTATGTACAAGGACCTTGATAAAGCAAACATCCTGTTTGTTTATGTCGCTGGGGCTAGGCGGATACCAGTTGAGTGGGTTATTGCTGTCATCTATACGTGGCGAGGACAAGATAAATGTTGCGTCAGCGCCTTGGGGGGGTTGAAAACGAAAATATTTATTGTCTCTATCTTGCCTGTAGCACCTTGCGTTGGACTTAGAAAAAGGATAAACAGGACCACTGCTTCTCACACTGGTATAAAGTTTGAACGACTCAATTTTTTGTGCTCTTCCGAGGTTGCTTGAAACGACTCTAACACTTGTCCCATATGGAAAAGAATCAATGCCTCCGCGGTCTGGTGTTAGAAATCTTGAGCTATCACTTTCTGCTTGCAGGTAGCACGTCCTTTCTCGCCAAGTTGGAACACAAGCGATGCCATTGGAGTTCGATGTTTGCTCTCGATAGCCTTCTAATAGATTATCATTAGAGGAAAATCCACACATAACCCTTGCAGTTGACCCTGGAGGAGCTGACACGCCCACAAAACTTAAACCACTAGGCTGGTCAAAATTCAGTCTACTTTTACTTATAGCCTGGGTGATCTCAGTGACTAAGAACCTTCGCGCAGAACTTCTTTTCCGTCGAATACTACCCTTTTCGTCGCTCCATATATTTCCGGCCAGTATCCATCGTCCAGTCTTTTCGTTTAACCACCAAAGTTTAACAGTCGTGTTTCCATTATCATCTACACTAATGTTTAGCTGTTGGGGATCCAAAAACACTTTCATAGGTTTAGAAGGGGTTAACTTATTTCCACTGGTATCTTCAAAGTTCACCTTCATCATTCCAAAGCTCGAGAGAATCTGTTCCTCTCCATCTTCATCAACGGCAGAAAAGTCGCCAGGAGCTGACAAGATATCAGATGCGTTTCGAGGATCGACCAAGTTCAGTCGCATATTAGCTTGGCCAGAGTAACTGGTTCCGTCTTCTTTCAAAAGGGAACCTCCTGGAACCTCAAGATCTGCAAAAGCAGAGTCATCTGTCTCGCCACCCAAAGGAACACTGAGATCCTGAGATGCTTCGAAAATTACTGGACGTCGTTTTGTAGCTAGGATAATCTTCGTAATCACACTCTGGCCTTCTTGAAGATGAAAAACTTTCGTAAGATCTTCAAATTCCTTTGAAAAGGTGTCTTTGAAAGTAACAGCTAATCTTTTTCTTCCATCTCTAACATCAAAAGAAAAACTGCCACTTCTAAAGTCTGCGTTCGCTTTCACTTCTCCATCGTATTCAATTTGGGCAAATTTAACTGGCCTCTCCTCTTTTCCGCCCACGACCACGCCTCTTATTGTTATAACGGCCTTGTTACAAACTCCACAGCCACAATCTTTTGTCTTGGAGAGCTTAAATTCAGCGACATTTCCACAAGCTATATTCAATTCTTCCACCATTGAGACCCCACAACAAAATGTTTTGTCTTTGCAAGCGTTTGAGTTGTCTGAATCGTTTTGAAGGCAGGGTACAGATGGACATTCACCTACATCAACCACATTATTTGTTGTACCTTTCTGTACACAATTTGGTGGAAGTTTCAAATGCTTTGTTCGAGGAGTTGGGTCACAGAACGCCTCCTGTGTATCTGCCAGATCAAAATCAGTAAATGAACTAAAATTAATAATGCTTTGTCTTGTGAAAGTAATAATGGTTTCCTGACCGATCAATTGAATTCATCAAAACATATCCTTGTATTGAATATTTCATGATGATTCCTAACCAATTAGCAATTTGCACATCGGGTTCTGGAAAGTCTTGAGATACACTGTTTGTCTATCTTTTTGTTGAAAATTCATAAGAATTTCGGATTTATTCTATCGACTTGCTAAGTTTCTTTTGAAAATACCTCCACAGCGAAATCAACATCACTAATTCAATTTGCTCTTTTAACTGGAGATCTGAGCTATTAAGGAAAATAATATTAAAAAAGGAGAAATAAACTGATTTAAAGATTTAGCCCAGCCTAATGCACACGAATAGCTCATTCACCGAATGAGTTACAACATGAATATCGATTCGGGCCGAAATGTAAATTAATTTTGGCAAAATTTCCCTTTTCCCATGAACACAACCTTCAAAAACGTTCCTTTACGAAGCTTGAACATTTTTAAACATTAAATTGGCCAGCCGTTTACCAATATAAGTCTTCGACCGATTTTTTTTCTCACCAACGTCAAGACAAGATGCCTACCTATTATTTTCAAGACTGCTCCGTCGGAGAATTCGGACCCAAAGTCGTTTACTACTCGACAGCGGTAGCTTCCATTAAGCCCGCGCTCAGCGGTGATTTTAAGAGTGTTGTTGAAACTGTAAAGTTCTTTATCGATTATGTTATTCTCCTTGAACCTGTAAGTAAAGAAAGAAGTCATGAATTAAAAATGTAGCGTGCGCATATCTTTCAGTATAAACCGCTTGTCGCTTTAAACTCAATCAGTGATCTCGCCTTTGTGCAAAACCTATTTTGTGACAGGTTAAAGTGTGGAGTACCCTACCACCAAGTTTGAGGAAAACTCACAGCCCAGTTTCAGAAACTATTTATTTTAAGAATCGCGTAAGTCGCCACGAACTTGCAATAAAGATGGTCTTTGTTAATTCCTCTCTATTTTGATTTTGTTTGTATAATTGTATTTAATATGACAAATATTTTTATCTAGTTCATTTACATAAACTGCAATTAAATCAATCATAAATGAATTGTTCGCGTGTGTATTAACATGACGTATACATAAAAAATAGAATGAATATGTGATTCCTAATTGGAAATGATTCAAGCTTTTCTCATTTTAACAGTTAAGCAACGACACAAACTAAATTGAGTCGTATGTTACCATTCAATTTCCGGTGGAGGGTTTCCTCGACCATTGCAACAAAATGTGGCATTCTGACCAGGCAGCCGAATTTTGCTTTCGGGATGGACAGTCACAAATGGTGGAACTGCAAGATTTACGAAACGAGACAATGTGAGGTTATTGCTATAGGAATCCTTTGCTCTTTGGATATAACGAATGTTACTACCTATTTAAAAATAAGGTAGTTTTCGGAGGCCTAACTGTTCAATAAAAACAAGTTTTTTTCGGAAAGAAGTCATTCAACTCCAGGGTCCAGTTCGAAGCTTAATTTGTGGGTATGACAGTAAGTTAGTCAGCCAGTCTCTAAGTCAGTCTGTCAGTTAGTCACTCAGTCCGTCAGTCAGTCAGTCTTTAAGTCAGCCAGTCAGTCAGAAAATCGGCCAGTCAGCTAGCCAGTCAGTTAGTGAGTCAGTAAGTCATTCCGCTAGTCAGTCAGTCAGTCAGTCAGCCAATTAGTCAGTCAGTCAATCCGCAAGTCAGCCAGTCAGTCAATAAGTCAGTCAGTCAATTACCAAGTCTGTGAAGTACCTGCAATTTCCATCTTTGCGATAATGGTGGCCTTTTCTCGGGTCAGAGTATTAGCTTTTTGCGTCACAGGAACAAAACCATCTTTTGTCACAAGCAACTCTTGCTCATCCGCACAGACACCAAGTGCTGTGAAGTGTCCACTTATGTTCGTCTTTGCAAGAACGTTGTAAGGTGTTTCTATCAATGATATGTTTGCTTCCGACAGTGGTGTGTCATCTACTGTCAAAACTCGTCCAGTGAGCACGTGATGATCACATGTACATGCATCGCACGCGGCATTCAGTGTTCCAGTGGTACAATTTCGCAAACAATCTAAAGAAAATGATGAGAGAAAAAGTTATCATGGGTGTGAACAGGCAACAGAAAGATTACTCGGCTGTAAGATAGAGGAAAATGTGTAATTAGCTCTCTCAGTTAAAAAGGAGATGCAATCCTAGGAGCTGCACTTAATAGACTTGAGTTATAGAAGGAATTCATAGTAAAATCGCCTGATTTATTATAAATACTATTATTGTTTGTGTGCTCAGAGTTTTCATGCATTTCGATGTATAACGTCTTGCACCTTACAGAGGTGCGTTATTTTAAGCTAGCAATCACGTCTTTTTGGTGTATCATTAGTTTATGAGCTTCTTTTAAAACGTTCTAAGTGGAGATCTAAATTGGCATCGTCAATAAAGCTGCAGGAAAGTAAATGACAGTTAAAGAAAACAAAAATGAAGATGGGACCACCGAATTGCTGTGTTCAAATCCTTACAGAATAACCTGTGTTTGTGCTATATCACATCAGCTGTTACATTATCAATGTACACTATGGCCCTCTTTTTTAATGTTTCATGAGCAAAAAGGGGTCTATACGGGGTAAGAAATATGGAGAGACTCGATGACAATCTCATGAATAACTATTTTTTCTTGCGAATCGTTAACACTTTAAATCACCTGGACAGCTCCACTCTGCACATGGTTTGATCTGATCAGGTTTTCCAGCACATGTAATCGGGGCAAAGACCGCTCTATCATTAATGGCCACACACTTTCTCTTTCTATATCGTGAGCCACTGCCACATGTTTTCGTGCAGTCACTCCAAGAACTCCAACGTGACCATTTCGATTCTACAAGTCCAGTTAAATATAACGATGAATACTCCTGCATTAAAGTAATTGTTCCTATATCATCTTCCTCAATTTAATTAGTGCTATGTGCTCGCTTTGGGCGGTTGACGCTACTTTTCATGGGGCTGAGATAGAGATAGAGGAACTGTTTAGAGCCTGGTGCTGAAACCTCATCTTTCAAATTTTTTAACTAGCGACGCATGGTTAAAACTTAGCTTGAAAAATAAAACTGGATTCCATACATATAACTAAAAAAATTAATGTGCGGGTTTTATATAGAGAAACTGAACGCCTAACTGAAATGGTCCTAAAGTATCAAGGGTTAGGATATCAAAAGCTGTGTTATTTGAAAGAGCAAAAGAAAAATATTAATTTTATAAGTAAGAGGAGAGCTCAATGTACCACAAATGCTCAAATCAGCGCCGTGGATGCCTATCTGAAATCTAAGTTGAGAGTTTATAGCACAGCTACTGCTGACAAGGTATCCTTATAGTTTGGTATTACTGTTGTCTTAAGAGTTAAATAATTCACATTTTATAGTTTCTATGCTAATCTCTAGTTGCTCTTGATAACGGGTCATTTTTTTTAATGAAGGGGTAAGTTTCTAAAGAAATTGTGGTGTTACGTCGGTGGGAGAGTGTAGCAGGTAATTTAGTGTTAACAACTGGGTTGAAAACGTAAATTGGCCACCGTAAAGAGTAAAAAAACTGACGTTTCGAGCGTTAGCCCGTCGTCAGAGCAATTGGAGGAATTGTGGGTTGTGTGTGGGTTTATGTGCAGAAAGTGGAGCTACGCTATTGGCGGGAGTATTGTGACGAGAAAACAAGAATAAATTAGTTGAATGAAAAACGCTCGTTGATACCGTGGGGATTAAGAGTGCCGATTTGGAAGATAAATTTTTGCTCTTAGTATTTTGCGGCTTTCCGAACTACCTAGATGTAAGGGAAGGCCGCAAATTGTCATTTTTTTTAATATCCGAGTCATCACGCCCTTTGAAATACAACAGGTATTTGATATTCTCGCATCTTTCCCACCTCCCACAATGTTTCTTCATTCTGATCTCTCCCCGCGATACTTTCGCCTTTTCTCTTTTGCAAAATAAACTATTTTTCAGCCCAATTTGATCTTTTTTTACAACTCACCTGTGTTGGTGACAAGATCTGTGATGGCTTTCAGGGTTGCTATACTACTGGCTGGTGAGATGCTGCTCCTCGTAGACTCCAGGTTGGGTGGTGACGTTGTTGTTGTTGGTGTTGACGTTTGCTCCTGCTGAAAGTCAGCTGATGTGGCTGTTGGTAAGGGTTTCGTCACAACTGATGATAGTGAAGGTACAGCCGGTGAGTAGAAAGGGTAGAAAACTCTTAATACAAATGTTTAGCACGATTATGGCTTTTTCTATGTGTACGATCGCTATCTTCGAAGGCCACGCCGGTCAAAAAATCAAAATCTCGCAGAATCAAAATCGACGAGATTCAAACACAAAAACTCAACTAAAATATTTAACTTGAAACTGAACTCGAAATCCAGACTGAGTATGATATACGTAATCTCTCTCTTCATTAATTTGTTTTAAGTAGTCGCATGACCATTTCAGGAACTCTCAGCTGGTTTTGTGATCAAAGCTACAAAAACATCACGCAACTGACTTCAGTTATGTTTCGATCACGTGCGTTTCTTGGACGTTGATCACGTTTACCCCAATGCAATATTGTATTTTTCACGATATGCAAATCTTTCACTTGCACTGGTAGACTGCTGCGATTTTATCTCAAGAAATTGAAATTTTGTCTTCCGAGTGACTATGCATCTCAGTTGCGGTCTTGTGTTCATTCGAATAGCAAAGAAACCGTCTGTAGGAAAACATCCATGACCATCAGTTCTCAATAATCCATAACTTCGAGAACTTGGCAACATCATCGAAATACAGAATTCAACCCTTCCCTTTTTCCTTACGCGAAATCTCTTTGTTTCGCTCGTAAGTTTCATCCAAAGTCACGCTTTTTAGCTGATTAAAGCCGAAAGCCCATCAAGCCCGTCTGATTAATTTACAGCGAATTCTGTTGGCGGCGAAAGCTTTTAGCTATGTATAACTTGAGAAAAATTCGATAAGTTACACTTCTTGTAATTCCTCTTTTTGCCTCCGTACAAACTAGTTTTAATTTTTTATACATACCTGTCGAACTTGTGTGAGTTTTTGGGGAAGCAGTAATTTCTAATTCACCAGTTAACGGCCCTGTGTACTTGGAACCTTGTGCAGCTACGCAAAAAAAACAGAGAGAAAGGACATGAAATATCAGCACGTTCAGGTCAGACACTGAATATGATGGTAAATAAGAACGACTGAGATAAGATTCGAAATTCTTCCTAAAATAATCAAAACACGTTCCGTCGGTTTATGGCCACATGGTTCTAGGAAATGTTTTCAAGGACGTACTATATCAGACCTTGCAGTTTTATCAGGCGAAAACTGGACTGCAGATCGGTAGGAAATAAAGGAGTACAGAAGAAAGCAACCGATTCTCTAAGCACCTTTACGACTATATCGTTAACAATAGCTCGTTAATCAAACTCAAATCACTGGCCTGTAGAAGTCTTACTTACGTTCGTTTTCGGCATCGCTCAGGTACTTTGGAACGTATATGGCGATCAGGGATACTGCGAGGATGACCACAATCACCACTGCAATTATAACAAGGATGAGTAAAAGTTTTCGTTTAGGTCTTGCAGTCTTTTCTGAAGGCTCCTCTGCGAAAAATTCATCATTCTTTGGAAGAATATCAACCAAAGGCACCATTTGTTTTTCTTCCGACTCCATCTCGAGAACTTTATTGAAGGACAGTTTGTTCAGCACTGCCACGCCAGTGAGTCACGTTCTTATTGTACTTTATTCAGAGTGATGAAAACAGGACGTTACTGTGATCAACCAATCACCTTCATCCTAAATAGAATGCTGAAGGTTACCTATTGTAAGTAGGTGAAGTAGAGTGTTAAAAATAGCAGTCTGAATCAATTATAATCAGTTTCAAGGTGTATTTGTTTACACTGATAGATAACATATATACAAATGATGTACACGTACAAACCCAGACACTAACGTATTTGTCAAGCGCTTCAGCCAAACCGCCAGCTACCTCTGCTTGTGCGTAATAACAATTAATCACGGAAGTTGAAGCCACGGTGAATAGTGGCTATTTATATACTGATATTTACATAGCAGTAAATTTAATATTTATCCGAGCCAGCCAGAATAACAAATGGCCCAAAACATTGACAAATAATGGGAAATAGGAAAAGCGTAAACTGAATGAAGCTAAGAATTCAAAACGTCACAGAAGCTACTAATCTTCAAAACATTACCCACCTTTAAGGTCTGAAAAACTTAATTCAGCAAATTAAAAAAAAGTTTGATTTAAATTCAAATGCTTTGCTCAAAAGTTTTCGTATACGAAGGTCACAAAGCATTATACTTTTAATTTTTTCGTCCTAGAAAATGAGGACCTAAATTTCAAGTGACTTACTGTTTAATATCTCATATCAAAGTTCAGTTTTATTTTTGTTTTGTTTTGTTTTAGTTTTTTTTAGAACAGTCGCCTCGTTCATCGAAATATGTTCCCTTGGGTGGACCATAATCTCATTGAAAGGCATCTGAATCTCCTCCGGCTGATCGGAGGTGAATTAAACTAATCCCCCTCGAGCTAACCAATCTGAATGCGCTAAAGTAATATTTACTTGTGAGGTATAAAATCATATATTGTTTGTAACATTTCTTTGACGTCGCTCGGATTCCCTTCACAAATTGTTCTCCAGCTCTATCCTTGACGATTCCTATGGCACAACTCACTTTATCTTTCAAGCGATCCAAAGAATAACTTTTGTAAGGCGTGCTGAAAATTTGTCAAACCAACTGGAAACTACGTGCATTCTTACATAACAGCTCTTCCGGATAGTCAATGTGCCCCAGTCTTTCTCAATTTCGACGCCATATTGAATATCTTCGCATGTTCTTTGCTTGTTCAAAATGGTTACGATTATTAACGGTGAGATAGTACAGGACAATGATCCGAGGGCGCAAGAGTTTCGAAATCGTGGACGAAGACAACAAGAACAGCAACACCAACGAACACAGGGATCACAGAACCAAAACTACCCTCCAGTCCAACAAGGGGGTTCTATTTTTGATCAACTTAACGATCGACTGATTTCCGCCGGTTTTCCTCGATGGAATTTGGGACAAAGTGTCGTCGAACCGATTGTATCGGTGGCGTTGATTCTTGCTGTGGTTCTTTTTGGCTTCCATGGTTTGTTATTGGTGGGCGTTCTCTGGCTCATCACGCAACAACGTCGACGATGAGCAGGGTGTGAACTTCGTAAAAAATTAAATCGTATGGCATTCACGGATTTTATTCAAATTTGAAACAGCTTCTACGTGTCGTTGAAGTCACGGACTCACTGCTGGACAGAAAATCGAAAAATTAGCATACAAAGTGTTTATTATTATTATAGAAGGCACTTTTACAAAGGTAATTAGGTTAATTCCGGTGAATCATAGGATGAATTTGATTAGTCAGCTGATCAAGAGCTGGCGCAGATTTTTAATGAATGGGTTGGATGTTATGTTGGTGGGCCACTTTCTTACATCTCCTTCACTCCCCAGATCTCATTTGTAATTCTCTTTACTCTATGCCTCAGAACTCTCATGATGTTAGTTTGGAGAACTTGGTACTGGATCAACTAATAATCTCCTAACTGATATTTATTCTCATCACTTGTCTGCTCGATAATGTAGGAGAAATGCTGTCTTGATCACTAACTGGAGTTAAGTTTAAGGGTTAAGCATGCACCACACAAGATCTAAAATATTAGTTTAATTTTCAATTTACTGTAAAATGGTTGGAAATTTCGCGTTAGATGTGCAATTTAGTCTCATCTAGGACAAGGTGGTGAATAATATCTGCAAATCAGGCCAAAGCTCACAAATCAGGGTGCATGAATGGAATAATATCTGCAAATCAGGCCAAAGCTGACCAATCAGGGTGCATGAATGGAATAATATCTGCAAATCAGGCCAAAGCTGACCAATCAGGGTGCATGAATGGCACTCCTTCTGTATAGCATTTTTAAAACCTTTGCTTATCCTCCACTGTGTTTTCTGTACATCTCCTGTGGTGCTGATGAGAAGAATTTGTTTAACAATCAAGAGCTGCTTCAGTTAGTGATCATTTCCTTTATTCTCATAACCAAAATATGTAATTCAGGGTAATAGTGTTAAGAGAAATTTGATGCTATTCACTCTCAGGCATCAGAGAGTTAACTGTGACTGTTGTTAGCTTCGAAACTCTCTTTTACAAGGTGGACCCTAGTTGGCCTGTTTTCCAAAGTTGTTCTAATTCTAACCTGTTCCAGGAATGCAGTGACCGAAACAAAAACAAAGAAACAAGTTAAGTTAAAGGGTACCAACACAAAGTTAGGCAAGGATTGGTCAGAGCCACAGATCCTGCCATTTTTTCTTCCTCCATAGCATTAGCACTACCATTAGTGTTTTCTTGCAGAGACCCATAATAGAGAAAATATTAAAAATAACACAAGATGGACTCTGAAAATATGGTTGGCTATACCACACATGCTTGCCAAGGGACAGAGAAATGTTGAGACAATGCAAACTTTATTGAAATATATGGAAGAACTGGTATGGAATGCAAGCTGATCTACAGTGCACATGCTAATCCTATGATAGCCTATCCACAGCCATCCTTTGCAATCAAGTGAGACATGCACAATTTACATCATCAACCCATGTGTCTCAAGTGAGCACAAAAAGGAACAAATTAACTTATTTATATACAGTGATCCAGATTGTAGATAATTTGTCTCATTAAGTGCTGTGCTGGATATGAATTTAATTTTCATCTGGTGATAATTATGTAGAAATAAAAAATGTACATCACTTTACAAACAGTAGACTACTGTGGTAAATCATTACTGTTCCCCAAAACAACTTGGCTTGTTTGGTTCACTTGCAACTTTCCAATACTTTAACAATTTTTTCAATTCCATGGCCACTTGTGCCGCTCTATAAGAATAAAAAAAAAAAAGTTAGTATATATACTATACATGTACCGTTAACTCCTCACACCCTAACATCAGAATGCATATTCTTCAAACATTTCCTAAGGTGCTGACAAGGAGAATTTGTTTTAAAATCTTGAGCTTCTTTAGTTTTTTTGTTATTCTCATGACCTCAACCCTTTCATGCCCAAGATCTCATATTTAATTCTTCTTTCTGTCTGCCATACCATTCTTATGATGCTACTTCTGAGAATTGGGTTCTGGATCTACTAGAAAATTCTCGAACTTATATTTATCTTTATTCTCATCACTGATCAGATTGATACTGTATTGATATTTGTAAGTAGAAATTCTGTCTTGGTCACTCATGGGGGTTAAAGGGTTAATGTGTGATCCAGGGGTGATATTGTATGGAGAAATTAGATGCTGGTCACTCTAAGATGAAACAAGTATAAAGATGTCAACATTCTTTGTATCTTGACACAAACAAGAGACACTAATGCATCTATGGAATGCAGTAAAACTGTAATAATATATAGATTTAGCCAAGCCTAAAAGTGGAGCTTGCATTTATTTTCCCCACACATCTCAAGGGCACAATGCCTTGCCCTGGCCAGGACTAGAACCTGGGTTGTCCAACTCAGAGCCCAGTGCTCTGACCACTGGACTACTGGACAAAGCCGTGACGTTGGTGTGCCCATGGTACAGTTACCGCGCATGTTAAAGGTAGCACCTTGTACGGTTGTACATCCAAATTTTTTTCGGCTTGATGGGTTACTACTATTTTGTATAATTATGGGACTACACTCTGCAAGCTCTGCTATAATACAGACTTTCTACAGAACATTGCGACATTTTCTTAACCTTTAAACCCTAAAAGTGACTCACATCTAATTTCTCCCTACAATATCACTTCTGAATCACACATTACGGTCATGAGAATAGAGAAAATGATCACCAGGGAAGGAACCTTTTGATTGGCGAACAAATTCTCCTTGTCAGCACCTCAGAAAATGTATAAAGAACAGTGTGGAGAATATGCATATACTGATGTTAGGCTGTAAAGGGTTAAAGGGGAGGCAAGCTCCAGAAACCACATAATTTTCATAATCAACCATTATCACTTAGAGAAGTCTTGTTACTTGCTTACCGTGAGCTTAATGAAGCGGAGGAATTTTCTCAAGACATTAATAAGAAGAGAAAAATCACCATCAGGTAAAAGACTCCTTACAAAAGACTGGTTTGCCTAATAAATGATAGCAGAAAATTAACAATTAAGTTATTGTAAAATAAAACAAAGGATTAATTAATAAGGTAAAAAAAAAATGTCATAGGGAGCAGTTGAGCCATGTTGCATATCTTGCTGGTGTTATCACAGTTTCCTTAACATGGCACAAGAAGGAGTATTGACACTCTGCATGGATGGGATGATGGTCCCCCAGCATTTCATCATGTTCCCCTGGGAGCTTGTTGGTACATGTACCCATTTATACTCCTGGATGGAGAAAGGCACTGGACAGTAAATGTTTTGCCCAAGGATACAACATAATGATCCAACCAGGTCTGGCATAAGTACCTCTGAATCCTCAAACATCCCTGTCTATAGTGTAGACACCAATTTCAATGTAACGCATTACACTTACCTTATTTTCCTGTACTATACATCCAAGTAGAAGGGCAACATATGCAGCCACAACACTATCTTCCATGTGTTTTCCAGCTTTTTGCAATGCTGTACAAGCAACATAAATAAATAAATAAATAAACTGTACGAGATATGGTAACCAGATGGTTAGACTCTGTTATTAGGTGTAGGATGTAATCCCACCCAGAAAATGGCCTCACCTTTCCCAAGCTGCACCTCCAGGGGTACAATTTCCTCTTCCTCTTCTTGTGCATCGTTAGATTTCTTATCTCCTTCATCAACAGAAACATCAATATCTTCACCAAAAGTCCATCCCTTGCCATCCTTTGTGGGTTTAAATGACTCCTGACTACTTTCCTCTGGACAAGAAATAAAATTATTTCTTGTTAATATCGCTTCTGTTGCATTACTGAAATCGTGACAGATTGGACTCTAATCTATGGCCATTAAGCTCATGTGATTTTTACATGTAACACAGTTTTTTCGGTATTTGTAACACACGGTTTAGGGTGTTTTTAAGGGCCTTTTTTCAATTAGAAGTGGTTATCTTTGTGACTGTAAATCTATGTACCTGACAAGGCTGGACAAATGTAAGTACCTTTGATTTTGCTACCCTTTATCTGGCTTTTTTGTTAGAAAAGGATTCATTTCTAATACTCTTCAATTTTGCAATTGCAGCTTCAGATTACCACAATATTGTTTTCAATAAAATCCTGAAAATCCCCCCTTTATTGACTGATTGCTCCATCGATCCACTGGTCCATCATAATATTTTGTATCAAGATATCACTGCTCAAACTAGTTAAGCTACCATCCAAATCTTAACCCTTTACACTCTAACATGAGTATTCTTATTCTCCTCAAAGATCTCTCTTAGTTTCCTGTAGTAATGACAAGGAGAATTTGTGCAACAATCAGGAACTTCTTAAATTGGTGATCATCTCAATTATTCTTGTGTTTGATTCAGGGGGGATATGGTGAGGAGAAATTAGATGTTAGTCACTCTCAAGGGTTGAAGGGTTAAAGAGATAAACTTACACAGGTGGTGAGAATGCTGGCTTTCTGATGTTGTTAGTAGCCTTTGATTTACACACCTATTGTCACACATAACTGGAGTTTGTTAGGTCTTTTGACCCAGTCCACATGTTTTTGTCTACATTTGTTGGTTTTCCATTCCTTATAAGAAACTACACACTAAGTACCAGCTCAACCTGGAAACCCTCGACAATATGGATGGGTCTGCCACTGCTTAAATTCAGTTCAATATTTATGTAATATCTTTTTAACTGCCAGTATGCATGTTGCACAAATGCCAAACGTCACACCTACAAATGAAAAACTTTTATCTTACACCAGCTCATACCTGTACATTTACCCACTGAAATATTTCTCGCAACTAACAAATAAATTTGTTCTATTACATCCTTGACTGGCTCATTTTCTGAGAATACATTATATTAAATTATGTACCTTCAGTTGATAAACCTGATGTCATGTCATCTGTATTCCTTGCAGCTTCCTCTCTTATAAGAAAGAGCTGCACAAGAGCTTCAGTTGAGCTTAGTTTCCCCCCCTGATTTGTCACATCTTGGCTGTCATCTTGACTATCATGGCAGGGGGAGGAGGTACGCAGCTGTACCAGGGAGGCAATGTTCTGCTTACTGTCCTCCACCAGGTTTATTAATAATTCCAAACTCTAGCGAAGAAAATAGCCAATGATTTTAACTCTTGAAGATTAATGCATGTTACATGGATCATTTACTGCATTACCCATAAAGCATGAAATATCACTCCAAATTCTGATAAAAAAATCCCTTCTTCCAAAATGTTTATGTACACAACTTTAACAGTTCATTTTACAGTTGTGTGCTTGGTTGCCAAGCCTTTGAATAGGAGTGAGGCTAAGGGTGACCTTGTTATGATACAAACCTTGCTGCTTTTCAAATGCAAATTAATTTGTTATCATGCTAACTAGATTCTGGTCTCTATCACAACAAGGTCACCTTCAGCCTCACTCCAAATCAAAGGTTTGGCAACTAAGTACACAACTGTAAAATGGCCTATTACACATTGTATGGTTTTGTAAATCCTACTAATCTCTAATTATTGTTAACCAAAGGCTTCGATAATGGCTGAAAGGATAATTAACAACCTAATTGGTCTAACTTGTCAAAATTTTCATTTCTAAAGGGGGGTTACGAGATTTTTTCCCTTGCAGCAAGTTTTATCCTGGTTTACTTGTGATTGGCAAAGTCACTGAAGCCCATCCATATACAATGAAGCACTTGAAACTTGCACAGAGTTTTTAATAGCCACTCAAAGGAATCAACACCCTCAATTTTCTAGTTTACATTTAGCACTGAAAAATGCAAGTCATACTCACTCACCAGTACAAGAAGATCAAATCTCTTGCTCTCTGAAACAAACTGGGGCAGCTAATAAGGTGAAAAAATTATTGCACAGTTAGTTTTTTCTGCTTAAAAGGTTGCCATTGAATTTCTGTTTTGAAGAAAATCATTATATTTCCTCAACATGAAATGCATAGGTGTGCATGAACTGGCATAGTAAGATCTGAGTAGGTTTAAACTGCGGCTGAGGTTACTGCTTTGTGTTCTTTAACAAAATACTTTATTCACATGCTGTCTAGCCCTATCCAGGAGTATCAACGGGCATCTATGAGCTGTCTTGGGGTTCTTCCCAAATGCTAAGGGGGGGGGGGGAATTACCCTTAGAAGTCAGACTGACAATTTCCTGCTATTCATTCAAATTACTAGTTGGAGAGAGGCTTTGTGAATGTATGGTGCATTTCCAAAGAACACAACCCAACAATCCAATCACCACAAAAATCTACACTTCTCAAAGCCATGTCCAGGGTGCTAAATATTAGGCCTTGGCATCTAACACTTCTGCTACGTATTGTACCTGTAAAACAGTCAGAAGAAGTGATGATAAGAAGCCTTCCTGTTGCCCAATGCAGGAACATCCTCTCTCTGGAGAACGAAAAGAAAAATGTTACTTTTCTTTTAACACCTATGAATCAGTAGCACCTAAACTCTCCTTACAATATCGCCCCTGAATCTAACACTAAGGTCAGGAGAACAAAGGAAATGATCACAAACTCAAAACACTATTGACTAATAGACAAATTCTACTTGTAAGTACCATAGGAAATGTATAAAGAGCAGTATGGAGAACTTGCATACTGATGTAAGGGTACATAAAGGGTTAATTTAGGAGTCCTAATCAAGGACCAGATCACTTAATAATCACGAGAACTGTGCACTTCATAATGACAAAGAATTTTACCAAAGTTGTGGGTAAGATTGAGAAAAACTTTGAGAATGCCAAAGAAGCAGTCTTGAAACACTTCATCAGGTTTTTTCTTAGCTTTCTTTGATGAGACACCATTGTTGAGTGTGTTAAGGCACATTTGTAACAATCTGTAATAAAAAATCAAAACATGATTGAGCCCTTGGACAAAATTAATCATAACAGTATAACTGTACCTGATGGCTTAAAGGCCTACAGCCAAAAAGTATAATGAGATATAATGGAATGGAATGCTTCACTCCTCCCCCCCCCCCCCCCCCCCCCACATAGTATTTTGTCCAGTTTATGGACAGTTTATGATTCTTTACGGAGAGATGATTTGGAAAGGGAACTCTCATTTCCTGGAACACAAAAAAAATGGCCCCTCAACAGCTCAACAAAAAACAAAAAGTATAATGAGATATAATGGATGCTTCACCCCTCCCTTTTCCCTATAGTATTTTTCCAGTTTCTGGACAGTTTATGGTCCTTTATGGAGCAATGATTTGCAAAAGGGGACTCTCTAGTCCTGAAACACAACAAAAATGGCCCCTCATCAGCTCTAACTCAAGTCTTTTTGTTGCAATATTTGTATTAGCCAATAAATGAGTCGGAAAATTGGTTCTCAGGTCTAAGGGGTGAACTTACTATGAAGAAGAATTGATACTTTGATGCTTATTTACCTGACAAGGCTTGTCACAAATGACCCTTTTTCATACTGAATCATGTACTTTTGATTATTCAAATTCTGGATTGTAACCTGCAGTAGAAATTAGAAAAAATAATCACTGGAAGTTTGTTAACTTATCAAAGTTAAAAAAGGAAACAAAGTTGAAAAAAAAAAGATCTCCCATATGCTATTAAAATATAGTTTCCTCTAGTTGGTTGGTTTAAAATTTTTTAATGTACCAGTTTGATTTTAACCCTCTAAGTAATGGCAATATCATAAATTTAACTTAAGAAAAATAAAATTGCTCTGGTTAAGAAAATGTCCTTCAAAAAAAAAAAATTGAGTATTTGGTGCTGAATGAAATATTACTGGTATTTCCTTGTTTATATTTTCCTTAACCCTTTAACTCCCAAGATCTCATAAGTAAATCTCCTTACTGTCTGCCATAAAGTTCTTGTGATGTTAGTTTGAAGAATTTGGTATTGGATCAACTAATAATCCCCTAATTTCTATTTTTCTTTATTCTTATCACTTGTCTGCTTGATATTGTATTGATATTGTAATGAGAAATTCTGTCTTGGTCACTAATGGCAGTTAAAGGTTAATTCCAATCATCTACTGTATCTGTTTCGTGATATATTAATACAGTAGGAAAAATTATATCTTAGTCAGTCCCAAGAGATAGGACCTTAACTTGCTAATCACAGGTTTTAGGTGGGTAAATATCAGCTAATGGATCATGGGATAATCAAGTAAAAATCATAAGAACACTGTAACAAACATGACAACTCACATTCTCCAGAAGCCTCATGCATCTTGTTAGCTTTTTGAGCTTTGCTATTGACACTCCCTCATGTAATTTGCCATCCACATGTCTTGTTAAAAGCTCATCAATAATTTGAATTGCTAATCAAAATATAGGGAAAAAAAGGTGTGATATACTTCAAAGTAAATTAACTTTTCAAATACCCAGTAAGTCCACTTACATAGTGACAAGGGATCCTGCCATAATGAGCTTATAACTGATTTGTTTGTTTGTTGTTGTAACCATAGGCAGAATCTGAATCCAACTGGTACTCATCTTTGTTTTTCAATTAAAAAATTTGTTTTGACTTTCTTCTGTTGCTTTTTGTGACTCTATAGCCAACATTGTGCAAAAATTACAACTATGTAAATCTGCTCTAACCTGTGTTCATTATATGATCCAGTCCCTGCAGGACTCTTATTTCTTCTTTAAACCATTCCCCAATTCTCTGGGATGTCAGGGAGAGCATAGATTCACACACGAGTGAGGCAGGCTGTGGAAAACATAACCTTGGCTCAGCATTAGAGGAAAAGATAATATATATCAAATAAACTATAATAATTAACCCTTTAACTCCCAGAAGTGATCAACATGAAACTTCTCCCTATCATATCCATACATTATCCCACAAACAGGTAACAAGAATACTCAAACTTATCAGGTAGAAGTTGTTATCTTGATCAAACACCACATTCTCAAAATTAAATTATGAGGAAATGTGTAGCAGCTAGAGGGGAGAATTAACAATCAGATCTTGGGAGTTAAAGGGTAAAAACATTTATGATCTTAATTCAAATAACTTACATTTATGTCATCATCTCCCATTTCAAGTAGTTCCTCAGAGGCACTTTGCTTTTCAAGTAAAGTCCTATGATGAAAATGATTTTGAGGTTTGGGGTAAGACCAACCTCCTTAAAAGAAAACACAATTGATACAAAATTGTACCAGAATATCAGCAGATACACGATGACCCTGACTCATTGAAGAATATGCTTAAGAAGGAAAGAGCTCTTTAAAAATGTTTTGTTAACAATCATATAGGAGTAGAAAGTACATGATAAGTCACACTGAGTTACATTTGTAACTGTTCATTTTGATGTAGGCTTTAGATAGCACCATGACCAATGTAATCAAAACTATAACAAAATTCTTGAATGTGATTGGTTCTCACAAGCCCAATTTGAGCATTAATAGGACAGTGTATGTGTCATGTTTGCAGTAGTCCATTTTACAGTTGTATGCTTGGTTGCCAAGCCTTTGAACAGGAATGAGGCAAAGGGTGACCTTGTTATGATACAAGCCTTGCTGCTTTTCAAATGCAAATTACTTTGTTATCATGCTAATTGGATACTAGTCTCTATCCCAACAAGGTCACCTTCAGCCTCACTCCAAATCAAAGGCTTGGCAACTAAGTACACAACTGTAAAATGGCCCATTGGACAGTGTAATAGGACAGTTAAAGGGACGGTTCACATATCATGCCTGTGTAAGTGGACAGAACACGTCATGTGTGCATACTATTGTCTTGCATTTTGTTGAGTTAACTGATGCTTTTTTTTTATGAATACATATAACCGATGTCTAGATTCTTAATCAAATTTTGTCATAGTTTTGATTAATTGGTAACAGGACTTCATATCATCCAATTCTTTCTGTAATCATACTCGTGATTTACAAATAGGACTCCCGGTCATCCGATTTTGTTAATCACTCATATGATTACTGACCAAATTGGACTCTGCTTGTTACTATGATCATTATTAATAGTAATACCCACTCACAAACAAAGGATATATTACAAAGAGCCAACAACACCTCTTCTTTTCCTTGTAGGAGAGCATGAGTGACTAGCTATGAGTTGCAGTTGGTTTTAACATTAATGACTGAGTGAGAGAGCACCACAAATCAAGTTGTTCATCTCAATTGTCATCATAAAACATAAGGTAAAATACCCATTGTCACTCAGGATAGCTTTTGATACTTCACTAAAAATTGCTTATTTTAAGCGATATTTACAAATGAAGGTTATGTTTCCTCATGTAAGGTGCACTAACCGCACTTTGGAGACATATTTATTGTAATCCTTCAGTGATTTTGATTGCTTGTTCTTACTGTCCACAGCTAGGAGTTTCATCATTAGTTCTGGAAAGTAAATAAGTTTAGGATCAATTCAAGTATCATACACTATTGTAATTGCACTGTCAGAATTTACACCCAAAAACATAAAATTCTTACCAAGAACGGATCTGTCCAAGTCAGCATTTTGACGATCCTGAGATAACATCAAGGTAATCGCTGATGTACAAAGCGCCAAGCACTGCAAATAATCAGAGAAATCAAGATGGAAAGAATTCACAACTTTTCCTCTAAGAGCAGTAGTGGTATAGAAGGGATTGATAAAATAAGAGTACTGAGCAAAGTACAGCAAAGAAAAGAACATCTTGATAATTGTGAGTATTACATTTAACTAAGTAAATTGTATATAAGACTGAAACAAAACCTTACCTTATCTGAAGGTGCATCTTGAAGAGCTGAAAATATTTTGGGTCCCATGCCATGGGCCCGAAGGTTCACTCTGAAAGAGGGTTGAGCACAGTGTGATGCAAAATCCAGAGCACTGACACAGCGGGTGGAAATTGAACGAGTCTCATTGAGACCATCCAGAAGGTACTCTACATCATCAAAAAACTGAAACAAAAGTGTATTCATTTTACATTAAAATGATATCACTTAATTTTATAAGGGAAGCAGAATGCATTACATATGCTGCAAAACACAGCCTTAGAATGAATGCTGCAAAAGGAAGCTCAAACTCTCAACTCTGCATCCAATTTAAGATATCTGGCACTTAACATTGTTGCTGTTTTTTTTTTTAACCTGAGGGCAGAGAAACTGAGAGAAAGTTAAATGAAAAGCTTACCTGCTGGTCTTCTCCTGACTCTAGACATTCATGGACTTGTTTGACATTCCTCACTACTGTGAAAAGCTATAACAGAGAAGACAACATTTATCAAACTAATTTGGGGCATCAAAAACCTTGAAGGATTTCAAAATCTAATAGATTTGACAAAGGTGATGACTTAAAAAAATCAGGAATGAAAATCACAAAACTTGGCAAGGATATAGGATATGTGAACAACCCCAGACATCTAAAACAATTGACTCAAGCCTCAATCTTTGAAGTTTTTATGAAACCTTTATTTTGAATCAAGTTTCCAGGACCACTCAACTTACATTTGAGTAGGACCTAGTTGTTCATAGGGTGGATAACACTATCTAATGGATAAAATCACTGTCCAGCTGATGAGTGTTAACAAAACATAGTATGCTTGTAGACAAAGACCTACTGGTTTATCAGTTCTTTTAACTCTGATTGCACTTGGAGAATCAGTATCTTTTTTCTGTGGCAGACACACAGCTGGAGCAAGACTTGGGGCATCTGAGGGTACTTCATCCTGTGACTCTTCACTAAAATCAGCACTTGTGGGCTTTAAAAAAACCATGCTTTAGATTGACCTCACTACATCATGGCTGGACCATTTATTATCATTAATACTATCTCTGGTAGAACAGCAGTAAAATCATTTGTGGACCATCTAGTCTCTGGGTATCCTAAGCTATCCTTTTCTTCAAAAATAGTTTTCACAGATGGATATCATTACGCTTCCTTAATGTTATCAGACTTTAAAAGGGGGAATTGAGAACTGACCCACCTAAATCTGTTTGAACAAAGATAACAGCCTTAAAGGAGCCAATAAATAAAATTATTTAATTCTTTAAGACTGTAAAAAACATTATTAAACTTCCTACACCTAACTTTACATCATATCATAAAACACTCAACTGTTAATGTACTGTAGGCCACAGAAATTTTCTTAGTGTTTTCCATTTGTGATCATCCGGCAAATTTGCCTGAGAAAAAGCCTGGTCTTCTTTTCATAAAGGGATCATTTTCAAACCTTGTCACACTATGAGAGAGGCACAACCCTCCTTACAAGTTCTAAACCCTTCACTTATCCCCGTTCTATTCATGCACTCTTTCCTCCCCAAACAAAAATAAAAAATCTTACCAAGGCTGAGAGTCTTCTTAATTTGTCTTTCTTTGGTGAGAGAGACTTGTCATTATTCTTCAGAAAACTCTTAAAAGGTGACTGCAAAGTGAAATCAAGAAGAGCATTAATCACTTAATAAAGCACCTGTTTTTTGAGTATCAAAATTGAAACTACTGAGAAACACTTTATATCAGTTTCTGCACATAGGATCTTGTTTTCAAGTTCCATAGAATCCAATTTATCAAAACAAATAGACAAAAAAATGTGTAGAAGACAGAAAAAAATTAAAAATTACATTATGACAAAAAGGATTGACTGCCATTATGTGATATTTATGTTTGAATATGAGGCAAAGAAAATACTCAGGCCAAATGAGTAGTACAGAGTCGGTCACCCTTTCAACCCCAAGACCTAAAAATCAATTCTTTATGATCACACTGTCTGCCTGACACTTCTTTAAATTCAAAGGCTGAGAATTTGATGTTAGATCAACAAATATTCTATAATTGATATTTTTCTCCCTTGTGATTACCCCCTACAGCTAAAAAGTGTACTGATACTGTGAGGAAAATTTCCTTTTTGGTAGCCCTTGGAGATAAAAATATGTTTACGACCTTACCGAACTGAGCTTCTTTCTGTAAGTATAAGTGCCCCTCTTCTCGCCTCCTTGGGATGAATTTTCACTAAATTCTTGAGAGCTGCTATAAGCTTCATCATCAGTACTTTTATCAGTAACTTCTGGCGCGATCGCTTGTTTCTCTGGTACGATAGCGTTACTTTGCAGAGCACTCTTCTGTGAGTGTGAAATCGTCACGTCATCTTCGTCGAAAGCATACGGGTCTTTCTCATCGATCGTGCCTAATCTTCGCCGTTTGCTTGTCTTTGATGAATCATTATTTCCTGCCTTTATCAGACCAGCATTGCTTTCGATTATTCTACTTGTTCTAGCCCACGGAGACTTCCTGGACGTCCCTCTTGAGAACGTCTTCTGCCCTAATGTAACGTTTGCATCCGAATTCTCACTCTGTTGAATCTCATCAAATTCCTTGGAAAGTTTTGATTCTTTGGCGCGATTACGGCTGTATGTCTTGGTGCCGTATTTCGGCATGAGTTTATCTTGGTCACAAAACTTGTTTAGAGGCAATCAAACGAAAATTTCGCGTGAAATCATAACGAAATTTACACGCATATAGTCTCCCTCTCTCGAATTCATAATTTACCGGGAAGCTAACTGCGCATATTATTGTTGTGAAAGCCGCTGTCATTTCTAAACTTTTATGGCGCGAAAAAAATAGGCAGGCTCGCACTGCGTCCTCAATATTGAGTTATCGGTCAAAATTTGCTCTTCGTCACAGGAGAGGTGGTACAGCATCTCCTTCAAATCTCCTCGAGTATCAGAATAGTTTTCTCTAGCATGAAAGAGTGAGATTAGTTTCAAAACACGAAAACGGAGAGTTAGTCTCACGCAAAAATTATTGATATTTCGGCGGTACCAAAAGTTTACTGTCAGTAAGTGGATGACTTTGTTTTCCGAGTCACAAATTGTGCATAATTTATTTTCGCAATCGGCAAAACTTTCCTATTAGTGCATAATTGTGTACCTCTTTCCTGCTTTACTTGCTCCAAGTCCTCCCTCCCATTGTACGGTGTGATCGATCTTAATGAACCCATGCTAACCCATGCTCCATAAAAGCCTCTTGTCACCATGTGACCAAAATCCCTTGGAGCTTGGGAATGAGAATGAATTTCACGACGAAAACGCGGGTACACCACTGTTGTAAAGGACTATTTCATTCGCCAGTTTTCGTCAAGTTAAGGAAAATTTTGGGAAAAAAGAGCAAAAAACTATCAACCTCTTGAGGTGTCTGTGGTGGACGAAAACTTCATCCCGGAAAATCATTAATAGGTAAGATTTTTAATATGTTTAAGCTGAAATCGGATAAGCTATTTGTCAAAGACTTGGTGAGCGAAATCAAAACATGAATGCAGTGCATTACTGAGCTGGATTAGGCTAATAAAGCCGTACTATCATGCAAATTTTAGCCTAATTTATTTGGAAAAGGTAGATACTTACTTTGGTGCAGAGTGAAATGAAACGTTTCATGCTTTGACCTTGATTGCTTTGAGTTGGAATGCAGATTTCAACACTTCAGTGTACGAGTAACGGGCGGTTTTGTCTGTGTTTGAGTGTTTAATGAAATCGCTAGAACGAGTAACGAAGCCACATGATTCATGGGTTTCTCTTCTCAATTGTAGTTTCATCTCCATTGTTTTCATCTCACTAACCCGTAAGACTCATTCATTCAAGCTCACTACAGTTAGGAATTTTGAAGAGTAAGCGAGCACCGGGTTGCGTTACCAAGTAATCGTTACTTTTTCCTACTGATTCAAACTTGCCCTGCGAATCACCATGTGTTTCGATCCCTCAGTCTTGTCCCGTAATCAAAGATATATCTTCGAAGACAAGCCCTTCTTCTACAGTGTAAGCATGTTTTTACTATTGAAAAATATTCTCGCTGAAACGAGAAATCCATTACGCTAGCCTCGCAATAAAAATTCCCAACATGCTAGACACGCATGAAAGTAACACAAAGCGTGACAGAAAACATAAACATGCTGAACATAAGTGCGGGCCGTTTTTCCTTTTTTTTTCTGTTGTTCTTCTTGTTACTTTTGTATTTAATTGATTACGAAGTTGTTTTCAGTAACATATCTAGCCAGATGCTAAAGTATAACCCGCATGTCATGTAAACTATTCAAAAGTGAATTTTACAAAGATCCAGTTCCGCAACCGATGAGTGCTCAATTATCAAACGCTTCGAAGAAACATCACAATACTTTTAAAACATCTTTGTTCTGGGTGCTGTTTGACAGTTTTTCGCCATGGGAAAACAGGGAAACAGAGAGTGACAATAAGGTTGCCAGCTGTGATGTGTTGCTTCCTCTAAAATCATTATTTAACTTTTGTCCGTTTCGCGGGACCGTCAGCGCTGTGAATTTATTCTAGATAATTTGACTGAATCCCTTCCTTTACAAAGTTATTTTCATTAACAAACTTCTCGCTACGCCAATGTGTTTTGTTATTTGACAGAATGCTTTTCATCACGTCAGTAGACTTTGTTTTTATTTAGAACATCAGATTTAGCGTATCCCATATAATCTCGTCTCGGAAATTAAACTTCCGTCGGCGGAGAGCCCATTTATAAACTAGTCTAGAGGTAAGGCTGGTGTATCTCAAATATTGAAGCTGAGAACATAGTTTAACAAAAATACATAACAAACGGTAGATCAGACTGAGGTTAAAATATCCTGTCAAAGGGCTTCTTTTGAAAATACAATGTGATCAAACTAAATTTAGAAAGGGTAATTTATTATTATCAACTGAGTTGATAATGTGAATTGGCCACTGTAAGAGTTTCAAAGCTGACGATTCGAGGGTTAGCCCTTCGTCAGAGTGAATGGAGGAATTGTGGGTTGTGCATGCGTGTGATTGTTTAGAAAGATCTCTATATAACGGAGTATAGACTCATTTATTCCAAACATTTATGAAACAAACAGTATGTCTTTAACCTTCACACTGGGACTCTTCCCAACGAGTTTATTTCAGTATTCCGAAGATCTTTTAATTAATACATCTAACATTGTATTAGTTGTAATTATTAATTGCTTTTTTCCGCCATATGAAATACGCCGTCCAAAGCCACGTTTTGCACAGTCTCTTTCTTAATCTTTCTCAGTGTGCGCGCCTTACCTCTGGAACTCGGTTCCATTTGAGATTAAAAGCAGCGCATCTGTCTCTATTTTTAAAGCTAAGCTTAAGACCTATCTTTTTTCGACAAGCATATTTTTAGACTTTAAATTTTTATATAATTATAGGTTATGATAATTTGACACTGTAAAGCGCATTTGGGCGTTAGGAAAATGCGCTATAGAAATAAATTATTATTATTATTATTAATCACATTAGTGTACAATGATTGCATAGTCTGGTTGACCGTTGCAGTGTCACTGATGAGTTCTAAATCAATTCACCCCTTTAATCGTTTCCTTAACGATTCTCTGATGATTTATCAGTAACGATCTCAATAGTAATTGTCGTTGCTGCCTGCCATACAATTCCGATGATGTTGGTTCGGAGAATTTAGCATTGGGTCAACTAAAGGAGTTTGTAATCTCTTGATAAACTAATAATATTGTAATTGATACTTTTCTTTAATTTGATATTGCATTAATATTATGTAAGGAGAAATTCTGTCTTTGTCATTCGTAGGTGTTAAAGATTTAACCCTTTAACTCCCATGAGTGACCAAGACAGAATTTCTCCTTACAATATCAATACAATATCAAGCAGACAAGTGATGAGAATAAAGAAAAATAGAAATTAAGGGAATACAAGTTGATCCAATACCAAATTCTCCAAACAAACATCACTAGAACTGTATGGCAGACAGTAAGGAGAATTACTGATGAGATCTTGGGAGTGAAAGGGTTAAGGTATTGTTCAGACTCAGGCCAGACAAGGCTGTCCATCCCTTCATGTTATGCTTGGCCGCTCGCTTCTCTTACTGTTTGCCTCTCTTTCTCCCTCCTTGTAGAGTTCCATGCATTAAGCAATGAGAGTATCTTTGTAGTGAAATCCTCAATTAGTGCAAATAAATAGGATGGAAGTCATAATTTATCTGGACTTAGTCATAAGTGAAAAATGACAAATTGGGGTATTCTTTATTAAACTCAAATTCTGTCAGATTTCACTTTACAATAAATCATTAAGATTTTACCTCAATGCGATTCTAAAAGAACTTGAGTTATGGTGCATGTCACAGTTTTCTCTTCGAGCGAAATGTATCCCACGTGCAACACGCGGGTAATGCGGTAATTTCACGCGTGGGAAGATCCAGAGCCGAGAGGCCGTTGATAGACGCGATAACAATTCTTCTCATTAACCAGCATGTTATTTCGATTTTACAGCTTTTATAGTGACAAATGATCCATGTTATACCGTGACATGTTTCAGTTTGCGGTGCCACAATGTCTTGAGACAAGATGCGATGCGCCCAGACCTTGACATTTTATATCGCGCAGGGCACACGCATTCATCAGTGACAAGTCGATATCAACAAGGAGAGAAATCTGCTTACGTTTGCCGCTATCGAACAGATCCACTTGATAGCGATTTCCTTGTTAACTTGTGTCTGTCAAGCTGTCGCCAGCCGGTCTAGAGATTTTCTTATCAGGTCCTTTTCCACTTGCACCTTGTCGCCAAAGAACAACGACATAAGACCCAAAAAATTCAATCGGCTATGCCATACACGAAACCAGTTCATGCGCGTTAGCGATTTCCACCGATTGTGGATTTTCAAGGTTACCAGCCTGCGTTTCGAAAGTATGATCTTTGAGTCATAAGTTCCGTTGCCGTGTAAGATTTTGATCAGTTTCTCTCTGAAGTATTTTTTTTGCTTCAGTTTCGGGTGCTACGTGTCGCTGCAAAATTGTAAATTCGTTTAAAAAATTGAGGCCCACTGTCAAACTGAGAAGCAACGGAGGCAAACCTTGAAATGTATCTTGGGATTCTTGATATTTTTGCTGGATCAGATGTGTTCCGCTATTGTCAGGCTAAAAACGACATACAAAAAAACTTTCAAAAATTTCCTTTGTCAATTATGGCATGTTATCATTTTTATTTCTCCTTTATATTTTCAAAGTGTTTTCTTTCTCGAAATTTTAAGCTTTCAAAAGAGTAAATTGATTAGTGATTTTTGCTACCATTTCGAGCAAAGTTGGTCCGAAGCATATTACAAAGTTTATTGTTTGACAAGTTAATACCACATCATTTGGCCGATACAACAGCACTAGAACTGGAGAGGGGAAATTAATAGTTGGCTTTTGACATTTCCCTTTCTTCGTGAATGTAAACTTCCCAACTATTGACTCATCCAGATCGAAAGAAAACTCATTACACTAGCAGTTAAAAATAGACATGTGATAAGCGATATTTATGTAATTTATTAAATTCACGGAAGAGTTTTTGTGTCGCAAAATCAAGAAATATTGATATAGGATATTTTTCAACGAGAAATAAGTCGAAGAGGCTTATTTTATATTATTTTTCTAGACCAGTGGTCGGTTTTTTTCCTTTTTTTTTCATCCTGACACATAGGAAATGATAAGAAAATGAATAAAAGAGCGACTTCGTGTGCATGAAAATTAGCGAGGCGTTCGTGTGGATTTCCTCGATTTTAGGTGAAAGTAGGAAGGAAAACTTAACACAATGCAGTGAAAACTTGATAGAACGGAACGGCAGGTAAGTGTGAAAAAGGCGAAGGGGAAACAAAAGAAATTAAACAAAAGAATGGTACACGATTGTACCAAAATAACTCAAAAACAGGTGATCAAAACTGAAAATAGAAAAACGGGAATTAGGACAACAGGCGAGCAAAAGTAGGTTTGAATGAGACTCAAGTGTAAAGAAATTGAGGAGGAAGCTCCCGGCATCTGGCATCCTTTGAAATTAATAACACGCGCTTTACTATTTGCACATTAACAGTCGGCTCTCTGTTGCCTCAACAAGTTGAAGTCGAAATTAGCATCCAGAGCAAATACTATAGCAGCTGAGTTCCTCTCTAAAATAAATTTGCTTTTTATGCAATGTATCAGGAAAAATGGGTTTTGTCACATCGCTCAGTCAATGTCAGTTCAAGCAACTCCCAATTTTCTTGCCCTTGGCAACGCCATTTTAGTCTGCGCGATAGTAAGATCACGAACTGTCAGGCGCTATCAAACAGCGAAGGGAAAAGCTATTTATTAGAGTGAATTAACGAAATCAGCGAGCGGATCAGAGCTTCGGCCACAATTAATGCTTGCCCTAGTTTCATTACTCTTCATTTGAAAGCTGTCGAGATCGAATCAACTTTTCTGAAGCCCAATAATCTCCAGTGAATCTTGTCTGCGGTGAAAGGTTCACCCACGATCAAACACCTCCGACAGCCAAGGACTTTACCGACATCCATCAAACTGACGCCTTCAGCCCGATAATACCAATAACAATCACTCTAGCAGAATCTCGCTATTAAGAAAGGATGACAGCTTTACAACTCAGCTGTCGAAGAGTCGATCTAAATTGGCTCTATAAAGTATGTACAAAATTCAAGCAATTTCCATGATCATACTGATCGACGCGATTTAACAGCCACCGCATTTTCATACGAATAAAGAACCCATTACAAAACGATGTGGCAAATCGACTAAAACTTGATCCATATCAAGAAACCACTTTTAGATAAAGATCTGTCCTTTCTATCGTGTTCATAAAATTGATAACGCCTCGCTGAGGCATTTGTCAGACGACGGTACATTTATATTTCCCCCAAAGCAATTTTCATTTCTCATTCGAAACGCGGTATCGCGATAACCTGCCAAATTCTGCACGATCTTCCTAGACTTGTTTGACAAGTTGGACAAGCGGTCTTGTTTTAAGTAAAGGTGATTTACAGTCGCTAATGTTATCTCATTAAGATAGATCAACTTGAAAATATTCATTTAATTTTTAGTTAGGATTCGAAATTGTGACAGTTCATTTCCTAAGAAGCGACAAAGCAAGATTGGTTTTCGCAGTAGGCGAGCACAATATGGACATTTTGATTGACAGCTTGTAATCGATATTGTGCCAAACGTGTGCTAAGATACGAGAGAATAAATAAATAAAGGTAATAGCCGTTTTCGCCCTCAAACCGAAAATTGAACTCCCTTGTGAAAACTATTTGGACATGTGGCAAAACTCATGAAATCGTCTTTTAAGTCACCGCTTCCTTTTGACCTGTCAAAACTGTCATTTCAGATGTGATCAGTTGCTAATGACAGAAACTTATCCCTGTCAATCAAACATTGAAAAGGCTTGTTCGGGAATAAAAAAGAAAAGTTCAAACTCTCTGTCTCCAGCAAAATGCCCTGCAGCGCAAAGAAAAAACCGCTATCTAGAAATTACTACGTTTATCATGATAGTTTTTATCTTTGATGCTCTTAAGTAAGATCTCTCGCGGTCGTTTCAATTACGAAGATAAAGTCACAGGCATTTTGCCTCTATATTTCTCTCAAGAGCGAGAAAACTGTACAAGCGGCGAGCGAAAAAGATTCTGAAAAAGATAAACGCAATTCTTATTTTCTCAAGCAAAACAAACGAGACAGCTTTTAACCTAAAATAACATGTTTTATTCATTGAGTACACGCATTTCCCTTTATCTTACAAACTTTACACTTGCGCGCCGAATGGTTGTCGCCGAAACCATTGAGCTTTTTATTCTAAGTGCTAGAATTATTCTCCCATTAAACCAACAATAATATCCGCGAAAGAATACGGGAAAATATATCCTTATTAACACCCAAACCATCCATATTTCCTCATATACAACAGTTAGCATCTCGAGTGCTCTGTTTCGCCTTTGTTTAAAAATCACTAGAATCACCAGAACAGTTTCCGCTAACTCCAAATTCATACAAGCACTCGTCATTGACTTCACACAAATAAAGAACGTATTTTTTTTACAAGTTTCAAATGCATAATTTCCAAACTAGCCAGCTATTTTTCTTTATCATTCATTTGAAAAGTCTGTGCGCTTCGTAAGCATGTAGTGGATACGGTGAATAGCAACTTGTGGGGGCCGGTGGAAATACCGGTGGCTTATAATAATAGGGTCGATATCTCGCGGAATGTAGGTTCGACTGTAATGGACTTGTTCTTAACTTGCATGGACATCCGTGAATGTTACAATTCGTTTGTGCATATGGTGAACTTCCTTGCGTACTAGCCTGAGTGTGGGTTCGCAGATGTTGAAATAAATCTTCCGAAGTTGTGAACGATTTTCCACAGTGTTTGCTCCCCGCCACCCAGTTACAGACGTACGGGGAGGCCTCGTCCGTTGTACCAGGTTTGTACAGTGCCATGCTATGTGGGTATCCAAAACATGAAAAAGACGATTGTAGGTTTTGCTCTGTTTTGACATTGTCGCACTGCGTACAGTGGGGTCCACACTGTGGCATAGGACTTGGAAATGCATACGGCGAAAACTGCGGTTTACAGTTCGTGCAATTCACATCACGGCACACAGTTCTTTGAAGATAGTCCATGTAAGGTGTGCTTCCCGGGCTATGTAGTTGGAACTGGTGTCGTCCAGCACCGATGCTGCTCAGCGCTGGGGATGCGTCCCCAGGGTGCGGAGAGCAATAGCCACAGCCACATTGAGGAAAACTAGTCGGGAAATTGAGCGGCATAGACGATGCCAAACCATGGGTTTTAAGACTAGGAGAGACTGGATCTTGCCCTGTTGGCATGGGATAAGGTTGTATAGTTCCGGTCTTGAACGGCAAAATTGATGCTGGATGGACACAACCAGCACCGTAGTCTTTGTGCAATGTATGAACGCCAAAGGCCTGTTGGCTTGGATCAAAAAACGTACCACAAACCCTATTTTGAGACGCGGAGTGGTTTCCACATTGGCTGTCATCGCTCGACGGGTACTGAAGCGATGTACTTTTCACTCGTTCCTCTTTGCCGCTCGTAACAGGCGAAAGAGAGGTATTATTTTCCTTACTCGGAGCTCGAAAACCTGCCTTTTCGTTGTTCATGTCGTCGACTTTTTCGCCGGCGGTGTGTTTGTACGGTTTGAAGGAAGATCTGGTTTCGTCGTCGCTTATCTTTCGGTCTCGAGATGCGTTATCTTCTGCTGTTTCCTTTGATGGCTCGGTTTTGCCAATGCTGCTGCAAGTCGCCGCTAGCAGGGCCAAAGGAGATTTCTTTTGGTCTTCATCCTGACAGTCAATAAAAAAATAAAATAACACCGCTTGAGTTAAAAAGGTAAGTCGTAAAAATTAATCATAAATTTACCAAGGGGTTGGCTGGGCATAACTCGATATCTATTAAACCTCGGTGAGATATTTTAAAATATCGAGCTAGGTACCTTGAATGGAAGTGGTTGGATATACTCTTGATTACACTTTGAGACACTTTGCGTCAACATTTGTAAAGCCTCCAGTGGAACTCGATTGCTAGAACGAGATATCTCTGCCGAAGACTCTGTTGCTTTTAGAGCGAGTGTTCGTGTCGGCATATCTGGTCTGTGTGTGTGTGCGGTAGACCTTCTGAAATATTAAATACTACACAATGAAAGGTGTAGATACAGAAGAAACGAGCCGACTACAGACAAAGCCAGTGCGCTCTTCTGTCGTAAATGAATTGGTTAGATTAGAGAACATTTGCCGCCATCCAATCAAAACGCGTCTTTAGCGATATTTCACTCCTTCATTGGATAATCAAACTGACAAAGTTGTCATCCTTGGACATCAAAGTAATTGGCTATATAAGATATTGATTGATGATTTGCCGTTTGGCCAATCAGAGCACAGGAGTTAATTAAGTAGTGGATCGCATAGTGTGTCAACGCGCTGCTCTGAAGCAATCTACCTGTCAATCTTCGTCAATTATTTTTGTCACGTATTGTTTGGAGATATGTGTTGAAGTGAGTTGTGTAAAACTTGTCAATTTCCAGCTTGGTGTTCGTTGTGTGTTCAAAATCACGCTTTTGTGCTCATTGTTCTTTTAGAAGAGGCTCAGATAATAGAGGTTTCGGTGGGAGCTCGAGCACAACTGGTAGTTTTGGCGTCGCATTGACGTTCGTACGCTGTAGGGACAAGGACCTTCCTAGCCATGTTTACTGTTCGGCACTGTTTGATCCCGATGACACATCTTAGTGTTATCTTATCGAGCCATCAATCACGGCTACAGGCGTTCGGAGATTATGAATAAGATTAGATAATGTGTTGACATGTCTAATAGCTTTGACGGCTCTGTCAAGTAACACCTAATGCCTGACTGAACATTTAGAAAACTATTAGTCTTCGCCAAAGGACCGCCACGACTTGTAATAACACATCCTTCAAAAATTGTTATTAACCAAACAAAGGCTTCCCGGCCACCGGGAAACTCATTTCAAGATCTAACCTTGGCAATATTGCTTTCTAAAACAACGCAAAACACAGTCTTCCTAACGCCTGTATTTGCATAATTAATTCCACGACTAATAAAAGCAATTACTGGAAGCGATAACAGATCTTAAGGAGCTTAAAATAACGAAAATGAAAATTCTCTGTGCTTTTGTGACCGATCGAGGGCTCAGCCGATAACTGCATTAATTTTCATTCTTTATGAGAATTGTGTGGCATTTTGTACTGTTTACCTAGCTTTCCTTCAATTTGGCCGAATGAGAGACATCAAGATGGCATCGGGAACAGATCTTCGACAGCTGGGAGCGTTTTCACAATACCCCTCATAAACAGCGAGTAGGAGTGTTTGCTTGGACCCCAAATAAAAGCAGATGATTTTATGAGATAAAAAATTAAAAATGCGTTCGGGAAGTTATTAAATGATGGGCTGTCTCGAGAAAAGATTCTTGGCGAGGAGAGGAACAAGGGTCGAAGGAGAACTTTGTCGCTTACAAAAATAAGCCGTTGATCAAACAAAACTTTTATTTGAAAGAGAAAAAAACACAACATTCTTCCTTCATCCGCTCTGTGGGTTTTTTCATCAAATATTCCATTAAAAAGCTACCAAATCCCCGCGACAAAAGAATTTTGCGGGTAGCTTTGACATAAAATATATTATGTGGGACAATATATTGAAGTGGTGAAAAGCTTTTACAATGCAAACAAAAGCACTGGATAATTTGTTTTTCACAGTCAGAACTCATTCCGTTTTTGACAGGTAATCTATAGTTATCAAAAACAAACAATTGCCGCCGCCATAACTGTCAAAGGTCCGTCCGCACGTCATGGCATTCATTAGGACTAAAAACACAACCCCCCTTTCGGCAAAAGAGCACGCGTCCATCTTATTGAGTTTAATACGCCATCAAACAAACTCATCAAAAGCACTCTTAATAACTCGTCAAAGTTCATGAACACGGCTTTGCCCATAAATTGAACCCGGAGCTGATCGAAAACCACCCTACCCAACAAAGTAATTAATTCTTGTACGACGTGTCTTGTAAAGCTTCTTCTACTTAAATAGCTCATTAGCGCCTGGAGCTGTCAGGCGTTAAGATGTTTGGCGCTCTTTCAATGTGACTGATCGTACCAAAACAAGATAAAAGAGTGCCGCGCTCAAGAACCTGTCATTTTAGGCGGAAATGTCAGCCGTTTCTCAAGTGCCCCGTCGAACTTGTCTGCATATCAACAAACTCAACAAAATGCTCTTGGGTGTTTGGCGCCAGGAAGACTAAAACCTCATCGCACGTGCCTTCCTTGTACTCAACTAACCCAAGGGCTCTAACCCGGCCAATATCGAATACTTGAAGGGAAAAATCTCGCGATTTTGCAATGTAATTTCTCAACATTACCTGATTATTTTCCTTCCCCTTCCAAGCTGCTCGTCATCAGCACGCAAGAAAAAGGTGCCACGCCAACTGTTTGTCAGACTTACGTAAAGGTAATTTCTGCGATAGGCGCATGCAGATTGTCGATATTTGCATGTGTCGTCCATGGAGATCAAAAAAGATAGTACAAGAGATCTATAAATGATATTCTCATGGGTGCTTGTATCTACTCCTATTCAAATTCCTTCTGCAATATTTTGGTATAGCATTAATTAAAGGTTTCAAAACAGTTTTTTTTAATACTAGCCTCGAAGTTTTATCAAGCTACCCACAGTTTTCGGTCATGAGATATGATAAAAAAAAAAAAAAAGGAGAGATAAAAATACTCAACAGTCGCTTACACGTTTTCAAATATCTCACACAAAGGAAGACGAAATGAAAACGAGATAAATTTCTGCGGCACCTCATTATTTTTCGTTCGTGCGGAGGGAAAATTAATCCAATTCGTAAACGAATGAATACAAGCTCTGTGAGCAATTAGAATTTTACTGCGTTCAATTCAAATAAACTTTGTTTTTCCAGTCAACAATTTATTCAGTTTATTCAGTGAATTTTAATTTTCACCTGAGGTTATAACTGGTTTTTTGTTTTCTCAAAGCAAAGATTAAAACTTATTTCGCGCGTCCTCCCGCGCGCTCTCGCTCAATCGGCACGTTCCGCAGGCGTGAAAGATATACATATTTTTTCTTTTTTGTTTTTACTTTTTGGGAGGGCTTGATGTTTTAACATAGTTCCGGTGTTATAAAAAAAAGCTTCTAAGATGGTGTCAAATGCTACAAGCTGGAAACCCTCAAGCCACTTATCGTAAAAGTGAGAGTTGAATAGAAACGTAAGGCCTGTGTGCTCTGAAATTTTACGCAATTACACTACTTCCCGTGTTCTCTAACAAAATCGTATCCAATTGACAATCGGAAGCAGCTGTAATACTGCATCGAGGGTGACTAGTGAGAGTCCCAGTGTGCCAATATTTCACTCAAGCATTGCGTGGGCTTTCTTATAGTAGTGGGCGGGTTGCTGTTTGAAAACTGATCGAAAACCGACTGAGTATTAATAACTTACTTGACAAGATGTTTGTATAAGTTATTGTGTTCGGCTGATGGATGGGTGGGATCGGGTATAGACAGGTCAAAAAATACACCGCCCAGATATGCACCCGAAGACGAAAACCATGGATTATACTGCAGGCATACTAATCTTCAAACGTTAATACTTCCCTTGTAGTTGTTTTCACTAAATATGCCATCTCGTGTTGATTTTTATCTTGTCCGGCTCAGACATTCATCATTTTTTTTGCCGAAATCAATCAACTTCCAATGGATCTTGTCAATTTGTACCGCCAGCAAATAGTTGTCGGGGATAATCAATGTAAAAATAGTGCAGTACAATATTACCGTGATTAAAATGCGCCTGTTGGAGGTATTTCAAAATTGAATTTGAGTGTAATAGACGCATACTAGCCCGAAGTCATTTTCCGAAATGATCTCGTTCTTTGTGTTTAGCATGTTTATTTCCTCTCTTTTTATCTGGAGTAACAGTTGCGTTTTGTTTTCAATCGGTCATTTATATGGATGCAAATTAATCATGAACTGATACATTGATCCGAAGTGATGACTGATGTTGAGAAACTCAAATGAAAAAACGATTTCTTTGTATTACGTTTGTAATTCTGTAATTTTTTCCACGCGTCAAGCAATGGAGACCCACAGAGGCTAAAATTATGGAATCGAAACTGTATTAGAGCGAAGCTTTTCGCGTGTAATGTGAGACTTTATTGTATATTGCAAAACACTAAAAGCACAGAGTGCCATAATTAAGATACTCAGTTAATGCTTCCCAGATCCGCTCTCTACAATATCGTACATGATGTATAGTTCTTTCAAAGACACGCTAAAAGGAGCCCGTAATAAACGGAAAACCGATCAGGTGCAAACCTGATCGCTCTACTTGACATATGTCACTTAAAATGATGAGTTGGTGTTGACAGCTTATATCAGCGGGAGCGCAAATGGTTTTCCGCTGAAGCGGATTGGAAGTGCAATTGAACGCCCATAACATTACGTGTAGAAAACCAGACTCAACGACTACGAATTTGAGATAATGGCGTGCGCTATGGTGACATCTTTTTTCCTTAATTCTGACTGCTGCTAAATTAATGACAAGTTAAAGTAAGCTGGGGCAGCTGAACTTTACAGTGGATTGTTGTAGAGACTAGAATCGTCTCTGCGTTGTTTGGTTTTGCAAAAAAGCAACAGCAGGCGCCCGTGTGGGAGAAAAAACTGCAACGCGAATTATTAAAAGTTTGAGTAGCTAGTTTTCTTTTTTGTGACTTCACTTTCCGTTTTCCTTTCCATCTAATCCTGTTTCACGATATCTATTAAAGAGTTTTTTCAAGCTTCCTTTGGCAATTCAGTAAAATGAGTGAATCGTCTTTGAAAGATGATTTATGATAATATCCGCCTACAATCCATCGTAGCATGATGAGTTCTCGAATGATAAGCCGTTTGTAGCGGACTAGAGGGAAAAAAAAGGTTTCCCCTCAAAAACATGTGTATTCCTCTCTGCGTTGGCTTTATATTTAATTTCAAAATGTTTTCCTTAACACTGTTATTTACTTAAGAAGGTTCATTAGCGAAAACCGACAGATTTAGACTCGTGTTTATCAAGCTTTGTTTGCCTGTTAAGTTCTAATTCGTAGCCTTTTCATTTCGGGTTTCTCTCCTTCTTATGTTGATGTACAGAATGTATAATTAATGCTTTGAAAAAGCTGCTTTAGCTCTCTAACAACCGCTAAGGCTAAACATCAACTGCAAAGTTATCAAGAAAACATACTTAAAACTTGCCAATTTTTTCAATATTTCTTATTTGGAGATAACATACTCACCAAATTCTTCATTCAGATGATTTTTCTGCTGATACAAAGCATTTTCTCTTCAATATCTCCATGTACGTGCTAGCGTAGATCAAAATTTGCAATTTCAACCATGCCAGACAAGCAGTGAACACGAAACATCTTATTTAAGTCGTTCAGAGCCTTTATTTCCTGAATAAATCCCCACTGCTAACAGTGTGCAACACTTGGACTTCACAGTGTTAATTTGGATACCTGCCGACGATTCGTATTTGAAATAACATAGCAATTGAAAATCTGTTTGTCGCGGCTTTGATTAGTTTAAACTGCAAACTGCGAGGATTATTAGGAAACTGAGGCAGGTGAAACAATTCGAAAATGCTAAAAATTTCTAGATTTTCTCTATACAAAAACATTTGTGGTATAATTAGAAAAGAAAATAGTCACGAATACCAGATGTGAAGTTTTCTCTTCTGATATCAGTGACGACCTTGACGAAAACTGCAGTGTAAAAGCTTAACACATTCAAAGATGTTGCGAAATGCTACACTTCAGGTTGGCTTAAATAACCCCATTCCCCAACAACGATGTTTTCAGTAGGGTATGAAGTATTGTCACGGAATGTTTTTCAGCGTGTCAGAAAATTACACTATGCTATAAATGAGAAATGGTTCACGATTTTCAGAATTTCCCAACAGTTGATGACACTAGACATTCCCTATCAGCCAGGAGGTGTCATCTTGATAGATTACTTAATTCTCCTATCAAATAAACGAGTAGAAGTGTAACGGACAGAAGAGAGATTTTATGACCCAGAGCATCGTATTACAAAGCGTGTAAAGGGAGAGAATAATTGACAAATCACTAGGTTTGCATATCAGAGAAATCCCGTTTCTTCCTTTAATTCAGTAGTTTGGTCATTGCTCTATCGCTGGTCAACTCAAAGAAATAAACCATAATATATAGACTCATGTTTTTTTTAAGAAGCAGTATCGTAACTGAAATAGATCAAACATTTAACAATGATACTCTGGAGGAGGACAACAAAGAGGAACACAGGTGTTTGGAGATGGGGATGATTAAATGGGTTGCAAATGGAAAATTTCCAAAAAAAAAATTAAGATGCAAAATTTTATAATTGAGTCACAGATACAAGCAATTTCCATCGCCAGAGACACTAAACCATTTTAATTTTCCCACCCCCCATTGTATCTAAGTAACTTGATGACCTTTTTCTCAAGCAAAACTCCCAATATCAAATCAGGTAATGGACTTACAAATTATTCTCGTCACGTTTATCAGAAAATGTAAGTGAGTTTCGAAGACAGCTAAGAGATAAATTGAAGTGGTTGGCCCTAAGCGGAGCCACGCAGTCCCAGTGTTTCAATACAGTGAAGTTATCAGTTTCCGAATTTACGCGGGCAACATCTGTAAATGAAACAACGAGATATCAATATTTCTGAGTGAATCTTTCCAGAAAACGGATTCGCCGAACAGATTTTCTGCCAAGCATAAGCTCTCCATAAGTTAAATCTACTTGTATTGACGAATTCCCAGTGCTGCAAAAGTTGCTTAGATTTGAATCAACCCCTTAAACATTTTTATTATTCCGCAAAATATCTTTATTTCGGTTCAAGGTGTAAGATCAGCATGTTCTGTATTGTCAAGCTACGTATTGGTAAATGTCTATGTGTGAATTTCAAATAAACTCTCAGACTCCTGACATTCCCTCTCTGACGCACGTCTTAATTCACTTCAACAAGCGCCGCTTAAGCCAACGCCTTTTCAATTTCCTGTGAAACAACTTTCAACTCTGAATCAAACAATGCACAGTTGAATCTGTGTTAAGCATTACCGTATTAAGCGATCACACCTGTGTAAGCGGTCGGTTGTCAAAGTCCCGAACTTATTTCCCCGAAATCACTGTAATTTTCACCTCCATTAAGCGGTCACCTCTACCAAGCGGTCGCGGTCGACCTCGGAGTGAAACGGCCTTATTGTATTTTTTTTTCACCTGTATTGAGCAACTTAAAGCAAAAATATCCAGATAAAACTAGGAATAATCTCTCAAGGGGAATTAAATCCATGTTTTTCTCCTGAAATCAAAGTTAGTAGTTTTATTGAGTGAGTTTTTGTACATTATAACGTCAATTATGGACGGCGTCTTTTTATCGTATCCAAGAGCCAAGTAATGGGCTCCTGTCGTTTCTCATTTTATTCTTTTTCTTTGAGACCTATATTTAGCGTTAAACCTGTATTAAGCGGTCGCCATTGCTCGTGGGTGATTGCCTAATACAGGTTTAACTGTGGTTATGTATTAATTTGTAATGTTCTAGATCCCTAGATTTATTGTAAGATTATTTACACCCTTCAGTCAGAAGACTGTTTGATGTGGACATGTTGTCTGAGTGATAACACTGCTCTTGATTTGAAAATGAAGCTTTTTTAATGATCCCACGTCAATTGTTACGGATTGGCGTACTCACTGAAGATCGCCGGTTATGACTGGTCGAGGGTGATGTCATGATGTCAAATAGGACACTGATTCGCTAATTTTTATAATGATCTTGATCGCCACTTGTCGATTTTCTGAAAAAAGGAAAGAGATAAACGGAACGAGAAGAAGACGCAATTATTCTAAAACTCACCTCAGTAATTACTCTAAAGCTCAAAAATAGATAACTGTTGTGTAAGGTTTTACTAATTGTGTTACTCCGAGATTTTAGGTGCCATACAAGTAATCAATGTGGAGTGATTACACAAAATAGCTCAATATCATAATGCAAGCTGCGTCTTAGGTGATTGCGCTTTACAAATGATCTATGAGAGGATTAGTTTGCCTTTTCATTCATCTCAAATCAAAATTTGTTCCCATTTAGGCAGAGCGACGCCAACCGAGGGCACTTAACTGAATCATCACATGGAAACCTGAGCTCGATGACTACTTGAATAATTGACTAAAATGACTCAGGTACCATAACAGAAAACAACGTGCAACATTGGACAGGAATAAAAGAGGTAAAACTAAGGGTATTATAGATAGTACTGGTTTGCTATGCCAGAATATTGAGATTTCAATGGTACTCTGTCTGCAATTTTGTGAGTGATTGTAGCTAGAGTAGCATAGAGTTTCAGCCATGAATCTAGAAAGTCAGGGTATGGTCGCTGTGGTTTGAAACATTGCGATCAGTTCTAAGGCTTATATATCAAAGAAAGGTCCAAAAGGAAACATTAAAGAGAGTATCGTTAGTTTGCTTCAATATACTTCCCTGTCATAAATAGCTCCTTGCATTAATGTGATGAATCGACACCTGGAACAATATTATGAAGTTGTTATGACTAATTTTTTTTCCTTGGTCTAGAGTTTTCAAAGAGAAGTCTCGAATTTTCAGTCATTCATTACCTACTCTAAATTTTATTGCTGATACAAACCCAAACATTATTCGCGATGTTATATTACACACGCTTAGGAGCCCTGATTAAAAAGGAAGTGTGCTAATTGCAAGAACCAAAATGTGTCCTTAAAATATTTATGAAGCTCTCGATTCCTTCAAGAATTTTTGCTTGAGTCCTTCATCTTTGTCTGGTTTTCGTAGTTGGCTTTGGGAATAAGTTCTAGATAATTTAGTCTGTACAGTTCTGCTCGTTCGTTTCCCGTCAGCAGATCTATAAAAAAAAGTGATAACAACAAAGTTAGAATCAGCTCTCAATGATATGGTCTCTTCCTAATGTAAAATTTAAGATCGGACACACACTGAATGTAAAGTTGGAAAGTGAAGTCCTGCTCACGTCTCACGCGCATCAAAAAGTGAAAATAACACGTCACGAAAAATTGGAGAAACAATCAGTTTCACGTATCGCAAAAGGCAAAAAATTCACAATTCGTATTTTCTCTGGTCATGAAAATATAAAAATTCTTAATCCCTAATCACGCAATGATACCTTCCTCTTGTGATATCCACCTTGTACCATATGAAAGACCTGCTCAGAAACTTTCATTTGAATGGTCACCCCGAAGGATTTATATCCACACTCTAACAAAAGAGAATCACTTTGCTGTGCACAATCAGAAGGGATAATACGCGAGAGTACTGCCTATAAGCTTTCATATGAATGGCCACTCAAAACACTGAGGATGGCACCAGTTTGTGCAGAATGATATTTGAAACTTAGTGGGGGTCAAGCCGAATCACTTAATTTTTGGCATAGAGTTAAAACCGATGTTCTCACCTGGTTCGGAGAAGCAGTGTACCACTTATAACAGATTGCTTGGAAGGGTTAAACCAACGTCTCCCGCAGTCAATGCTACATTCAACAGAGAGTCCGGGAAAAGCCACATTGGTAGAGAGAACACCATTGTCGATCCTATGTGAACAAGTGAATTGTTAAACATTTCGAAAAAATGCCAGTCCATTCTAATGAATTTTTCTACGATCATCGGCCCTGATCTCGTTTTGGTACTTAGTCATCACTTTGGGAGAGACTTTGTAAGGGTGAAGTGGTTTGCCACAAAGCATTATGCAGTGAGTGACTTATAAAAAGAATCAATAGTCGATCTATTTTTTCTCCCACGTGTCACATTTCGCTTCAGTAATCTTTTTAACAAAAAACGGATCAAGCAGACAGACAAAGTCCTCGATAAGGGCCTTCTTCCCAAGGGAATCTCTTCCAGCTATTTTTTTTAGTCGAAATATCTAAGCTCCCAGGAATAGTGTTACATGTGCCCGTGTTTCTTGCAGGTAATCTTCAGAATAAAGAGGGACCGCATGGGTTTAATAACGTGTTTGTTTTTCAAATAAATTCGTGACACTCGAGTATAGTGATTTCTACTTCCTGTGGAGACTGATCGCAACTTATTTGAAAAAGGATTTTTCTCAGACTCAAGCCTTCGTTGGAGATTAACTCTCAGCCTAATCTTAATTCTCTTGCTTAAATGTGTTTAAATGAGAAGGGAAACTGATACCTGGCCCCCGGAGGAGGAATGCGATAAGCAATACCCAGCTCGTCCAAACGAGCAAGTTCTTTATAGCCAAGAGTGTTCGCAAACATAGCCCAGCTTTTATTCTTCATTTTGTTTCGTTTCACTTTATTTCTTTCATTTTCCCACAGATCTTGATGCCACGCTCTTTCGGCGACAGCGAGAAGTCTTGGAAACGTCATGGATTGAAACTGAGAGGGGGTCCGTATTGTCTCTGACCAGATGACCCCAGCTAATCCTGTATAGGACATGAAAAAGAGAGTAGCATTGATTGCGTGCCTTTATGCCTAAAATAAATTAACCACAATGGGCAGTCAGAACTGAAAGTTAAGTTGGTAAAAGGCGAGGGTAAGCGAGCGTAAGTTTTGCATGTAACTCATAGCTTAGAGGCGGGCGAGTCTTGACAAATCAGAGACTGACATAGTTAAGCAAACAATGCAATCGCGGATCACTTTCGATATTGAGTTGAAACCTGCTTCGTTAGCTATTTTACATAACTGCACGGTGGATTTTTTTAAGGCGCAGGAGGTAATTATTGGTTAATCAATAATTCATGCTTGTTTTGGTTTTGGGGACTAGTGCTGCAGTTGTGGTCTCACGGAATAACGGGGTGGTGTAGACGATATTGATATTCAAAATGCCTCGTGCCCAATCTGCGATCTATCTCAGAGATGGCTTGATTTAAGCAAAAAAGTGTCAAAAATCGTTTCAGTGAAGGATAACTTAGTGGAAAATCTTGGGACCAGTGTGGCTGGCGAGCACCCAACAGAGGAGCTGAAAAAATTTTGAAGAGTAATTATATCTTCCACACTGTCATCAACGTGTAAATAAAAATGAAAGAACACTCACCGATAATGTTTTCAAGTTTTTGTGGTTTTACACAACCTCCAAATATGCTACAGTAATCGCCACTTGGTTCTCCTCTGTCATCTATTTCAAAACTGTCATACAAATGTTCAGGCATAAATCCGAATGCCTTGCGAGTGTTTGTGTACCGTGTGGCCCAATACAATCCTCTCTCTTCCGGGTCCGGTTCGTGCGCGTGATCAAAATAAAGGTGAGACGCTGGAGACATTACCACCTGAATTGAAAAGATGAGACTATAAAGTATTGATTTATTGAGGGGCCGGGCAGTGATACCTATCTATGTTGTGTCGGAAGTTTGGAGAAGTCAGTGAAATCCTCGCATGATTGTCCACCATAATCAATTTTTGCTCCAATTTTGATCCCTTTTTCTTGTCTCATAGATCGTTTAATCTTTTCTTTAAGGACTAGTAACTAGGTTGATATCGTACTACACTGTGTATGGTCAGTCGATTTTCACTATTAATAATACAATTACCATATCGCATGTCCTCTTTTAAAAGATTTTTAACAAACCTTGTACCCTTCATTGGCTAATCTGTAACCAAGATTAACAGTGTCTCCCCAGGCATGGCCATAACTTGAGCCACTTTCCAATTTCGTTTTCACTATATGGGTTTTTGAACGATCTACCCATCCATCGTCCCACAGCATTAGTTTGACACCGTATTTCTTAGCGATTCGAGCGACCCGTTTGGTGAAAAAGGCTCTCCAATCCAGATGGGTAGACCTCGACTTAAACTTCTCTGACAGCCTTTGGCAGGCAGTAGACAGATTCCATGCTCCCACGGGAACCTCGTCCCCTCCAAGATGGATAACTTTGAGTGGCTGAACCCCTTCATGCATGGCCTTGACCTCAAGAACCAACTTTTCCACGAAATCATATGTTGCCGCTATACATGGATTTACAGCATTGTTGAAAAAGAACTGCCCAGATTGATAACTTGATCTATCCTTCAGATCATTCAAGTAAAACCTCAGCCCTTCTTTAAATTTGCCTTCATTTAGATATTTCTTGTATCGAGCTTCCATAGCAGTGATAGCGGCAGTGGAATGACCAGGAAGGTCAAATTCGGGAATGATTTGAATATGTCGAGCATTTGCATATTTTAAGATCCCTTTGTAATCCTCTACGCTGTAGTAACCACTACCAGAAGTGTTTCTGAAGGGACCTGATCCTAATTGAGGTTTAAGGCAGTGAGTTTCTTTCAGATCATAACATCTCTGTGACGCAACCTGGTGGTTTATGAAAGAATGTAGGGAATGAATGGCTCAACATCCAACTTTCAAGTTTTAAACTCTTAAGCTTTTTCTATGAATAGATTATTTCGAAACTAGACAGCTAGTAGTTAACGACTGAAACCCAGGAATGTGAGTAATCAGATTATATAACCTAAGTTGACGATATCTCCATATGATTAATAATAAATAGAAAAATAATCCGTCCTCAACTCCCATATCCTCATTGCTCTCTCTAAATTAGTACTAGCGGGAAACTACTTTTAATGATTCCTCAACTTAGTAAGCACCTGTGACATGGGAAACTCTGGTCCCTGTTGTATCTGTTACCTTCACTAAAGGTAACATGGGAAGTTTTTACTATCTACTCCAAGGTCTGGCCAGAAGGAGATTCCTTTAAACAGAGTGTTCTCAGAAACACCTCGCATTTTGTTTTCCTCTTGACCTCGTCTGCATATCTCCAGGCCCGCCCTTTTCTAAATATCTATTCGATTTATGCAATTGTCAATGCACAATACCTATTCACCTATCCACATATATACTGATCTGCGCGTCTTAGTAGCTCTCTATTCGACTTTCTTTTTCTCGAATTCATCATTCCCCTTTAGACCTACTTCTGTAAGTTCAGGTAATCCAGGAATCTCCAGACGCCACCCTTCGTCATCGGTCAGGTGAAGATGAAGCTTGTTCAGTTTGAACATTGCCATTCCATCGAGGATCCGCTTCACCTCTTTCGTAGGAAGAAAATTTCGAGCAACATCTATGCTCAAGCCTCGATACTCATATCTTGGAGCATCTTTAACCGTGACCCAGGGAATCTTTCCGTTCCTAATGATACTCAGGAGCGACTGAATCGCCCAGAACACTCCCGCAGGAGATGCACCAACGATTGAGACTACTTCTTTGCGTGGGTCAACCTTCATGGTGTAAGATTCATCACTGTCTCTTTTTTCATACTTTGTATCAATCGTTACCTTGCCAATCCTGAGCTCAATGAATTTACGTGATGGTGCCCCACCATCGCTGAGTTGCATCTTGAGCTTCTCTGTGGAGAAAGTCTTCATGGTAAGGAGCTGCTTATAATAGCAACGATAGACAATTTATTTGAGATCCAATCAATTTGCAAGAAATGAATAAACAGCTTTTGGCAACTGGTCGCCCTTACTCTTACTCCCTTATTCCACTTTGTTAACTTAATTCATGATTTCAAGGGGTCTTTGGTAATTTTTTTATCAAGTTAGTGTGAATTTTGGCTTGTCCATGCAAAAATAGGTATACAAAGATTGCGCTTTAGTGTCAATGCGAACTGAATATCTTCAGTGACAATGGTCCTTCACCTCATGCCCCCACCCTTAAAAATTTTCACTCAGATCATCTTGAACTGAACATACCTGACAGATATTGACCTTCATCTTCCAAACCTTTTTGTGAAATTACCATCCATTTTCCATCTTTTAAATCCATCATTTTGAAAGAACTTCCATTCTTTAAAACCACAGGGGTAGGTAAAATGAGCTTACCGGGCCCTTTCAGATCAACTACGTTGTTCATATCAAAGCGTTTCTCTGGAGTGAAGGGATTAAAGTTGTCCAGTTCCGAACGTTTCCATTTCAAAGCTGAATCAAAACTACCAACAAATTTTAAACTTTCTCCCTTTGTGCTTTTAATAATTCTTGGCTGTAAACCAGGCGCAGTAATGTACCAGTTGGGCATGACGTCTGTCTTGGCAACTATTGAACCAAATGCGGTGAGATCGAGCTTTTTTTTCCCACTAGGAACCAAGTCCAAAAAGGTTTTAGTAGGTTTTATCACTTGCAGATACCCATTGACGTGTGAGACAGAAATCTCCTTTCGGCTCATTACAAGAGGATCTGCTCTGTTGCTCAGTATTCTAAGACAGCTAAAGTATATTGCCCAATTTCCAGAAGTGATGTTATGCCTGCCTTTATTGGTAAATTTCAGGCGAATGTGACATGCTCCTGCCTTATTGGAGAGAACGTCGAATTGGATATCCAGACAGGACGCTATGTCGTCTAAATACGCTTGATCCACTGCCGGGCAAATTACTGCAGAATATAAAAGTAACTTGAAAGTAACTGGAAAATTCATTTCCACTGGTAAGCTAACCAAGGTCTCTAACAAATGTGAGACAACTAGTGTTCTCCCCTGAGTGATTCCCAGTTGAAAGCAGAAAACGGTTTAGGAGTGTTGCCAAACTTTCGACTAAGCCGAGGCGCCATACAGAATTTTTTTGCAGACTACTCACGACACCTGCTATAATTCTGTGTAACAGTCTCAAACACTGAACGTTACATAACTACGCTTCCTTAAAGTGTCGGAAATCCTTTTCACTGACTACAAAAGGCTTTCCACTGTGCTTTAAAAATAGTGAAACTGCTGCGCTTCGTTGAGCAGCTCCAGAAGTTGCCATCCTATCGCAATAAAGAAACTATTATTGAATGATACTTTTTAATATTCTTTCCAGCAATTTTAAGCAACACTTGCCAAGTGATACTTTCAACTTAGCGTCAAACTATTTTCAACTTGAATAAAGGGGGTAAGTTTCTAAAGAAAATGGTGCTGCATCGGTGGGAGAGTATAACAGAGTAATAAGTATTATCAACTGAGTTGATAACTTAAATTGGTCACCGTAAAGAGTTTAAAGCTGATGTTTCAAGCGTTAGCCCTTGGCCGATCGCTCTGACGAAGGGCTAGCGCTCGAAACGCCAGCTTTCAAACTCTTTAGGGTGGCCAATTTACGTTATCAACTCAGTTCTTAACACTAAATTACTCAATTTTCAACTTGATTGGAACTAAAAAAGATCCAGAGATAAACCACCCAAAGAGGAACAAATATGGCAAAGGATTGAAAAACTTGCCACAAATTGTAACTGGTGAAATAGAGAAACCGTGAAGGCTTCACTTTATAAGGTATAGTAACTGTGACGAAGCTTCTCTAGAAACCATACAAATTAAAAAACAAAGGCACTGAGCTGGCCATGCAAGATCTTATACGTGAGATAATTATAGAAAAAAATCTTTTACGAAATCTAACGCTCCCTTTTTTGAACACTCGATCAACTTTTGACTATTATCTCAGCATTCGTTAATATTTGGTCCACACATTGATTTGTGTTGGTCAATAATACTAATATCAACCGAGAAAAAGTTAACCAAGCGTCAAATGCGGACCTGTTGTTATTCAACAGGTGCTACAGGACTGGATGTAGATGCAACCGTTCGAGTCCATCCCAGTAAGAGCTTCAAAGTGTTTCTTTGGGATTTTCTACAGTCTGGCTTCCGAGATTCCAGTCCGAAAACGCCTCCGATCTTGTCTACCGGGTAGCCCGCTATTTCAAACGAAAATACTGAGATATTCTAAGGGGGCGTGTGTTTCGATGAGAACCTGCAAACCCAACCAGCCCGTGCAAAGTGTAAGTGCAAACATGGCAGTGATAACTAAGCATATTAATGGAGGTCCTAGAGGTCAACGGAAAAGGCAAAACGGTAGGGCTGAATTCATGCTTTAGTCCTTGAAGACTTATGAGGAAACTATCCCAAGACGGCAAAGATTCACTTCGGTAAACGAATGATGCCATTTTTAAATTGTTAGAAGTCAAACAGCAGCGAAAGACTGACCTCTACAGGTAATGTTTGTTAAATATAAGAGGGAAAAAAAACTGTTATACAAGCAAGAACAGAAAGAAATACTGTCAGGATAATGTAGGGAATCTCTACTAACCTGGTGTTAAAATAAAATATGAGAACATGCCAGGAATAAAAAAAAGCCATTTCCTAAGCTTCGTTGTGAACATGATGCAACTGAGTTCCGACATCAGATTTTGAAAACTGTTTTCAGAGGCAGTTTTATTCGCGATGGTTTCTCCCGTTATCTGCTCCACAGCGCGATGTCAGACCGTTCTTGAACGGCAGTAACCTCGAATTTTTGCCTCCCGGCACACAATCTCTCGAGATCAGAGCTCCTTTGAGATTTTTTCCTTGATCTTTCGATTAAATTCCTCGGTGTATAAAATGGATGGATCTACAGCAAGATTCCTTCGAGGTAACAACCTCGGATATAGAAGACTCTAAAATTGATGAATCTTTAGTAGGTTGTTTCCCTATGTTTTCTTCCCTTGCTTTATATCTCATAAACAAAGGAGATCAGTAATTACCGAAATAATTGTGCCAGCTATGGTTAACGTCAAAATCATATCTGTACTTATACATTTATATTCAAACCTTTCATGGTGGATTTGTTTGCCTCAGCGTCAATACATTTATTGTTTTTGTTGCAGGGTGTATAATTTCCGGGTCAGTGATTCTAGTCAAGTAAAGACCTTTTTCAGGCTCCAGAGCTAAGTTGAAGTGCGACATGGTCGATGGAAAACAGCGGTTAAACGTTTGCGCATGCGCGAACGCTGTAATGGCGTGCCATGAGGATGTCAGAACCAAGTTACTTGACAAGAACAACATGCCTGGAGGCGTTGAAATGAGATGAGTTGCTCGTTTGGTTAGACGTGGAAAATAATAAATTTACTGTTGACACAGAATTAGCCCCCTAACCAGACATTCTGAAGGCCCGTCACTGGATATTGCAACACGGGATATTAAATGTGGTCACCCATCCAAGTATCAACCTTAGCCAAAAGGGCTTAAGTTCAATGAAAAGCGCAAGAGTGTGGGTAATTATCATGCAAGACTATGATGTGGACGAAGGTTGACGGAAATTTAGACGTAGTCTGCCTTTGGCATACTACTCACCGCTGACCTAGCGTCTTCTATTTACGAGTTAACAACGGTGTAAGGAAACGGGCATGCATAGTTCTTACCCAAGGCAAGGCTATTAAGCACAATGTTTTACACGGAATTCTCTTCTTCTGAGGCACAATGAAGTTATTTCCTGTAAAGTCAAAACTTTTCTTCAGATTCATGTGGCTTTTTTACATTGTTGCTTCACAAGGGTTTTTCGCTTGGTAAATTAGTTTCGCCTATATTTGCGTCAAAATTAATGTAGCATTTGCTTTGGTACTGTTAGACTACCTCATGCAATCAGTCTCTCTAAGTGCCGATATAATTCACTCCATATCGTTCTTCAGCCTTGCAGTCTCTCAGAAGGATATAAGCCAAGCAGAGGAAAGATGAAGACACTTTCAGTCTTATTTCAAATTTATTTCATTCAATGTAACCTTCGTTTCACTTTTTGATTTCAGTTTGCAAACTAATATTGCTTTCTTGTGTTCTGCTTCTTTCTAAGTTTGAATTTCCACGAGCCTACTCATCCGCCGCATATCCGCTGACCTGTTAACAAACCAAAAGATTAGGCTCATTACTTTAGATCACACACTCACTTTTTTTGAGCACTAACGAGAATCAATCCTGAGACTAAGAAAACAGACAATATTTTGAAAAAAAATTGTTTGAACTAGAAACGATGAGCATGTCATCAAAATGTGCTTCCTCTGCAAATCAAGTTTGGACTTCCCAGCGGTCGGGGTTAAGCGCTATCCTTGCAGAATTACGGCAGTAGACTACGACAGCACAGCAAGAAATCTCGCAGGTTGACGCGGAATTACCATTAAGAAGTGAAATTTACCCCTCCCTTCTCCAATGGTAGAACTGAACACATCGACCACACCTCTCAGACAATCATTACTCAGGGCACCGTGATGCGGCAAAAGGTAGACAGCGACTAAAATTGCTTTTGCTTTTTATTCAAATGGGATTAAATCTGTCTTTAACACTCAATCACCTGGTTCCCAATAGAAGGTGACCAGACAATGTCATCCCATCACCGACGTCGCTCCAAGATTTCCCTCCGTCAGCACTGTACTGGATCACAAGTCCAGGGATGGCGGAGTTGACCTCAATTTTTTGGTGTGCAACCCTGACAGAGAATATTCAAAGTCAGAGGTTGTAACTTACCTTTTGAAATTAATAAATTAATGAAGAGAGCTTCCGAATTGCCGAGCAAATAAAATTTTCTCAATGTATAAAGTTAAATGCTTCATTGTATCAAAGATTTCGAATGCTGAAAGCCAAAAGAATTACCTCGCACCAGGAGGAGGGATATGATAATCTATGTTCATTTTATCCAGACGTGAAAGTTCCTTGTGTCCCAAGCTGTTAGCAAATGCTTCCCATTCCATCCTCCTCACTCGATTCCGTTTCACCACGTCAGTTTCATCCTCGAAACAAGCCTTGTGCCAGGCTCTCTCAGCCAGTGCTAACAGTCTAGGATATATCATGGACTGGAGCTGAGTTGGAGTTCTGACAGTCTCTGACCAGAGCGCGCCAGCCATGCCTATAGAATTAAAAGAAATAAAACTACGTCACAGATAAAAGGGTAAGAGGCTTTATGCCTGATGTTCCATTATTATTGCCGGACCTTAAAACGCTCTCTCAGAATGAAGTAATACTGCAGAAATTGGTCATATTGTTGCTCCTCCTGGGGGAAACGCTCATTCCAACGTCCTCCACCTTAGCATTGCAAACTGTGAAATTTCTCTGAAAGTTTACTGTTAGCCGTGCATACTACGGGTCAGAGACAGAAGAAACTTTTTTGCCCAAGAGCAGAAAAGAAGGACACGTCCAGTGCGTGAACTAGTAGCCAATGGTCGAGCCTGGTACGTTAGCCACTAGACCACCGCATCTATCTCTCTCTCACTCTTACTGACCCTAAAAAAGCTTTCAAATGCGCATTTCTATACCTACTATATGATAAAAGTATCCCCATTTACCGGAAGGATTTCATTTCACTCAAGCAAGACAATATGTGACGTAATGAGGGGTGACGAGACCGTATGTGATCTGCTATGACGTAATATGGTTTAATCTGTTTGAGCTCACGTGATCCACAACTGAGATGAGTATTACCTGCTATATTTTGAGGTTTCTTTAAGGGAACACATTTTCCTTTGTACATCTCCTCACACAAGTTGATAATTGGATCTCCCATCCTTGTAAAGTCAGCATTAGCGTAAACATCATCCGGCATGAAACCAAATGTCTTTCGAGTGTCAATGAATCTGGGAGCCCAGTAATATCCCCTTTCCTCTGGATCAGGCTCGTATGGGTGATCAAAATACAAGTGGGTTGCCTGGGTCAACACAACCTGGAGAGTGGGAAAATGATGAACTCTAACTGAATAATTGCAATGGAAAAATACCAGGACACTTTTACTTGGTGTGGGTGTTGGCGAGTAATAGTGATATGGGAACCTCAAAATGCTGAGTGTATTACTTAGGGGAAGAATCGATCTAAGAGACTTAAATAACCTTCATAGACCTTCTTTAAATGTTAGCGCTTTTTGACTCACTTCAATAATATATTTAGGACGTTTTTTGTGCGATCAAAACTTTATTCTTAATTTATGACGTTTAAGTATGAAAGGGCATGATCAAGTGAAAATTGGTTTGAAAAGTAAATGATGTTTCCAAAATGCCTTGCATATGAGCGTGAAGTGACAAGAAATATCGCCACTCTCCCGGAAGAACTAGTCCTCTCATCATAGGTTGCGTCCCCGCCCCCCCTCCCCGCGCGCGATTTTTACCATGTTTCCCAGACAATTCGTAGGAAAAGGAACTTGGTTGAAAAGGATCGTGGTTTGTTCTTGTGAGATGTTGTGAAGTTGGGCATAAGCACGCAACATCTTACAAAATCTAGAACGTTGCAACCAAAATATGACCATTTTCAAACTTGATCCAACACCATCCAACATCTCAGCAACATGAGGGGCCAAACGTATGCAACAAGTTGTACGCAACAATGTTGCAAGATGTTGCGTTATAATGTTGCGCACGTTTTGCCGGGTCTTAGGGTTTTCTTGCTAAAAAGAGACAAATCCTGCCTTGTAATCAGCATTGGCCAGCTTATAAGCTCGATCTCCTTGACCCCATTCCCACACATTATCCCAAGCATAGGCGTACACGTTCCTGTTCTTCATGTAGCCCGATCATAAGGGGTGTCTTTCACTCCCAGAACTCCGTCTTCCCAAGCACCAAGATCAAGACAGTATTTTGAGCTCACATCAGCCACTCGTCGAACGAAGTACTCTTTCAAGTCTTTTACAATGGTGGGACTCGTAAAGTTTAACCCCAGCTTATGGGCAAGTTGTTTGCAGGCGGGAGACTGTGTCCAGGCGCCATGTGCCACCTCGTCGCCACCGAAGTGGAAGACCTCGATACCAAAAAGGTGACGATAACGTATAAAGAAAAGACACTCTACCTACCAACCTTAAATAAGCGGCTGCTCAAGATAGGTGGTCGCTTAAGAGAATTGGGGTTTTAAGGGGATATTGGCACATAAATCTAAACGCTTTGCCAAAACAAGGGCGTGATCGATAAGTCACTACCCACTCACCCAGAAGTAAGGTAGCATTTTGTGAAGAAGTTACCTACAGAAGCCCAAATTGTTTAACAAAATGCAGCGTGAAGTTGACGCTAAAATTGGGCGTAGTCGCTTACAAGAGGTTCCTACTATGATGATTACACAGGTAAAGTTTTTTTAGTATGAAGAAGCACCCCTATTCCCCTCTCCCGAAGAGTTACCTTGAGTGGCTGAATGTCCTGATGCATGTGCCTCACACTGACCACAATGTGCTCAAGGAACTCGTACGTGGATTCCAGACATGGATTGATAGCATTGTCTGTAAAGAATTGCACAGAAAGGTACTTTGACGTGTCGAGAGGATCTGACAAAAGGTACTGATCTGCTTCAAACGAGTTCCCCATGGCAGCCTGTTTCTTCTGTCTGGCATGCATAGCCTTAATTGCGGCATGGCCATGACCAGGCATGTCAAATTCTGGGATGACCTCCACATGCCTCTCTTCTGCATATTTTAATATCTCGCGGTAGTCGTTCACGGTGTAAAAGCCTGTGCCAGAGTTACCAGTACCTGGACCGGAACCGAGCTGAGATCCAAGACATTTTTCTTCTTGGGGATCATGGCACCGTCTTGATCCAATCTTTAAAAGAAATATTACAGCTTCAACTGATGTTCATATCAGCTAATGTAAATGTATTCTGATCATGGTTTAAAGGTGACTATGCCATGAAAACTAAAGTTAAATTTTGAAAGCAAAGTGAAAAAAATTATCAACTGTTCAGCAAAACTTTTGAAATTGTTTCATTGCAAACTCTGTCAGATCTACTTCACGGATGAAATGGGGAGTCTCCATACGAAATCAACTCGCAAATCTATCTCTAGTTTGTCTTATAATCTGCTCTCTAAATGTCGCAAGGTCTTTCTCACAAACCTCAGTAAGTTCAGGCAATCCTGGAATTTCAAGTCTCCATCCTTCATCGTCAGTGAGATGAAAGTGGAATTTATTTAGTTTATACATTGCCATGGCGTCGATCATCTTTAGAACCTCGCCCTTAGGCATAAAGTTTCGCCCAACGTCAAGTTCCATACCGCGATACTCGTATCGCGGTGCATCGTTTATAGCCACGTGCGGTACCAGGCCATCGGGCTCATTCAGGCTGAGTAGGGACTGAATTCCATAAAAGACTCCTGTTGGTGAATTACCAATGATTGATATGCAGTGCTTACTGGAGTCGACCTTTAAGCTGTAGGCTTCTTTGCTATCGGATCTTACACCACCGATTTGAACTTCACCCATCTTTAACTCCAACTTTCGAAACGAGTTCAAATAATCCATTTGAATACCAAGTTCACCTGTAGAAGGTAATGCGCATTTAACACTAGACTTAAAAAACAGTTTGTGATTTTTTTAAAGTTTGAAGTTTAAGGTGTATAAAATGAAGCATTAAGTAAACAATTTAGGTGGCTTGCCATCTTTCACTTCTTGAAGTTTAGAGTAAAAAAACATATACACTACCTGCTAAGAAACTGGCCTCCTGCTTCAAATCCGCACCAGCCACAATCGACCAGTCACCAGTCCTTAGGTTAATCTTTTTCGACTCATCAAGGCCGAGAATTTCCTGTGGACTGGGAATGATTAACTGTCCAGGCTTTTTCAAATTATTAATATCGTTGATGGTGTATCGCTTCTGTGGTGTGTATGGGTCGTACTTGTCAGATGGAATCCGTTTCCATTTTTTCGGCGAGTCAAACGGACCGACAAAAGATAAATCTTCGCCGGAAGTACTGGTAATTGTGCGGGCCTGCAATCCTTCAGCGGCGATATACCAGTTCGGCATAACATCCGTTCGAGCTACATTCCAGTTCTCTGCGTCAAAATCCACCATCAAGGACTGGAAACCAGCCAAGCCTGAGAAACTAGCAGTAGGCTCAAACTTGTGTTGACAGCCATTTATATGTGTTACTTTGATGCCATGGCTACCGGGGATGACGTACCCACTTGGATTGTGCTTTGTGTGGGCTGGCTCGATTACCCGGATGTGGCAGAGATAAATGGCCCATGGTCCATTGGGAATCGCTTCTGAGCCTGAATTTTCCAGGGTCATGCGGACGCGGTATGACTTCCATGTATCCTGAAAGTTATCAAGGACGTCATAGCGAATGCCGAGGTTGGCTGCGATGTAATCCAGCGTCGCTTGCTCCAAGTTTTGGCAGAGGGCTAGCAATGACCAAAATGATAGCATAAGCCTTTTTTTCCTCTCTTAAATACTGAAACTGTCACTGAATTAAATAAAAAGAGAGTAAAACTCTTACTAGACCCGGCGTGCAACGTCTCAGAAGGACGGTGCTTGAATAATAAGTACCCGCTATGCTCAACCCTTTTTATCTAAATACTTTAAGCTTAGTTGTCGCGATTCATGAATGCTTTTTTTTAGCGTAAAAGTTATGCGGTGACCATGAAAAAGTCATAGAAATCTTTCGTGAAAAGGTTCCGAACTAAACGAAGGACCACACCTACACATAGTGGAAAATAAACAGTAGAACGGTTGTTCATGAGTGGCTCATGATCATGCGTAGCCCAAATTAAAAACAATAATCTTTCAATGTAGTTAGGGAAACCAAAAAGAAAATTCCAACCTTGTACTATTAATCCCAGTAAAACAGCAACGGCAAAATGTCTCTTTCTAGTTTCCATGTTATCTCACCAAAGAGTTCGAGGACTAAGGACGTTGAAGACGATGCCCTTCTTGTAATGTGGGCCGTGGGCAAATTTACACCTGGAGTTACGCTTTAACATGTCGCTTTTGCCTTTATAAGCTGAGTAAACTGACAAACACAAGGGCATCGATTGGTTTCTCCAATAAGGGGGAGGGAGTGGGAGTCCAAAATTAGCTTTAGAGACGTTTGACAGGTTATTTTGTATTCAAACATTATCACTTCTTCGAGACAAAGAAGGATATCACATGCAGTCATGCGGTCTAAGACTAGAAGTCCCCCCCCCTTATCCACGCCCTTGATACATGTGTCATCGTTGCAATATCTTCTCACTTGTCACTGTACATCGACAACATCTAAATTCTATGATCTTTTGCAGTTTTTTGCACCAATGACATAGCAGAATTCCATACATTATTTATCGATGTCCAAGCGACGGTTTTGAGGTCTGATTAAACAAAGATCGTGAGATAGATTATTGACCTATAGTTCTTATGGAGAACTTTTCAAATACGCTTAACAAAATTGATGGTGCTGTACACTTTACTGTGATATGAAAACCAACACATTGTAGTAGAATTTGATACTCACTGTAAAAGAGAGCTTGTAACAATATCTCATCTGGGCGGCTGTGTTTTCTTTTGTCCGGAAAAATACCTCTGTTGACAATGTCCTTTTTTTAGAATGGTAATGTCACTTTGTGTATTTACAGGCGAAGGGGAAGATTTTCACAGCAAGTCATCTTGTTAACACAACCAAACAGATGAACAAAGTGGCCAGCTTTCTTCGAATTTGGCATTTTAGAATCATTCTTATCGGCCCTGGGGAGGTGATGTCTCAAATCTTCTCTGGGTCCTCAATTTTCTGTCTTTGTTCTAAGCTTTGAATAAATAAAGCTTTAAAACTATTTCTTTTTCAATACGGGAGTCTTGAAGGAGGGTATACATTTCATCACAAAATTTTGTGAGGTAAAATAGATTGAAAATCTAAATAATGGTCAAGGTGTGACAGAACTTACAAAAAAGATAGGTAACCATTTTAATTTTGACAACAATACTACACATTTTTTCGTGTGGGGTTAAATTTTGAGAGAAAGGTCGGCCGAGGCAATGAGCGATTAGCTGTGTGTGAGGAGACCGAGTGTAGAGTTGGTCGCTACGTTGCCGAAGAGGAGTGGGGACGAAAATCCGTCGAGAATAACCGGTCGGTATATGTATCTCTGCCGAAAGGCCCTGAATATAAGTCGAGGTCTGCCATAAAGGACAGGCATTTCTGTTGTGGTCACATGCTATATCCAGCGGTAGATCGCCAAAATTCTGTACCGTATAAGCGATGCTTTCCAGCCCTTAACGACACTCTCGTCGATGAGAATAACAACATCTTGTAGCCGTAGGGAACAGACTATGGATCATGGCCATAGCACATTAATATGAGAATACTTGTTGAGACGATTTGTTGCTTTTTTAGGCTTCAGCGAAATTCAACTCAGAAAAGAAAAAAAAAACACTACTTGAGTTTGGAACATCCTTATTAGTTACTTAACGACAACCTTAAGCGTCCCCATTAGACAAGTACTCATTTAACAAAATCCTTTTTACGCTTAAAGTCTAAACTGAAGCACCATACAACGTTTGGTCCCTACTTCAACTGTATGAAACTCGAATTATATAATACAACGTATGTAACGATTACCCAAACAAATTTCTTTTTGAGAAAGATGTTTTTCGTCTTTTCACGAGCGTGGAACAAAGAAATAATTCCGAGTACCCACAAGGAATTGAACTACAGACCTTCCGGAGGATTCCGCGCTCCGACGCTCTACCACTGAGCCACAGAGACTCCACAGTGAGCGAGGTCTATTACGAAGTTCATATGACACGCGTCCTGCATACTGCTAGGATCAGCAGTGTTGATAGCGTAATTTTTGCAGATAGAATTAAGAGAGATGGTAAGTTTTGAGCTCGATAAAGAAATAGAGAAAGATGCTGCATTTTATAATTTCTGTTTAAAACTAATCTGCAAGGGCCTGTTTTACTGGATTTCCCTTAAGGTATTATTCTTGTTAGTCAAACGTTTAAGGTAAGTCCTCTCAGGTAGGTTGAGAAGGGTATAAATTTCTCAACACTAATTGGAAGCATGCGCGGGGGCTCATGCTTCTAAACATGCAGTGATTATTTTGGAGCATGCGCCTTGACGATTGCCAAATTTTACTAATAATTTGAGCCGCAACGTTTGCGCGCGTGAGTTATCGTAAACCACATATGGACTGTTTTTTATAACAGTTTGTTTTGCCTCATATCATTATGATCAAACCGAGATCATATAAGTATCTGGTTAGCATTATGGTACTAAATAAGTTTAGAGCCTGAAAACCGCACTTTATTTGCTTCTAAACTGTAAGCAGTGCATAACGACATGCGTGGATCCGGAGCAAACAGGAGGATTCATTTTCTATGGTGTAAAACTCTGCTGATATTCATCTTTGTTTTGAACGTGGCTCTGTTCGTCATGTTCAACGGCCTTTTTCTTCACTACAGTGACCCGTTAGGTGAGTGTGCCACAGTCAAAATGTTTAGCAGTGATTGAAGTAAACAGCGAAGTAATTTGAACATACGTTTAAAAGAAGTGATACCCCGAAGCACTTGAACTCTACAATGGTAAATATTTCAGCTATGCCTGAGCCTTCCCCGTTTATAATGGTGTGATATTTTACAAAATTTTGAAAAGCATCCCTCGAGTGAGTAAAATTTGAATGAAAAGGTGTAGTTTTGATCTCGTTTCAGGCGCATCTTTGTTGACGATTCATGTTAATTAGCATGACGATTCATCGTCTGTGAGATCACAAAGAGTCATTTCTGAATCGATTCCATTGACACAACCAGCATTTTCCGAACATTTCTCCTTAATAATATCTGTCTTTTTCGGCAAAACGATTTTGAAGACTTTAAACTCTATAAAGAGGGTATCTTCGTTAAATTATCAGTCGCTTTTAACGTCCAAACATTTTTTATTTCCCCATGGTCTGACATTTTCCCGGGAATTCCACACAACATCTTCGATACAGTCATATTTCGTCCACAATATCTTGAGAATCAGTGAATTATTTAAATAAAACAGTGAACTTTAAAAAAATTTTCCATTTTTTTATTCAAAACAAGGAAGACATTTTGCCTGTGAAGATGGAAAGCCCTCAACAAACAATGCATACTTAAGGGAATGAAAGCGTTGCCATTGGTTATCAGACCGAACAAAGTACTCTCCACGATTCCGTAACGAGAATCGATGTAATGAAACCAACAGAGAATAATAATGTATTGTTCATTTACGATTGTTCTACATTGATCAGTTGATGTTTGATTAATTTTCTTTCATTAGTTTTTTCCGTTTCGTTTGGCCTTGAATCGTTTTTCTGAACGCAAAACAGTAAAAACCAGAGTAAGAGAACTTAGTTTAAGTAGTGTAAGTCTTTATCAAACTACAAATTAAACATTTTGTTAAACGGTGAGCACGTGCAGATTGCACTCATTTTAACATCATCTTTTTTTACAGATAGCGATTCTACCAATTTTAAATTTCAAGTTTTAGAAAGCGAAAAGTCCTATGAAAATCCTTATTCAGAAGAGACTGAAGAGAATCCGGTGTTAAGCATAGATAAAATCACACTTCCAGATCAGAAAGAAAATGAAAACTTCCTCATTGATGACGAAGATTATAAAGATGACAACGAAGACGATGATGAAAACGGCGACGGCAATGACAGTCAAATCGACGACGACCAGCGTACTGAAGAAAATGAGTATTACGAGGGTGATAATCATAAAGAAATAAAAGAAGAACAGCAGCAGATAACAGGAGAGAAAGAATTCGAAGACACTGCGACTGTCTCATATGGTACTCCGCAAATTAAGTTTCCCGCACAAAAGGAAGTAGAGGGAGAAGGCGAAGGAGTAGAGGAAGGAGAGGAAAAAGAAGAAGGCAAAGAAAAGAAAGAGAATGAAAATAAAGAACACACAACGTTTGTTCCACATAATACTCAGAAAATGAACCTTAGCGGTGAACTAAGCTTTTCACTTGACCAAAACGTGACAATTCCTTCGCACTCCCTCACCGTTGGAAATTTTTCTCAACCAACGAAGAAGCCTTCAATCAATATTCCACTAAATGCAGAAACTACTACAACAGAGAAGGACAAGCCACCTGTGGACAAACTTGCTTTTGTTGCAGCCGAGCCAATTACTCAAGAAGTCTTGGACAGAATAGCAGAAGATATGGAAGTCCGTTTTGAAGTGTTGGAGGATATAAGAAAAGCGAAAGTAGCTTTACGAAATCAAGGAATGAAAGCAATTGATGGAAATCGATGGTCTGTTCATTTTTGTGTAACAACTGGAATGGAACATGCCCATCTTGTGCGCAGGCCGGAAGGGTACGTCCTCCCGAATCAAACGTCAATAAAACTCACGCATTTTAATGGATGTGCTTATAAGTTAGAACCCACAAAGGACTTCAAGCCTATTCTTCCTGGGAACTCGCTAGAATTTTGGGTGAACATCGGGCCAACGATTGCTCGGAGTGACTTGGGACCTCGATGGTACGTTGCTGCAGAAGGGTTGCAACCAAGGGTCATTTCCAATACTGCTGATGAGAGTCTGGACTTTGTGTTCCTTTCAAAAAGAAAAAGATCCTGGGATAGGTTTGGACATAATGATGTGGAAGATCTTGGAACAGCACCTCTTTTGGTGATTCCAACGCCTTTAGAGATTTTAGGATTGAACGTATCCAGGAAGATTCACATTGATAGCGAATGGGTCGTGGTTGGAGAGCTTGGGTTAGAAAATGAGGCAAAGTTCGTTGCAGGTGATACACGATTTTACTGTCTGACGAGCGTGTTAAGTTTTTTATAGCTTTTTTTCAGTAGAAACTCTAAAATACCAAATAGATAAAAAGGGACAAAAGGCTAGTTACAAAAGAGACCAGATCTCCATCGGTTCACAATTTGCCTCTTCAATTCCTCATATTCAGGTTGTGTAGGGAAAACTTGCGGTATCATATAAAGCTCAGCATATTTCAAAAGTATGTCCAGTCAGAGGAAAGTTTTTCAAAGTTTTTAACCTCGTTTGATCCTACATGTAAAATACTTACAGTTGTTTATATCTCTTAGGTTAGGCCTAAAACTTAAATAACTATGTTTAACTTAGCTTGTTAAGCCTAAATTAATCCACGATCCGATTCATTACTCTATACAGATAAGCTACAATTGCAAAAGTTTTTGTCTCAAACAAATGACAGAAGAGTTATCGAGCTCAGGCTTGATGAGACACAACTCGAAACGACAAAGGATGGGGGAACAAAGTTGAACCAGTCTTCCAGTGAAGCATACCAGCTGACTGTGGATGCTACTGAGGAGTTAATCACCATCACAGGAACTGGAAATGTTGGTGTGTTCTATGGTATCCAGACTCTTCTCGCTCTTATGGATGACCAAGGCTTGGTTCCCCAGGTCTCAATAAGAGATTCACCTCGTTTTCCGTACCGAGGGTTGATGGTCGACGTTGCTCGCAATTTTCAACCAAAGCAGGAAATTATGAAGCTTTTGGACGTCATGGCGATGTACAAAATGAACAAACTTCATTTTCATCTCTCAGATAATGAAGGGTGGAGACTGGAAATACCAGGAATAGAGGAGTTGACTTTGGTGAGGGACTGGTCCTTATCTATCGAATGGGAGAGGGGGGAAGGGGATCAAAATAATACATTTTGCCTGATCCCCCCTAAGGCTCTGTAGTATTCTAATGATCCCCCCTCATTACCAGTTAATTTTCCTTTATCCCCCTTTATACTCTGTTAGGAACAACTGATCCCCTCTCTGTCCCCCTTGAAAATTATTTGATCTCTACCAAAAACTTGAAACATCCCCCCCCCCCAACCACCACCACCGGCGATGGAAAACTTACTCATCCTGTGGTCTTTCTTAAAACGACTTAAAATGTGTAATTGCCTATCGAAATTGTGGATTTTCCCCACAATTGAAGCAGCTCTTTTACGATTGTTTACGTAAATTGATGTCCAAGATGGTGTGAACCTTCATCTACGGGTACTGGAGTAAGTTCTAAAAGCCATGGGATTCAGTCTAGTATGCAGACTTTCCCTTAGTTTAGAAAAATTCAGGACAAGGATTAACTTCAATTTTTTTTACTCTGAGGTTGGTGGTAAAAGATGTTACGACGAGAAAGAAAAGACTTGTATTTTATCTCAACTCGGTTCAGGCCCCGACACCACCACCTCGGGAACTGGGCACTACTCTACCGAAGACTATCGGGAAATTCTCCGTCACGCGACACAACTTCACATTCAAGTGATTCCAGAGTTCGACTTTCCAGGTCACAGTCACGCAGCTATCAAAAGCATGATATCTCGGCATGACAGACTGCTACATGAAGGGAAGGAGAAAGATGCGACGATGTATCTCCTCAACGATTTCAGAGATGAGTCCCGGTATTTTTCGGTGCAAGCGTTCACCGACGAAACCGCTTCTGTTTGTTTGAACTCAACATACGACCTAATGGAGTACGTCCTACATATGATAACGACCTTGCACAGCGATATTCAACCGCTGACCGTGTTTCACTTTGGAGGAGATGAGGTTCCTGGCGGGGCGTGGCAGAAATCACCAGAGTGTGAAAAACTAGCTAAGATTTTAAACATTGGATATCGTACCCCTCAGACGCACAAGCTGTTAAAGGCATACTTCTTGAAGCGTATTTCGAATATCACGGCAAAAAAGGGTATTAATTTGGCTGGCTGGGGAGATTACCTATTTGAGCATACTACACGTACGGTATTACCACGGGAATTTTTCTTAAATAAGGAAGTATACTCGTTTGCATGGAGCACAACTGGAGCTTCAAGAAATAATCACGAAGTGTCTTTAATGGCTAATCACGGATATAAGGTGACTGCTTTTAACTGTTTTTCCAACTGTATTCTTGCAATGTTTTGAGAACTCATAGTCGGAGCTTTTTTTTATAGAATGGGGTTCAATAAAACCAAGTGGGAGACGTTGCTCGACGGATCGAGGATTAAAAAATTCGTATTGGCTGAGGCGATTGGCTCTCGTCTGAGAGGTCTGGGCTTCAGCTCTTGCAGGTCACTGTGCTGCGCTGTTGAATGAGACACTCCCGTTTTACAGTGCCACGCCTCGACCAGGAGTGTCAACTGTCAGGGATACTTAACAAAATCCAGGGGGAGGAGGGGTGTGACAAAAAGATCCTCAAAGGTTTTTCCTATAAGGAATCACTTAAAATGCAGAAAAAAAGCAGTATGAAGGACTTCAGAAAGTCTTAAACTGGATTGGTTTTTATTTAGTATAACCACGAAATTCTTTATTTGATGTTCTAGATATTCCTTTTCGTGAAGCTCTAAAATTTGTCCCATCTCAAGATGCAGTTTGCTAAGTCCAGTCTCAGCATGTTCATGGAGGCACATGTTCACTCCTAGACTCGACATCATTTTTCGGGCTTTAATTTCCCGCTTTCTTTAACTGCATCTCACATGTTACGACTAATCATCATTCATCATCCACAGATCAGATATAGCTAATCCAATGTATTATTGGTACATTTCAGGTTGTGCTCTCAAACCCTGATTACATCTATCTTGATCATCCTTACGAACCCAACCAGGACGAAAGAGGGAAGTACTGGGCAACCCCCTATTCAGACACTCGCAAAATATTCAACTACATGCCAGATAGCCTCTATGAAGACATCGATCACATAAAAAACTGTACTAACTTAAAGGGTTGCGTGGACGGACGAAGAAATGTCTTAGGTAGGAGGGCTTATGTTCAATCGCTAACTCAGTTCTAGACTCAAACATATTAAATCATTCTCCGTGTTTATCCCATAGGTGTCGAGGCAGCAGTCTGGGGCGAGACAATAAGAACCCCTGATCACATGTTCCGCATGTTGTTCCCACGTCTTCTTGCGTTGGCGGAACGGGCTTGGCACAAAGCACCATGGGAAACGATAGGCGACAGGAAGGCACAAGATCGTGAAAGGACTGGCGACTGGGTGAAGTTTGCGAACACTCTTGGTTATAGAGAGCTGGGTCGGCTCGACAAAATGAACGTTAAATACCACTTAACACCACCAGGAGCAAGGTAGGAATAGACTTTGGCTAAGCAAAACCCGAGAGAAGATTAATCTCTGTTACTGAGTCTTCTACATCGGGAGTGGATCCAGAGAAAGGGTACCGAATTCAAGACCACCCGCTCCTTTCGCCATCAGAACTGTGTTTTTTTTAACTTGTCTGACACAAAAATTATTCCAACGGGGGGATAGTCGACATGCGTCTTTGAGTGGTACTTTTTAATGGTCTGACAAGTAATAACGAGTAAAGGGGGGCCCATGTAGGAGGGGGGAGGGGGGACGGGCATGGATTGGCCAAGATGCAATTTTCTACTCAAAAAGGTATTGTTGTCTGAATCAACGTTTAGACCCCTCCAATTAAAACTCGCTTGACCCGTCCCTGCACATGGGTCTTATACGAGAGTAAATCCCTTGTTGCGCTTTTGTTGGATAACTTCAGAAATCGCGGATCTTAAGAAGATCTGAAATTTTATATTTTCGACGATTACATTAATGACTCGTTGACTTGAAAAAAGCTTTTCTCGTACATCCACAACTTGACAATCATTAGCTATCGTGGTAATGAATACGCAGTACTTGTAATATCAGTGGAAACTCATTAACAGGAGATTTATCATCAATAATAAGGCAGCTAGATGATGTCAAGTGACCCACTCTAGATTTGTAGATAAGAAACTTGAAGTCAGAGCTATGCTGCCAGGTCTACGTGTTGAGTATTCTACAGACGATGGAGTCACGTGGAATGACGTCGCACTTGAAACTGAGGTTGACAGGAGAGTTAAGTTGAGGACAAGGTATGAATTTTTTCTCTGAAGAAACCGCTAGTATACTGCTTGGTATCATCCGAAAAGAATGGCAATATTAGTGTCCAATACATATCAACAGATACCGAATTTAACGAAAAGAGCCGAATGTGAACAACTTGTGCAAATCATGATATTTAGGTATCCTGCTTGAAAAGTGCTTGCATGCCTTTGTTGGAACATACACCTTAATCAAAATTCAGGAGAACTATGCGTGTATCTTGGTCCGAAAATAACGATCAATATTTTTTACGTGGAAACACGTGTAATGAAGTGTCCTTCTTTTGATCGCACACTTTGGAACGAGCTTGAAAACAAAGTTTATTTACCAAGGAGAGAATTTAAGGATCACTCGGTTTTTCTGTCTTTCAGATCACCTGACAACAAAACCGTCAGCAGAGAAATTGAGTTTGAACCACCGACACTAACAACGAAAGTAGAAACTGTAATCAAGCCGAGACCTGAGAGTAAACGAGAGCAAGAAACAGAAAACAATCACATAAACGTGAATGATAACGATACTAGTGACAGCGATAACGACGAAAGCAACAATTCCAGCAAGGACATTGGAGATATTAGGGAAAAAGATAGCGATAATGAAAAAGCTAACTTGAACACCGACAGCATCGACAACGGTAAAGATAACCATAACAATAACGATGATAATAACAGTGATGACAATGACCAGACAGACGAAGGCAAGGAAACACAGAATACATAACAGCACTGGGATTAAATACATTTTTTATAGGTTTATTGTATTAATTTTGTCATAACCTTAAATGTTATTCGCTCCTTTGTTTCGAAATTATTAGTCAACCGATAAAGTTTCACGCCTTGTTTCATTCAAGATTGAGATATGATACTTCTGAAATTCAAATAATCTAGCATTCAATTAATCACTGGAACATCTGGGGAAAATATTTATTTCTAATAAATGAGAGTTGATAACTTTCCATAAAAACGCACACCAAATGTTTGATGCAGTGGGCGTAATTAGTCTATAAAAAACTGTTGAGTTGATTGTCACAAGAAGAATTTTCTGACATACTCTGATTATTCTTTTCCTGCGGATGGGATGAGGCAGAAGTTGATCTCGACGACTACTTCCACATCCAAAATAGCACAATTACGGTAACGCCAACAAGAATGGAAAGATGCGAAGTCACGAAATGAGAACAGTTCACAGGATTTGGAAAATTTATCAGAACTGTTCTGCTATGATGTCGGCCGTCCACGGAACTACAAGTATCAAACAAGAGCATTGAAAACATGATCAAAATTAATTATTTGCTTAACTTCGATAACATAAAGGTGATGAGAGGCAAAGTAAGATGGAAATTTATGTCCCAGCTGAGAACAAAAACAACCAGCAACATCCTCCCGGAAATTTAGAATACGTTTTACGTTATGCAGCCGTTTTTCCATAGCCTTCAATTTCGAAAGAGGAGAGGGGAGGGTAATTAATACCAAGAACAAAACTGAAAGAGGATTCTAAGATAAGTGTAAACTTCCTCCCCCTCCTTACTGTCAAAATCCCCCACCCCTGAAGGCTCCATTATCCCATCTGTATGTCATATCAACATCAGCAAGATGAAATCTCACCTTGTTCGTAGATAAATTTTTCCTCCTAATTTGGAAACATCTTCAACATTTTTCCACGATTCACCATCAACTGAATACTGGAATTTAAGTCCTGGAAATGCATTTGTGATTTCCACTTTGCCGTCGTCAACGCTATAGCAAGAGTTAAGGAAAAACTCAGTTTATAATTCTAAATCTCATTGCTTTTCACATCTTCTAATACAATAATCTATGAAAACCTAATATTGCTTAGCGCTAGGAACTCTTTCTGGAAAATTTCAATGATAATATCTCCTCAGCCCTCTACCAGTACCACGCATGGAGCGAGAAGTACCTATATGCTCGACAAGAATAGCCTCGCACACAGACCTTTCACAGTTACACGGACCTCAAACTCACTCCCATCAAATTATGTTGGCATGGATTCTCTACTAACCGTACTCCAGGCGGTTTCACGTGATAAGCCACCCCCATCTTGTCAAGTCGACCCAGTTCCCTGTACCCGACTTTGTTGGCAAACTCTTTCCAGTTCTCCTTCCTTTTGGCATCTCTCTCCTTTTTGTCAGCGATCCTTTCCCATGATGCTTTATGCCAAGCACGTTCCGCCAGTGCCAACAAACGAGGAAATATCATGGAGTACATTTGGCCGGAGGTTCTTACTGTTTCTGTCCACAGATGGCCTTGCATTCCTAAATTCATACAACAACAAAAATAGATCCACATTGGAAAAAAAGAATAAATCTTGAGTAATGTTTACTCTTATTATTGAAACTCTTCAAGTCGCAGGAAGAATCTCGAAAGTTCAAACTTACCTACAATATTATCTTTTTTCTTCAAGTCTGGACAATCGGTAGTATTCTCACACACTTCCTCTTTGGTCAGCGGTTCACCGCTACGCTTAGTTTCTATATTCCCATATAAGTCATCCGGAAGAAAACCAAACGTTTTTTGAGTGTCCGTGAAGCGCGTCGCCCAGTAGAATCCACGCTCTTCCGGGTCAGGTTCGTAAGGGTGGTCAAAATACAAGTGAGTAGCCTGGGACATGATCACCTACAAAATTGAATAATCAACAGTTGCAAATAGAAGAGCGATGAAGAAAATTTGGCTTTCCTCTTAGCCCAGGTTCAAGGGAAAGATCAACTCCACGGATAAAGTTTAGGGACACTAAATCAAAATGCGCTGATGATGAATCCCAAAGGAGGGTCCTGAGAGTCCAGGCTCTCCCTTCACCCTCTCATCAGAACTGTGTGTTTCTTCACTGCTTGGCTGGCACCAAAATTCACGCAACGACAGGATCGCATATAACGACTGCAACTGGGGTGTTTAAATGCGAATGAAGGAAATGGGGGGGGGGGGAATAATCGAGTTTGGGGTATCCCCTGTCATTATATCACTTTACCTGATAACCCGCATTTGCTAGTTCATACGCTCGTTTACCACTTCCCCACTCCCAAATATTGTTCCATGTGTAGCCATACACTCGATTGTTCTTTATCAACCTCCTATCGTACGGCTCATTTTGATGGCTCATCAGGCCATCTTCCCATCCCGCAAGATCAAGGTTGTGATCGGCAGTTATATTGGAGACGCGCTGAACAAAATATTCTTTCAACTTGTCCACCATTTTACCTCCAGATTTGGCGAGTCCCAGGCTCTGCACAAGTTTCTCACACTGGGTGGAATTGGTCCAAGCCCCATGTGCCACCTCGTCTCCGCCGAAGTGGAAAATGGTCAGCGGTTGTGTATCGTAATGAATGCCAACGACAGCTTTAACTAGATCGGATACAAAAGTGTACGTGGACTCCATGCAGGGATTAATGGCATCGCCTGTATAATGTTGTATGGAAAGATATTGCGATGTGTCATTCATGTCGTATAGGAGATATTTTTCGGCTCCTGCCTTATCTCCCTGGGCTGATAATCTGTGATATCGTGCCTCCATTGCTTTAATGGCGGCATTCCCGTGCCCTGGCATATCAAATTCGGGGATGACCTGAATGTGTCGAGCTTTTGCGTATTCAAGTATCTCTTTGTAGTCGTTGACCCTATAGTGGCCTGATCCCGAATTGGACGAGTCGGGACCTGAGCCGAGTTGCGGTAAGATGCACTGGGTACCTTGCAAATCAAAACAACGCTGACCTCCCACCTGAAAAAACAACACAAAAAGTTGATAAAAAACTAGCTATAATACATTTACATTCTGGTTTTTAATCGGTTTATGGCCATACCAGCTAATCTCATATGCAGCGGACTTTTTCACTGAAATAAACATGGCACTATTTTAATGTATGTAGCAGATTTTTAAGATATTTCTAAAGGGGTGTTTTTAACCAGGAAATTATTCCAAGTGACCAAGAAAGTTGGAACTCCACCTGAATAGGATACCAATCCCTCGCAGGTTAACACCGAGTATTTTGGTCCTCAGGGCTTCTCTGAAAGTTTGCCAGGATTCATTTAACCTCCTGAGCAAAGAGAGGAACCATGACATTCCCTTGTGTTGCCCACGAATACAAATCAGTTACTCGTGCTAGACTCGAGACAGCAAGATACAATTAAATCGTCCCCCTTCCCCTTTCCTCCCGCCCAGATGCAAGAAGGTGTAGGCTGTCACTAAAAGCTTCATCGCACATTTATCTTTCACCTCTGTAAGTTCGGGGAATCCAGGAATCTCCAGTCTCCATCCTTCATCATCAGTGAGATGGAAATGAAACTTGTTAAGTTTGTACATCGCCATGGTGTCCAATAACTTGAGCACGTGATCCTTAGCTACAAAATTACGGCCCACATCCAAGTGTAAACCGCGATAAGAATACCTTGGTGCATCCTTAATGGACACTTTAGGGACCCTGCCTTTTGAGTTCCTTAACGCCAAAAGGGTCTGCACGCCATAGAATACACCCGCTGGGCCCTTGCCTGTGATGGCGATGAGTTCCTTAGAAGAGTCTACTTCGAGACTGTACGACTCATCTGGGCTTGGAAACTGCTGACCGTCTTTTGCAGGCACAGAAACATCTCCTTTGAGGAGTTTGATAGCTTTAGTGTCTCTTGGTGTAGAAGTTGAGACCTTGAGACCGAGCTTGTCTTCAAAAACAAACAAACAAACAAACAAACTAAAAAATAATGAAATTTATGAAAGGTTCTCATTTATAGGTTCTCGAAATTATAGAAAATTGCAACGAAAGATTCTTGAAAGTTGAGCAATACTAACAAAAATTTCAACCACGATCACTCACATTTGCCTAAGTCTTTCCACGTCTCGAGAAATAGTTTGAAATTTTACTTCTTTCTCAAGAATTCAAGACTCTGCGACCCTGAATACCATACCTTTCAGAGGGGCAGCTTCGTTCTCTAGACCTGCTTGAATGTACACTGTCCATTGTGACGTAATAGTTACGCCGTCCTCTTCATCCAGTGTGACTGAGACAGGGGTTGGAATGACGTCATAGGGGGCACTCTTTAAATCCGAAACAAAGTCTTTTTCGTAACGTTGTTTCGGCGTGTACGGGTTGTATACATCTTTAGTGGAACGCTTCCATTTTTCTTTGGTGTCAAAGTTTCCAACAAAATTCAGCTCTTCGTCGTCTGTGTTCGTAATTACTCGCGGGCTCAAACCTTCAGCGGTTATAAACCAACTTGGCATGACGTCAGTACGCGCAACGGACCATGCATCTGCCTTGAATTTGAATGTCAGAGAATCGCCGGTTGTTATCTCTTTAAAGTCACTCGTTGTCTCGAATTTGGTAAGGCACCCGTCAACATGGGTAAATTTGATTCCGCTGTCCCCTGGGATTACATAACCCGAAGGGTTATGCTTCAAATGTTGTGATTCCACCATGCGAATACTACAGAAGTACACAGACCAATTGCCATGTTTGATGGGTGAACTCCCTCTGTTAGTCAGAGTTATTTGTGCCAGAAATACGGGACCTGATCCATTAGGAACCTTGATCAGGTTATTCAGCACTTCGTACCGTATTTCCATGTTTGAAGCCAATTGATTGAGTTCATCCTGGGCAGAGCCTTAGAATAAAGAAAATAATAAAGTATTTGGTCACAACAGGTGAAAATATTTAATGAATTAATCACACTAGCCTGGCAAGTTCCCACACTCCCACGACTTGGTAAATTATTAAAGAGCCCATACCATCGGCTCCAGTGAATCTTATATGGAAATTCCAGCAGCAGATCTCCGAAAAGAAAAAAACGGCAAACAAGTTGTGCTTGGAGAGGGACGGGAGGGGAGGGGGTAGTCACCTTCGCACCCACGCCTTTGGTTAGTTCCATCATGTGAAAACGCGAGCGCGAGGGGACTTGTGATGGGGTGCAAAAAATAGCGACGTGACTGTAATAGAAAACGATGAGTTTTTTTACCGAAAAAGTTAGAAATACCTGTTGACATTACTAAATGTAGCAATTTACAGGCAAAGGGATTTTTTTCTAACTAAACATACATACTGTTACAATTTGACAGAAGCGAGTTTTTAACGCACTTCTGTCCGAGACTTTGACAGAAGAGACTCATCATTGAAGGAAGTTATCGGAGATGAATTCCGAAGATTGGCACAAACTCAAACTTATATTCTTGAAATCGTGACGTTCGCGTGACCGAGAACATTACGCAATAATCCATGACAAAGAAAACAAAGCTTACCCACAGCGACGAAATGCTCTGAATTTCTCCTCTCAGAGTTATGATAAAAAGAAGAAATAATACATATTTTTTTTAAAGACTAGGACAGAAAAAACCTATCGTTGATAATTGACGGTTAGAATCGAAAAATAGTGGAATTATCCTAATCAGATCACATTGTGAAATGTGCAACTCTTCCGACTTAAAGTAAAAACGAAACAAAATGAAACCAATATCTACGGATAATCGCACAGAAGAAAGCATTTTGGAAAAGCTAACAAATTCAAATAAGCACTTATCCAGTTAAAATACACACAAGATTAATTGTTTTTCCTTTTTGGCGTGATGTTTGGGAAAACTGTAGATTACATAGCAACCTAAGTGACAGCTTCACTGACGTGTGGTGGTGATTTTAGCACATCAAGTTATGTAAAATTTCGAAATGCACTAACGAAGAATTAGACAAAGTATAACGCCTCATTGAAATTCGGGGCTAAACCAGTTCCACTACACCATCAGATGTTCTACCTAAATCATCAGGAAACTCATATGCCAGTATCCCAATTAAGCTATACACGACATACACCATATTGATATCCGCTAACAACTACGCGTCACCGTAATAGTTCATCAGTTCACCAAAATGCAAATTGGTGGCAGCATTTCCTACAGTTAAGCCTTTCTGAAATGCACAACCGAATCACAAAGGAAGGTTGCTGGATTGCCGTCCAATTTGTGTTTGCTGAGCATTATCTTTACGGCTGGCGTTACAAACTAACCGAAAGAAAATATCGGTACAAAACACCTCTCAGGAATAGTTGCAGGCAGCTAGAGATGGATGAAAATGCATAAGCAGCCTCACTAACCTGCAGCTACATGCAGAAACCCACTCATGAATAAAAACAAAGAGACTATCATCTTTTTTGTTGCCAATTTCGCTTTCCCTGAAGCAGCAAAGGTCTGAACAAAGGAACACAACGAATACAATGACAGATCACATTTCACAAACACACCTGTCAATTTGTATGTCAATTTCTCGTAGCTGCTTTATTTACTTGCCACGCTTGTTCACCGCAGTGATAATGTATTGTAACGCATAAGAACATTATTCTCACTATGAATGGAGTTAAACCTTTGTTTCAGAAAATAACTTTTGGGGTAAATTGTACAAACTTCACCCCTGAAAAAAGATGCAATTTTATATTTGCAAATCACTTATCATGATCTGATACGCAGAGAACAGAACACGTTGTGATGATAGAGACGTTTTCTTTGTCTAACTGACGACTCTATACAAAAAAAACAAAATAAAATAAAGATAGTCTATTGGATAGTCACAATATAAAGTATGATCGATGTTATTCATATCATGTTTTTATCAGCCTGAAAAAAGAGTTATAATTTTTGGGCTAAACAAGATAGCAATACTAAAATTCTACTTAACATTTACTAAGTAAAATGTTAATATACAAGCATTGACATTAATACTCTATTAATTGATCTGAGTAGTTTAGGGTTATGATATCACAAATTATCAAAACTGAGGTCTGAGTTATCTGCCTAAGCTAAAGCTTAAGGCAGATAACAAAGACTTCATGAAGTGCATGCCAGATGTCAAGTAACCTTGCAAACCTTAAAATTTTCCTATAGTCAACCAGCATGAGGTGACATTTCTACACTTCTCTTTCATATTGTGTCCCTCTACCATTCTGCATGACAGAGCAAGGGAGCCAGCAAATTTTAAAAGTTCTGAGTAAGTGTTGTAGCTGTCATATTTGATTGGTTACATCAAGAAAGCTGCAGAGGGGGGGGGGAGGGGGGGTAGAAAGGAAGAAAAATTACCATCTCCCCCTCGCTATTTATTTATTCTCAATTGACCATGTGACCTTCCAATAAGTAGACTTATCTCCTAGCTGTATATTTTCCTTGATCCTTCCAATCCCGTGTAACCCCTACAGCACTTCATCAGAATACTACACACTCATCAACCACAAAATACACCTGGAATGAAAGCTATTACTTCTCATGCATTCTTCCCATCATACAATACCAATCCAGCCCCCAACTCTGCTAAGCTAATCACCCCTCCCACCTGTTCCCTTTGCCCGAAAAAAAACTCTGTAGGGCATGAAAGGTACAACAGTTAACCAACTATTGAGACTTACAAGACCTATTGAATTTGACAAAAAAAATTTCAATACAGCAGGTGCCCCATTGACACCATTCTTAGTAGCTATCTGCTAAGCAGCTGATGGCACTCAAAAGAACTAGCATGGTGAACGCATGATAGAGCTCTTGATTTTCAGCGTAGAAAATATTCCCATAAGATAATGAAACCAAAATCTGACTAATAAACAAAGAAAGTGACCTATCAAAGATTACTACAAGTGGAAATATTAGAGAAAGTAGATCTGAAATATGAGATGAATGAACTACTTAAATAGGTGAAAATAGTGAAAGGCCTTCACATTTCACCGGTCGAAGACAGCAGTTCAAGCAGTCGAAAGCTCGTGATTTTTTTAATCGTATTAGCCACAGATCGTTCTTTCGTTCACAGATCATTTCTTTTTTCACGTAATTAAATAAGGTCTTTCGCTCGTAGTTAGACATTTAGCTTTCACAAATTTACTATAAATGACCAAATATGTATTATTATCAACAGCAACTTTCGGATTCTGCTTAAAAAAAGCTCTTTCACCAGTCATTGCATAAAGTAACTCCTTAGGAAAACAAATTGCGTGACATGCGTGATGTGTTTCCGTCTGCACGACAACGATTGTAAGTTCAAACTATTGAAAAGGCTTCAACGAAAAGATTACGAATACGTCTCGATTTATCTTTTGTTCATGAAGTTCCCACGTACTCTGTGAAGTCAAAGAGAATGTATTGACGCCGATACCTCGTTTAAAAATTTCATAATTTTAGCCATGCAACTCCTACCATCATCATCGTTTCCTCGATCACATTGCATGATTCAGGTGGAGGGACAACTCTTAAACTTTGAGGATTTTAAAGAGAAATGAGAGACTCCGAGACTCAACGTAAACAAAAGTAAACGACATTCTGAAAGCGCGCAATAAAAATGTTGCGAGACCCGCTGGTTTCAGTTTCCGCCCCTAATATAAAGAGGTTGTAAGTTCCGAAAACAGTGAACATTACCGCTGTGACACCGGCAAGGACTCTGCCGTGACGCAGATGGGAAGAAAACTTGAAATAAAAGGTTTGCGACAACAACATAAAGCCTTACCTAAACATTAATAAGGGATTTAAAACGTTTTCAACGTTGTCACGAAAACGAAATTTGTATAAAATCCTTAATTTCTCTATTTCTTCTACTTAACTTTCGCAAAATATGTTTATTGAATACTCGTTTAGTGGAAGAAAGGATATGAATTTAGATTCTTCAAATTTGTTTTTGTTTGTTCGAGTGCCCAAAATGCAAATGAGGCGGTAAGCGATATTACATTTCTACAAATAAGATGACATTGAGAAGGAAAATTGTCGAAAATTGGAAATATGTGTCTCTCAATTAAGGCTGCTTGCTAGCTTCTCAACTTTACTAGGTAATTTACTAATCGCTTACCTTTTCCGAAGAAATATCTAGCGGTCACGACAAACAGAACTGCGGTTAAAACGAAAAGAATCGATCTCCTGATTTTACGAGGAACCCATTTAAAGGCGCCTTTCGATTCTCGGACCATCACAGATAGGATTGATACCCTGGACGGCATATTGCAGCCCAATTACAGAACTGATTCCTTCGGTCCATTCCCCGGTTCAGTGAGAGACATGAAGCCTCATGGCAAGTAACTAAGCCCAGTCCCTTTCAAACTTTGTATTGTTAGAGCGAAGTTTTGTTGTGGTCTGAAATATGCATGAGGTATTTTCCTGCTCACGATTTCATCTGCTAAATTATGGCCGGTCGAAATGGCGTTTTACTTATTAAAGGGAAGGAAAAGGTAAAAAATTCCTATAAAGACAATTGCAAGGAAAACTTCGAGCACACCGCGCACTTAAAGAAAAACTGTGCGAGCCGAGCCAGTTTTTTTTTCCTGAAATTGAAAAAAATTAAGTTGACGTGACGATTATTGCGTGACTGTTAAGAAAGCGGCTATCTCGCGTGACTGAGGAAGTACCCTATGAGGCCAGTCGCACTTGGCAAATTCTTGTTTATTTTGCGCAGAAATCTGTCATCAGTTCCAGTGCGCCGCTGATTTTTCATCCTACAAAAATTTGTCAAGCCCTTCCAATCTTCAAGGGCGCCTCTGAGTTGGACAAATTTTTGTTAGGCGTGAAATCTGACAGATTTTTCAATTTACAATCCACGATTTGAAGGAATTTCACTTTTAAATTACAATTTGATCTCGCTTTTATAAATGTGAGTCTTTAAGGCACAAGGAACGCCAATATAATAAATTTTTTACACCGCAATCAAACGATGAAGATGAAAGATTTGTACCTTTTACCTTAGGATGCTTCATGACGATCAGTAAAGAAAAAGGAGCTGTGCAATGATAAATAAGGCGAACGAAACTGGAACGATGATTTTCGTACTCCACTTTCCTTCCCTCCCTACCCTAAAATATCGAGAGTGTTTCATCAGTTGTGGGTTTTTCGTTCACTGTTATCAAACATCTTTATTGACGAATTTACTGCCAGACAATAAGAACTGCGTTCGAATCCTAAAAGGAAGTTACATTGTTATGAAATGCTCAGATAATAAAGTATACGAAACGATTTGATATTTACCCAGTGAGTCGGCTAGGTCCACAGCTGACAAATGACTTACATTAGTATTATGACATCACTATAACGTATCTCGTTAGCGGATGAATTATCTTGATGAACGATTACAGAATATCTCGACGAAACAGAGAGACACACAAAATAGTATGCAAAATACGCATTTCATAAAGGATCCTGATGGAAGGTCTTACAAAAAGTCCAAAAATAGTCGGAGTGCAGAAAGCAGAATGTATTTAAATTAATCTTCATTCTTTTGAAAACTCAAAACTCAAACAGGACAACTTCGATCTATCCGTGTTTTGTGCTCTTCCAAGATTTGCATCGCGGGCCTCTTGCTTTTCATTCCTCCCTTTCAGTGCGTTTTCCTCAAATGCGTGGGCAGTTCTTCTGTCATCCATATCAGTCGGTGCTGATTATGCCTAACCCTAAATATATTTGTGTTTCTTTTCAAGCTAGTACTTGCTCAGTCTTGAAGCAACGACAAAGGTGCCTCCGCTGACCGAGATAAACGAGATCTAGTGAAAGGAGAGTGTTGTAAGGTCCTCCAGAATTGGCACCATCAACGCAGCATCACTGTGGTAACTTTTCCCTTAAGCTTTGAGACGGGTCTAAGTAGATCACTCTGCTAAACCGGTTTTGGTCGGCCGATCTTCATTATCAAAAAAAAAAAAAGTTCACTGTTAAATTTCAAATCAATTCTGGGCTGACCCGCTTGGAAGCAGATCACAAAATGAATAAAAAGGCCAAAGTGGCTCAGTTTTTTCTAAAAACCACGCAAAGAAGCAATCCTACCTGGTCCTGAGCTTTATCTTTTCGTTCACTTCCGTTTCCGGTTTGACGTCATTCCACGTTAGACCATCATCTTTGGAGTATTCAACTTTAAGGCCAGGCAGCTCAGTTGTCACGTGTAACTTATTGCAAGCAGCTTTGCAGACAACTCTAGAAACGAATAAAGAGGGCCACATGAATTTTCGGCCAATTTCATTAAGCATATGTACAGATCTACACTGGGTAGACGCCTCTGTACCTTAAAGAGAAGTCTTATTTATACAAACCTCGCTACTGGAGGTGGTACGCGGTACGGTACATCCATCTTATCAAGTCGAACCAGTTCCCTGTGACCGAGCGTGTTGGCAAAGTTGACCCAGTCTTCATCTAGTTGCTTTTGCCTTTCCTCGCCCCTTAGGTCTTCCCAAGATCCTTTATGCCACGCGCGTTCAGCCGCAGCCAATAGTCGAGGAAAAATCATGCTGTGCATCTGGCCAGCGGTACGGATCAATTCACCCCACATGGTTCCTTCTAATCCTGCAAGTGAAACAAAGGCTGGCTAAATTGTTTCTTGAAACTTCTTTAAATACTGTAAGCCGATGTGATCCCATCTATGACTAAACATGCGTGGCGCACTAACCAAAACATGCTTCGTGCAGGCATATCTTCGCCAAAAGCTACCTCGCATGTGTGAGGCATTCGAAAGACCAACACTTTTGTCGCTGAAGTACTTGGGAACACTACGAAGAACGATTGTTTCCACAAAGAACAGCTTGACTCTCGATTCTTCATTACAACACGATTCGCTTTTTACAAAATAAGAAGAAAACGTATACCGAAAAGGCACTTTAAAAAGTGAAACTAATTTGTGTCGAGTTATCTTCGTCGTACACGGACCGAAGGGCGCAGCCAAGAGGGCTCTCGGAATGCAGGTGTCACCCACCCCACCCTCCTTATTCCACCGATAAGGAATAATTTTTAACAACTTGATTATGCTCCTAAATGTCAATAAGAATAAAGAAGGGACTTCTTCCCCTCCTGGTGGAAATCCTACATACGCTCTCGTGACAATGAAATGGTGGTTCCATAGTTGTCTGTAGATGTTAAGGTCGAAGGAAAAGAAACTACGTTACCAAGAATGTTTTGATTGCCAGGCGGTGAGTATCCAAATGTCTTCTTGATGTCAGTATATTTTTCTGCCCAGTTTAAGCCCCGTTCATTAAAGTCATGTTCTTGTGAATGATCAAAGTAGAGAAACCTTGCGGGGGTCAATACGACCTGAGAAAATAGATGAGATGAAATCATGATAAGGTAACCATAAAAATTGCCAGAAAGCGCTTATTGAGTCCAATCCTAGAAATCTGACTGATGAGCAAAAAGCATATCAGACTGATTTGGTGTCTTCAAGAGAATCAAAATTACGAGAATATTACCTGAACTGAGAAAAAAACAGGGTTATTACCTTGTAGCCACCTCTTACAAGTCTCGATATCCTCTCGTCTTCAAAATCAGCTCCCCAAAAATAGGCCACAGCGTTTTTATTCTTAATTATATTCCTATTCAACCCGATGCCTATGTCTCCGTCGGCAATGTTGGTAAATGAATCGCTCCAGCCTCCAATATCTAGACCGTGCTTAAGTGTGATACGGGAAAGACGTTCCACAAAAATGTTCATCAAGTATCGTTTGGTTAACTTATGTTCCGTCTTCTGACACTCTGGGGAGTCCACCCAGGCCCCATTAGGAACCTCGTCGCCTCCAAAGTGATAAAAGGTCAGCGGCTGTATGTCACTATGGAGACGAGATAAAGTCGATAAAATGAAATCGAGAAATGTGTAAGTGGATTTTAAACAAGGATTAACGGCGTCATCACTAAAACCTTGCATGGTGGTATACGAAGATTTGTCATTAAAATCACTGAGAAGAAATCTCTTCGCTTCCTCTTCTTTCCCAACTTCCTGTACAAGTCGGTCGAAACGAGCTCTCATGCTTTTCACAGCTGCATGACTGTGACTCGGTAAGTCGAACTCTGGAATTACTTGAATGTGGCGTTCTGCTGCGTGACGAAGTATTTCCCGATAATCTTCAGTAGAGTAGTACCCAGTGCCCGAGGTGCTCGTATCGACGCCTGAGCCAAGTTGCGTCATAATGCATTTCTTCTCTTGCAAATCGAAGCATCTCCTTGATCCAATCTGGAAAAGAATTCCAAAAATTATAGTACAGATATTAAGCAGCATACTGTCTAGATTGATGAAGAATAAACACACGGGCAGCTATGATGAACTTATTTTATCCACACCACGGGAACTTTAGAAAGTGATGTAATAATGAGCGAGTAACGTAACGGTAACATGACAGATAGCAAAAAAAAAAAACTGACCGATGGACCAACACACACAAAAAAAAACCCACGCAGACGGATAGAATCCTTCCAAAATAACTTCATTCCCACATCAAGGAAAAAAAGTGCCAAATTAATTTCCCTTACTGTTGTTAACTCTTCGAGTCCAGGAATTTCTAGTCTCCATCCCTCGCTGTCCGACAGATGAAAATGAAACTTGTTCATCTTATACATTGCCATGGCGTCCAGCACCTTCATTATTTCCTGCTTAGATTGAAAATTACGAGCAACGTCCACCATGAACCCGCGGTACGAAAAACGAGGAGAGTCTTTGATAGAAACCGCTGCAATTTGGCCACTTTCGTTCACGAGTGCCAACAGAGTCTGAATACCGTAAAACACCCCACTAGCGCCTTGGCCAGTTATGGAGATCAATTCCTTGGAATCATCTATTTCAAGACTGTATGAATCGTTTGCAGTGGAGGAAAACCGATCCTGGTTTGATTGCAAAGCTGTTGGTGCCAGAGTCAATAAAATGGTTTTTGAACTTGGATCGAAGGACGGAGATACTTTTAACCCAAGGTTATCTAGGAAAAAAAAAAAGCGAAAAAAAATTATTCATTTATCATCATCATCATCATTATCATCAAAAAGAAATGTCTCTACTAGTCCTAAATACTTACTTATACCTTCCTACATTCATTTTATAAAAGCAGTGTTGTTTGACTGAGCATAGCAACTTTGCATTCATAGCTTATTAGATATTGGCAGGAGCCCATTGGGCTCCTGGTATAGGAAACTAAATGACTGACCAACTGTTTGTCTGTGTGTGAATATGTGTTAATGTGTCTGACTGCTGACTTACCAATTGATTCTCTTACAAACTGACTTACTGCCTTAATGACTAGCTGACTGACAAGCTGCCTGATTAGCTTATTGACTGTCTGACTTACTGATTGACTTACTGGCTAACTATCTGACAGAGGAACTAGCTGACTGACTGTCCTACTAACTGACTACCTGGCTGATTAACAGACTGGCTGTCTGACTGACAGACTGACTGATTGATTGAACAGACTGGCTGACTAGCTGATTGAAGTGACTGGCTAATTGATTGGCTGACTGGCTGACTGACAGACTGACAGACTGTCTGACTGGCTGACGAGCTAAATGACTGACTGGCTGACTTATCAACTTACTGACTGGCTGCCTGGCAGTTAAGAGTTAATTACTAGATATTTTATGCTTAAAAACCACCTGACAAAAATTTCAATTCGTTCTGTAACTGCTTGTCTCCAGACACTGTCCATTCCTTGTTAATAGAGACTGACCGAGGGTACTTATTCCTTGATATTTCAGATGGTGAAGGAATAACCACTAAAGGGGCATGTCCCAAATCTTTTGAACCATCTACACCAGGGCGAAAGCTACTCAATGGATCAGATGTAGAAACAAAAGAGAGGTCTTCATTAGCTGTAGCAATTATTGTTCTTGGCTCTAGACCATTGGAAGCAACATACCAGTTGGGTGATACTATATAGCGAGACCAAAGAAAAATTGGTAATGCTGTAATTGAGCATTTGAGGGAAGCTCCAGGTGAAAAGGAATTGCTATAATTAACAGGTTCAATCTTATACACATGTCCCACAACATGTGCAAAAGTAAGGGTGTTATGTTTCTCAACACCAACTTGTTGTAAATGTGGGTGAAACCACACATTCAAGGAAAAGTATATAGTCCATCCATGGTTCCTGATAGTTTTAGCACCATTATTAGAAATTGTAATCACTGCTTTTGTCTTTGATAGAAATTCAAAGTGGACTTGAGTATATTCAGCCATGAAGTTGATTTCTTCTTGGCTAATTCCCACCGAGGAGTTTTTCCTCTCAGTATCAGCAGAGTGACTAGTTCTCTTTTCTTTTATTTTGCCTCCAGTCTTTGAAGAGTTGTCCAGAAAAGGTTGAAGCAGAGGGCCAGAGGCCACTGAGAAGTCAACACTTTTTAAATATATACTCCTAGATTGTTTTTGATCATAATGCTGGTGACCATCTGTAAAAAATATAAGTGACAACATAAGTAATAAGAAAAAAAAAACAACAAACAAACTTGGGAGGAAGGTGAGGTGGAACAGATTATTAAGCGTCAGTTTATTCCCAGTAAGGAAACTTTTTCCCAGCTATTCCAAACTATTATTTTTACCATTATTATTGTTCTATCATTATTTATTCTACATACATATTCTAAGTTGCTATTAAAAAGACCTTTTTAAGCGAGAATATGCATATAGGATGAATAATTTTTGACATTTTATGTAAAAAATTTTCATCACTGTTTTTCTTCATAAATCTTAAATTTACAAAAAGGGAAAAGATAAAAGGCTGTAAAACGATCACTTATTGATGAATAAGAGATCAGACTCATAATGTCTCCACATTGTTCACTATTAATATTATCATCATTATCAAATTGATATTGTTTATTTTTATCAATATCTAATAATTTATAATTATCATTAAATTAATACATAGCTATATTATCATTAATTTCATAATCAGGACTGTTATTATCATTTTGAGTTATTTAAAAAAAAATTAATAACATTATGTTAGTGTGTAGAGTGATGTGTTTCTCATAAACAACCTACATTTTGTCACCTATTTCAGACACAGAGGGCAAAGTCCAGATGGGCAACAACCAATCAAGGAGCCCTCTTTGAAATATTATCTTTTCCTTTTGCTCAGTGTATCTTCCCTTATACGAGATCGCAATATATTTTTGTTTAAGAGTGTATTGGAGATACAACAGTTTCAGTTTGCTTTTCTTAATAAAGTTATGTAGAATTTTTTATTTTCTCTCTGTTAGAGGAATGGCAGTAAGCGTACTCTCTTTCACTACCATGATTTGGTCTCATATGCACTCTCTCTCCAACAGGGAATGGGGGCATTGATTGAGACCAAACAACAGCTTCAAATTAGATTACAGTGAGCATGGCACCGATGCATTTTATTTTTGCTTATAAGTCTTTAGACAATAAAGACAACAGACCATTAAATATCTGCATGAGTTTAGATAAATTAGGATTTTTCTCTTTCTCTCAAAGTGAAGCAATGCAATATTTTTGTTCTAGTTAAAGTTTTGAAAACATTAGGGCAGGGTTGTTCAAAGCTGGGTTAAGATAACCCAGGATTAGTGTGAAATTTTATTTCAGTTCTGAAAGTTTTAAAAAAAGACCCAGTGTAATTTTTTTTGTCTACAATCTTGTGACTGCAAGCTCAAAAGAGAATGGAGACAATTATCCCAAACAGGCTTTTGCACAAAGGAAATAAAGAAACCCGGAATAAAATTTAACCTTTGGTTAGTGCTAATCAGTGGTTGAACAAGTGGGCCCAGAATACAAAGTCCAATTTCGACCTACCCAGCTAAAAAGAAATACCCTTGCATGGCAGCTACACATGTTTATGTTTGTTTGGATGTCTATCCTATACGCTTGCTTTAATTTGAGAGTGTTGCGTAACGTAAACAAGTGAAGATTATTTGAAGCACCTGTATTCATTAAAACGATGTTTCTTGTAGTGCTCAATGTGTAACAACACTATCTTAAAATATTTCATATGAAGAAAGATCTTATTCCAACATTCAATCGCTGTATTTCTCCAAATTCGCGCTCGTCTTTCTTTGCTGTTTTAAAATCTATCTCGTTCAAAACAAATTATACAACACGATGCAAATTTATTTTCCGAGCTCAATTTCTATGAATGATTTTTGCAAAGCACATACTTTGGCGTGCCTGATAATGTAAGGAAAGATCTCCGTGTAACCCTATTATTCATTGTGCATACAATTCTTAGATAAAATAACGACAAAAACATTTTGATGAAGTTATTTTTAATTTATCCTGCCGTATGAATCACAAAACGAGCTACAATTTTTGAATATTTAAAACTTGAGTAAGAGAGTAGAGTGAGGGACGTGGGCTTTGTTTAAGGAAAGTATGGAATTATACGAGAATCTTTCTTCATATCGCTACTGTTAAACTCTAGATAAATGCTGCTACTTACTTTGCCTAATTCGGTTCAACACAAACCCCACTGCAAGTACGCAAACAATTTTGAGTGTCGTTTTAAAAAGGTGTCGGCGACCTCGTATGGTGAAGAAAGTGGAATAACACATAGCAAACAACAGATCTAAGCCGTCTTGGGTTTCCAACTAGATTACAAGCCACTTCTTAAGTTCCCGAGCCAAAGCAGCAAACATGAACATACCCACACTAGTGTTAAGCATACAAATCTGAAAGAAAATTGAGAAGGTGATATGCAGACATTCGCTTAAACAAAACATAGACATGCGTAGGAACAAGAGTTATACTTTTGGCGGGGGGGGGGGGGGGGGTTAGATGAGACACTTCGTGCACCTAATGTTTTTATTTTTGCAACAGAAAAAGAGCATAACTTTCAAACGGACGAAAACATCGCATTGCTTCACCTTAAGAGAAAGAAAAAACCTGTCTGAGCTCACACAGGTATTTTGTGGTCTATTTTCTCCCCTTGCAGCAGTTGTTTCGTCTCGTCACACAACGCCATCTATTCCCCGTTAAAGAGAGAGTGCGCAGCGTGATGAGACTGAATAACGATTGCGGAGGGGACTACGTTTACTTCTGTTCCTCTAACAGAGAGAAAATCAAAATTATTTGTCTAAAGTTAGTTACCTCAAAAATATAGTCCTGCGTGATTTTACTATGAAAAGCAAGCTGAAACTCTGCTGTATCTGCAATAAACCTTAACCAAAGATATCTATACGTGACGGAATAGGACTTGGCCAAGATCTATATCTGAGCATGGGTAAACTTTCGAATCTATCGCCTTTTGGTAATCTTTCCCACGGTGTTTTCTTTCTGGGCCTATGAATATTACAGGTGCAGTTGCTGGAAACCCTAGATTCCAACACATAAAAACTGTAAAAAAAAACTCTTTCTAACCCACCTTTTCAGATAACAATAGTGCGATCGTATCGAGCCACCATAGTCAAGGAGCTATTTTCTGAAAAAGCCTTATTTAACGAGTTGGTTCAACCCACCCGACTCAAAAGGTTCGAGAGCTGATTCTGATTGACAAATACCTGCTCTTTAAGATAAGATACTATGTAGTCCCGAATTGTGGTACCGCTAACGAGATAAATGGGGCTTTATACCATGATGTGGCACTCAGCAAGGAAACGAGGCTCAAACAGAAATTGACCTCAAATTTCATCTTCTTTCACTGAAGTGCCCCAAACCCTTCTGGAAAAATGATGATCATGTACCTGCCTACAATTTGAGTGTTCACATGGTACGACAGCATGTCACGTGATTGTCACATGACCATTTTTTCCGTCAAAAAGCAGTCTCCTTTGTCGATCCTGACATGTTTCAAATCCTGCTGAGACTAAGGTAAAGGTCTTATTCAGGCTTTTCATCTTATGTGCCAACAGAGAAATCATGTACTTTCGAATTATGCTAAAAAAACATTTGGATGCGTAAAACTCCAGAAAATAGACAATATTAGTGCTGGTGTCTCTTCCATCACTGTTTACATGAAAACGAGGCTGGAATAAACGCAACCTCAAAACGGGTCAAATCTTTGAAATAAAGAAGGATGCTGTGAAAATATTAAAGCATATGATGGCCGAAATTTCTATGATAGCATACAAAAATTGCTCCTCTAGGTTTGTTTTTGAGGTTGTTTTTTTTTCGGTAAAAAAGAAAAAGTTCTATGTTGGCGTGTAGAGTGGTATGTTGCGCGCACCAATCAGATCGACGCATCCGGGGTATGTATCTCGCATCAATCATATCGCAACATTTGGATATCTTACACCAATCACAGAAGAAAATGAAAATGTTGGACTAATCAGACTTTAAATCAAGATTTTTTTTCCCTGACCTCCTGATCCTTGCAAACCTCGCCGATAGTTTTAATCTAAGGGCATATCTGGAGAGAAGGGTGTGCTTATTAAGCCATACTTTCACCGAACTATCACTTTTATTTTCGATAAATATTTGTTTGAAAAATAAGTTGTCCCAAGTAATGGGCCCCCGGTTGTCCAAACGTTGCAGCTTCATAGAAGCAATAAGGGGTGGGTTCACTGGGGTGTTTCCAAATAAATGGCGGCAAGCGTAAATAATGAATGGCGGAAAGAAAATTTTAGAACAGCTCAACTGCTTTTGGTAATCTTAAGACGCGACTTATGTCAAATTTCATAGATCCTTTGAAATGGCAGGATTAAGAGATTATGTGGATGTTCAAGCGTACTCCTCCTTTATGCAAGGTTCAACAGTGCCATAGATAGTCTTTGGTAAATTAGTACTTACTGATATAATTTACCTCTTCTTGGTGCCCTAAGGTCGCCCGAAGCTGTCTAAAACAGCAATTTTTATTGTCTCCTTCCCTCACAAATGTTGTTACACGGAGTAAAATAACTGATTTCTGTAGGTTCGAGTTTAAAAGCCATTTATTACTTTTCTATCATAGGAAATAATCATTAAGGATTTTTGGTTGCGAGATAGCAAATAGTAACTTAAAAATAATGATAATCATGTGTTGTTTAAAAAAAAAGCGTGAAAAAATGGAAAGAGGAAGAAAACAAAAGGCCGGATGAGGTTGCGTTACATGGGCGCGTGTTTGCGTGCAGACACGCGCGAACAAGGAAGTGTGAGCGCTGTGGCTCCACGACAAGATGGCGGTCAACGAAGGTGACGATCTAGCATCCCTAGAAGCCAAGACAGTCAACGATGGAGCGATCGTGGAATTGTTAAGGAGAAGATACAACCACCACAAGATTTATGTGAGCTGAATTTCAAGCTTACTGAGTCTTTTTGGCCAACCTGCTTTTGTGCCGCGTTCATTGCCATTTTGCAAGTTTGCGCGTAGTAACAGGTTCTGTTCTGCTCATGGGAAAACTTTTGTTAAATCTTCATTTTTTGCAGACCTACGTCAGCGATGTATTGCTCTCAGTGAATCCTTTTCAACATCTACCCATCTATGGGCCAAAGGTAGACTTGCAATATTTAGATATTGATCGTTGTTCACACATTAAATATTAAACAATAGGAGATTCATATCATTTGTGCGCGCATATTTGAATTCGTTCTCATGAAGTAGACAGTCCTTATACCTGTAGGTCCTCAATGCATCGCTAACTTAATATGATTAATTTACTCACTGTTAAAGGACACAGAAAGGGCGCTTGTGGGCTGAAAAAATTACGCAGTTATACAGCTTTGACTTTAAATAAGCATGTACCGCAGCTGTACGTGGCTGATAATCTCTTTAAGCGGGTAGGGAATTGATTTTCCCCACCGTTGCTTCAATTTGGTCTGAAATAGCTTTAATTGAATAAGACAGATCTCATCTAACACAAATCTGTATTGGTTTAAACGGGTGAAAAGTTCGATATTTCGTCGATGCCTTTGGATCAGTGTCAAGAATCAACATTAGCTGTTGTGATTTACATGACAAAAACCCCCCCTAACTAACGTCTTGTAAACACTCGGAGTACTTAAAATACTGAGCATAGTTATGCAAAATCGTAAGCCAATTAATTTCTCTTTCTGAACGCAGCTATTGAAGAGAAATATTTCGCGATTCGTAGATCTCGATTTTGATCCTGAATTTATCAAGTTTTGAAATAATATATATTTCGCAAGCTAATATCATTGCCTATATTTTACATCCCGCGCGCACCAATGTGCGATCTCTTTCAAACTACCCTTTTAATTGATCTGTTGTGCCTCTCTTCCGTAAAGAATTGTTAATTTTTCATTTTACCATAGCTTCAATAAATTTCCATAGATTCGGCCTCGACAAGTCTTTGATGAATAATTCACAAATATTATTTGACCCAGTATTGAAAGTTCCTCAGCTATATGGCTTTGTACTGTATTAATCGATCAAGCTAGAGTTGAAAAACTAAATTAAACATCTTACATAGATTATAGATTAATTAACATAGTTCAGGTTTTTTGCCCAATAAGTATACAAATTTGCATTTTTAAAGAGATTAAATTGTTCATGTAATGCAGAGAGCTTAATGTGATTGTTTGATGGATATAAGTGCTTAATATATAAGTCTGGGCAAGTCATATTCGTCACGAGTCCTTTCATATACTGTTTAAAACTATGCAAGGAAAATGTCACCAATTTCTTTCAAAATAAGCAGACAAAATTCATGGACTTCAAGAGTGACAGCATGATGAACTTAGATTTATTCAGTACATTTAAAGAAAGCTAGATCAATTTGATACAGTGTGAAAGTTATGATGATTTGAGAGTGATACAATCTTTATAAACTTAATAAAATATGAGATTTCAGAAAGTATCCATTCTTTTACACAGAGAAAAGGAAATAATTATTACAAATTAATTTAGAGATAACACTTATTGGTGAAGTCTACAATCATGATGTTGATTTGAAATTTAGCTGCCACAGTTAATGTACTGGATTCTTTAGGCATTCTCAAAGTGACTATCAGGAGCATTTGAGATCTAACCCCCCCCCTCCCCAGGATGGGATGCAGCAAAGTGGTACATTACACATTCAACCACAAGTCTCCCCTCCCCTAATACCAATACTTATATTATTTTTAATAACTATCCACTGTTGTGGCTGCCTGTAATTATTTGCCACTAGCTGCCAACATTCAGGCAAATAGTTGTTTTAGTATAATACTAAAACAGTGAGATGATATTAAAAAAAAGATGATTTAACTCATTTGTTCTGACTTGCAAGGATTAAAATATTTTTGGGTAAAAGTCACATGTGTGTTGCTTTGAGGTGAACAGAAAAGGATATTCAGAGTTTGAGTAGCCAATCAGAGCATGCCTTATTCCTATCCATTGTTTTACTAGGCATTACATAATTATAGTTTATTGGGGTTCAATAAAACCACACAAGTCTTTTTGCAATTAAAGGAGAACTAAGATCAAACTAGACTGATATCATTCAAATCTTAATTCAATTTACTAAGTATATAGACAGTATTTCTGAACCACAGTTATAAATTAATTTTTTGAATATTTTTAGGCTATAAAAGCTTACCAGGATTCACAGCCTAACCGGCAGTTGTCACCTCACGTGTACTCAAAATGCAAGGCAATTCTACGATCAATGCACCATTCCTCAAAAAGCCAGTGTTGTGTGTTGACTGGTGATAGTGCATCAGGGAAGACTGAGTCTCTTAAGCACCTCCTGGACTATGTTGTCAGTGTTGTTTCACCCACAAGTACCAGTTTGAAAGCCAAATTTTCAAAGGTACTTGCATGCACCTTTCACATCATTGATTTTTCTTTAATAAAAGTAGAGGATTGGAATATGATGTTTAAAATAAAGGCAATCTAAAATGTAACTTAAACTGGTGAGATCAATACAGAAAAAAATTGTGCATGCTTGTCCTGCATAATGTTTATGTTTAGGATATAAGTCTTTTAGAAGGTAAAGAAAAACAGTAATGCATACCTCATGTCACTTATGGATATACACCTTTTAATGGTTTCTTTTAATCTCACATGTAATTAGGTTCAGCTTATTTTGGAAGCTTTTGGAAATGCAGTAACAACACAAAACAGAAACTCAAGCAGGTTTGCAATGTTCTACGAGGTGTACTTTTCACCTGAGATGAAGTTATCAGGAGGTAGGTTGGATTGTGTGCAGATTGGTGTTTCCATGTCATTCTTCCTTAGGAAGGGAATTTTCTTTACATTTCTTGAAATTGCCCTTTAGTTATTCTGACTTGTAATCACTAAGCTAAATGAACAGATTTTCTACCTAAAGTATGTAGTAAGTGACTGTCATAACTTAATCCACATAATTACTTTTAATCAACACTATTTTTGAGATTTTATATTGCTTCTGTGGCTGATGAACTTAGCTAATCTGTTACTAAATTAACAATTAGGCTTACTACATATATATTGTACATGCCTAATTGGGCCATTCAAAACTGTGATATATAAATCTATCAAGTTAAACAGTCAGGTTCTTCAGCTAAAATTTTTTTCTGTGATTGATTATTTTCCAGGAAAGGTGCACCACTACATGTTAGAAAAATCAAGAGTTGTTCATCAGGAAAAGGTGCTTAAAAGAAAATTTATTATTAATGATGAAGAAAAAATGATAACATTATAATCATTATAATAATGATATTGGCAGCTATTATATTAATTTTATGAAAAAGTTAAAAGATGCTCTTTGCAGGCACATAATTTAATAGCTCTGGCTCCTTGCCAGAAAGTGCATGTTATAATGCAAAAATTTTAAGCAGCAATCTTTTTTAGTCTAACATGTTGCTAAATCAATAATTATGTAAAGTATGCAGCAATACTTAAGCATGCTTTGCATTTAGTGATAGTAACAGGGTTATATTTTTTTGACATCATAGGTCATGCATGGTACATGCATGTTAGTTAACTATATATGATGATTTTGCTCTGATGAAGGGCTAATGCTCAATATGTCAGCTTTGAAACTCTTTATGGTGGCCAATTTAGGTTATCAACTCAGTGGATAATACTTAATTACCCAGTTATACTCTCCCACCAACACAGCATCACTTTGTATGTTATGATGTCAGCTTAACCTAGTAAATGAAGTTATTTCATGGCTTTCACCAGTTGTACTTCATGCTAAAAGATATATCAATTTTTTTTACGAATGATATTGAAAATTTCCTCTCAATAAAGGATTTACAGATGATATAGTAATGTGTACTACATTTTATACATTCTAGAATAATTTAATATCAAAGAGCTAATTAGTTGATACTCTGCACCTTCTTAGGGAGCAAAGAACTTTCATGTATTCCATTATCTTTTGTATGGATTGGATGTAGATGAACAGCAGGAGTACCACTTGAGTTCTGAATATCCTCACAGGTAAAATAATTTAATTGCATCATGTAACATATTTAATTTTCCTAATCGTCAGTATGGTTTAAAAGAAAACTTGGATTTGAGTTGTTGATAAAATACAATTAGCTCTGCATTAATCCTGATTACTGTAAATTCAAATAAATCCATTTGATCCTCTGTGGTTTATGTCTCTAGCAGTAATGCTTTTTTTTCTAACTCTCAAGCTAAATTACAAAGTTAAACGCATTTTTATCTTTTAATTCCTTAAGATGGTAAAATTTCCGCACATTCCCATACTATATCATGCATTCAGTTCTTGAATAGAGAAAACAATGACAAAAACAATACATTGCCATTGGGAAAACAGATTTGTTTTACAATAGTATGGGGCTGTGCGGAAATTATACCCATTTGCGATGCGACTTACAAAATATGGTTAAATACTTCTCTAGTAAATCGAAGAGCTCGTGTATGCTTAAATCGTGGTGATATAAACAAGTGCTATTAAACTTAACAGGACACGGTTCTTTAATTCGCCGTGTTTTCAATACATGCTCAGAAATAAGAGATTGATTTTTGGCAAATTTCTACCAGTCTGAATTCTACTTCTTTAACTGGAAGTGATGAAAAATGCGATTTTTGAACTTAAGAAAGGGGAGTCGACTTAACACGAGTAAATACAGTACACTTAAACTGCTGGAAAGTTATACACATTAATTCACAAAAATCTTAAGGGTTTAGTTTCCGCACAGCCCCATACTACTGTAACTCAAATCTGTTTTCCTAATGGCAATGTATTGTTTTGTCATTGTTTTCTCTATTCAAGAACTGAATGCATGATATAGTATGGGACTGTGCGGAAATTTTACCCGCAAATGAAATCTTCTTGCATTTAACTAACCTTTATCTATGAGTTTGAAAGGAGATTTCGTAGACCGAAGAAACACCGAAGAGCTTCGAAGAATCGCGCGTAACAGACAAGACCGCGCGAGACATTAGCATTTGCCAGGTCTCTAAGCCACTAGACTCGTTCGATGTAAAGGAAAGTTCAGTACCGTAAACAACAGCGAATCTGTAAGAAAAAAATGTCTGCTCTACAGATCAGAAGACACAATAGAAATCAGCTCCAGTGGCTTTGTGTTTAAGCCACTTAAAATTTATTATTTCAAACTTTTTTGTTGACGAAGAATGCGCTGAAAACTGACTAAACTTGAACACAATTAGAACTGGTTTTATAAACTCGTAGCCAAACCATCCCCTTCAACACAAGTGATATATGAATAAGAGAGTCTTACAAGTATATATGACAGTGTGACTTCTTTCATCATACACCACAATTTCTAGTCTTTATCAGAAATTACAAAGTATTTACCAAATAACAACCAGTACAATCTTGAACTGCAGCCCTCCTATCTTTTTGCATCCAGATACCTCTCTTATGACCCAACAGTTCCTCCAGTGGATGAGACCAGCAAGAAAATCTTAAGTGAGAAATATGTAGAGCTGTTAAAGTGCATGGAGTCCGTTGGCTTTACTAAAGAGGTAATTACTTTCAACATAGACTAAAACCTTTTTGGAACACCAAAAAAGAATTAGGAATGAACTGGTTTTATAGTACATAATTAAGCCATTCAGCTACCTTTTAACTTCTTGAGTTGGCTTATCATACCCAAGAAGTAACAAATAACTGTCCAATTATCAATCCCTATGGTGAAAACCCATCAAAAACAAACTTATGAAGTGCACAGTGTAACTCCACATGTTTGAAATGTACTGAGGCAGTCTGACTTAAATTCTACTTCAGAAGTTTGCAGACAGCTAATCAATACTAGGGACCTTTAGCAGTCAACAACATGGAGGAAGATATAGACAAAAATTCATAATTTTAGTTCATTCCAGATTCTTTTTTTGATGTTCCAAAAAGGTTTTAGCTTTTATCATTCAAAACATTTATCTGTAAACATACATGCTAGCAAGGGTAGCTTGCAGTGGCATCATTAATTTTGTTGATTACTGTGGTAAATGCACTTTTGCTTTGTCATGAAGAGAAGTTAACATAAAAATTATAGCTCTTACCGAGTAGATTTTTTTAAAAATTTGATTTTCTGAAGGATGATTGTTGATATGCACTGACTGCTGTTCTGAGAGAAACTGGTGCCTAATGATCACATTTGCATAGTAGAACAAAAGTGAAACATTTCACCCTTTAACTCCCATAAGTGATTAACATGTAACTTCTCCTTATAACATCCACACATTATCCTGGCAACATGTATTAAGAATACTCAAACTTATCAGGTAGGTCAGTTAGTAGTCCTGATCTAACACCAAACACTTGTGACTTATTTACAAGGAAATGTGTAGCAGCTAGAGGGGAGAATTAACACTCAGATCTTGGGAGTTAAAGAGTTAATAAATCAACCTAAAGAATTTGTATTCATTTGATTATCATAGAAAAATGAAAGTTGATCAGGAATTTTGACTTATATAAAGATATTCATTTGCTATTTATTGAGAATTGGGGTCATCAAAATTCAGTTTTGAATTTATCTGTAATCAAAGTGTCATGATATGTCAAATCTTTCAGGAAATTCTCAACGTCTCCAAGTGTTTAGTTGCTATTCTTCACATTGGAAATGTTGCATTTGGTTCAAAAACACAAACAAATTCAGCATTTGTGAAAGATCCTCAGCCTGTGAAATGCGGTAAGGATACCTCACTGCACTTCATTGTTCTGGACAATGGCATGAGTGGGTGGGTTGTCCTATGCATATGAGCAAATGAGATTTAAGAGATTCTCAAACTGTTTTATGCTGCCCTTTCATTACTGAACCTGCATAAGGTATTTTGACCAGTGCTAAACTTCAGATCCATTGTAGTGATTACTAATTTTGATTTTATTTTCGTGTGGTAACCTAATGCTGGTTGTAGCTAGTTCACTTCTTGGTGTGTCAGAGGATGATATGGGTGAGGCTCTGGTAAAGGGAATCACCTACCAAAAAGGTAACTTCCCTGTAGATTTGCTTTTATGCTAATTATATTTTAAACACATCATGTACATGTGTTAGCCAAAATTGGCACCAATTATGACTGCATGCATGAGATATAGCTGAGAAAAAAAAAAAAACACCATCTCTCAGAATTTTTCTTAACCACATGAATGCAATGAAACTTTGAAAAACATTTGAGAACCAGGTCTGAATTACAAAACAATTAAATGTACTCTGAGAAATGAACCAGCCAAGGAGTGAAAAAGTAAATGAAACAGAAATACCAGATTTTAACAGCTCGGGATGGAAAATTATTTGGGAGATGCAATTGTCCACTTGCTAGCGCGGATATATATGGTACTGGACTTGTTGTTAGTGTTCTAGACCTGATTCTGGGCTTTGTGTGGTGACTCCTTCGGATATCTCATAATTCTTTTTTTTACCAAGGAGTGAAAATGGGTTTTGGGCAAACTGTCAGAGAAACCTCCCACCCCCACCTGGGGGAGGGTTGAATAACTTGTCATGAATTGGCATCCCATGCAAGGGGATTAAAAATACTCCCACTTGGTTCACACCATCTAAAGTAGACTGAAATATTAGCTGAATGATATTTTAATGTCTGCAAGCCACCAGGCTGAGGTACAGACTTGATTTTTATTTCTGTGGCTATTACTGATAGGTTAGTCCCAGTTGTTTTGATAAATGTTGTTGTGTCTTTTGATCCCCAAAGGTGAGAAGATATCAATTCAAAAGCCTGTGGGTCTGGCTAATGAAGGGCGAGACAACTTAGCCATGATGCTGTATGGTCGCTTGTTTGGCTGGCTTGTGTTGAAAGTAAACAGCTGCTTGAAGGATAAAGATAATGAACTAAGGTAACAACTAAGAAAAAAATTTCTGCTGTAGTGCTTTACAAGGGAAAAAGTGATTGCTACTTATTTGAAAGGAATTTCAAAATTAATAACAATTATCAGATGGATGATATTTTTCTCATGAAATTATAAATTGAATTGGTCAATTGAGTTAATACTTAAATTAAGACATTATTTGTTAGTTATGATTTTCAACCTTTTGCTTTACTTTCAGGCATTACACAGGCCCATCCCTTGGACTGCTTGATATTTTTGGGTTTGAAAAGTGTGAAGTAAATGGTCTTCAGCAACTCTGCATCAACACTGCAAATGAGCAGTTGGCACATTTCTACAACCAACATGTTTTTGCTTGGGAACAGGTAACTAGTTGATAAACATAGATGATTTTGATAAAGAATCCAAGGTCATGAAGGGTTTGTAACCAGTCAGGAATTATAAATGTCACATTGAACTAAATTAAAGGTGTGTGCATCATGTGATTGCAATTTGCTATGCCTTATAATCTGCAAGGGTACAGCATGATGTAAAGTAATTGACCTGAGCTAAAAAAATATTTTTTTGGTTTGCTTGCAGTAGCCTTTCTTTGCTTAAAGTTTTCAAAATAAAAAAAGGAAAAGTTTTAATATGATCTGACTATCAAAAATATTGTTATTTATTATTATCCATGTTTATAGGAGGAGCTTGAATCAGAAGGCCTGAAAACCCAAAAGATATCCTATTATGATAACAAGAAAGTTGTTGACCTTTTGCTTAATGTGAGTATAATATATCTGATTCATTTTGATTCTTATAAAATGCTTCCCTGAGAGACATATTTATTACAAAAATTAACATGCTGGAGAATTTTTGTAATATTGTGTTTATTTCAACTCATTTCATTTTAAACTTCAACCTGTAATTTTTTCCAAAATAAACCAACACAGTATTGTTAAGAAGGCCCACAATTACATTGTCATGATCCTATAAACATTCCATACTCCTGAATCCTATTTGGACAAGCTGCAGGTCAAAGACCTGTTTATTAGCAAGTCCTGGGGAAAAAGGTTTTGAATGTTGAACCACCAATAGTGTGAGCTGAAGCATAACATTTATAGCGATACAGATCTCTTGTTTTGGTTACTTTTCTTATATATATATATTAAGTCCTATATTGCAGTGTAGAAAAATTGCAGAAAATTGTTTGTTTATGGTTAATGTTAATACTTTAACTCTTGTGTAGAAACTGAGACAGCAAAAATTTTAAATTTTGGCATTTGCTTTACTTATAATTAACCTTTTGATGCTGTCGATTGATGTCAACTACAGCAGCCAAGTTAAAGCAACTACAATGTATTTACAGCACGTAAATTAAATATCTTGGCACATACAGTCAAATCTATACTGGAACCCCCATCTCCCATATTAAATCTTGGAGTCAACCCTTTCCCAAGTAAATCTATCAATAGGAAGGCTCCCGAAGGATGTTTTTAGCTCTAAGACCCAATAAAAACAGAGTTAAACCATCCTGTTGCTTTACGTCAAACATCTGCCCACACGCATGGGGCGGCGAGGTCGACTCGGTCGAGGTTGGGAATTAATGGTCTTTTTTCTCATGAAAAAGGCATTCTAAAAAAATCTGCGTGAGAAGGAAACACTCAGGAAGTCAGTGGTGTTAGAGGTTCCTGTTAATGGGCTCCCGGTTTTGCCACATATTACTTCTTGGTGACCCATACTTGCGTGTCAATGATGGATTTAATTTTATCTAGTTATTTATGATTGTATTTAAAATTTATTCTGATATTTTGCTCTTTGAATATGCATTACAGCCACCCCAAGGGCTGCTGCCAATTTTGGAAGGTGAAAGCAAAACAGCCCTTCCCACTGATGCAGCCTTCGTTAAAAAATGCAGTTCTGCTCATCGGAAGCACTCCAATTATGGGATGGCCAAATCACCTTATCCATCCTTCACTATAAGGCATTATACTGCTACCGTAAGTTGTTGGGGAAAAGAAGTCTTTGAGTGCTTCTGTAATAAATATAAATTGAAATAATTTAGAGAAATACGGTATATACTTATTCAAAAGTGTATACCACTCAGTTGTGTTTGATTGTTAAAGGTTATTTTTTTTCAGAAGTTTGAAAGCAGATATTTGGTCGAATCTGTCTTCTTTACCTAAGACAGATCAGAAGTCCAGATTTTTTATTTTATTTTGTAGGTGACTTATGTGGCATTGGGTTTCATGAACAGTAACAAGGAGATGCTGGGTGCAAGTCTTCTTCACTGCATGCAAGGTACAGTTCACTTAAGCACTCGGTAGTAGAAGGAGAGGCAAATTCGTATATTTCTTTAACCTATGATTAGTTAATTCCTCTTAAAAAAAAATGTTTAAGACTACAACTGGAATCAATCTTTCAAAAGTAATATTTAGTTTGAAGAATTATCCCAGAAGTATGAGTGAATATCGGGAAGGGCAGAGAAGGATGTGAAAGGTTTGCAAGAGCTTAGGTAAAATAATCTGCTCACTGTGAGAATTCGCAGCTTAGACCTTCCAGGTCTGTGGTAGTATTCTCTCCCAACTGAACGATTTTTTTCCAACAACTACCGATGATCACACCAGTCTTAAAACAACATTCCCATATTCATGTTGCTATTTATTTCCAGGAAGCAGCAATGAGTTTGTGAGTAGACTTTTTAGGGCTACCATTTCAGGGACAGGTTCATTATCAGTGCATCAAGAAAGGTATGGGAAAGAATGTCACATAAATGTAAATATATTTGCAGTGTCTCATCAAACAAACGTTTCACCACATTTCTGCACGAAAGGTTGAAGCACTGAAAATGTTCAACCAGGTGTGGGCTTCACTTTCTGGGAGATTCTATAATGTAATTGAGCTCGGAGCCTATCACACTGTTTACTTTACATTTTCTTGACCAATGTACTGCGACTGCAATTTTTTGTTCCTGAAAAAGTGGCACTTAAATAATGTTGATGCCGTTTTAAAGAGTTTGCATCGGTTTGCTTCCAGATCAGCGGTTCCGGAAATTTTGATGCAAATGAAGAAAAACAAAAAGTAAGAGAAAAGTATAAGTCTGAGTTAAATCTTAATTATAGTTCATAGTTTCTTTTTAATAATGAAAGCAAAGTTTTTACTGTAACAGTTGTAATGCCGTCAAACGGTCGAGTAGCGCGAAACTTAGAAACCTGTAACCCGCGCAAAGGAGGAAAAATAAATACAGAAGATTTGTGTCTGAAAAACTTGATGTCAGGCAAAATTATTCCCAAAATTTGAAACTTTAGTGGGAATTTTTGAGAGAAAACATTGGAAGCCATTGGAAAAAGTTAAATTTCATTTGTTTTCGTTTTCTTTTTTTTATCTATTGGCTCATATAGTGCGGCAAAACCATCATGAGCCCTGTTTACTTTTGAATTGACGCTCAATTTGGAATAATTCCGTTGGAAATTTTGCAGGCTGTTCTACCAGAGTCTGCAACACTCAAAGAAATTCTCACTATACGATTAGAAAGGCGAGGATTGGGGTTCCTGATTGGAGTATTTCGTGGGAATGATAATCTAAGAACGAATACGGTTTATTGAGTGTGGGGAAATTTAAATAGTTGCTTATAAAGATCTTAAAAATGTAGGCGAAATTCTTCGATATAGACAAACTGCAAGAGGACGAAAACTTTGAGATCGGTTGGGAGTACTTAAAATTTGTATTACATTTATGGCGAAATTGTTGTGAAGGTCCAGATATATTTTGCCTGTCGTTGTTGTTGTTATTGTTGTTGTTGATGTTTTAATGACTGATAGTCGTAATGGATGTTCTTAAATATTTTTGCAGGAATCCGACTTTAAGACACAAAGCAGCTGTGTAAGTAAATGAAAATGTGTTTAACAAGTCATTTTGTCGAACATGATGTCTTCAGCAAGATATTATAACAGTTTATAATCTCTTGTCTTTAATTAGACTGAAATGAGATAGCACCATTTTTTTAATTTTTAGCTAGGGTTTTGTGTTGCCCTTGGGGTAATTGTGCGAGTTTTTTTTCCGTTATCGTCTCTGTTCTAAGCTGTTTTCTTCGCTTTCTCTCGCTTTACTCCAAAAAATTATCACTTCAAATTCTTAATTGATATGGCGGCTTTTACATTCCTTTTTAAGAACTCTTTTATTTTTCTAGGAAGGTCGTACATGATAAACATGCAGATTGAAAATAACTATAATTTGATACCATCTAAATAAGGTGGCTTGCAATTTGGAAACGCTCTTAGAGACCCATACAGTATTGTTGTTTTACATACTCAGCGTGCAACACTTGACTGGTACAGAATCTCGTCAAGCAGAACGGGGTTTCCACACAACGGGATCCCAGTTGAGAGTAAGTATTCTTCAATGAGCGAAGACCAATTTTCGTAGCCATCATCAACTTTCACTCGGAACAAACGAAGAAAAGTAACAGAAAGAGCAAATGAACTGAGAGCGAACACTCGTAAATGGTTTCAAGCGCGGGAAAACGAGGGTGACAAAGTCGCGATTGGTTTAATTTTAGTTTTGCATATGATTGGCTGGGAAGATGGCGCGAGTTCTCTGGACCAATCAAAGAGCGATGCTCTAGATAAAGAAATCTGGGAATAGTTAAATAAATAGGCAAGAGAAGGGAAAGGTCAATCATTGACTCTAAAAGTAGTTAACTTTATATTATTTACGTACTTGTTGCTAAGGAGATGATTCGTACCGGGGACTTCGTTTTATAGAGGGAGAGTGTGTTATCCTTCCGAGTCTATTTAATAATTAATGAGACTTAACACCTTTCTGCAGGCTTCCATCGCCGAACTTATGAAGAAAATGTTGTCTTGTGAGGTGCATTTTATCAGGTTTGCTTTCTCTCTCCATGTAGGGAAACATTATAGATTACTTGTGTCATATTAATCTTTAAGTTTCCAAAGTTTTTTTCACCGATCGGTTCAATGTTTTTTCCTTTTAATGTAAAAACAAGGGGTGTGTATTAGAAGAATTTTTTAAAATACTTCTGAAACCGCCTCGTTCACAAACCTATGGCTAGAAATTAAGGACAAGAAATTGGAATTCGAAATGGCGTGATAGCACTATATCTCCAAACGATTAGTGATGTAGGAAACCTTACAAGTCTTGTCCTGCTGCGGAGAGAATATCGGCTCGTTAGTGAAGTACATACGACAGACCAAGAAGGACCTTTGCTTCAAAAGCTGCGTCATCAGTTTTGGACAATACTACTCTTGGACTAGGGAAAACTTTTCTTATTTTTTCATCTGCATCGTCGAGGAAAATTTGCCAATAAGCTTATAACGAAAAATTTGCAGTGCATTTAAGGGTCATAGTACATGCAGTAGTTTCGAAGTCTTGTTGCAAAGCTCGGTCAGTAGGCTTCGCAATGTACCTCTAACTTGACTGGGTGTTTATTAAACAGGTGTATCAAGCCAAATTCGTATCAGTCTCCCGACCGATTTGATCCCGACACGGTTCTCGCTCAAGTGAGGGCGCTGGCTGTGGTTCAGACGATTCAGATGAGGAATTTTGGGTTTCCTGTTTGGTTCCCATTTGATGTCTTCATCAAAAGGTTGACGTATCTGTTGTTTTGTTTCAGTAGTATTTCGCGCATGTGCGTTGGAATATAGAGCGGTTTTGTCCTGAGAAGTCAGAAATCTGCGGCAGGCATGGTCGCTCAAATTGCGATTAGACCTCCCTGATGAAAGTCAAATTCCGAGTTCAGGGATTTGGTGCCGAAAGGAAGACGTGACGAGAGCGACTTCGCACTTAGTTTCGTTCTCGCGCCTTAATTTCAGTACCAGATCTCTAAACCGAGAGAAATCAGAAATGGGCTAATGACTTTTCTTCTCTTTCGATTGAAACGTTTATCAGCGCCAACGGTTTGGGGTTAATCTTTGTGAAATGCAAAAATAAGACAGAGAGAAACTGAAAATAATAAACCTCTCAGCAAAGCCATAAATCTGAATCAAATTTCTCTTTAGATCTAGTTGTGAACAACCCTTCCCCTAATCTACGCCTGTAGTCTTCAGCTAAGCGGGCTCCATTCATTGAGATTTCTTTTAATAGGTTTGGCATCCTGGCTGGTCTGCCCTTAGGTGCGTTTGTGAAAGACAGTAATCAGACATGTCAGAAGATGCTTCGTCAGTTGGCAGGTTCTCAAGGTTGGAGAATGGGTAAAACTAAGGTACCAAGGGCTGATGTTTGGCTGTAATATTCTTTAACGTCTTCCCTAGCGAGCATTTGTAGCTTCTGTTCTTTTCGCTTTTGATGTTGTCTTGAAGCCTTTTTTAATTGCGGTAGGTGTTTTTGAAGTATTGGTGTTTAGAGAGGCTGTACACACTCCTGGATCGCTTCGACTCTGTGGCTGTCGTTATACAGAAAGGTAAAACCGCTCAGTCTTTGGTTTCCAAATGAGGTATCCTGCACTAAATGCATTCTTAGGGTATTACCCACTCATTAATTTCTTTACGATCTCATCGCATTAAATGCAGCACGTGATGCAAACTCAGGGGAAGGTTATCCGCCGAGGTACTCGTATGATTTGACATCTATTCAACCATAGTTTATTACCTTGGAAAATCCAGTCACGTGATAGAGCACTCCTCTAACTTTTCTTTAATTCCATCTTTGATTGATCATAAAATCTCGTGCTACATCCTAAGCAAATCAGATATACAACTTGCCCAGGTGCCGTTTCCCGCGCTTTGACCTAGTCACGTGAGCTTGCTTTGGGTGCTTATTGGCTTCTTCTGATATTTGACTGTGTTCTGGCCGTTGGTTGTGATTTCCTTAGGCTTGACTTGATGAACAAATGCTCCTAAAAGTTCGCACCTATTGCTTTATCGTAGAATATTACCCCGATTTCTCTAAAAGTTTCTCAGGTGCCCTCGAATCTTCGCGTGAAAGGGCCAAATCAATGAGAAAGTAAACTTTACAGAAGTGTAAGGAGGCAACTAGTTACTTAGAGGGACCAGCTCAGGTGGTTACTTGCGTATCGAGTGTGCAGATAAGCTAGGCACAGCCATTTTTCTTGGTACAACACATCTACTGAAATTTTTTTAAAACATGATAGACATCCCATTTTTTTTTTCTTCAGTTGTCAGAGGCTGGCAGGCAAGGGCTCTTTATTCCAGGCTGAAACGGCTGAAAGGGGTACAGGAAAATAATGTGAAAAGTTTCCTGAATACGGTGAGTGCAGCATTAAACCGCAAACTTTCCAAGAGGAGTTGTAAACAAGATTTCATGTCATAATGAAAAAGCAATCTTGGCATAACACCGCACAGTGGTAAATTCTTCTGAATCTACATGTATAATTAGATCTCTCCACGCTGGCCATCTTGGTTACAGAGGAGAGTGACTGTTGTAGAGAGGAGGCCGTAATTTTGTTTATTGTTTTCTTCGTTGTTATTTTGCAGATCGGCGGTCGAAGTGAGACGATGTTTCAACATAACACCAATCAAGTCAAGGAGGAGGACTCAAAACAAATACATAAACAAAACGAGGTAGTGTTTGAACTAGCCAGCGGTACAACTATAACAGAGGTTAAGCATATTTTCCACACCAAGGAAAAACCTGAACTTAATGCTGTCTGCCCAAAGCCGTTCTTGGATTCAAGAGAAGACAGTTCTTGCATTTACTGTGGCCAAAAATATATTTTTGGTATTGTCAGCAGGGTTATATGAAAAGTGGGTGAAGTTAAACCATACTTCCACCTTTTGCAACGAGCATAAACGAGAGAGTTTACAAAACTGATAGCGCCAGCGCCGGCTGGAAATCACCGGCATGGCGGATATTTATGGAATAAAGCGAAGAAGGCTTCACAAGTTTTGCTTAATGGTTATTTTTTCCGGTCCAGATTGCGTGTATTATTATAAGGAACATGTACTTTAATCAGGTAAAGAGAACTTCATTGCAAAACCGCTTAAACTTCACATTGAGAAACGTTTTACTTTATTTATTTATTTATTTGATATAAGTAATTATTATATCATTATCAGATCATCACCAGGAATATCTCGAAGATACTCCTGGTACTGACCTGAAACCCCGAATTTATATTTAGTACGCTTGGGTTGCCTGTGGTTTTGCATATGATTGATTAACGGGTTGTTTTTAGTTTTCCTGACCAACCACAAAGTGTATAGAGGGAAATCACTGCAATCATGAATTAGTTTGGATACTCAGTTGATTATTTCTCAATGTCTACACATCCTAACATACCTAAGAACTGATGAATTTAATTCAATCTTTTGTCTAGATGGCCAATGTGAACAGACAGGCATGGAGCCCAAACCTTCTGAACCAAAAGAGTCCATCGACATCCTCACAAACGTCAAGTATGTAACTAACTGCGCCTTTTTACTTCATAAATTGGAGGAAATAGACTTAATGTGTGACACTTCTCGTTGTAACAATTGGTTCCAGTCCAGTACTATATAACAAGCTCCCAATCAGGGTTAAGACCATTCGTTGCACTGCACATCTTTATTTCACTTTACTTCACGCGTGATTTGTGCGCGCAAACTGAACAGTGTCGAGTCTTGAAAAAACTGGAAAGTGACGCAATTCCGTAATAACATTTTTGCGGGCCTTGAAAATGATATGGTTTTTATTTTGCGTTATGGCAAGTTGTGAAAAACTGGTGAAATTGAAATTTTTAATGAAATAACCTATTTTATAGAAGCAGCCTTAATAACATTTTTTTACCCAATTGATACTGTATTTGAAACTATCCAGTCCTTTCAGTATTCTGTTTTGATTTAGGTGATTAGTTTTCGTTTTAATTTTTTTTCTCTGACGTGATTTTTCCACAGGTTTCGATTTCCCAGATGCAGGCTCACCAACAACTTCCCCTCGCCCCAATCCTCCGCAGCAGAGAATGTCTGACTTATCACTGGGTTCTGTCTCCGATATATTCGGCCCAGACTCTCCTACAAGTCCCGATCGTCCTCAGTCGAGAACGTCTAACTTATCAGTGGGTTCTGTGTCTGATGTATTCAGCCCAGACTCTCCTACACGTCCCGGTCCTCCACAGTCGAGAGCGTCTAACTTATCTCTGGGTTCTGCCTCTGATCTATTCGGCCCAGACTCTCCTACACGTCCCGGTCCTCCACAGTCGAGAGCGTCTAACTTATCTGTGGGTTCTGCCTCTGATCTATTCGGCCCAGACTCTCCTACACGTCCCGGTCCTCCGAAGTCGAGAGGGTCTGATTTGTCCATTCTCTCCACTGGATCCACGTTTTCAAATGTGAGTTTTCATGTAAATCAGCATAGCATTGGAGCGCTAAATTTACTGAGCACTTAAAATTCTTCTTGAAACTGGTTTATAGCATGGTTGAATCGGCTATTGTGATTGGTTAAGTGAGAGGTCACAGTGATCCAATCGAGCCCACTCTAGATCACCCTGACCTCTCTTGCACAAAGCGAAACTCTATAGTGCAGTATGCGGAGCTTTCAACTCAAACGTTTCTCCATTTATCATTAGGAATCTGAAACAGAATTTGATGCCGCACCCCTGGTTTGGTGTAAAATAACTTGCTACGAGAGAGAAATTCCTCTAAGTGAGTTCTCCATCGATCGTCCGTCAATCGTAATCGATGGCTCCAAGAACGCTTTTGACGTCACAAGGTAATTAATACTGAGAATCTTCTGCGCAAAAGTGGAGCATTATTTATTTGACAATATCCTCCCCCAAGGGACTCAAAAAATCCCTCCCCGCATTGTCTCCCCCCCCCTCTAAAGAGTCAAGTAACACGCAATAAAATTATAGTATACACCATGACATTAAAAAGTTTTCGAGGGAACTTCGTTACAGGAAAATATTATTAGGTTACATTTATTTCGGTGTAGTGTGTAGTTGGTTTTACTTGCCTCAAAAATCTATACTGTCATACCTCCCCTACAATCACTTTGTCGCCCTAAATTGTCCGCTCCTCTCAACTTTCTCTGCTGCTCTCAAGAGAGCCTGAACTTCACGGTGGACGTTAACGGTAGTTGTCGTAGCTTTTCCTCGTCCCAAACCTCGCGCTTTCTCGAGCCCTGTACTTTCGTTAATCGAGATAAGAGTAGGGTTGTTTCATTGATTGAAAGAAGAGGAAAATGACCATCTCAGTCACAACGGCTAACCAGGACAAGGGAGCTGTTTAAGGAAGCCACTCGGAGGTCTAACGTAAGGCAATGCAACTGCCTCGAAAAAAAAGCCGAGCGACCAAATAGCCTTGTATCTGATTGGTTAATGGAGGATATTACGATATTCTTGACCAATCACTGACTGTGGTAAGTAAATCAATCGATATGTTCTCAGTCTTTACCGGTTTTTCACAGGATCGGCCTCGGAGCGTTACCACCAAGTTCTGACCCCAAGATTACAAGACTGCGGAACTACGTTGGAAAGGTGAGTCTATTGAATTTCTTTCAAAGACAAGCTGACAATCCAACGCCTCCCGGGGGGGTGGAAGTTGAGTCTGGGGTGTCTCTTGATTTTGTTTTTAAGGGAGACACCTGCTCTGGTATTGCCTCTCTTCTCTCCTCCCATGAAAATGAGTGGGTACTAACGGACTGTCACTGAAGCTTGACGAAATTCAGGGGGTGACTTGTAAGTAACAAACATCTCATCCAAGAAGTGTGGCAATACCTTTGTAAAGAAATTTCATAATCTATCCCTCTACAAAATCCTGTCACTTTGATTGTTTACGAAATTTGGTCGGACAAGTGTTATTTCTTCTGGGAATGAAGCGTTTGTACTCATGTTTTCAGGGAATAGAGATTGTGAACGATGAGCAAGGAAACGTATGGGTGACTCGAGGAAGCAAGAACCACATTTTTGTGAAGGTAGGAAGAAACGCACTATTACGTTCTCCGTACTGTGGCGTAGTACTCTACAGAAATTCTCACATCAACGGTTGTAGGGAATCAGAGCTTACCGTATGAGTGTTTCTGCACGCAAAGCACGCTAGCGAAGACCCACACGCAAGAAAACATACATAAAGGCCAGTTAAAATCAATAGACTAGAGCTCCGCTTTCAGTTGTATTTCAATATCACCACTTGCCGTAAATCGACGGCCGAGATGTAAGATTTCTCCTTTGGATAAATAATTCTTTAAGCAAGAAAGAGTGCTATTTAAGTGACGGGTACTGAAGATTTCAGAAGGACTGAAATTATAAGGAAATTACAGTCAGAAATTGTTTACGTTCTCAGACGTTTGCGCGACAGTTACTGTTGACCTGCCAAGGTAAATTATCTTAAGTCTAAAAACTCAATGTCTTTGTTGGCAGGGTCATTTCCTATCCGAAGAGGTGATCGCTTCAACAGGGGTCCTAGAAAAAGATGTCACTCTTAAGGTACGTTTCTTTCGATGTGCACTATGGGTACAGAGAAATGCCCCCCCCCCTTCCTCCCCTTTCTGTTCATATCCCATTTTGCGTTTCTCTTCTCCTACTTACGACGTTACGCAGTCCATGCGGTCGTCGCTTCAACTAAAATAAACTATGTAATGGGTATTTCAACCCCAGTAAGCTTAACTTTTTCTTCATTATTCTTTGAAAAACAGAGTCGTCCGTCACATCTTATTTTTCATGTTGGTGGTGCATATTAGCTGTTCAATAAAACTATACCCCTTGGTCTGGTTCTCATGTTTATTTCCTCTTATCAACCGTCTCTGTTTTTTTTTTGTTTTGTTTTGTTTCAATGTATTGATGCTATGAGATGGTAACAGTGATGAAGGGAGGGTACATAAAGAGGATTAACTCGGGAAAATCCCAGAGAAAACTCAGTTAAATTTTACATCATGTTGTCAGAGGAATCGCTAGATCGTTAAAGTTTCATGTAGGGGGAACTCACTTTTGAAGGTCATTCAGGATCGTGTGATACCTCAAGTAAATAATATTTCTATTCAACAATGACAAGGGAGTTATTCCTCGTCGACTTCACGTGCTTTGTGTGGTGCAAGTTTATAAAACTTTAACGAAGGATCAACGCGTGGAATTTGTTTCATAATCTTTTTCTTTCTCTCTATTTTGTCAGGTTTTTGATTGGGAGTCTTTTGCAGCCCTAGTTCAGTATCACTGCCTTGAGCCCAAAAACTTTGATTCTGATATTGAGGAAAGGATTTTGTCGAGTACCTCGGTCTACTTCAGTTTTGTGAAAGATGGCGAGGATGATGTCAACACGCCATGTTGGGCTCAGCTTGATGTTCTGTCTGCCTTTAATCAAGCTAAAGGTAACACATCGTGTTTTACGTTGAAAATCTTAAACCATAGACGTTTCTCCAAAAGCGTTACCAGGAAAGGAATCGTCCAATTTTTTCATAAAGCGGAGAGGGAATTGCATAAAGTGCATGGAAATGAGGGCAAGGTAACTTACATACAAGCGGGTGAACGAAACGCAAACAATTGATTCTTATCATTTTTGAAGCTTTTGATTTCACTCTTAGAATCTTCGTACCCCATACTTTGTACTGGCGGCTCGAGACACGCCGAGAGTGGTGTTCTTCAGGAATTAGACTTCAAATTTCAAACAAGAATCCCTGTTATCTTTTAAGCGAAAGTTTCCTTAGTGTCGAAGGCTCGTTCATCTATCAACTGATAGTTTTTGCAATAGCGCTTGATTCAAATTGACAGCAGTTATTAACGATAACATGGAAGACGCGGGAAAGGTTTCTCGCGTAAAGCGACCGATTTTGACTAGTAGGTTGACTTCTCAAGGCCATGTAGTGCACATTATAATTTATCGCTCGAGAAAGATCTTTGCTGTAAATTAAAATTACGACGAAATTTTCTGGAAAGTCGGCTAAGTTGATTTCACGATGTTTCTCTTTCCAGCTGCCTGTAAATATGCCCGCGAAAGAAAACTCCAAGAAAAACAAAAGAAGCAGAATGCACTGCCACCGATTCTTCGTCCCAAGACGAAGAAATCCCGTGAGTTAGCTGCTGTAGCTAATTTCCAAGAACAGATTCGCCCCAGACGTTTCGTTGACACGGAAAAATTAAACCGGAAGGCATGGGCGCGAACGGAAGTGGTCATGAATCCTTTTCTTTATGGTAAAAAGGAAAACCTCGCAATTATGAAAGTGCTTCAGAAGGAGACAAATGGGGAATCCAGAAAAAGTCTCGATACTGCCTCTCCCAAGTCCCCTTCTGCCGTATTTGGCAACAACAATGACATGACGGACGGGGATCCTGAGCAGATCACTGTTGTGATTGACAAGGTGGATGATGTTGGTGAAATGTTGAGTCAGGAGACACATACTACAACCATACAAAAGCCTGGTCGCGAAAAACCCGGCAAGAAAGTCTGGGCCAAGAAAAAACATGCCGAGGACAAAGCTGATAAGGCAAAGAAAAAATCCTCCTCAAAGTTCAGATAAAGCCATTATTCTAAAGGTTCCCGTTTATTGTCAGGCGAAATGGAAGAACATTGCGTGTCACGACTTTTTTACGACAGGATCTTAAATAGTGTAATGATATGTAGCCTCTCTTTCTTGCTCCAGCGCGACCTGAGTGATTGTCACGAGGTCCTATTTTTCGTCCTAGACCCCTTGCTGGGTAAACGCAATACATGTGCTGGAAATTATTTTTATATACACTTTTATTTATCGGTACGTCACAGAAAAGGAAAAGGAGGGTTTTATATTCTGTTTTCTTAATTGGAATGCGCGACACATTTTTAGCGTGACTGTTTCCAATCAAAATCTTAGGTATTGCTCGGATGATTATTTAATAGATATCGTAATTCGACTATTACTAAGTTTCCACGGGAAAATCCGAACCACTGTCAGGGCTAAAACTAGCACAACTGTATGAATTAGTCTTTAGTTTTCGACGACAAGAAAAATTGCATTCTTAACCTTGTATTGCAAAACATTTTTAAAAGCGCGTGTTTTGTCTTCCCTGTAAGACCTTTCCTTCTTTAAGACCGCTTTTGCATTCATTTGTTATATATGCGCAAAATGTATAGATTATGTGGTAACTTAGTAGTTTTGTAATACCAGTAATTTTTCTTGATTATTCTATATTTAAATTTCGCAAAATCATGACGCGAGACTTGCAACCTATTGTAGTACTATAGGTATCGCTCGAAAAATATTTTTGGAGGGTTAACCGTACTGGGATTGTAACCATGACCTGCTGGATCAGGGGAACAGACAATTATTTAATAGAAAATTGTTTGTAGCTGAAATTATTTATGCTGGGTTTGATTATCGATAAATTAAAGTTCTGTTTATGGCAAGCCTTTATCGTCTTTATTTCTCCTTGTCAAAATTACTTTATGTTATGCACCTACCGCGAGGCCGTAATTCCGTTCCGTAAGGGGAGTTTAATAAGCGAGAGAAATAATGTTCGGAATGCTTTGACAGAAACATACACGAAACAAGTTACCCCTGTTAGAAACAACTTCCAGAGAAAATTGCACAATAATTCGCCCACAGCTGAATACCGTATCAGTAAAACTTCTTTTAATGATGAAACTTAGACACAAATGGCGTGATGGATAAAAGCAGAACGAAGAAGCTTCTACCCGCTTTTCGAAGTACGTAACATTCGACATTTTCCCATGCCTTTTGATATTTCTTGCGAAATCCAATCCATTCCACTTGTGTGGCAAAGGAACCCCTTTCGGGCTTATTAGATATTCTTTCACTATCCATGCTCGTGACCTGCTGGAAGCCTTTTCTAAATCCGGCTTTTAAGTTTCAAAGAAGAAAAAATAAGTGAGCAGGGTTTTAGGAATGTTTTCAAAGCTATTGCAAATTGCAGTGCGTTTCAATCTCCCTCAGGCCGTCAAGGCTCCTGTCTCCCTTGAGTGGTCCGACTTTTTTTTTTTTTTTCATTTTATAACTTAAAACCACTGCAATCAGGATATGGATACTTAGACCTATAAATATAGAATGAAAATAGTAAATAAAGGCGATTCCTCGTACTAAATTGCTCAAAACAGTCAACCATCTTTACCAGGGAGGGGTCAGTGCAGAAGACACCTGATTTATGCGCCATATATGGCGGGAGAGTGCATGCGTGTAAACATGCCCACGTGATTTGGTACAACATGGCGGCATGTGGCTGGCGAATTTGGCCCAACAGGAGTCAGGTATTCGAAGACTTAGATCGTTTACACTGCCGGTAATTTGTGATTGCAAGCCATTTTTCACTCTTCTTGAATTCCACTTTCACGTTCAGGAAATCTGGGTACTTGCTTTGAGACGGAGTTCAGCAGATCTCGCACGTCCTTGGGTTAGATCCCAACGTAGAATTAGTTGTTTATGATTTCCAATTTACGTTCTTTTCCGTATGAAGACGAAGGTTTCAGCTGATACCAGTGTAGAAGGAGTGCCTTCGAAAACAACTACTGCTACCACGATTTCAAACACTGCACAATCGAGCGTCTGGTCAATATGTGACATATCAACTGACCCACACGTCGAGCTACGAGACATAACACCGTCAATTAGTCCAGTGTTTACCGACGATCAAGTGCACGAACTGACTCAAAATCCTGCCGAAATGGATGTGTTGAGCGAGCATTTTCTCCCGCATGATACTTTCAAACGAATCGACGAGGTTCTGAGCTCGAGCGGCGAAACGAACCTTCTGTACACTGATCCAGAGCTTAGTGACTCATTGAAACAAAACCACGATGTTCTTTTAACAGGCGAACTTGGTTTCCATGGAACCATGTTCCCATCGTTTGATTCAATAGTTGAAGCAGATAGGATACTGAACAAACGAGACGAGTCATCTCCAGTAAATAGTGCTGAAGAAAATGTTTCACAGGCTGGTGGTTCTGATAACGTTAATTGGCCTAAGGACCGTGCAGAATTGAATAAAACCACAGGAAATCCAGGAGATGAGAAGCAGGAGGATGACAACAAAGGTGTGAGGCGTTCTCCTCGAAAGCGTGTTCAGGTTAAAAAGGATTCAGATGCACAAAAAACAAGCAACCTAGCTGGAAAAACCATCTCAAGAGGCAAAGATATATCAAAGCTAAAATATGCAAAACAGCCTGAAGAAGAAGAAAAGAAAGAGGTACGCAGAAGTGGCAGGGCGCAGAAAAAAGTGGAAAAGGATGACAGTGATGCTGACAAAAAAGGGAAAGACAAAGTTGTAAATAACAAAAAGAGAAACGCAAAGGAAGATGCAAAGGCACAAAAAGCATCTTCACAGCCAGAAGACTCTTCTAAAAATGTGCGAAGGTAAGCCCTCTCAGATGTTTTTCATTTTCTTGTTTTTCCTCTTTGCCCCTATGCCAGATCTGCAGGCTGCCCTTAACCCTTTAAATCCCATCAGTGACTGAGACAGAATTTCTCCTTAAGTATCAATACATTATCAAGCAGACAGTTGATTAGAATATAGAAGAATCTCAATCAGGGGATTACAAGTTGATCCAACACAAAATTCTCAGAACTAACATCACAAGACTTGTATGATAGATAGTAAGGAGAATTAATAATGAGATCTGGGAGTGTAAGGGTTAAATGTCTGCTATTCTTTACACACTTTACACACTGTTCCACCCTGTGACAGGCATCTCAGCCTAGGTCATTTGACATAGCCGAGATGCACTGAATCGTTACATATCTTACCTTATGGAAGGTTGAAAGTTATTTACTGCAGAACCATATTAGCAGTAGTCTGCCTGCCTCCCCATCTGCTACAAATTTATTTTTTTAAACCCAAATCTTATGTTACATGTACAATGTCTGGATCAGCACTTGAAAAAATAGCATGATAATTGACCCAAGGATGAGCAGCATCAATGTAACTTGTCTCCCACAATGCTCTGTGATACATGCTTGTTATATTTTGTTGCCGAAGATTTCATGCTAGGAGAAGATCTCTTTGCATGTTTATCTCATCCAAGGATCACCACAGACACCATTGAAATGCAGATAGTTTGGTACAGAATAAAATTGTTAAAGCGTGAAATCGCCATCCTCCCTCTTACCCTTCAACATTCATGACTGACCAAGACAATAATATCATTACAATATTAAACAGACAAGTCATGAGTAGAAAAATAAAATATCAATTTGGGAATTACAAGGAGATCCAAAACCAAATTCTCAGAATGAACATTATAGCAATTATGTGGCAGAGTGTAAAGAGAATTACTACTTAGAACATTGGAGTATAGGGTTAATCCTTGTGCAGTAAATGGCAAATAATAAACATTAAATTGCCTGCTTTCCACTACTTGCAAATTTGGGTGCCATTCTGGACATTTTAAATAGGTAAATTAACAGATTAAATTCAAGATAGTTGTTTAAAACCCCAATTAGAGATGTTGAAAAACAACAAATATTAACCCTTTAACTCCCATAAGTGACCAAGACAGAATTTCTCCTTACAATATCAATACAATATCAAGCAGACAAGTGATGAGAATAAAGAAAAATATCAGTTAGAGGATCATTAGTTGATCCAATACAAAATTCTCAAAACTGACATCACAAGAACTGTATGACAGACAGTAAGGAGAATTACTAATGAGATCTTGGTAGTCAAAGGGTTAACAAAACAAAGGAGAAAAAAGCTGAAAATGAGCAGTTAGCTATTTACTTGGTGCCTCTGAGGAGTTCAACTCAGGAAAACCAAAAGACATACAATTGTGTAGCCTAGTGAAGAAATTCTGCTTGAAATCTCCAGTGGTCAACCTATTACCCTTTAATAGGACTTAATTTTTTTAAATATAATATAATTTTACATTTCTTGTAGGTCACCCAGGAATCAAAGCAAGGCTTTTGTGGAGGCAACGCAGAAAACAAACAAAAAAGCTCCAAGAAAACTTCAGGAAACAAACCCTGAAGATTCAGATGGTAATAAAGAAGAGAGCAATGATAAAGAAAGCAAATCTGATGAAACTAGATCAAACACAAAGAGAAGAAATAGGAAAACAGAAATTTCTGAAGAGGCAAAGAGTGGACCAGAGGAAAAAACAGTTATAAGAAAAAGTGGAAGGGTGACTAGAAATAGAGGAAAACAAACTAAAGAAGAAGAAGAGAAGGCGACAGAGGGAAAGGTCAAAACAAAGGTGAAAAAAACTAAAGAAGAATCTCACAATGAACTGAAAACTGGAGAAGCAAAAGTCAAAGACAGTAGCAAAACAGAGATTACAATTAATGAGTCAGATATAAAAGAAGATGATCAAGACATTTCTAAGAGGACTGCTGGTAGTTCTGAGGCGAAAGATGATAAAAGTATATCATTTGCCAAGAAGGAAAGAGGAGGTGACATAGAAGAAAAAGCTGTCAGAAAGAAGACAGCGGAAGTGAAAGTTGAACCATCTGAAAACAAGGAAAATGAAAATAAGAGAAGTAGCAGAAGACAAGAAAGAAAGACTGTGGATAACTCAGAGAAAAATGCTGAAAAAGGTGAACAATTGGAAACATCTATGGAAATTAATTCCACACACAACATGCAAAAAACTGATAAAAGAGAAAGTCTGCTAAGTGAAGGCAATACAAAGTCTGATAAAGAGGACAAAAGTGTTGAGAAATCTGTTAAAAAAGAGGTCACTGCTCATGATTTAACAGACGAGGAAGCTGTCGAGGATTCTAAACAGGATCCTGGGAAGAAAGACTTGAAAGAAAGCAAAGAAGATAAAGAGTCAGATGCTGAGATGGACTCAGATAACAATGAGGAGGTTAACGATGACTCAGATTATGATCCAGAGTATGATCCAGATCGTTTGTGGTGCATCTGTAGAAAACCACATGGTAACAGGTAAGATCATGTTAGTTCACTGTACCAGACAGGATTTAACCCTTTAACTCTCAGATCAAATTTGTAATTATCCTTACTGCCAACCATGTAAATCTTATGATGTTAGTTCAGAGAATTTAGGAATGGATCAACCAATTATCCTCAAATTGATATTTTTCTTTATTCTCATCACTTATCTGCTTGATATTGTATTGATATTGTAAGGAGAAATTCTGTCTTGGTCATTCATGGGAGTTAAAGGGTTAACAGTTAGATTCCATGTTCCTATCATATGACTTCAAATGTGATATGAAGAAAAAAGTGGTACACATGGTGTAGCTGAGTGTGTCACTGATGCTCTCACCTTATTTTGACATCTTCAACATGGAATCTCTTTGTTTTATATCATATAAAAGCAAAAAATGCCAATGTGCTCCAACAGATCATTTGCAAGAACAAATTAAAATACAAGCACGATTCAGCTTATTATGTAAAGATATATATATATATATTGTGCAAGAGACAGAGGGGTTTTTTCACATTGTGCAAGAGACAGAGGGGTTTTTTCACCTGCACGGCCGATTACCCACACTGGCCGATTATTGCATAGGCCAAAAAAAAAGTCAACAGATTACCTGCACTGGTGGATAACCCACACGTTATGTTATTCAACTTTTTGGTGGCAAAAACGTGACATTAAGGTGATACATTTCAGTCTTTTAAAAGTTGTCTGATCTAACTTTTGAAAGCGTGAATGCTTATTTGTTGAGTGTAAAGGTCAAAGAAATTCAGACACATGCACAATTCTGTGTCAATATTAGCATGTACTTTATTGATAAAATCATACAGAAAAAACACTGAGATCAAGCTGATGATTTTAAGTGGGCAAGCTATGTTATGAAATCTACAGTGATTTATACATTGATAACCAATAGCAACATATTGAACAGCAAAGATCAGTACATGTGCTTGTAATATTTTAAGGTCATCATGTTAATTGTTTGTGATTTTTTAGGTTCATGATTTGTTGTGATCGCTGTGAAGAGTGGTTTCATGGGATGTGTGTTGGCATAACAATGGCTCAGGGACGGCAAATGGAGAAGAACAGCCAAGACTATGTCTGCCCTAAATGCAAAGGTACCATCACTGTAGAATAGAATAAAATAGCTTTGTTTGGATAGTAATGTTGCAGTCCCCATACTGAATTACATTGGAAGATAGTTCTAACTGAAGTAATGGTATCAATTTTTTTGACATGCCAGCAAAAATAGAAGAAGAGTGCAGCAAGGAAGCCAAAGCAACATCAGGAAGATCTGAGGAAGAGAGCAGAGATGTCACTTATACAGAAAACACAGGAGAATGTCGTCCTCGCAGAGAGCGCTCGCTTAAGATGAAAATCCCTGGCGAACCAGAGACAAGAAAGCGGCGACATATCAGGGTTGAAATGAATGAGGTATGTGCATGTATAGCACAAGTGTTTGTGCAACCAATCGCTTTTGTTCAACAATTTCAGAAGTTCACAATATTTTATTAATGCTCTATATGACCAACACACATTTAGAGAAATGCCTTATTCTTTTAAACAATGTATCCAGTAAATTGAATCCATCATTTGCATTGTAGATGGAACTTTTGCTTAAAAAGCAGAAATCTCACCTGAAAGAAGTCTTTTACCCCTTGACACTTGAGAGTGACAAGCAAATAATTTCTCCTTACAATATCACCCCTCAATCACACATTAAGATCATGAGAGTAAAGAAGATGATCACCAACTAAAGAAACTCTTGATTGTTAAACAAATTCTCCTTTTCAGCACCCTAAAAATGTATAGGAAGCTGTAAGGAGAATATGCATACTGGTGTTAGGATATAAAGGGTTAAATTTTTTAACCTAAGGGGTTGAACAGTGTCCTTGGTATTGCATACATTGACCTGGTTTAGTTTTAACAATTAATTGTAAGTTTTGTTTCTGTTAAGGATGACAGTAGCAAAAGATCTAGAGATTCTAAAGGAGAAACAAGAGATGAAAGAAGGAAAAACGTCCCAGAACACAAAAGCTTCAAAATACCCAAGAAGGTGAAGTCTATTCCCACCATTTATAATGGTAATAGGATTGAGTGGAGTCCAATTCAGTCTGGAATCGTGTGATTGGTTAACAAAATTGTACACTTGCAAAGCAGGAGTCCAATTTGTTAACAACGAGTATGATTACAGACACAATTGGATAGCATGAAGTCCAGTTACCAATTAATCAAAACCATGACAAAATTTGAGAAAGAAACCAGACATCGGTTGTACATTTTCATAACAAAAACAAAACAATTAACTTGAAATGCAAGACAACAGTGCAGCATTAAAAAAGAAGACATACTTAAGATCTTTTTGTTGCTACACAGGTGAGGACAACACCAACTCCAGCATCATACATGCATCATCCCACCCAGTCGCACTGTGTGGCCACTGATTGTTCTAAACTTGCTGATTATCAATCTGTTTACTGCAGTTCAGACTGTATGCAAAGGTAAGATTGGTATGAATGTTAATGGTAAAATAATCCCCTGTCATGTATTTACCACAATGAAGTGAAAAACTTTTAGGTGAGTTGTTGTTAACAAGTCCTTTTTCCACTGAGTTACTCAGTGAAGGTGGTTAACCTTGAGTCTAAAAGCTAGAACAAACTCTGACAGTGCCATAAGCAGTACAACTTTAAAGGATGGTGTGATTGCTTTCATTTGAGTGATCAAATAGTAGAGTGATACCTACAGACATGCAATGATATTAGTTATACCCAGCTGCACAACAGTTTTTGACAAACTGCTAGAGTTCATATCATTTTAAGGTCAATCTCTGTCAAGTCAGTTCCAAAACACAAGTCCAAATTCCCATCTCCATGTTCCATGGTGCATCACAGTATACCCATCCCTACCAATATCTGATTAGTAATTCTCCTTACAGTCTGCTATACAAATCTTGTGATGTTGGTTTGGAGAATTTGTTATTGGATCAACACCAATAATCCCTTTATTGGTGTTTTTCTTTTTTCTCATTACTTGTCTGCTTGATATTGTTTTGATATCATAAGGAGAAATTCTGTCTTGGTCTCTCATGGGAGTTATACTGTAAAGGGCCAAATTAGACCTGTTATGATACATGCACATACAAAATGATTTGTAGTTCAGTGAAGGCCATTAGGATGCTATTTGAAATAAAAAGCAAAGTCATTGCATGGTAAGAATCCTTGTAAATAGCTTTGTTTTCACATGTGAGAGATTCAGTTTAACTGTTTAACTCCTAAGATCTGATTGTTAATTCTCCCCTCTAGCTGATACACATTTCCTATTAAATTGGTTACAAGAAGTTGGTGTTAGGTCAAGATAACAACATCTACCTGATAAGTTCGAGTATTCTCATTACCTGTTTGCCAATTACTGTATGGATTTTATAGGGAGAAGTTACATGTTAATCCCATCTTGGAGTTAAAGGGTTAAGAAGAAATGTCAAGCAAAGTATAAGGCATTCTTGAGTAGGCTTATTATTCGTCTTGGTTGAATTTTCAGACATGCTGAGGAATCTTTGAAAATAATCATGGAAGAGAAGAAAAAACGAATGGGGTGCAAATCCTCCGTGCCCACATCCAAGAATGTCACGTCACCAACAGTGAGTCTGTACTTTTTTTTTTCACAATATGTTTATCCAAGTGGACACTAAGGGCTGTCTTGAAAGGCACTTTCTTTGGCAAGGTTGACCCTTTTAAATGCCACTGGTACCAAAAAGGAACTTCTTTCAAAACAGGAACGTATTCCTCCTCCAAAACAGGAGGTCACTGATTGAATTGCAAATCTGAGGTGGCAGTAAGTTTGATGATTATCAGTTAGGGAGCATGGATGACAAGCCAGCATACAGTTAAAAAAGAACAGTAGTACCAAAGCAGCACTATAGACTTTCTGTTTATATGAGTACTCTAACATCAAGGCACTGCCAAGGTAACCGGGATTCTTTTGTGGATGTGGAAAGACAGTGACGTGTACCGTACAGGCAGCTCTCGGGGCATCTTGAAATATGCAACATTTATTATTTCAGGTCAACATTTTATCTCAATAACAAAAAGAGCACTCTTTTAATTTCATGGTTTAGTCAAGTCTGCTAGGGCCAGTCCCTTGGAATTCTGAAGCAGCCCAAGTCTCCTCACAGACAGAATCTGCACAACTCAAAGAGGGAATAGCAGTCATTGAGAGGTCCACTGGGCGGGTGATTGCAGGTGTGGCAGCACCCTGTCAGGAGGAGTTAGTTGATTGGCTGCATGATCATCCTACATTTGAGGTGCTGCGGCCATCAGGTTTGTAGTTTGAGATCAACCATTTACATCTGGAAATAGGAGAAAAGTTGTCCCTGAGGACCACAATCTGTGTATTATTTTTTCGGGTAAAATCATTTATCGGAAATAATTAGGTGGAATTCCTGCTCTTGTTCAGATAGACAGGAATAGGGAAATACATGCAATGTGACCAACAGGATTATTTCCAGGCTTTTAAACTGATGCATAACTCACTGTATTTCCTCTAATAATTACGTGGGCGATGATTTCAAATTTCTGCTAAAAGGAGGGGTGCTCATGGAGAGGAGTGCACTTAATTGAGGGGGGCTCTCCTGTGCTTATTCCATTGCAGTTGAAGCTTGAGAAGTTATAAGTAAAGTGGCAATAGGAACAGGTTTTCCTTGTATCCCCGCTATTTAAGAAAGTGAGGAAGGAGGCACTTATTTGAGAGGGATGCTTGTTTGACAGTGTGGCCAAGGGGTTTGGCGCTCATTAGAACATGGGCACTCATTTCAACGAAATTGGGTACTTAAATTCATATTGGTTCTTGTGGTGGAGATGAACTTGGGAACTCTCTTGCCTTTCTGCCGTGTATTTCTTTAAACTTAGTCAAGTGATTGTGATGCATTTTGATGTTGAAAACCCTCATGGAAATTGTTATTAGGTTGGAAGGATTAAGTTAACACATCTTTTGTGTTGAATTGCAGTTGGGAAAGATGAGAAAAAGAAAGACAAAAAAGAAGACAGCGAGAAAACTGTGAGAGAAAACATTAAAAAATCACTGAGGGAAATCTTAACAACAAGGTTTGTCATATGCGTGTTATACTGAAGAAATGTAAAATGGTTTCCGTCTTTACATAGCCTGATGTAAACACTTGGGAGGTTGGGAGAACACGAGATAAGCGAAGGAAACCACAACGCGAAGCGGAGTGGTTTCCAGCTTATCGAGTGTTCTCCGAACCTCCCAAGTGTTTACATCAGGCTATGTAAACACGGAAACCATTTTACATTTCTTTTATAAAATAACTAATGAAAGAGGAACGAAAACCGTGTTTACATACGCTTATGTAAAATGGTTTTATAGCCAATCAGAGCGCGCGTACTATTTGAATTATTTTATAAATGATATTAGACTATAAACATAACAATTTACATGTTATAATGACATGCTATTATAATGATTATCTCAAAGGACTTTTTTTTAGGAAAAAGCGTCTTGATAACAGCCTCTAGGCTAACCTGCTTTTTGTTATTGAATGAAACCTTTGCCAAGAGTATTACCAGACAATTTGTTTCCTTTTGAATACTATAAGTTTCTCCGTGGATCACCTTTGTGTATAAGGACTACGATAACATCTATGTAGGTATTCTAAGTATTAAGTAAAAAGGATCCTTAGAGGTATTAAACGTTATAGTGCATGAATTAAAACTTGGTTTTATTAGTTGTTAGAGTCAGTGCGCAGTAGTTAACTTTTTTTGAAATATTTATTGATATTGTCCGTTATAGATCCAAGGAGCAACAGGATTTTAACGTAACTGAAGAAGACATTGACAAGTGTTCACTGGATGTCGAAAGGGAAATGTTTTCTTTCTTTGGAGATACAGGGCAACGCTATAAGAACAAGTACCGCAGCTTGATGTTTAATCTCAAAGACCCTAGGAACAAGGTTAGATTGATTGGAAGCTTTTGAAAGGCTGCGAACTCTCACTGTCTGCAATTTGTAAAATTTCCTTTAAAACTGATGCTGTTTCAGAAAATGCTTGCTTGGTATGTTTTGGAAATAATTTCAAATGTCTAAGCAAATTATGATTCGAAATGAAATGTTTATACTAATTTTGCCGAAAAACATTGCTTTGAGAGCCACTGTAGTCAATGTTTCTTTTTTTCGTTAGGTTCTGTTTCGACATGTTCTGTCAGGGGAGATAACTGTAGATCGTCTCGTACGGATGACACCTGAACAGCTGGCATCACCAGAGCTGGCTACCTGGCGGGAACAGGAAACAAAACATGTTAGTACTGATTCCACTTGTATTTGATAGAGAAGTCACGAAGGCGTCAATTGTCGCATGTGTCACCCTAAATAGCAGTGTCAACGGATGTCCCCTTTGGGGTGTTATTATTGTATGGGATATTTAAGGGGGCACCGTCACTTTATTTTAAGTCACTTTTGGGAGCTGCCAAACTATCTGTATGTGGATAGGGACCGCAAAATATTAGTGTAATAGAAGTAGTAATGAACCAAAGAGAAGCAAGGATGGTTGGAGATGGAGAAGATTTGAAGGGACTGGGAATGACTACTTCATATTATACATACATGTTCTGTACTTGCGTCTTGTCGTGGCGGTTTTCCTCTCAAGTAAAACTTTACTCTTGATATCTTTAGACCCTGGAAATGATTAGAATGAGTCAAGAGGAGATAAATGCAACCAAAGCACATACCAAGAAAACACACAAGGTTAGTTTTTTTAACCCTTTAATTCCCAAGATCTGATTGTTAATTCTCCCTTGTAGCTACTACACATTTCCTTGTAAATTAGTTATGAGAACTTGGTGCTAGATCAAGATAGTAGCCTCTACCTGATAAGTTTGAATATTCTCATTACCTGTTTGCAGAAGAATGTATGGATATTGTAGGGAGAAGTTTTATGTTAATCACTTCTGGTAGTTAAAGAGTTAACGTTATGGAGAGTGTATTTGTACAGTTGTATCTAATGAAACTATAATGCTTTATAAAGAATATCATCTTACATCCTAATATAGCCGCAAACGCTAATCACTCGTATTCAAACTTTACTAGAACAAACTTGACACATTGTTGAATACGGTAACTGAAAATGACAAAATTACAAACACGCGAATGAGCATAAAATAACTTACACGATGATGAAAGTACTTGAAAACGACAAAGCGAAATAAACAAGGATACTTGACGAATGTGAGAACCAAAGACGAAAACATGAAACCCAGAGCTAATATGTAACGTTTTTCCATACAACTAACCAAATAAATTGAACCAATATATATACGAATGCAAATAAATCCATGAGCGCGTAACTGAATAATGAAGACGAGAAAATAAACACCTAACACGCTAACAAAAAATGATAACCATTCTCGTATCCAACAAGAGCAAATAGAAACGTTGTTTTATTAAATTTCATTAAGTTCTGAACGTTTGAATATTTTCAGCAACAATTTTCAGCTTACAGGACGTCTCAATGCATTTCCGTATAAGTTGACTCGGAATATGAGCCGATAACTGAAGTTTAGTGAACCAATCAGAACACTAGAAATGCAATACTTGGAGTTTGAAATGTAATAATGTGACACACTTAGTATCGCTTTGTGTTACTGAGCTGACGCACGACAACATGGATTTTTTTTTTCTTTTTTTCTTATTTTTTTTAACATAAAAAACTTAGTGACCCAAGGATTTATTTCTGAATCTGTAAATAAAAAGCTGTTGAGTAACTATTCAAGTGAAATCTTCCAAGCATCATTTTCACACGGTTCTCTTTATTTTGGTTTACAAGTCCTAGGTTAAAACCTCCTTTGCATTTCGCGCTTCTTTTTTTATACCAGTTTTGAATGAGTTACAAACTGCTTTTGCTGAGAATAGGAGTTGAGGGTTACATCTAGTTTTTGAGAATTACAATATGTTAATCTCTTCTTTATGCCTCTTTTTTATGCTCTTTTTTTTTCTTCTTATTATTTTTTTCCTAGAATTCAGTCAAAGCAACTACAGAGCTTAAAGAAGAGAAAGGTCTTCCTGATAGCAACACAGGATCCAGCACCTTGCTTCTCGACACCACAGATGAACATCGGATTCACCTCTTTGATCTCAACTGCCGCATCTGCACTGGAAAAATGGCACCCCCAGGGGAACCTCCGAGGAGAGAAACACCTGCGCCACTTGTATCAACCACGTCAATGTAAGGCATTGAGAGTTCATAGGGAGGGGAGGGACGCGAGAATTGTTGATTGTTTTGAAAGAATTTTGTGTGATGATTGAGTAGGGCGTTAAGTTTTGAGAGACAGGGGTGTTGCTTCATTTTCTTAGTGTTGAGGTGATTTATTTTTAACAGAGTTCAAGCTGTTGCTGAGAGTTCAATTCCCTCTCCTACACCCATGGACATTGTCACTTCCGCCAGGTTTGTTCCTTTTTAGTTTAAAATAGTTTGTAATTCCGGATTCTCGACTCAGTTTGCTCAAGGTTTGCTAAGTTGTGCTTTAGTTTTGCTGTAGTTTTGCTGTAGTTTTGCTGTAGTTTTGCTGTAGTTTTGCTGTAGTTTTGCTGTAGTTTTGCTGTAGTTTTGCTGTAGTTTTGCTGTAGTTTTGCTGTAGTTTTGCTGTAGTTTTGCTGTAGTTTTGTTGTAGTTTTGCTTTAGTTTCACTTTTGTTTTGCTTTAGATAGCTCCGTGATTGGTCTTGAAAACTCGCGCCTCTCTATCGACCAATCAAATTCAATCTAAAACCAATTACGATTTGTGCACTTGCGTTGCCTCGCGCCTCAGCTAGTTTGCTTATGTTTATTTTTTAGTTCTTATTAGCTCCTTGCGATATGTGTCTGTCTTCTGATTGGCCGTTATAATTACTCTGGTGTTGATCTCACGAAACGTAGTCGAAAAGCGCTCTAGAGAGCTTTTCGATTGAGTGTCGTAAAAACCAAAACTACTGCAATTACCGCGGCCAACCAAAGCGCGGGAAAACGCGGCGACCAAGACGTGATTAGTTTTAGTTTTGTCTTTGATTTGATTGGTTGAGAGAGCGGCGCAACGTTTCTGGACCAATCACAGAGCAAAGTAAAGCAAAACCAGTGTGATCCCGGATGACGTTCGACACTTAATTGAAACTTGCTGTATTTGACTGCGTTGTTTTCACAGCTCACCAGACTCGGCCGTGCAGCCTCCCGAGTCACCCTCTATGCTGGCCAAGACAGCTAAGAAAGTCCCAGCCGTGTGGAAAGGGTTTGTGATGATGCAGAGTATAGCTAAGTTCGGTACGAGTGCTTATCGTGTGTCCGGACCATGTGACGATCTGCTGCAGTTGTTGCCCGATACACTGCATGTTCAGGGTCGCATTGCGCATGAGCAGGTTTGGGACTATCTACAACAACTGAAGAGCTCTACATCAAGGGTGAGAACTATTTGCGTACATTTCTTTAAAACTTCTCAATTTTGAGTTTTTTGAAATACTAGTAGCAGATTTCTTCCCAGTTTTTTTTTTTACTCTTGGGCAAGAGTCTTCATGTCAGAGAGGCTTACTGCCCCCGCTCTACGCAGGCGAAAAATAGGAACCACTTAACCGTCTAGAATTTCGAGTGGTGAGAATAACTTTTATGAGATAATATTGTCACAACATTATATCGAGAGTTAGTAGTGATACTCGCTAGCGATCCATGCCTCTAAAACCAGGATAAGCTGAGGCAGTGTGAACCAAAAGGCTTTTTTGCAGACTCTTTCTACTATTTATAAGTAATGGTTTCCGTCTTCGATTTTTTTCCCAGGAGGTGTGTGTGATCAGGTACGAGGCTTCCTCTGATGACGAGAAGTTGAGCTACGTGTCGCTGTATTCGTACTTTTACAGTAGAAAGCGATGTGGAGTAGTCAGTAACTGTTACACGGGAGTCAAAGATATGTATCTGGTACCTCTAGCCTCACATCAACGCATACCGCCGGAACTACTACCGTTTGATGGACCTGGTAAGACTGCATCTGAACTTGATATATGAATTTAGGCTCGACAATCGACCACTGTTCGGGAAATAAGGCTACCATCTGTACCCGGGCGGGGAGAAACGTGGAGCAAACTCAAGAGAGCGGCGAAAATTGAGCACTCGATAATTGGCAAAGAAAACTTCCCTAAACCCTTAACTTCCGAGATCGTATTTGAAACTCTTACCCCCAAGCTGTTGCAGTTTTGCATCTTTTCTATCTGAACTATTCTAGAGAACTTGGTGTTACATCAGGATAACACCCTCTAGATTATAGCTTTGACCTCTCGACTGCTGTTTGGAAAGCAAGTTGACCACCCCTCCCCGAAGAGGGAGTAGCGAATAGCAAATTCGAGAGAGCTTCGAGAATGGAAACATAAAACACTTCACTCCCTAGATCTTTTCCGAAACGTTTCTCCCTAGCGTCTACACTTTTACCTTTGAACCATTCGACCGAATTTGGTGGTATAGCAGGATGTCACTTTCAAGCTTGCAGCCTTGTCTACTCGTACGACCCTTTTGTTAGATTTCACGTGGATATTGCGTGGAGCAGTTACATGGCAATTGTTCTTTGTGTGACTGTTATACAGACTCCTTACCAAAAAAGTTTGAGACCATACGCTTGATATTCTCTTCACTGCCAGGTTATACTGTTTTTATAGCAAGGGCAACTGAAATAAATTGAATTGATGTTGGATTTATTCTTTCCTTCAGGGTTGAATGATCCCCGTCCTCACATGCTCCTCGGAGTTATTGTCCGATCTAAGGTGATGTTCAAGCGCCCGCGTGCACTTAGTCAACGCTCACTGTCCCCTCCTCCAAAGCGCCGAACCAGTTCAGCGAGTGTGGAGAACAGCAGCAGTGATGGAGGTGCTGTGGAAAGTCCGGCCCGAAAACGAGACGTGCTTAGTGAACTTCATGACTCGCCTCCAGCGGACATTGAAGACATTGTGTTCCAGTACAACACCACTCAAGCTAAGATCAGCAGTAAGGAAACCAAGGATTTGTCCGCCAAAGCTTCACCTGTTTCTGAGACATCCACACCTTCAGTTGCTTCCTCCTCTGGAGCGGCGAGCCCTCCTGTTTCTACGAGTAATTCATCTGTTCCTTCCCTTGAGGCACAGAAACAGCAGTTACTGGATCTACAAGAGCGCGCACGGCAGTATATATTGGCACAGACACAGCGAAAAGAAGTTGCAGCTGTTGACCATTCAACTTCGGCTAATAGCGAGGATAAACCGAAGATTCAATTTCCTGTTGCTAATAATCCAGAAAATGAGAAGACTGAAACAGTAGACGACGATGCACCGTATGATCCCGAAGAAGGTTTAGTTCTTGACCTTAATTCCACTGAGCCCAACCCAGCCAAACCTGCAGTATCTGTACCATCAGAGGAGCCAACCAAACCCTCCAGTCTGCAAATGTTGGTCTCCACTCTTCAGAGAATTCAAGGTGCTGCCAGTAAAAGTTTAAGTCCCCACTTGACAGCACTAACTTCAATCCTACCCTTAGGGGCTACCACCGGATCAAAAGGAGAAAGCAATCAAGGAAACGAGACCACTGCCGTAGCCACAGCAGGTACCGTTAACTCGTCGCTCATCTCAGCTGGGTCGAGAAGTCCGTCCGCTGCATCAGGTAGCAGCATACTGCAGCCCATTGTGCCTCTCAACAGTGAAAATATGAGAAATCCTTCGGCCCCAGCGGGGTACAGGCCACAGCTTTCTGGGCTAATTGACCAAACAACCACGCCTACTGGAGCAAATGGGCCACAAGCTTCAGATATGGCTGACCGTCAACCAATGTCTACCGGTGGAGGATTACAGCAGCCCTCAAGTATGAGCGATCGACAATCCTCAATTATAGCCGATCAACGTTCAGCGGCTGTCATATCAAATGGGCGTATTCCAGAGCGTGATGGCTCTACCACTGACGGTTCACATTCTACTTTTTCCAGTTCTCATGGCCATCAATTTCCTGAACCCTCTGTCCTGAATTTCCAGCCTGCATCGTCTGCTCAGAGACATCAGCCGCCTGCCCAGGGCCATGGTTCACACATAACTGAACCTCCACACATTAATCGTCACGTGAACGACGTCACGCAGCAGTACAGCGGTCTTCGACCAGAAGAGCGTGCGCGGCTGGCGGCGCGCGAATCCCGCTTAGAATCGCGGGAGAATAGGCGATTATCAAGCGAACACAGAGGTGAATCTCAGGAACAAAGACGATTGAGCGAAAGAGAGAGGGATAGTTGGTACAATAACCCGCGCTACTCACGGGATTCCAGGTCTTCCGGTTCATTTGATTCGCGTAACCCTCGGGATTCGCGAAACGACTGGCGGAATCAGCACAGGTCCGGACGGCATTGGCACGAGGATGAACATCGGCGAGACAGACACGCCCAACCGATAGACGAACGACCGAGATACCAAGAACGTAGAGACGAAAGACGGTTCCGGGAGAATTGGGGTCGAGAGAGATGGAGGCGGTGATCGTACAAATTGTTAGAAACAGTTGTACCCAAAGTTCGTTAAAGTTCAATTGCACTTAAATGAATTTGTATCGTGAATATTCCAAAAGCTCTCTGCTGGGATGCCGTTTGAAGTTTTTTCAATATGGCTCAGACGTGTTGTGTTAATTAGAGACTTTTAGTTCCGGTGGGTTATAACTTCTGTACAAAGCAGGTAGATGTTTTTAAAGATATATGATTCTGTGGAGTTTTATCAAAGCGGTTGCTGTGTTGTTTCTCTAACATCTAATAAAATGTGTTCGTCATTCTTTTAAGTATCTTGGTCTCCCATAAGGACAACAGTCTTCTACTATGTACTAAGCAGTTTAGTTCTGTTTGGAAACTGTTTGGGAAACATGACAACTTAAAGAGATCCTCGGTTTATTTCCAGTCCCCGATAACCGTTAGGATCACTGTCGATTTTTCCTTTCCATTCAGACCGTGCAGACTGTACAATTTTTTATTAGCTTTTTGAAAACTGTGATTTACGTATGATTTAAGTGTACACACTTTTTTCTTACTTTTTTGATAAAGTTGGACTGACATTTTACGCGGTTATTTCGAGCTCTCGTTACCAAGCAAAACAAAATCGCAGGCTCAAGTTTATCGAGCAAAAGGAGATTGGCCCCACGCGGCAAGATGTATTGCAGGTGTAATTTACGTGGACAATGACGCTGATGCATAGGTAAGGAATGGGCTGTGTGGACGAAGCAAATGATTACCAGGGTCTTCACAAGACAGCCTAAAGAACTTTACAGTAACGAAAGCATCGCAAGCTACAATCGAACTCTACTGGATAATAAGGTTTTTGAATCGGAGTAGAAGACTGATTGATAGCTAACAGGGAACTTTGGCTATGTCAGTTGTGTCTAACCTAATCTCCGTTTCCATCGCAATGCATGCACAGTGTGTGTGAAATGAAAATTATTGGGACAATTTCCAAACGGCCAGCAGATGGGACGCGAGGTTTCATTGATATTTTTTTATTTTACCAGAAATCGAAAATATAGCACAAAAGTGTAACTGTTGGGTTGCATTTCTCGTTGTTTAAAGCTTGCCAGCCTCTCACGAACTCTTGAAGTTTTTCCGGGGAAGCGGGTTGTTTTAGAACCGAGTCTGCATTTTACCACTGGTCAGCTGTCTTCAGTCTGCATTTTACCCCCGGTGTGCAGTCTACAGTGTGCGTTTTACGCTGACCGGTCTCAAATATACTTGATGCCGGGCAGTCGGAAATTTTCCCAGAATTTCCACCGAAGGGTTCTCTAAAACTTATTGAGAATAAATGTCGCGTTGCCCCGTGCAACCGTTGCAACCGCTTTTCAAACTCTGCTTTATTATTATTATTTTGTCAGTATTCCTAAAACCTCTTGAACTGGTTTTGGCTTTCCATACAAAGAAATAAAAAATATTCAATTTTGTGTAAGATAAGTCGGAGGATGTTTTGAAACTGTTTTGAATTAAAAATAGTTACGTGACCGATGAAAACAGTTGATCGGTGTCTGTGCTTTCTGTATTGCAAGATCTCGTCTGTGATTGGTTGCAAGACAATCAACCGTTCAGGCATATCTTAGGAGTTCACGGTTTTGTAAGTTTGACTGTGAATTAGATTAATTAGTTAATGAGGAAAATGAGGTTCATTGCTTCAGTTTGGTTCAGAGGTAAGTTCTGAGAACTTATAACTCTTAAAAGTTCCATACTGGCTGTTACATTTGAACATCCTATCAGAGTTTCATGAACAGTGTCAAGTAAGCCTAGAAATCTCGAGGTTTATTGATCGTTTGTAAATGATTGCGAGACAATTAACATTTTAGGCATATCTTAGGTGTTTACGCTTTTGTAAGTTTGTCATGTAGTTATTAAGGATACACATTGAAAGTTCGAGAAAGTAGTGTGGTTAACTGCTTCAGTTTGGTTCAGAGGTAAGTTCTGAGAACCTATAACTCTTAAAAGCACCGTACTGGCTGTTACATCTAAAAATCCTATCAGAGCATGAACAGTGTCAAGTAGGCTTAGAAATAACATTGGAAAAACATTTATTTACTTCAAACATTTCGCTCATGAAGAAATCTCGAGGGTCACGGATCGGCTAACACTGCAGCCTAAGTTGTCATTTTCTTCAAATAACTGATCGTTATATTCTAGCTTAGTTTTGGCAATTGAAGAAATGAACTTCGCAGGTGTGATGCAATTTTAAGCCACTGCAGAATAGAAGCCTGGTAAAAATTCAAACTTAAATGGGATTTGAGCCCTTGCCTCCCAGACTCTATTGAGTGTTATTAACAGCTGAGCTACAAACTCACATGTCGGGAGCAAGAGAAGTTTACTTCGTCAGCATTAGGATTTGTAGTTTTATTTTTCAATCGTTTGCTGTTTTCAATGCCGCCCATACCATATGTGAAAATGCGCGCATCACAGGCAACTTGTCTAAATGCTTAACCCTGAGCAAAACAACCAAAAATAGACACACTCGATAACCTTGCGCGCACGTACACGCACCCACCCATGCGCGTTTCTTAGATCACAGCTAACTTACGAGTACAAATTTAATAATTAACGTCTGTTTCTTTCACTCTCTCTGTTTCACTCATCTTTTTTTATTTGACTTCAAAAATCACTAAAACGTGAGGGCGTTCCTTGAATTTTTTTAAATGGAAGACATGGTGTCCTACTTCGCGCGCTGGACTCCGGAGTCAAGGGGCCTAGGATCGAGTTCTGATTGAGGTGAACACGGACAGGGACGTGGGACGAAGTAATTGTAAAGCCAAGCAAGGAAAAACAAGAGAACTCCGACGAGAACCAAAACTTCTATAACTATTGTGATTAAGTTGTTTGGCACATAGGGTATCACCAAAACAAATAACGTGCGGACAAGCAAGTTTGACCAACCCAGAAATCGAAATGTAGCACAAAAAGTGTTACAGTTGGTTTACCTTACGCGTCGTCCTGTGTAAGCGTCGCAACCGCTTTTCATGATCAAATTCTTTGCTTCTTATTTTTGTCAGTATTTCTAAAATCCCTGCAATTGGTTTTCGCTCTCCTCACAAAGGAATAAAAAATATTTAAATTTGTCCATGATAAGACAGGGTGTTTTGAAGATGTTTTGAATCAAAAATGGTTACGTGACCGATGAAACCAGTTGATCGGTTTCGGTGCTCTCAGTGTCTTAAGATCTCGTTGGTGATTGACTGCGAGACAATCAACCGTTCAGGCATATCTTAGGTGTTCACGATTTTGTACGTTTGACTGTAGGGGGTCATTTGTTAATCAGTCATTAAGGCAACGCATTTTATGTCCGAGAAAGTAAGTGAGGTTGATTGCTTCAGTTTGGTTCAGTGGTAAGTTCTAAAACTTATAACTCTTAAAAGCACCGTACTAGCTGTTACATCTAAAAATCCTATCAGTGTTTCATGAACAATGTCAAGTAGGCTTAGAAATAACATTGGAAAAACATTTATTTAATTCAAACATTTCGCTTCCGAAATCTCGAGGGTCACGGTCGGCTAACACCGCAGCCTAAGTTGTCATTTTCTTCAAAAAACTGGTTGTTATATTCTAGCTGCAGTTTCGGCAATTTAAGAAATGAACCTCGCAAGTGTGATGCAGTATTAAGCAATTGCAGAAAAGAAGGCTGATAAAAGTTCAAACTTCGACGGGATTTGAATTCATGCCTCCCAGACTCAATTGGGTGTCACTAACAGCTGAGCTACAAACTCACACGTCAGGAGCAAGCGTAATTTACTTCATTAGTATTATGAATTTTGGTTTTATTTTTCAGTGGTTTGCAATTTTCAATGCCGCCCAGGCCATAAGTGAAAATGCGTGCACCACAGGCAACTTGTCTATTAAGTGCTTTATGCAAATTTAAGTCGCGAACTCGAAGTCTCATGGTAATGATGATATGAGCATGTTCATTTATAATCGTTTTATCTCGGGTGAATATGATCCGTTATTCATTTTCAAAATCTCATTGTCATTTTTAATCCTAGAGGTTAATTATCGACTATGAAGTAGATTTAAGGAAGTGAACGCAGAGCGGAATTGCCACGAAATTTTGGGTGTCGAGGAAATTGTTTTTTCATGTATAACGTTCAGAAAAGTTCTTTTCACATCAAGTGGAAATTCGCAGCGAAAAGTAGTGAGATTTCACCATTATTATTTATTGCGTGTAAAAACTATCATTGAGGCTATTTACAAAAGGGTGGTGAAGCGGAAGTTATTACAGGTAGAGCGCATGCATATACTTTATTTTACCAATTAACCCGTCCACGAAGGAGATGACTTTAAACATTCCTTTGCAGAGGTTTACGTGACGTTTAACACGATGTTGAAGTTGGCTTTGGTTTCCATTGTGATCTGCTATGTTCTCATAGCAGAGGCTCGTAGATTACCAGAGCCGCGCCTTCAGGAGACTGAACGTTACCAAAGGCAATCCTTAAAGGTTGGTTTATTTATAGAGGGAGACTAAAATTCTACAAAGGCGATGAGAAACTGGAATGGGTGGTTAAAGGGATTGGGACGAGAGACAAATTTGCGAGAAAGGGTGTGACGTGTGACGTGTGATGATCTCCTCTCATTAGAAGTCAATTTCCTTTATTCTCCCCCTTAAACACTATAAAAACAATGCCCTTTGGTGACAAGAAAAGCCCCTTTCATTAATAAATGAAAATAAAAGAGTCGACAATCGTGGGGTGCGTTGGCGCTAAGGCGCTAAGGCTCAAGATGGAAAAATGCGTTGAATCACGATTACAAAGACAACAATGGCGTAATTTTCAATTGACAAAATTCGTATTAACTGACTTTGTCCTTACCGACAGAAGAAATATTTTAGGTAAATGGCCAAAATCGGCCTGTTGTAAATCGTCCAGTTGTCGATTTTCGCTGTCAGCCGCCACAATCCGAGAAAATTGCGACAAACTACCTTGTACTGAGAATCGTGAGCGCTTTGCTGTTCATTCATCAACCTAACCGAAAGGCGCGAAAGGCGAGTGACGTGTCAGCAGCTGATTTGCGATATCAAAACACGTAAAAAAATCTCGTATTTTTTCTCGACGTGCGTTGTTACGGCTTTTCTCAGGGCTGGAAATCCTTGTATAACACCGTAGTTTATGTAATAAATACTGATTTCTCCCTGAACAAGAAAAAAGAGAAATTAAGTGTGCAATACGTAGCTAATATTGAACGACCAAGTTAATCCAAATTATGTATAACATGGTGACGTCTGGCAAAAGTATCAGTAACGTCCAATAACTTATGGTATTGATTTTCTAATCCACATTGTTTGGTTCCTCTTTTTATCAAAAACGACGTATTTGTTTTATTGATTTGCATTTATTGTTCAAAAGGTTGTTTTATAGCCACCCTTAGATAAATATGTCGTCGAAAGATAATTTTGAAGAACTCATAGTCTTAATTTTCTTAAATGTCATCTCTGCTCTTTAAAGAATCTAATAAGTTATAAGGATGAAATATTGACCACAAATAACAAGCCAGAAGGGTTTTATCTGAAAGAATATTTAGTTGTTTTTGTTACATCAATAAATTTTCAGAACTATCTGCATCGTCGCTCGTGTGTTGCACTTGGAGGAACAGGCTGTGAGGGCAATAACGCCAAGTGCTGTCGAAAAGGAAACCCGTACACTGGGACTATGCGAAGTTGTGTCAATACAGGCAGTTTTTCAGGGCCGTAAGTAAAAGACTCAAACATTTTGCTAACAATGATTTACCCACTTGCATCGTGATCAATGATGAAACTCCTTATTTCCTCGACTAATGACGGTTGACGTTTTGTATCCGAGACATGAATGTATCGCTTATGTTCGTGTGAAATATCCTGAATATCTGGCAGGGGAAAGTTTTCACTCTTTACGCAACCAACCTTGAAATAAAACGGTAGTGAATAGTACGTCCCAATAATCAGCGCGCGTGAAAAGCATTATTCATTTGTGTGGTATATACCAATAATAATTATGATAGTTATAATGGTAGTAATAATTACTATAATATAGAACTAACTAGACACAGTCCTCCCGTCAGATTCTCCTGCGTGGTTTTGTTCATTCGCTACACCTCTAATTTCTTTTGAATTTTTTTTATATCCCAGGGTGTATACATGTATGGAGGCATGAGGACACAGTCGGCGTCAGATTCCAGAGATTTTTCTCTTAACAAGTGTTGATTTGAGTCTTGTCAAATGCACATAGGGTGGCTTCTATAAACTAACCAAAAATAGCCATACACTCGATAACTTTGCACGCACGTACACGCACCCACCCATGCGCGTTTCTTAGATCACAGCTAACTTACGAGTGCAAATTTAATAATAACCTTCTGTTTGTTTCACTCTCTCTGTTTCACTCATCTTTTTTTATTTTGACTTAAAAAATCACAACAACGTGAGGTTGTTCCTTGAATTTTTATAAATGGAAGACATGGTGTGCCACACTCCCACTCCGCGCGCTGGACTCCGGAGTCGAGGGGCCTAGGATCGAGTTCTGATTTAGGTGAACACGGACAGGGACGTGGGACGAATTAATTGTACAGCCAAGCAAGGAAAAACAAGAGAACCCCGATGAGACCCAAGACTTATATAACTATTGTGGTTAAGTTGTTTGGCACATGGGGTATCACCAAAACAAATAACGTGCGGACAAGCAAGTTTGACCAACCCACAAATCGAAATATAGCACAAAAAGTGTTACAGTTGGTTTGCATTTATCGCCGTTTAGAGCTTCAAACATGACGGAATAATTCGGTTCGGTTTAAATGTCGACGTCGGCTACGATAAATTCCCACCAGATGGAAAATAAACAACAAATTTGAAGTGCACTCCTATTTAGTTCCGCTTTAGTTCATAAGTGTATTATTTAGTCAAGAAACGAGGCAAAACGCTATTCCTATATTAAGGTTGTCATTTAAAGTTTGTGTTTGATACGCATCAGTGACTCTCCCACATTTGCAGAATGTTTCGCCGGAAAGTGATCGAAGGTTTTTTCTTTTCATTTCGTACCGCAATGAAAGCATTTCGTTTTATTTTATACATAAGAAGCGAAAGGAGTGCTTTAGTTTGACTTAGACATGAGTTTGTACTAGTTGAATCACAGTTCTGGAGAAACGTGTAAAACAAGGCACGCAACGCATCACGCCGTACCAAAAATGTATCGGCATTAAAAAAGCAGTCTGCGTAAAACGCAGACTGCAGACCGTGGATAAAGTGCAGACTGAGGGTAAAATGTAAACTGAAGACTGGAGACCAGGGGCAAAATGCAGACTCGGTTCTAAAACAACCCTCTTCCCCAGAAAAACTTCAAGAGTGAGCTAAGATCGGGGCCGCACAAGTCGTGAGATGCTGGCAATAGTCATGGCGATTGATGTTTTAAACTTCACTTCCTCAAATGGTTTTGGCGTTGAAATAATGATTTAAGGTAAGAACGATTAGAAACTTTCGTATTAGTCCGTAATAATCCGTACTAACCCGAGGTAAATCTGTGGCTATCATGGTCAACTTAACCTATGTCGGGCTTCTTGTTAGCCGAGATTTAGTTTTGCTGTGACGTGTTGTTATTCTCTGGAAAATTGTTGGAGTCTTCCTTAAATTAAAACAAATTAAGAGCGAGTAGAAGTCTCGAGTTCCTTTTAATTTGAATCATTTAGAGAAACCAGAAATGTCCACAAACTTCAACTAAAGAACCGAATCTGAATTTCACCCCCTGCTCTGCAGTCTACATTGTACCCTCAGTCTGTATTTCACCCCCTGGTCTGCAGTCTGCATTGTACCCTCAGTCTGCATTTTACCCCCGGTTTACAATCTGTGTTTCACACACTGACCGCTTTTGCATAGACCAAATGCCGGGCAGTCACAAATTTTCACAGAATTATCACCGAAAGGTTTTTTCAAACTCCTGGAAAATAAATGTCGCGTCGTCCTGTGTAAGCGTCGCAACCGCTTTTCATGATAAAATTCTTTGCTTCTTATTTTTGTCAGTATTCCTAAAATCCCTCCAATTGGTTTTCGCTCTCCTCACAAAGGAATAGAAAATATTTAAATTTGTCCATGATAAGATAGGGTGTTTTGAAACTATTTTGAATCAAAAATGGTTACGTGACCGATGAAACCAGTTGATCGGTGTCTGTGCTCTCAGTGTCTTAAGATCTCGGTGGTGATTGACTGCGAGACAATCAACCGTTCAGGCATATCGGCCAACACCGCTGCCTAAGTTGTCATTTTCTTCAAATAACTGGTCGTAATATTATAGCTGCAGTTTCGGCAATTTAAGAAATGATCCTCGCAAGTGCGATGCAGTATTAAGCAATTGCAGAAGAGAAGGCTGATAAAAGTACAAACTTCAACGGGATTTTAATTCGTGCCTCCCAGACTCAATTGGATGTCACTAACAACTAAGCTACAAACTCGAACGTCGGGAGCAAGCGTAATTTACTTCATTAGTATTATGAATTTTGGTTTTATTTTTCAGTGGTTTGCAATTTTCAATGCTGCCCAGACCATGAGTGGAAATGCGTGCACCACAGGCAACTCATCTATTAACTGCTTTATGCAAATTTAAGTCGCGAACTTGAAGTCTTATGGTAATGATGATATGAGCATGTTCATTTATAATCGTTTTATCTCGGGTGAATATGATCCGTTATTCATTTTCAAAATCTCATTGTCATTTTTAATCCTAGAAGCTAATTATCGACTATGAAGTAGATTTAAGGAAGTGAACGCAGAGCGGAATTGCCACGAAATTTTGGATGTCGAGGAAATTTTTTTTTCATGTATAACGTTCAGAAAAGTTCTTTTCACATCAAGAGGAAATTCGCAGCGAAAAGTAGTGAGTTCACCATTATTATTTATTGCGTGTAAAAACTATCATTGAGGCTATTTACAAAAGGGTGGTGAAGCGAAAGTAATTACAGATACAGCACATGCATATACTTGATTTTACCAATTAACCAGCCAACGAAGGGGATGACTTTAAACATTCCTTTGCAGAGGTTTACGTGACGTTTAACACGATGTTCAAGTTGGCTTTGGTTATCATTATGATCTAGGGCCACCCGAGCCAGACAGGTCGAAGGGTCCTGTGTTCTAATAGCAGAGGCTCGTAGATTACCTGCGCCGCGCCATCAGTAAACTGAACGTCACGGTTACCAAAGGCAATTCTTAAATGTTGGCTTTTTGATAGAGGGAGACTAATAATCTACAAAGGCGATGAGAAACTGGAATGGGTGGTTATAGAAAGCCTTCCAACAAAAACAGACTGGGACGAGGAACAAATTTGCGAGAAAGGGTGTGACGTTACGATAAGAACAAAACGAACCCCGACCCCAAGACTATTGTTGTTCAGTTGTTTGGCATATAGGGTATCACCAAAACATGAAACGCGTGGACAATCAAGTTTGACTAACCGATACAGTCTTTTTTTATTTTACCAGAAATCGAAAATATAGCACAAAAAGAGTCACTGCTGGTTTGCATTTATCGCCGTTGAGGGTTTGTAGTATTAAAGAATAATTAGGTACGGTTGAAATAAATGCGTAGTTTTAAATATTTTGATTTGAAGTTTTATTTTTCAGTCGTTTGCAGTTTTCAATGCCGCCCCTACCAAAAGTGAAAATGCGTGTATAACAGGCAACTTGTCTAAATGCTTTATGCAAATTTAAGTCGCGAACTTGAAGCCTTATAGTAACGCTTCTGTGAGCATCTTCATTTATAATCGTTTAATCTCGAGTTGAGCATTCCTTAGGGATAGCGTGTGAAAACTCATCGTCATTTTTAATCCAAAAAGTTAATTATCCAGAGGTAGATGACAAGCGTATTGAGCATCTTTTAAATGTATACTTTATGCAGTTTTACGAGGTGAACTCAGAGCGAAATTGCCCCGAATTTTGGGTGTCTTGGAGATTTTTTTCAGGTGCAAAAACGGCATTAAGACGTTATGATATTAAGAACAAAAGGAACCCCGACTCCATTGTTCTCCCCAACTATTGTTGTTCAGTTGTTTGGCACAGAGGGTATCACCAAAATAAAAATTACGTGCGGATAATCAAGTTTGAAGTTTGACATTTATCGCCGTTTAGAGTTGGGAGTATGACGGAATAATTTGGTACGGTTGAAAGGTAAGGTTTTTTGTCACTATTCCTAACATCCCTCTAACTGGTTTTAGCTCTCCATACAAAGGAATAACAAATATTAAAATTTAACTAAGATAAGACAGAGGGTGTTTTGAAGCTGTTTTGAATCAAAAATGGTTACGTGACCGATGAAACCAGTCCATTGGTGTCGGTGCTTTCAGTGTCTTAAGATCTCGTTTGTGATTGACTGCTAGACAATTAACATTTTAGGCATATCTTAGGTGTTAACGGTTTTGTGTTTGACTGTGGAGGGTCGCTTGTTAATCAGTTATTAAGGCAACGCATTGAAAGTTCGAGAAAGTTAGTGAGGTGGATTGCTTCAGTTTGTTTCAGAGGTAAGTTTTGAAAACTTATAACTCTTAAAAGCACCGTACTGGATGTTACATCTGAAAGTCCTATCAGAGTTTCATGAAAAGTGTAAAGTAGGCCTAGAAAGACCATTGAAAAAACATTTACTTACTTCAAACATTTCACTTATGGAGAAATCTCGAGGTGCACGGATCGGCTAACACCGCAGCCTAAGTTCTCATTTTCTTCAAATAACTGGTCGTTATATTCTAGCTGTCGTTTCGGCAATTGAAGAAATGAACCTCGCAGGTGTGATGCAATTTTAATAAATTGCAGAAAAGAAGGCTGATAAAAATTCAAACTTCGATGGGATTTGAGCTCTTGCCTCCCAGACTCAATTGGGTGTCACTAACAGCTGAGCTACAAACTCACACGTCGCGAGCAAGCAAAATTTACTTCATCAGTATAATGATTTGTAGTTTTATTTTTCAGTGGTTTGCAATTTTCAATACCACTCAAACCAAAAGTGGAAATGCGTGCATCACAGCCAACTTATCTAAGTCCTTCATGCAAATTTAAGTCGCGAACTTGAAGCCTAATGGTAAAGCTTCTATGTTCATTTATAATCGTTTAATCTCAAGTTGAGAATTCCTTAGGGATAGAGTGTGAAAACTCATTGTTATTTTTTAATCCAAGAAGTTAATTATCCAGAGTTAGATGACAAGAGTATCGGGAATCTACACTTTATGCAGATTTACGAGGTGAACTCAGAGCGGAATTGCCGCGAATTTTAGGTGTCGTGGAGATTTTTTTCAGGTATAAAGTTCAGAAAAGTTCTCTTCACAGCAGGAAAAAATTCGCAACGAAAGGTGGTGAGATTCACCAATGTTATTTACTGCGTGTAAAAAGTATCAATGAAGGTATTTACAAAAGGATGGTGAAGTGAAACTAATTACCTATACAGCACATGTATATACTTGATTTTACCAATTAACCCGCCCAGGAAGGAGATGACTATAAATATTCCTTTGCAGAGATTTACGTGACGTTTTACGCGATGTTGAAGTTGGCTTTGGTTTTCATGGTGATTTCCTGTGTTCTGATGGTAGAGGCTCGTAGATTACCAGAGCCGCGCCTTCAGGAGACTGAACGTTACCAAAGGCAATTCTTAAAGGTTGGTTTATTGATAGAGGGAGACTAAAATTCTACCAAGGCGATGAGAAACTGGAATGGGTGGTTATAGATAGACTTCCAACACAAAAGGATTAGGACGAGAGACAAATTTGCGAGAAAGGGTGTGACGTTAGTCGCCAATAAAGCTTCTGCTTTCCGCCCTTGTAGCACCAAGGGATTGGTTATTATTTATCACCTGACCAAGGGGGGTAGAATTCTAATGATCTCCCCTCATTAGAAGTCAATTTCCTTTATTCTCTCCCTTAAACACTGTAAAAACATAGCCCTTTAGTTAGAAGAAAAGCCGACTTCATTAATAAATGAAAATAAAAGAATCGACAATCGTAAAGTGCCTTGGCGCTAACGCTCAAGATGGAAAAATGCGTTGAATCACGATTACAAAGACAACAATGGGCGTAATTGTCAATTGAAAAAATTCATATTTACTGACTTTATCCTTACCGACAGAAGAAGTCTTTCAGGTAAGCGGCCAAAATCGGCCTGTTGCAAATCGTCCAGTTGTCGATTTTCGTTCTCAGTCGCGAGAGAAACGATTATCAAAAAGCCATTGAATACGAAACTTTTGGTTTTCTTTTCGTATATTGGTTTTCTTCCCCTTCTTGGAAAAATTGAACGTCACTGTCTGTGAGCAAAACGGATTTTTTAACAAGAAAAGGGAGAAATTAAGTGTGCAATACGTAGCTAATTTTGAACGGTCAAGTTAATCCAAATTATGAATAACGTGGTGACGTCTGGCAAAAGTATCGATTACGTCCAATAACTTATGGCATTGGTTGTCTAAATTACACTGTTTGGTTCCTCTCTCTATCAAAAATGACGCATTTGTTTTATTGATTCGCATGCATCGTTAAAAACGTTGTTTTGTAGTCACCCTTAGACAAATATGTTGAGAAAAAACAATTTTGAAGAACTCATGCTCTTAAATGTCATCTCTGCTCTTTAAAGAACCTATTAAGTCTTAAGCATGATATATTGACCACATCTAACTAGCCAAAAGGGTTTTTTCGGAAAGAAATATTTAGTTGTTTCAATTCAATGTTACAGAACTATCTGCATCGTCGCGCGTGTGTTCCACTTGGAA